CAGTGCTGGCTCATACACAGGCGGGCATCGTTCCAAGCTTTCGTCCTCTACTTTCAACGTCGATGCGAAGGAGTTTAACCCAACTGCCTCGATCCCGTCCCAGCAATTTCCCTTTCAAGAAAATACCTTCCAACCCTCGGCTGTTGGAAATCCCATGTTCACATTTGGCTCTGTACCCAGCTTCAATCCCTCCGCTAGCGCCTTCAATCTTACCGCAACCCCCTTCACACCCAGTGCTGCTGCTAACGATACAGCCACGCAAAAACCCGGCTCCGGCGAATTTAAGTTTTCTACCGCATCTTTCAATGTCGCAGCTCCTGCTTTCAACCCTACTGGAAGTGGCTTCACCACGAAGTCTGAGGAACCTGCAAATGGCAGGACCAAAATATTCGACGATGTTGATGTCTCGGAGGCATCAAAGGCCTCCAAGAAGTCCAAGGCCATTCCCATCGTGCGACCAGACGAGACCGTGGAGGACAAGGACAGTAAAGAGGAGGTCGAGAACGACAACGGCCGCCCAGTTCGTACTGATCGCCATAAGCGTGCACGTCGCGGTGATGAAGCATCAGATGGAGAGGCCCACTTCAGCATGTCTCACGCATTGGCAGAGTCCGGTAACATTCAACAATCGCAAGTGTCTAGCGCACACGGTGTGCCTGCTGAAGGCAAAGAAAACGTACAACCAGAGGGCGGAGATAGCAATGAAGCACCTCAGAAACCTGTCTCGATTCAGGATGACAAGTTCGCTGAGAGGAAAGAAACGCCCATCAGTGAAGCGTCGACCTGGACACCTTTTGATAAGAAGAACGAGAGTACGGAAGCAGCCCAGGAATCAGGACCGGCTACCGACATACAGGCCAAGTCAGAGTCGGTATCCGTGGAAGGAGGAAATATTGGCAACAAAGAGCAGGAAGAGACTGCCGAAGATAACCAGAAGCACACTTTCCTGTCACCCACTGCGAAGCCCTTCCAGTTCAAAGCCTCTGTTCCCGAATATGTCCCCGCTTCTTCTGGGGAGACAACGCTTGGCCCCAAGCCGGTGGATGATGGGAAGGGCGATGCCACTTCCAAAGCTGCAGTTTCACCCAAGCGTGAGCCTGTGCTATCTGAAGCCCATGCTGATGAGGCTGAGGATTCGCCTGACGATGAGGAGCTCAATGCTATCATGGAGCAGTTGAATGATGATTCGGATGTTGGAATTGAACGTTTGAGCACGCCTCAACCTCGTGATCGCATTCCCGAGACTGCCCTGCATCCGTCTAAAGAAAAGCGACACGCACCTGCCGACATCAGGAGCGAAGCTCCTAGTCCGAGCCCAGGACGTGGCCTGATGGCCAACACCCTGAATGTACCTAAGCTCGACTTCGATGCTCAATCTCAATTCTCTGTTTCCCCCTCTAAGGGAGCCGGTTCTGGTATTCCCTCTCCAGTGCGGCATCTAGTCAACCAGAATGATCACATCAGTGACTGGGACGATGTGATCTCGTCTGGTGAGGATGAGAAGCTGGCAAACCGGAGCAGATTCTTTGACCGTCGGATCAACGACCTCGTCGGCTCCGCCATTGATGAACGACTTACGCCGCTTGAGCGCGCGCTTGGTGTTATTCAAGAGTCTGTCATGTCACTTGCACCTGGTCCTCGCACCAAATTGGAGTGGAGTGCATCTGTCGAGGGCGACAACAGTGACGCTGACGCTGATGATGAGGATGATGTATATGAAAACGCGTCGTACAGTACCCGGTCGTACCTCCGCCGGAAGGAGAAACTTGACAAGCTGAAGACCGTCTTCTTGGAGGCACTCGCATCCCGCGATAATGAGCAAGAGAAGAACCAAACAGTTTCCGAGCTCGTACAGCTGCGTGAAAGCGTCTCTGCTCTTCAGGCTTTGACCGTGCAGAAGCTATCGCAAGACCCTGTGGATGAGATGAGAACAATGATCCAAGACATGATCTCAAACCAACTGAGCCAGCAGAACTCGCGACCCTCTGAAGCAGAGGAGATCGGCGCTGAAAGCCTTATGCTCCAGATTGACGGTCTCAAGAATATGCTTAGGCTCTCTGATGAGCGGGCCGATCAGGAGTACAAGCTTCGGAGAGAAGCTATGGACTCTGTTGCGGAACTCCAGCGGCTTTTGAAGGTCGCCGAAGAGGATGCTGCACGCCATAGTGAAGCTGCCGAATCCGCCGAGTCCCGCTTGCTCCACTTCAAGGCTGAGAAGATTCCTTATTTCGAGAACATCCAGCATAAGGCTGACTCACTTGAGAAAGAGCAAGAGACACTCCAGTTCACTCTTGCTGAGCTCTCCTCCAAGAACATCGCACTTCAGGGCACCCTGGATGAGTACCGCGTTTCGAGCGATAACTGGAAACGGGATAGCGAGGAGTCTAGGGCTGAACTTGAGCAGGTCAAGGCGGACAATAAGGAACTCCGGGGTACGATTAACCAGCTGAAGACGCGCTTGGAGGATGGTATGAGTATCCGACACAATCTGGGCGAGAAGCTTGATCGTCTCCAGGATGAGATGGCAACTGTGACTCGGGACGTTACCCGCGACCAGGCTTCTTGGCGCAGACGCGAAGAGGACCTGAATGCCAAATACAACGAACTTCGTGCAGCCTATGGTCGGGAGGTGAAGCTTCGTGAAAAGCTTGAGGAGGATATCAATGAGCTTGAAGCGCAGGAGCGCGAGGCGGCCAAGTTGAAGTTCATCTTTGGCCAGTCTCAGCAGGAGAATGCCAGGCTTGAAGAGCTCGTCGCGAACCTGCGGCTCGAGAACCACGACCTGGAGCTTAAGGCCGCTCGCTTTGAGCGGGAGTTCCACGAGGCTCGTGAAAGCAGTCGCGTTGAGATCCAGCGCACCAGGAATTCGCTGGAGTCGGATCTGGATGCTGCTAACAGCCAGGTTAACATTGTCCGTGCTGAGTTGGAAACTCAGATACTTCGCCTCCAGAGTCAAATGGACAATGTCAGAATGGAAAGCGACACTGCCCGGGAGCGCTACGAGATGCTGTTGGAGGAAGCCAATGAAACCAAGGCCAGCAACTTGGCTGCTGCTGTCCAAGCCAAGGAACTGGCGGTGGAAGAACAACGGCGGACGCACGAACGGGTGCTCAATGACCTTCGCGAACGCCACGCGCGTGCGCTGCACAATGCTTCTGAAGACAGACAGCGCACGGAATCTCATCTGCTCGACCGTCTAGCCTTGTCCGATGACAAGGTGAAGCACCTGGAGGACCGGGTTCATCATCTCGAGGAGAGGCTCGAAATCGCACAGTCCGCCGCCCGTGCTGCTGCCGAGGCCGCTCAATCTGCCAAGGCAGCGCCTGCCATGGCACCTGCGCACTCGAGCTCGCCTTCATTGGCATTCCGTGAGGGATCTACCATGCCTGAGAAGATCTCGCCTCAAGCCTTGAGGGAATCAATCTTGGTACTTCAGGATCAGTTGCAGCAGCGTGAAACTCGCATTGAAGAACTGGAACAAGAAGTGGCTGCTATTGACAAGGACGCTCCAAACAAGATCAAGGACAAAGACACAGAAATCAATTGGCTGCGTGAACTCTTGGGTGTTCGCATTGATGACCTCCAGGACATCATCACCACTGTGTCGCAACCTTCCTTCGACCGCAATGCTGTCCGCGATGCCGCCATCCGTTTGAAAGCCAATCTGCAGATGCAGCAACAGGAGAGAGAAAGAATTCAGTCCGGACACAGTTTCCCTAGCCTCTCCTCCTTGGCAGAGTTGACAGCGTCACCACGAAATCTTCCTCTCGCAGCTGCAGCGGCATGGGGCAGCTGGCGTAAGGGAAGAGATACTTCGAACTCTCACGTTTCCGAACAGACGCCTTCAAAATCCGGAAATGCAAGCTCCTTCTTGTCAGGTCTCTTGACCCCTCCAGCCTCCAGTGTCCGACAGGCTTCACCCCAGGCCGTTGGTACTTCCGCGACGATGGGTTCCAGACGTCCATCGGCGAGTCGGCCTCTGAGGAATTACGATACGACGCCCAAGGCCGCTCCAGCTCGTGGAAGCAGGATGCGAGAGCCGCCAAGTACGCCCCCGTTGCTCCGGAGGTCAAGTTACGACCACGACGCGGAGCCTGCTGATTATGCCCACGACTCCTTTGGAGAAGACGCGGAAAGCACAGCCGATGGCCTAGTTTCGGAATCCCCTCGGGATACGGCAGACGGGCCATTCGGACCGCAAATACAAGCATAAACTGTCTATACCACTATTTTCTCATTCATGTCCATAGACATTTTCTGCAGTTGTCTCAACACGGAGACGACTGACACTGTTACATTATGATGCATTTTTCCCTCTTCTACCCACATCCATCTCTCCTTTGATATTGCATACTTCGTGCCCGTTGACATGTTCATTTGCTGATTGATTGGTTTCGAGCAAGTTTATTGATTTTCCCCCCTATATTGTTGCTCAACGGCTGTGAATTTATGAGATTCTTTCCTTCGTTAATATACCATACCACAGTTTTCCTGCGTCCTTATGGATACCACACCTTTTGCAATGTACTTTTGCCGCAAATCTGTACACAAGTTTCTGCACTTTTGCTTATTTTATGTTTCTTGTTCAAATAATTCCAACGTGTCACTCGTTTGTGGTTCCTTGCATGCATCGGCAGGCACTATACTATCTCATAATGGTGTGTGTATTCCCTCTTGGGAGATAGATGCATGCTCTATTCTGCAGGAGGACCCTTACTTCACTTACATCATCATCATACCCTCTTTTTTCTTACCTCCTTGCTGTTGGCTACTATTCAAGCCAGCGGTGTATCATGTAGATACCCTTTCTATTCTATTCACTTCTTAATTGGACATGTCTAATATATTCTCTTCTATTCCATTGGTTTCTTCTCAAAGACATACACAACACTTTCTATAAAGGATACATGCATGCATGCATGCATGCATGATACATAATCCCGCCCAACTCCTGATTTCTCAAAATAGACACAGTAAAGTACATAACCAGAGAAAAGTGATTAATGAATCCTCCACTCCAAAACATCCTTCCCCGCTAACGCCATCACCTCATAATACCCGCTACCATCCCTAACGACCTTATCAACTCTCAGCTCATCCACATCCACAGATACATTATCCAATAAGAACGACCAAGACGTGATCCTCTCCTCCGACGAAGGACAAGGATAAGAATGATGTTTCTCTTGCTGGTCTGTGTTCATAGCAGAATCAATATTCTTATCGCTGGTATGGTTGGTATACACGGATTCGCACTCCTCAATGCAGTACACGTATATCCCCCCTCCACCTCCCCCCTGGGAAGAAGAATCAGGTTCGTAAATGACTAGGAGCTTGTTGTCCGGAGAGATGGAGAGGATAGGGGTTGTGGAAGATGCGGTGGGGAGGTTGAGGGGGTTCCAGCGGGGGATTGTTGTCGCGGTTTGAGAGGACGGAGGTGTTGTTTTGTGATCGGTGCTGGAAGGAAGCGTGTGGTGCTGGCGAGAAGGTAGGAGGCGGGTGATAGTCACTTGTTGAGATGTGGGAGGGGAGGAGGAGATAGCGATGTGGCCGATACAGTAAGCGGCTGTGGGGCCTGATTGGAGGGATGCGGTGAAGTAGTGCGATGATGAGTATGATGATGAAGATGATGATGAGATCTGAGGTGTTGTTGTGGTCGGTTTGTAAGAAGAAGGAAGAAGGCGCAGGCCTCGAAATACGACTTTCTCTTCGCCTGCGCCTAGTGTCACGGCCATGGAGGCGGAGTCGAGGTGGATGTGGTGGATGTTTTCGCGCCAGTATTGGAGGTGTGATGCGTTATTGTGATGGGGGGAATATTTTAGGGCGGAGGGATTACCCAGATAGCGGACGCGATTCGGTTGAAAGGCTGTTGTATCTTGGTTGATTGCGACACGGAGGAGAATGTCGTCGTCGGTGAATTCGAGGGAGTCGATGACTCCGTCGGTTTCTTCGTAGCCTGCGCTCGGGGAGGCTGCGTGGATGACGTCGTGCTGGTCGAGGGAGTATTCTGCTGGGGAGGAAATGCCGTTGTCTTCGTCCGCGGAGAGGCTGTAAATTTGGAGGGTCTTGCCTAGGCCGACGGCGATGAGGTGGCCTTGTGAGGAGATGGCAATGCAGCGTTTGCCGTAGCGCGGGTTGAGCGCCATGCCGCTGCCAGTGCCGCCTCCGTCCATTAGGGCACGGTATACGGAGGTCCAGAGGGGGTAGAGTGTTGAGGCTAGGGTGTATTCCCAGGAGGACTGCTTGTTTGAGCGGGTGAAGATAGTTGCGCGTGCGCCTTTCAGGGTTGCCATTTTTAGACCATCTTGAGATGTCGCTAGAATTGTGGTAGGGGTGCAGTCTTCAGGTAGGGCACGTCTGGAGGCTGTTTTGTCGATGTGGGTCCGGTGGCCTAGTAGGTTCAGGCAAGCGATTTGGCAGAAGTATGCGTTCCATTCTTCGGTTGTAAGAGCATCGGCACGTGGTGGTATCGGCACGGGGAGTTCGGTCAAAGCGTTCCGGATGGTAGACGACATTGACGCTGCTTTGCGCCATGAGCAACATGCTGAGCGGGCAGCGACGTACGTCTCGATATCGACATGATCGAGGATACAGAGGATGAGCTCGATTGGGAGGTTCGCAGCCATGGATGAGTTGATTGCAGGCATTGTGTATGGCTACTCATATGTTCATCAGGTGATGATTGTCTGAGGGTAGGAGACTGTATATTGCTAGGAGGCTAGTGGGAGGTCGGTTTTATACGAAAGATGAATGAGTGACGACAAGTCATGTTCCTGGCAGACCAGGCCCAGGGCCGGTCACACGGAAAGGCGTGGATCGACATCCAGGGGCTGTGAGGGTCATCAGTGTGTAACGTCAACAAATGTCAGTCGACGAGAGAAGCAATTACTGGTGCAAAGTAGCGCCCCATTTTGGTGGATGCGCTGGGTGGTGTATACCGCTTGTGTCAAGAGACGGCATGCGAGAAAGCCAATTATAGACTCGGCAATAGCCCCATAGGTTGAGACGGGCCGAGCGGATCCTGGAAACCGAGATGGAATGCTAAGGATTCCTTGCTCTCGAACAACCTTAAAGGGCCGGCAATGACGGAGAGCAGCCCTGGATGCATCGCATCAGTGGCGTGATGCGATGCCGGTCTTCCATCGGATGATTCTCGGCGGTGGTCCTCCCGCAAAGAAAAGAAAAGGTACCGGTTGCACCGGATGAATATCCTGATTGATCTGTAGACTTCTCTTTCTTCCAGCTTCTTTTCAACCTGCGGATAACTCGAGTGGACACCTGTGTCACATTCAGATATCTAATCTTTCCGCTTAATTCTCGTATACCTAGAGCAGGCCCTTTCTGTAGGGCCGGTGACAAGTAATGTACAATATAGTGGTAGAATGCACCGAGCGGAATGATCTAAAAATCCCCAAAGCTTTGAGTGGAGAATGAGGAATTCCCCACCGCGCAGTACAACGTACTCGATACGGTGGGCGTCAACTGCCTACTGGCGCCAGCATTGTTAACGGCGTCATCACCTTCATTACTTAGGCTCCAGATCAGCCTAGTGCTCATGACACCGGAAAATGCTCGGTCGGCGTCAGAAGCCTGTCATACCATGCCGGGAATGTGATGTGCGGCAACGGCCTTTCATCATCTGGAAGCCTGACAGCTGGTGTGGAGCCACCCATCCTTGCTAAAACGGAATAAAGCCGGAGGCAAACTTGGACCTAACGCAAACCCAAAATAGACCTTCTGGTGAACTACCGGCTCAGAGCAAAATGTTCTTCTCCCGTTTATACAGATCCTTGAGGAGCTTGAGTTGGTTAACGCTCATACTCTGCCGGGGCAGGCTGTCGGGTAATTCGACTATAGCCTTCCTCATCAGCGCCAGTCCGATATGCCCGAAGAAACCAACAATTCTTTCGGCTGACGATTTCAGCATTGCCGAAAGCAGGGTGACATGAGTATCCTGGATCTCTGCCGGCGGGATATTCAGGATTTTATGCATGGTATACCAAAACATGGTGTTGGGGAAAGGGTTCTTGCGCGCGGTTTTGCCAAAATTGCGCAGGGTCAAGGCCGCATAACCCGCACCCAGAGCTGTCATTCGGTCGGCGTGGGCCTGTTCGCTGATGTACGGCCCGTCCGGTCCTTCGCGCCACCAACCCAGGGCACGTCGGCCACCCTCGGTCTTCTCATTGCCATGGAATCCCCACAGCGCTGGGCAAACAACACGGTACTTGGCCAATAGAATGTCCACCATGTGGCAGCCCTTGTAGATGAAGGCATCGGCGGAGAATATCTGGGCCGCGACGATCCCGACCGGCTCCGCATGGCCCAGGTTGATGGACGCCTCCGTAATGAGGGAAGAGATCATACACTTGGAGAAGATGTTCAGGGCGTAGATCAAAAGGGCAGGCACCTTGTTGTCATCGGAATTGGCAATATTCTCGGGCGGGAAAGCGATGAATTGGCGAACATCCACCGACGGTTCAGCAATCGAGGCGGCTTTCTCAAGCGTCGCGCGAATCTCTTGAAGCTGTTTGGCAGTTGACGAGGTTAGCTCGCTGCCTTCTTCTATTACTTGGGAAGCACAGCAAGACACTTACCTGGGCTTTGTTGGCTCCCTTGCCTTCACGTAGTTGTCCAACGCATTTCTTAATCGTTCGCCGCATATCGCCCATGTTTTGCTTGACAATGGCGTTTGTTTTCCCTTCATTTTTCAAGTACTGCCGGAACTTCTTGAGATGTTGGTGCAGTTCCACGTAGCGGGCCTGGACCTTGATTTCTTCCTCCGTAAGACGAGCGCCTCCGACCTGTCGCTGTCGCTCCGCCTGTGCCTTTTGCGCGGCTTCCGCTTGGCGTTGGGACGCCTCCTGCTCTGCCTTTTGTGTCTCTTCCTGGCGCTTGCGATTCTCTTCCTCTAGTCGCTCTCGTTCTTTCCGCTCCTGTTCTTCTTGCGCCGCCTTCTTTTTCCTCTCCGCCTCTTCCTCTGCCTTCTTCTTCGCCTCCTCGGCTGCTCTGCGCTCAGCCTCACGCCGTGCAGCCTCCTCCTGCTCTCGGCGTAGCTTCTCTGCCTTCTCTCGTTCTATGCGCTCCGCCTCTTTCCGTGCTTCTTCCTCTCTCCGACGGAGCTCCTCCTCTACCGCTCGTTGGTGTGCGCGCAACGTCTCTTCGGCCTCCACGAGTACCCGATCATGCAGAGCGGCAGCCTTGTCAAGGGCCGCATTGTGCTGGGCCTCAAGTTCGCTATCAATTCGGTCAAGGTTCTCATAGAAGGATCGGCGTTCGTAGACTTTGACCTTCTTCAACTCGGTGTTGTGCATGCGTAACTGTTCAAGGTCCCGCGCTAAATCCAGGACAAGTTGCCTGGAGGGGCTATCCATTTGGGAGGGGTAGCTCATGTGTCCCATTGTGATTGTTCAGAAAAGAGAGACCTGTTGAGGGAATGATGATATCGTCACAGCACGAAAGAGTGACGTTTTCGGGCTGGAAAAATGGCAGTCTTTGCCGCCGAGGTTTGCCGAATCTCCAAAAGCAACTTAATTCTTCCTACAGATCATCATTCGCATTGAGATGATCAGAGGTAATATGGCTTATGGTTGCCAATTGTAGCCGAGGGATTGACTTCACGAGTTGTTGAGAGTCGGAGTGGATGTAACCATATCCTATTTCGCATACGATTGAGAGCGAGTATCGTGAGTGTAGCTGGCGGCAAGCTAATGTCGCATCCCGTCGCAGGGGAAGAAAAGGTAAATCGAGTTTGAGTCACGTAGAATGATCGTTGTCTGTGCTGGCTCTGCAGGGTTGAGAGAAGGCTAGTTCAGCAATTCCGCGCTTCACACGCAAGGGAAATAGTTGCCATGGAATTCCGTACTCATTCACAGTGGAAAAGAATTAGGATAAATGCGGCAATACAAGCTCGCAGACTCCAAGAAGCACTGGCTAGATAAAAAAGACCCTAGGGAGTGTGATCAAACAAAAAAGGAAGCCGTCGGGTGCGGCAGCGAGGGATTGGACTAAGAGGAGCCTATCTGAAGACGATGGCTGGTATGCGATCTTCAAAACCGAGCCCGAACGTGTTTGCGGGAAGAACACGGCGGCCGGGGCTTAGTCATTCGGAAAGCTGTAGCTACGGTTGTGGCCTGAACAACTAGGCGCCTTCACGCCGAACCCCCCAATGGGCCGGAGAGAAGCAGCGCTTACCACATTTACGGTACAACGGGGGGGGGGCAGCAGCTACTGCACCAAACCGACCAGCTAAACATGGATCGCTCGGTCACCCGTTCCTCGGTCGGAGGGGAAAGCCTGGAGACCCGGACAAGCCCTTATTTTGCATCATCAACATCGTCATCATCAATTATCTTTCCATCACCACACTCATTACAAGGACAGACTTGGACAGGACCATCTGAGACATCGCTTAACTCGTTTTATCTATTTTCCCATTACTGACCGACATGTCAGTTCTCCTTAAACTTGGCCCTCAACGACTCCGTATTAATCTGTCTCTCACACCCCAATAGCTTTTCGGCCACCCTTTGATACACGGTCTCGACAAGAGCCCCGCCAAAAGCCGGCCGTGGATCCAATAGCGGGCCACTATTGGACCGGTCGCATCATCAGGGAGGGTATCGATACCATTTGCATACGTACGTATCATACCCTGCACCAACAGAGCCAGTATCTGCTGCTATCTCCATTGCCACCAGTGCCAGCTTCCTGCATATGGTAGATGTTGTGCACTTGCTTCCCGGATCGACTATGGACTTTTTGGAGCCACGACATACTTAGAATAGCATGCAGGTTGCCTTCGAACGCCAATAGGCAGGCCGGGTGGGGATCGCATAGCAGAAAGTTTCCATACATCGATCGTACACCAACATAGTAAGTTAGTTAGCTAGTAGTTAGTGGTCGTCGAGAGCTCCACGGCATCTTACCGCCTTCTACCTTTCTCCGGAGTTGATCTTCCAGCCAGCCGTTGACCACACAGTTCGTCATTGACAATGCCAAAAGAAGAGGGGTGATCTTCATTCATTAAGGTGAGGACATACCCAGGTCAGTTGCTTCTTCCGTACATCTGGAAACAGCTTACAGTAAGCGTCGGATTGATAAATGTGAGACAAAGCCTATTGAGGGAAGGTCTTGCAGTCGGACTGACAGGCTGGGAGCCAAGCTGCAATGAAATTCCCCCGAGCCAGACCCTGTTGGTCTCCAAGTATGGTAAGTTTGGTTTAGTGACAAGTTTAATGGACCATTCCCTCGGATTGCTTTTCGCCTTGAAGCTCCCCTGGGACGGGAAGTGTGTCATTCATAGGCGATGTGAATGATCGGGTCAGATTTGGGTAATATGTACTGTAGCGATGCAATAGCCGGGGGATACCTTTCAAGCGGCATTTATCTAGTCGGTCTGAAATTTTGTGCGTTTTTTCCCTGATGTTCTTCTGCTTCTCTCCCCACATCTCTAGTTAGTAGTTCACTACTAGGTAGGTTGCTGCTATATTATTGTTGTACTCGTCTTCGTATTGGCTGAATGTCTATTTTGCTTTGGGCCTACTAATTGTGAGTATTATATTAGGTATTGTTTTTTATTTTACTTTTCTGGGACTGAGTAAGTATTATTACCTTGCTACAAGCTAGTTACTACTGGATGCTTGCTGCACTGCTGCTCACCACTCTCACTGCTGCTGCTGCTGCCACTAATAGTAGACTAACTCAACTTCTGTCTCTTGTCTCTCTCTCTCTCTCTCTCTCTCTCCCTCCTCCTCCTCTTCCTCTTCCTCTTTACCTTCACCTCATCCTCTTTCTTCCTTCTTCCTTCCCCTCCCCTCTTCCCTTATCTCTTCTTCTTTCTTCACCATCCCTCTCCTTTGGATTAATCTTTCTCTCTAACCCCCCTCCCTCTTTCCTCTCATCGCTCCTGATCATTCCTTCAGGTCGACGATCACGCCTCCTTGTCTCAATCACTTGGCTTATCTGTCATTCTCTCTCTGTCAGATATCGCTTTGCCCTGGTGTGTCCTTTTTGGAACTACCACGTCCAAGAGAATCGTATCAGTAATTCTCTGGTGGGAGAAACTATTCTTGTGTTCTCCTTCCCGTTTTTTTCAGAATTAAGCGCCAACTCAATAAGCCTTTTTTTTCAATTCAGGACTGAGTTGCCCCCCCTTTTCTGCTACTGAGGAGACTCCGTTCTCTTCCGTACCATCAAATCCCACTTCGGCCAAAAAAAAGCCCACCCCCATCGTTGGAAAATTTGCAAATAAAGTCGAACCAAAAAAATTATTCTGTCTATACCTCTCGAGAAATTCTACCCGAAAAAAAAAATTGCAGAAGGGAATCGAAAGGTCCCTCCTTTGACTTGAAGCTTGGGGATTCTCCGCCGGTGGTCGCTTGACGAATGGCAGTTGGGGACGACCGACAGCTCCCATCCGCTTAGTACTCGGTGCTTCCCCCCCTCCTCCTCCCTCTTCCCTCCTAAACCTCAGCTTCCCCCCCGATTCGTCGAGCTTCATCCTCTCTTTCGGTCTCTGCTGTCTCCCGGAGACTGTCGCCAGATCCTCCCTCCGGTGTCCATTTATCGCAATTTTGCTTTCTGTTTGAATATATTGCTTTGGCTTCCTTGACTTGGGGTTCCTTATCCCCCATTCCTGTGAGACTTACCTTCGGTCACCGCTGTCTTTCGCCATATCAACGGGGATTTTCCCACTCCCCGTGCCAAAGAAGAAGTCCGACCGGATTATCTTCAAATCCCTTCCAGAGCTGGACGATCGTTTTTACTAAAGAAAGAGGTAAGAGCAATTGAAGATACATACCTTCCCATCCCCAATCTTCGTGGGTCTCCTGATCTGGGTCCCTCCCTATTGCCTCCCCGCCATTTGCCTCGCTTCCTTCCAATTTGTACCTTGGTTGATGTCACTTGTTGTATGGGGTAAATCGCAGCTTCCCTTGCCCACAACATTCCCCTCCCGCTCTCTTCCCGTAGCCACCCCCACGATGTCTTGAACCCCCCTCCCTTATCTTCCTTTTCGTTCTTGACCCCTCGCTACTTGCTTCTTGTCCTTTTCACCCTTACTGACCGATCGTTCTCCCTCAGTATACTGCAAGTTCACCTCTCGTTGTTTCAGACTGCCTCCGATCGGCCTTCCTATATCGCAACCCACGACGAGTGTGACTTCCGTCATTTCCAACATTCTCTACTCCCTCCGAAGCGGACCTTTTTGATCCCATACACTTGCCTGTATACCTAATACCCGTCGATCTTACGTCTGAAAAGATGGATCAGCAGGGTCAATCCGGGGTTCCCGGCCCCGCGGGGCGCAAGCTCCATATCGCCCACAGAAGAAGCCCGTCTGAACTGACCCCTCTCATGAGTAAGTGAATGCCGGCCCCATATCTGTGTAACATATCTTCTGTGAATCGATTACTGACGATGGTGGGAACAGTGGAGCAACTCGCTATTCAGCAACAGATTGAGCTTCTTCAACAGCAACAGCAGCAAATTGCAGCTACACATCAGCAGTACGTCAACATGGGATTGTTACAACCACAACAGCTTGGCCAGGTTTCGGCATTCTCGCCTTCTCTTCAAGGTGGTGCTTCCATGGGAGGCGTTTCCCCTCAGTTGAATGCATTCCAATTCCCACAAATCGCTCAACAGCAGCTTGGCGTGCCGATGAACACCTCAACCCAACACTCGCACCGGCGCAATCAGTCTGCCCTGCCCGGTCTCGGCATGGGTCCCCCTCCCGCCCCGTCCTCGGGAGCTTCGGGCTATACCGACTACAGCCAGCAGCAACAGGGTCACCAACCCAAGAATGAGAACGGCGGCCATGGGCGCGGACGAGGCGGTCCTCCCGGTGGTGGCCACCAGCGGCGTCACTCGCTTGCGCTTCCTGAAGCCAAGAAGGCCGCGGAACTGGCCCAGCAGAAGCGGACGGCCTCCGGCTTCCAGTTCCCCGCACCCAGTACCCCTGGCGACTCTGATACCACTCCGGGCGCTGACGATAAATCAACCCCTACCTCGCAGACCCCACAAGGCTTGGGCCTTCACCGAGCCGGTAACATTCGGGCGGGTGGTCATGGTCGCAGTCAATCCATGGCTGTGGGTGGAAACCGCGGTTCTTTGTCTGGTCGCGGTGCTGGCGGCTTCCAATTCCCTCAAGCTAGCGAAGGCGAGAATCAGCGTCGCGGCAGCCAACCGGGTCACGCACGGTCTTCGTCCAGAAACTTTGATGGTAATTGGCGGCAGCCCAACAACCAAAATCAGGGCCAGGATCAGCCCAAGAGCTTCGGTCAACAGAGCGGAGGTTTCCAGCCTGGCCACCGTGCCCGTGCATCAATGAACCAGTCCATTGGCTCCATTGGATCTTTCCAGTACCCGCAACAGCCCCAGCTCATTCAGCTGCCCCAAGGTCAGGTGGTCATGGCCCCACCACAGATGTTTGGCGGTGGTCAGCAACTCAACCCTCTCCAGCTTGCACAGCTTCAAGCCCTGCAGCAGAATGGACAGCTGAACGGCCAAGGTTTTGGTCTTCAAGCTAGTCAACATGCCCCGCCACAGCTGTCTGCCCAGCAGCAGCAACAACAGCAGCAGCAGCAGCGCAAGACCCTCTTCACTCCTTATTTGCCCCAGGCAAACCTGCCTGCGCTGCTGAGCAATGGCCAATTGGTTGCTGGTATTCTGCGCGTGAACAAGAAGAACCGTTCCGATGCCTACGTAACCACTCCAGACCTGGACGCAGATATTTTCATCTGTGGTAGCAAAGATCGTAACCGTGCCCTTGAAGGTGACTTTGTTGCCGTTGAGCTGCTGGATGTGGACGAAGTGTGGTCGCAGAAGAAAGAGAAGGAGGAGAAAAAGAAGCGCAAGGATATTACGGAGGCTCGTGCCGGCAGCAGTGCTGGGGGTGACAAGCTGTCTCGGTCTGACTCTGGCACCAACGGAGACCGTCAGGAGGTCGGACCGGATGGTAGCATTCGTCGCCGTGGCAGTCTTCGCCAGCGGCCCACCCAGAAGAAGAACGACGATGTCGAAGTCGAAGGTCAGAGCCTTCTCTTGGTTGAAGAAGACGAAATCAGTGACGAGCAGAAGCCACTGTATGCGGGCCACATCGTGGCTGTTATCGAGCGCATTGCGGGGCAGATGTTCTCGGGAACACTTGGTCTCCTCCGTCCCAGTAGCCAGGCGACGAAGGAGAAGCAGGAGGCCGAGCGGCTGGCCAGAGATGGTGGCCACGGCCGTCAGCAACAGGAACGCCAGCAGGACAAGCCTAAGATCGTGTGGTTCAAGCCTACTGACAAGCGTGTTCCTTTGATTGCTATCCCAACAGAGCAGGCTCCTCGGGATTTCGTTGAGAAGCACCAAGAGTACGCCAACCGCATCTTCGTTGCATGCATCAAGCGGTGGCCGATCACTTCCCTGCACCCCTTTGGTACTCTTGTCGAGCAGCTTGGAGAGATGGGCGACCTGAAGGTGGAGACTGAAGCCCTTCTTCGAGACAACAACTTCGGTTCTGATGAGTTCTCCGATGCCGTGCTCAAGAGCATTGGATGGGATGATTGGTCCGTTTCCAATGAGAACGAGGCTGTCCTGGCCACTCGTCGCGATTTCCGTCAGGAAACTACTTTCACCGTCAACCCCAGCGGTACCAAGGAACTTGACAATGCCTTCCATATCAAGCCTCTTGCCGATGGAAAGGTGGAAGTTGGTATTCACGTCACTGACATTGCCCACTTTGTCAAAGCCAACTCCCTGGTTGACCGTGAGGCCAAGAAGCGGGGAACTGCTGTCTATCTCATGAACCGCCTCGTGAACATGTTACCCACGCGTGTCTCCAATGAGCTTTGCGCTTTGCTCCCCGGCGAAGACCGCTTCACGGTTAGCGTTACGTTCAAAGCTAACCCCGAGACGGGTGCTATCGACGATGATGTCTGGATCGGTAAGTCGATCATCAAGAGCTCCGGTCGACTGAGCTATGATGAGGTCGATGCCGCAATTCAGGGCACCTCTGCCCTCGCTGTCCCTGGCATCACTGCCGACACTCTCAAAGCGTTGTACGCTGTCACGTCAAAGTTCAGAGAAGCAAGGCTCGGCAACCGGGTCTCTCGTATTCCTCCTCTTCGTCTGCTGTATCAGCTGGATGACGAAAATGTGCCCGTTGAGCACAACATCTTCCACTCTTCCCCTGTCCGGGAGCTTGTGGAAGAGCTTAGCTACAAGGCCAACTTCCTAGTAGCTCGCAAATTGGTCACTGCCTTGCCTGACAAGGCCTTCCTGCGTCGCCAGATGTCGCCAAACCCTCGTCGTCTCCACCTCTTTGTTGAGCGGATGAACAAGCTTGGCTACGGTCTGGATGCGACCAGCAGTGGAACTTTGCAGAGCAGTCTCTGCCAAGTCCAGGATGATGACTTGCGTAAGGTCAGTTTTGTTCTTATATCACAAGAGAAAGCTATTGTTTCGGTCTGCTAACAATAAGTGCAGGGTATGGAGACTATTCTGCACAAGGCTATGCAACGTGCGAAGTACTATGTGGCCGGCAGTGTACAGGATGATCAGCGTCAGCATTACACTTTGAACCTGCCAGTGTACACTCATTTCACCAATCCTTTCCGCCGCTACGCAGACATTGTCGTTCATCGCCAGCTGGAAGCCGTCCTGTCTGATGGTGTGGTTGAATTCTCTGATGACTTGGAGTCATTGACCAAGACCGCCGACCTCTGCAACAACAAGAAGGATTCCGCCCACAATGCTCAAGAACAGAGCGTTCACATTGAAGCATGCAGAAGCATGGACAAGGAGCGACAGGAAGTTGGTGGTGACCTCATTAGCGAGGGTATTGTGATCTGTGTATACGAGTCCGCCTTCGACGTTCTCATCCCAGAGTACGGCTTCGAAAAGCGGGTCCACTGCGATCAACTGCCCTTGAAGAAGGCCGAGTATCGCAAGGACACACGTGTGCTGGAACTCTACTGGGAGAAGGGCGTGCCGTCCTCGGCTTATGTTCCTGAGGATGAGCGGCCCAAGCCTGCGAACTCTCGTGCGGCTCAAGCTGCAGCTGCAGCACGTGAAGCAGAAGCTGCCAGAGAACGTGCCCGGGAGCGCGAAGAAGCTATGCGGAGACAGACGGATACCGGCACCATGTCCCATGACGACGTCAATGCTCTATTTGACGACGATGACGATGATGTTTCTGAAGTCACCGAGATGGCTGCAGGCGTGTCACTGAATTCGTCTGCTGACCGTTCGACTCAAAGCATGCCACCTTCGCCCACTCGCAATGGCCATCTTCAGCAGGCGCCTCACCGCACGCGTTCTGACCCGAAGATCGCAACGCTCAGTGGCGATGCTCCTGAAGCTAAACTGACAAACAAGGAGAAATACCTGCGGCTGTTCAAGCTCAGGGAAGAAGATGGAGAATACATCCAGGATGTCACCGAGATGACCCGTGTCCCTATCATCTTGAAGACCGACTTGAGCAAGAGTCCCCCGTAAGTGCTGTCTTCGTTTTTGTTGCGATTCATCATGACTCGTGCGGAAAGCTAACGTGTGCCTGCAGATGCCTCACTATTCGTTCTGTCAACCCCTACGCATTGTAGATGAGCCAGAAATATTCACTTCTTCGGATGTGTTCTATACGTTTGCGAAACAGATCTTGGTCTTTGCTTGGTGGACCATCAGGGTGGTAGTGTGATGGTGTGACCGCACGGCTCGATTGTATCAAACACTGCCTCAAGTGGTTCACGCATGCATAGTCGCCAACCTCTCATTCCTCTGCAGTAGTATGCTTTAATCGACTTAGCGTGTTGTCTTTTTTATCTTATAATTGCTGGAGGCCTTACAAGCCAAACGGTGGTTCTCTTGTTCCGAGTTGTTTTCAGATTAGTCCCGCGATATGGCCTCATGGAGGAAGAGCTCCAAATAACCAATTGTGGAGTATACCGGTCTTCTAGCAAGGCTTTCGGATTTAGGCACGAGCCATTTGGTGGCAGAGAAGATCAGGAGACCGGAGAGTGGATTGATGAGACGAGGTTCTTTATCAACTGCACGGAGGTGAAGTCGGATGCGAGGGTTGCCTCGGAAAATTTGTCTATTCATCCTAGATATTTGCATAGCTCATTACTACCAAGTTGTTTGATCATTTTTGGCACAGGCCAGTAGGTGATACGATGTAGTCCAATTAAGCATGAGACCATAATAGTACCGTCTTAGCATCGTAATTGATCCACATAGCTGCTGTCAGCTCCTATCAACTAAGACTGCTCAAGGCGGAGTGTGCCACCAAGTCCTATCGATCTCAACTAGTGAACAATAGCATACAAGGTAACAACCGCATGCCACGGAAATCCATAATCATAATTAATCGACAGACCCAAACCGAAGTAGAGAAGAGAATGACCATTGAAAGACCCTAAAACAACCAATGAGCAAGCATAATACCTACCAGCTACTACCTAAACATAACCGTGTGAGGTTGAAAATCGCTAAGATAATCTAGTATCTGTTCTATTTTCATTTTATCATAAGCTAGCCAGTCATACCTAGTGTTTTAACAAGGAAATAATTGATCGAAAGGGAAAAAATTGGAAACGTATTTATTGTACTGATCCATCCAATGCACGATCATTGGCCTTAATGTATGGTCATGCTATGTTTGAATATGGCTATGGCTATGCCTATGAAAGCAGCAAAGAAGTGTACGGTACATGCCGTGAGGATATGCAAAAGGGGGAGAAGCCATGCCGGGTAATCTAATCAATGTGATAGAAGAAAGAAGAAGGTATCCATTTCCTTCATTGAAGTTGTTTTCGTTGCACGTGATGACGCTGGAGGTTGTCTTGAATGAATCCAGTCAAGAAATGTAATGCATGTAGTATTTGTGTTCATGAGTGGTTGTGGCTATGTTCGTTTGGGTATTAAACGGTGGTAGTGGTATGGTATATGTAGTGAGGTAGCGGGAAGTGAATAGAAAGAGGGTATTGAGAAGATACAGGCGTGGGTATAAGTAACAGTGGTGGTGGTTATTAAGCTCAGAGTCTGCGAATGCCGATCCGAGGTTTGGCTTTCTTGCCATTCGACGACGAGACTTTGCGTGATCCAAAGATTGGTTTTGATAAGCCCGAGCCGGAGGAGACGGATCTCGATGCTGAGGGGGCAAGGATCGTTGGGGGATTGCTTGGATTAGACGTCCGGATGGCGGGGTCGGTATCTTTCAATCCGGCTAAGGCTCGGGGATTTTCCTTGCCGTCGCCGCTGGCTCGCCTGATGAAGCCTAGCTCGGCAGGATCGGGATCGTCTTCGAAGATCTGGACATCTTCGCGTATCCGGCCTGATGAGTTGATGCCTTTGTCGAGTACGGACAGCTTCGGGGACTTTCTCTGTGGGGAGTGGCCGCGTTCTGGGAGGTCACTAGGGTGGTTTGCTGCGATGTTCTTCTCGGATGCGGACATGCCGTCTATTGTTGTTTCTTCTGTGCCCATGGCGAAGGGATCGTCCACGTCCATGGGCATGGTTAGGACGGAAAGGGGGCGTTTCCCGAAAGCGTTCTTGCGGATGCTAGGTGGTGCGAGTCGGACTGGGGAAGGAGATAGGGAAGGGTCATTCTCTTTACTGGCGTTGGTAGATGTTTCTGATTCACTGTCGGAGACGGTCGTATCAAGGGTAAGGGTGTCATGAGGTTCCTCTGGTTGCTGTGCTTCTTGTTCAATAGGTGTGCTGGGCTGATGCGAATATGCTCGTGAGCTTGAGCTCTCTTCAGCGCTTCTCCGAGTAGTTCGCTTTTTCATAGTGACTGAGGCGATTCTGGCTCCCTTCCGTGGTCGTAGTGAGCGGGACGGTATTTGCTCTTCGGGGATGACTGTGTCGGCGTCTTCGCCTCTTGTTTTCGCCTCGGATACTGCTGACGCTAACTCTGATGGAACGGGAGAGTGGATGGAGGTCATTAGTTTCGCTTGGCGGGCGAATGCATCGTAGTTCTCTTGGAGAAGTGCGCCGGCTGCGGAATTCAGTGCGGAGTCTGGGTTGGGATATATGAGGAGGCAAGAGATTGTCTAAACAACATGTCAGATGAAGATCCGCAATCGTCGACTGTATATGGTAGGGATACATACAATCAAAACGTCCTTCAAGGTCAAGTTGGGCTTCCAGTCCCGCTTCAGTGTATCCACGCAGACCGCACCCGTCGATTCCTCCACATTCGGATGTCATATCCTTGTCCTGAATGTTGCCTTTGGTGGGCTCTTGGGGTAGTCCTCTGGCATCTTCAGGTGCAACCGCCATAAGCCCTGCGAGTATGGTGTACCCTGTGGCCCGGCCAGGAGAGTGGTGAGCTGTGTTAAGTCGTCCCCGGCAGAGGCATCGTCGGAGGGAAAGAGATAGTTGGGAGGAAGTTCTTCGTGCAACGCTGCATGGTCCGCTGCGAGACGTCGTAGAGATGATACCTGTAGGGGAAACACGAGGATGTCAGACGGTCGTCGCTCAATCGGGAAAAATTCAATTGGCATCAAATAGCAAGGTAACTTACCATACTGGCTAATTGACGTCGACCTCAAATTTGAGGCCGAAGGTGTTGCGTTGCTAGCAGAGGTTAGGTTCGTTTGGAACCAATTGTTGTGCCGTGGTCTGTTCGTCCAGCTGCCCCTGTCGATCTAGGCGAGTGACACGGACGAGAATCCCTTTGTGGACCGTGAGAGCTCGGCAGAACGATAGATGATTCGCAGCAAGGTGGATGATGATGGCTCGGTCCCGATCCGTTGCCCCCGACGGCCGCTTGTTGTTCTTTGTTTTGATGAGGTGAAGCGCTGGCGACTAGTCCACATCGGGTAAGGAAACAGCGCGCGTGGATCAGTCACGTGTATTCGCGTCTGAATTGCGCGTTTTAGGAAATGTAATGAGCTGCTTGCAGCATAGCCGCCCGATAACTAACTAACTAGTTAACTAGTTATAACGTATTGTTCACCACCATGCTGGAGCATCGAGAAAGGGCAGCAGATTTGAGCAGCGTGTTTAGCAGATGGGAACTGCCACTGTAGCCTGTCTGTTAGCTAAAGGAAACTGGCGGATCTGGCCCAACAAGGTAACAGGCAAGAAGAAGAGGCAAGGTCGGTTTTGAACCCGAAGCTAGGGGCAGAGGAAAACTAGCTTCGATCACCTCGTTGTATACAGCACCATCTCCCCAGGGCACTTTCAGTAATGCAATGCCTGTTGAAGCGTTCATCGTAGCCAAGCGCTTCACCTGATCCTGTGCCGCCTACATGGCCTTCCTACCCTGCTATATCTCCTATGTCGGGGAACTCGATCATCCAGATAACCACAAATCTAGTCCTATATCTTGATACCGTGACAGTAACCGCTTGCTCGTGCTTCTTTTATATAGTTCCACTTCCCTCTCTCACATCCTGAAAGACAGGCAGAGTACACCTAGAGTATACACCCGTCTTTGCTTTATCTGTAGCTACTATGAGTGATGTAACTTCGCAAGCCATTGTGGTATAGTTCCTTTTTAAGCTAAACAACCGTATACAACTATCTTTGGACCGTCTCATGGTAATAGTAGCACAGGACTATTCACCTGATTACATATTCGAGACTTCCACTATAAGCTAATGCTTCAAAGGTGAAAGGAATAGACACCAAGGTACCAAGGTCGCTGGGTGGCCTGAGGGCTTGGTTCCAGCAACTACGTGCAATGCATAATAGGTTCTAAGCATCTGAAAGTCCATCTTTCGAGGCCATGTTGGTCTATTGGAGCAGAAATAGAGGTCACTGAAGTTGAACGTGAGCCAAACTTCAGGCCCAGGAAGTGACTAATGAATGCTTCAGGGGTGCAGTAGTATGACAAAGCACGTGAGACTTACAATATGGAAACGCGGCCGTTTAGAGGCCTCGATAACGGTTGGTTTCGGAATGACATTTAGAATAGTTCCCTTCAGGGTGGCGCAAGACTTGTTGTCAATGCCTAGATCTGGGGTTAGTGGATAGGCTCAAGCCCTCACCATGAACGGTAGGTCCCATAATTGACGCTCTATGTCCGACTCAGGATCTGGGGTTTAACGTCTTAGGTCGATTGCTTGCTCTCCCTTCAGATTAAGCTCGCACTACTTCAGGCTTACAAGTGGTTGGATTTGAAATGAAAGGGGCAGTCTCGGCATTCCAGAAATCCCTGTGTAATGTGTGTATTTACCATGTCCTCATTAAACGATTAAAAATTACTAGAGAAATGAAATCTTATGTGCGCCGCAGTTATGAATCTCTGGTGAACACGCGGTGAACCTTTGAAAGGAAGATCCAAAACAGAATAAAAGCCTTCCCAGCAATGTTACATATGTCAGAAGAAGAAAATCCGCAGAACATCCATCCCCTTTGATTTCATAGCGCCTCTTTCTTGCGGCTTAGACTGGATGGAAGGTTCGATCACCATGGGTATCTGCTGTTCCCCACCAGAGTGGGGTGTGTGACGGTCGAGACTCGACTCCATCTAAGGGCAAGGAAGAGCACTTGCGCTCTTCATTTACAGAAAAGCGGCGAGGGCAGCACCAGCCACGACGGAAAGACCGACGGGGCCAGCGGTAGCGAGAGGGACACCAGCGCCAGAAGAGGTGCTGGAGCTGGAGCTGGAACCGCTCTTGGACGAAGAGTCACTGGTGGAGGTGGAAGAGTCGGAGCTGGAGGTCTTGGTGGAGGTCTTGGTGGAAGTGGAAGCAGAGGCGCTGGCCGACTTCGCGAAGGAAGAGGGAACACCGCTAGATCCAATGAGGACGCTGGAAGCACCAGCAGGCAGAGAGCCCTGAGTGGGGATCACAGGGGAAGAGGTGACAGCAGCGGAGGGCTGACCCTGGGGCTAGGGTTATGTTAGCAGGTTGTTCTCTGACATGAGGACCAACTATCAAAAGAATATTCTTACCACAGCAACGGAGGACTGAGCAGCGGCCAGAGCCGAGAAAGCGACGAGGAGGATGGAAGAACGCATCTTGCTAGCGAGTGATAATCGAGATCGGAGTGCTCGGTTGTAGATTGAAGAAGTGGATCGTGCGGAGGTGATCGGTAGACTAGCGAGTGTCTTTGATGAAGTGAAGAGGTGAAGCGAAAGTTGTTGAGGTTCGTGAAACGACCGTGGGGGATGCTTTATATCACTTGAGGAAGAAGGGAAAGGGACGCAGTGGTTGACAGGCGCAGGGGCATCCTTTAAATAGAGTAAAGCAGGGGGAGTGGAAAGAGAGGATTCGAGCCAAAAAATTATAAATTAGGAATAAAAAAATAATAATAAAATTAAGACAAAAAGCAATTGCAGGACAACAGGTGCCATTCATCCCTCTGCAATCCCCATCAGCCCTGTCTGCACACCTTTCACAACCTCCTCGTCTACACTCCTAGTGGCAATGGGAGGGAAAGGGATCCACCGGGCGAAGGGCAGCATCAGCAGCTCGGTCCGCGTCTCGCATTTTCTGGATGAGTCTGAGTCGCTGCCCGTGGCTGAGAGGGCGGGACGAGCCAGCGTCGAGCGTGCAGGGCGATGCTGGAAAGACCAGTGCCAAGGCGTACTGGAGAGTAAACAATCATCAGATGGCGCAACTCCAGTGCCCCAAGTCGGACTAATTGCAGGCAAAGACGGGCCACTAGTCCAGTTAGTCAGCATTCTGAATGGCCTCCTCCGCAAGAGGGTTGCGTATACCTCTGACTCTTTTTTGCTATTTTTGGGGAGGCCATCGGAACACAGCGTCAGCTGCCGCGATCCACTCCTGCTGCGGGCGCCCCGCCCAATGATGGTCGTGTCCTATAGATCTACACGCCTGGAGCCACCGCGGTTGGTTCGAATAATGTGAATGCAACCTGAGTTCAATCTGGCCCTTGACCAAAGCGGGAAAGAAGAAATTAATGGGGGTGGGAGAAACGCAAAGGAAAATAGAAGCCCAGTCTCTCAATTCCTCTCGTTCATCTGTTTTGAGTTTGATGGACCACTGATCAAATATCTATTAAGGGATATCTCCTGTGTTTGATTCTCATTCTAACCCTGTTTGAGAAGTTTCACGCCTAGACTTAAGAGAGCAAATGGTACAAAATATCTAGTCGAGTAAAACTATAGAGGGAAAAATAGACGTTAGACAGTCACAGCACCACTGAAGGGGCGGGCCTTCACCCTTCCCACTAAATCTTTAGATTACCGGAGTCACCCATCCTTAGGGCCGCTCTGGCATGCGCACCACCGGCCCGCATGGACCAGCCCAATTGGCAAATTGAGAAATTGAGAAGAAAAAAAAAAAAGGCAAAGAGACTATTCAAGTTTTAACGCACGAAGCATGCCTGCCACCGCATGAATGCCTTGTCCTATCCTGTCTTGTTCTTGCCCAGCCACGCATTCAAAGCTTGTCATACGAGGCAGTACATCCGACCAGTCTAGCCTTCCACGGCCGTCAGGCACGCCACTTCGAAGAAGAACAACAACAACAGCTGACGGGTTTTACCGACAAACAAGTTGGTGAGATGGCTTGTAGTAAAGATACTGTAGCAACGGCAATACTTAACCGATAACAAGCCTCCATTACTGCCAGATCCTGCTTGTCCACGTAACAAACCATCAAAAGACGCATCATCCATCCATCCCAATCTCACAATCGATACCTGACGTAAGATCATGACGAGCCCTTCGGCACCACCGCACAATAGAACGTGATTTGACCCCTGCATGGCTCGTCCATTAAGAACTTCTACACACCTTTCATTCTCGGCCGTCTTCCGGAGTACAGCCGATCCGGAAAAATAATTAACATCAACCATAAATAAGAGGCACAAGACTAGTTGGTAAATAGTATGGTTGACCTGCAAGATGCCAAGAGGGCAGTTGCTGTCTTGTCCTGTTCCTACATGAGCAAAGCGTACGTATGCAACCGATGCGAGGTGTGCATGGACCTGGGAAGTGTCGATCAATCCTTTCTTTATTATTATTTTCTTCCTTCCTTTTCTTTCTGTCTTTCCCCGGCCTTCCTCCATTTAAGACATGGCACTAGGCCAGACCAGTCTACCGTAAGGTACTGCGGTATCAGGGGTTTTAAATCTCCGGCTCTCAAGAGGGTCTGATACGGACATTTTACTTAATTACCACCCGCATGATGCAAGGGAAAAAGTGCCTCGCACACGTACTCCATACCTATCAACTGGGCAATAATAAACACTGAATTCATCCTCGACTCAACTTTACTTACCTCCCTCCCTCGTACAGGGATGAACATGACGCATGGCAGGCCACAAGGGTTAAGGAAGAAGGAAGGCTTCATTTACAGTAATATCTAGGCGAGGCTAAGAATTCCACCGGGCTTTCTCTCTCTAACCCTGCCAATGCTCAACAGCCCCTCTCTCCATCCCGCCCTTTTGTCTCAATCTTAACCCTCGGACGCCATCTCCATCTCCCCCGTTATTTCGGTCGAGATTGAGACCCTCCCATTGGTGGGGGCGCCACCAAATTGGGCACTGAATGAATACTATTTTATAATGAGAATCAATCAATAAGTAAATGGCGCCAGCCTTTGAACTGTGATGTCCTTTCGGTGAAGACTCACATACACGTTACATAACAGGGTCCATGGCCCGGAGTTTTCCTTTCTTTGTGGTCGCTAAATAGTGCCTGTCTCCCCCGTGAAGGCAGGGGAAAAGAAGCAAAAAGAGACCTATCGTTCTCGGTGTTACGGGGTAAGGCTGTAAGCGGTGGTTGGGTTACGTTGCTTTCCCTCATTATTGACTATTATTGCCCACCAATTCCCCCCGTCATCTAGACTACTAATTAGGCCCAGCCAGCAAAATGCTATTTAGAAAGGACTTGTCATCCTCATGCTTGCACCTATCGATGACCACTAATAGATCTTCGTATTCATACCCACTTGGAACATCCATCATCTCCATTTCCGTTATTACTTCCATGACCATTGGATAATGCGTCATTAACCACTATTGGATATTAGATCCAGACAAACCACTGTACGGAGTAGAGGTCTACGTTTACCCTCCATGTCACCGTGATATGTCTTACATTCAGGCCAGTCAGAAGGCCTGACCTTATGTGTGGTTGTGTTGTTATCCTGCCCTTTCTCCGTGTCTTGCTTTAGACGTGCGCTTGTTTCTCTTCCCAACTAATCAAACCATCAACTTACCCCACCACCTCTCCTCGTTTACGAACTGCTAAAAAAACAAGTAAAATGACCCCCTATTGGACATGTTTCTCACTTCCCGTCTTTAATGACTCTATTATCTGGTATAAGCCAAGACGGGCTGAAAGTTTGCGACACAGCGCCTTAAATAGAACCGGATGGAAAGTCCAAGATTGAGCACTGGAGTGTGTCAGGCAAGAGGGGGCCGAATTGCCTCACCACTTCCAGAATCATTATGAATGAGCAGATACTTACCCTCCCACTGCGACGGATGATTGACCTAACTATAAAATGCATGCGGAACATCATTCGCTGACTTACAATTCAATGATCTACTGACTCTTGCGTGGCCTTGCTCTCGTCACCTGCAGGACTAAAGCTGAACGGATGACTGAAATCAGAAAGTGAAGGCCGGTGACACCTACCACGAGTCCGAAGACTATTTACTGCTTTTACTCAATACCTACTTTGTCCACATCTACCAGACTGCACAACTACTTACCCTACCAGCAAGCAGCATCAACACAACATCAATTGTCGACGTTTGTCTACACCGATTACCCTACCCCATTGGTCTGCCGCGTCATCCCGCGCAAACTACTATATAAATCGGAAGGGGGAGAATTCTGCCACATCCAAGTCCGGACATAATTCCCGAAATCATTATTGATGACGATGCTCAACGCTCAAGAGATGACGATGTGGATGACAAGATCGATGGATGGACGCGTCGACATGTACGCGACTACTTGACACACATTTTTGACTTACATGCCATCGCGTGTGCAGCGCATCTTCTGAATGAATGCCTACACCATTTCACTCCATCCCATCACAGCCACTTTATCTTGGATTCCGGGGCTAAAACGGGCCGTTCGACGGATGGACAACATTCCAGTCAAGATGGCGGATAATGGTCCGCGGAAGCTGGGGACGCAAAGAACGTGTTAATCTTATTGAAGAATTCTATATGACAGGGTTGGATATGCTGGATGTCATGGATGGATTTGATGACGATATATGCGTTGCAGGTTGGTATTCCCGTGTTGAGGGAGCGTTTCTGGGCTATCCCACTTTCTTGCTCAAAGCGTAGAGAAATCCCGCAGGTAGGTAAGAGTGAAGAGGCTGATAACCTGGCCGTCACAGTCAAGGAAATTGACGTGTCCGTGGTAGGTATTGTGTAGACCTAAACCTGTTCATTTCCAGCATCTTCTCTGCCCCCGCCACTTTCGAGCGCTGCTCTGCGACAACTCGATTCGTTCAGCCAAAGATGCCTCAATGACTGACTGTACCATGCTCGCCCTTATACCGTCCCGATATTCCACACCTAGACTCAGTAGTAAGTCACCAAGCCAAACAAGCACAGGGTTTGATATCAAGCCTTGTAAACCCATAAACACCCATTTCAATATACACCTCCAATACCACAAGCAATTGTATCAATCAAATATCTTTTCATTTCGAACCCATCAATCAATCAGTTAGTCAAAACGTACATGTATAATACACCCATCCCACAACCAAATCCCAACCAACCAACCAACCAACCCAATCCCCTCCTTCACTCATTCCTTAATAGGAACCTCCCCCTTCATCCAATCCGCAAACTCCTTTCTCTTAGCCTACCAACACATCAGCATACACACACTTATCCCACAACCCCAATTCCACAAAATACTATCATGGAGAGGTAAAACTCACCCTAACATCCCAAAACCCATACCGCTCCTCCAACCTCAGATACGGATTCCTACCACCACCCTCGCGCTCAATCTGACCCGCCCATTCACTCCAACTAATCGGCTTGAGTTTTTCTGCGCCGAGGACAAGCCCGGCCGAGACGAGGACTAGTGATGCGAGGGCCTCGATGACAATGTCGAGCGGGAGAGCGGTGCCTGCTATGCTTGCTGTGTTGCTGTAAAGGAGGGTGTGTTCGTAGGCGGAGTAGCCTCTATATATTGATATGTATTTTGTTAGCTAGGGCAGTTCTTCTTCAATGTGATTGTGATTTGATCTGATATGGTGTGGTGTGGAGGGATCGATGTAGGTGGGTAAGGTGTTGCAACGTACGCATGGGCGAGCAGGACGAGGCCGAAGAATGTGATGATGCGGGAGAAGAATCCCATCTTTTTTCTCTTTCTTCTTTTTTTCCCTTTCTTTCGCGATATTCTGAGGGATCGGGAATGAATGAGTAACTAGAAGGGTCTTGGTGTTGGATGGGGGGCCCGTGGTTGAGATCGGCTCGCTGGTGATCTTGGAGTCTATCAGTAGCTTGCTTACCTAGTTGGTTAGTTAGCTAGCTGTATGTAATCTGCGTACTGGGTTCTACGGTAGACCAATTGTACCTCTTCTGCACTTGGCAAGGAATTCAGGTCCGGATCACCCACCCCGCCAAAGGCCCAACCAAGTTTTGATTGAATTGGGCAGCACCTCATTTGTTCAGTTCATCCCACTTGGTGTGATTATTTTGTGTGGGTTTGGTGGGATGGAACTACCAATCTACGATGTTATCGACTACATGTGCACCAGTAGTGTATTAATTGGGTATTTATTTTGGTTTTTGGTATTCGTTATGCCGAGGGGTGTCCCCAATCGGCTTGGGTTATTCAAGTTCATGACAGTATATTTCCGTGGGATAGCATCAAATAATCCATCATCACGCCATTTATCTTCATCATTAAACGTTCCGCTTACAGCTTCTGCATGGCAGCCTGTTGGGGTTTCATTAGCATCATCACGACGCCCTAGGTGTTCATCTTTACTTACAACATCGGTGGACTGGACGTGGTCCTCGTCCTCCTCGATCTGAGCCTGGAGCTCATCAAGGGAGACCTTCTCGTCCTCAACGACAAGGTTGATCTGGAGCTTCTTGATACCGTAACCGACGGCAACAAACTTGGAGGCACCCCAGACAAGACCGTCGATCTCAATGGCACGGACGTTGGCCTCCATAGTCTCAATGTCGGTCTCATCATCTGTAGCGAGTTAGAATCATACACAAGATCCAAAAATGGAAGATGGAACATACCCCAAGGCTTAACCTCAAGAGTCACGAGAGACTTGGCAACGGGCTTGGGCTTGGCCTCCTTCTTCTTCCTGTACTCAGCAAGACGAGCCTCACGCTCCTTGACGACCTCGGGGTCCTCCTCCTCCTCGTCGGAGCCGAAGAGGTCCATGTCGTCGTCGTCGTTGGCAGCCTTGGGGTTGGTGGGCAGCTCAGTGGACTCGGGGCCGTAGGCAGTGTAGGGCTTGGAGGCATCGCCGGGGAGAGTGGCGTGCTCAGCCTCGAAAGAGGCGATGTTCTTGTACCAGCGAGCAGCGTGGGGGTACTTCTCGGCGTCAGGGGCACCGGAGAAGGCCTTGAAGGTCACGACATCGGCCTGGGAAGGAGCATCGCTATATTCCAGTTAGCTTCATGCCACCATCATCGCTAGTGATTATATCCATGAACGACGGAAAACAAAAAGCAAAGAAGAATTTTTCCAAGTAATCAGAAACGCGATTGCTCGCAATTGTGTTTAATCTTGCAGCGGGGTCTTAAGCCGCCTCATAAACACGGACCAATTTCTTTTCATCATGCAAACAAGGAAGAATCTTTCACAAGGTACCAATGCTAAGGGGGGAGGGGGGGAAGGATCCCTAAAGGTGTGCCTTACCCAACAATGTAGCTCCTGGTAGCCAGGTAGTTGTTGGCAACTGAGGGGTACCATTAGTTACTGCTGAGAGCAGATTGGAAAGGGAAATGATAAAAAAGAGAGGGAAAATGTGAACATACGGGTGAGGCCGGCTTCGGAAGCGAGATCAGTGAAACCCATTGTGAATGTGTGTTTGGGGGATGTGTGTGGTGAGTAGAAGAAAAGAAGAAGAAAAGGAGGAATAAATAGGAGGGGAAAGGTGTTCTGAAGTATTTTTTCAGCGGAGGGTCCGAGTAGTGAAATTTTTCGGCGGCACCAAGTGAGCCCCTCATTCCGGCCGGTCATGTGACCCCACGGTGACGGAGCTAGCTGGCCCTCTTGGGGGAGCTTCCGCCACTCACCGTCCGCCGTGCGGTGGAGCCTTCGAGAAGCCTCGCGACGCCTGAGAGGCAATCGGCTGGCCGCCTGTCCCGGCGAGGTATATAGGTTTCCCCCAGCTATATCGGGAGCTCGACTGAAGATCTGCAGTGTTGTGCCATTTGTTTTCACACCCAACTGTGCATACGGTCGGTGTTTTGACCATGTCGTCAAGGTTACAACTCGCTCGGGGTCGGCTTCTCCGGCCATCCTCCCTACCGTCATCGAACCGCGTTCTTCAACCTTCTCAAGCATTGCGTCTACTTGCGCGCACCCGGATCGCGAATCTCGCCCGGCACCCGTCCGTCTTGCCTATACGCACTTATGCCAATGGCCGCCCTCATCCTCCCGGAGGCACACATCGCATGAACCTTGGTGGTGAACCAGAAAAGTCAGCCTTGGAACAGTTCGGTGTCGACCTTACAGCCAGGGCTAAGGCAGGCAAGCTGGACCCGGTCATTGGACGTGATGCCGAAATCCATCGCACCATTCAGGTTCTCTCCAGACGAACGAAAAACAACCCCGTTCTGATTGGAGCTGCGGGTACCGGAAAAACTGCGGTCTTGGAGGGTTTGGCACAGAGGATTGTTCAGGGAGACGTTCCAGAGAGCATCAAGGACAAACGTGTTATTGCGCTGGATCTGGGTTCTCTCATTGCTGGTGCTAAGTTCAGAGGTGATTTTGAAGAGCGGTTGAAATCTGTTCTTAAGGAGGTCGAGGATGCGCAAGGGGGTGTAATCCTCTTCATTGATGAGCTTCATACCTTACTTGGCTTGGGAAAGGCGGAAGGCAGTATCGACGCCAGCAACCTTCTGAAACCGGCTTTGTCTCGCGGTGAGCTGCAATGTTGCGGTGCCACGACTTTGAACGAGTACAGGTTGATTGAGAAGGACGTGGCTTTGGCTAGACGCTTCCAGCCTATCCAAGTCGGGGAGCCCTCGGTTGCTGCTACTATATCCATCTTGCGTGGTATCAAGAACAAGTATGAAGTGCACCATGGTGTCCGAATCACGGATGGTGCTTTGGTGGCGGCGGCAACTTACAGCAACCGGTACATCACGGATCGGTTCCTTCCCGATAAGGCGATTGATCTGGTAGACGAGGCGGCGTCCGCCTTGCGACTACAGCAAGAATCGAAGCCCGATGTGATCAGAGAGCTCGACCGCGATATTACCACCATCCAAATTGAGCTCGAGTCGCTTCGCAAGGAGACTGACGTCAGTAGCCGCGAAAGAAGAGATAAACTTCAGGAAGACCTGAAAGTCAAACAAGAAGAAGCGAGGAAATTGACTGAGGTATGGGAGAAGGAGAAAGCAGAAATCGAAGAACTCAAGCGTGCCAAAGAGGAGCTGGAGCGTGCTCGTTTCGAATTGGAGAAAGCTCAAAGAGAAGGAAATTTTGCAAAGGCTGGTGAACTGAGATATGCCACCATTCCGAGTCTCGAAGCCAAGCTGCCTAAAGAGGGCGAAGAGCAAGCCACAAAGGCCCAGACTAGTCTCATTCACGACTCCGTCACCGCTGATGACATTGGAAACGTGGTCTCTCGGACTACTGGCATCCCCGTCAACAAGCTAATGGCCGGTGAGGTGGAGAAACTCATCAAAATGGAAGACACCCTACGCAAATCCGTTCGTGGACAGGACGAGGCTCTCTCCGCAGTTGCAAATGCAGTCCGCATGCAAAGAGCAGGCCTTAGCGGAGAGAATCGACCCCTCGCCTCGTTCATGTTCCTTGGTCCTACGGGTGTTGGCAAGACAGAGCTCTGCAAGAAGATGGCTGAGTTCCTGTTCTCCACGGAGACAGCTGTTGTTCGGTTCGACATGAGCGAATTCCAAGAAAAGCACACTATCAGTCGTTTGATCGGCTCTCCAGCCGGCTATGTTGGATACGATGACGCCGGTCAACTTACAGAGGCCGTGAGGAGGAAGCCCTACGCAGTTCTGCTATTCGATGAATTTGAGAAGGCGCATCGCGACATCTCTGCTTTACTGTTGCAAGTCCTTGATGAGGGGTTCCTCACAGATTCTCAGGGCCATAAGGTTGACTTTAGGAATACTCTGATTGTTCTAACATCGAATCTTGGCGCCGACATTCTTGTAGGTGCCGATCCTTTGCACCCCTACAAGGAAGGTGGCGATAACGAGCTTTCGCCTGAAACCAAAAAGTCGGTTATGGATGTTGTACAGTCGGCCTATCCGCCAGAGTTCCTCAACCGTATCGACGAGTTTATTATTTTCAAGAGGCTGTCCCGCGACGCTCTGAGGGATATTGTTGATATCAGAGTGAAGGAGCTGCAATCACGTCTCGACGACCGCCGAATGACTCTTCAAGTTGACGACGAGATCAAAGACTGGCTTTGCGACAAGGGCTATGATCCTAAATACGGAGCTCGGCCCCTCAACCGCTTGATCGCCAAAGAAATCGGCAACAAGCTGGCTGATAAGATCATCCGCGGCGAAGTCACGTCTGGGCAAACCGCTCGTGTCACGTTCAATGCAGACAAGAGTGGACTTGCAGTAGCAGCAGAAGCCCCGGTGGCGACAGAAACTGAAAGCTCATAAAATGGTTTTCCTTGCTCATGTTGATCTCCTTATCTTTGGGTATTGGCGCTATTGTCTGGAAAAGGTGTTTAGATGATGACCTTGTATGACTTGATCTCTACTCTTACTCATTGTATCATAGCATAATCTCTATTGTATCATATGTGACGACTAAATTGTATATATATTTATGTATTGATCTCAATTACTATAGAATCTCCATTTCGTTGTTTTCCTCCGTGCTCTGATTCCCCGCGCTGTCACTTGATCTGGCTCAGTAATGCCGCTTTGAAGGCGTGTTCTTCCATATCACTCGGCTCATAGGACGCGCCTCTTAGCAGGCACTTCTCAATCTGACAACAACCATCCATGCGTTATGGAGCCACAAACGAAGAGAAAGCGTACGACATATCCCTCACACTTCGAGTCTTTCAATACCTGGTCCAACCATGACGACCGTCCCAAATCGAGGTTTTCAAGCAACTTGCCGCCCACTTCGCAAGAAACACTAAGAGCGAGAGCATCTACCTCCAACGATACTGAGCTTTATCGATCTGGAAGTGGTCTGTTTGAGCACGCCGTCGATGACGAACTTGAACAAGTTGTAGTGGCAGTGGATGTGAGAGATTCGGGTACCGTCGGCTGTTCCTATTATTCTGCGCTGGAAGAGAAGCTATACCTCCTAGGCGATCTACGCTATTCCACTAAGGAGATTATCGACAGTTGTTTGTCTGACCTTCCCCATTCCGTACTTCAGCGGCTAACGAGTTTGAAGTGGTCCTCCAGACGAAGCCTACAGTACTCTTGATATCTCCCCGTGTGGATCTAAACAACCTCCAAGAAAGACCGTGGTCTGAACGAAATAGCGGTTGGTGGAGCATACTTTGCTGTCTTTTTAAAATCGAACATATCTGATATTCGCAGATACTCTCTCCTATGTGCCCTACCAACTTGAAGTCCGTCCATCACAAGAATTCAACTTTTCCAACGCAAAAAACAGATTGATTGCCTTGGATTTATCCTCAAGACATGAGCATCGCATCAAGTTCTTAGTGCCACACAGTGGTTTGGTTGATGGTGAACAAATGGATGCCGAGAATCTGGACCTCACTTTGCAGGAAGGCAAGCTTTTGAATGTGTACGGTTCTGTCGATATGGAAAACACAGTGACAATTGGATGTGCCGGTGTCATCCTCGCTTATTTACAAAGGCGCCGGGCTTCCATGTCGATATCCAACGAAAGAGCCTTGGGAATCCTCAGAGTATCGTCTGTGGAAATGTTCGCTCTAACTGGAACTATGTAAGCCTTCGTCTTCCTAAAAACCGATAAACGACCTATTTACAACGGAGCAGGTTTGTCAACGGCAGAACCTTATTTTCGCTCCAAATTATGGAGTCCGAATCCCACCCCAGTATGGTGAATCATGGCCCAGGAAGGAAATCTACTTCATCAAAAGAAGGGCTATCGGTTTATGGCCTGTTCCAGCGCTTTGCATGTACACCCCAAGGAAGGAACCAACTGAAGCAGATGTTCCTTCGTCCGAGCGTGGAACTTGACGTTATCAACGAGCGGAATTCCTTCATTGGTGTGTATCTTAGGACTGACAATTTTAACCCTTTCGACAAAATGGTCAAAGGCTTGAAGCATATTAAGAACCTCCATTATGTGATGATTAACCTTCGAAAGGGCATCAGTACCGGAAGCGGGAAGATTATGGGATTCAAGGCGACTGTGTGGGCTACTTTGCTGGCCGTATGTCATAACATTCTGACTCTGGTGATGCTCGGCTAATATGGCATAAGTTTTCCTTTTATGGCATCGACATTTACGACGCTTTGCGAGAGACTTCTGGTGGGACTAATCTGGCTTTACATAGCAAGGTTCCAATCAATATCGCTGTTGCAAGAATCAGCTAACCATGTTGCAGGCGCTCCGTGCTTTTGAGGCAGCTCAACTGTACAAAGTCGGCAGAATGATACAAGAAACAGTATGCATAGCACTCATTCCCGATCTTAACCAATCCTGACTATAGAAGGTCGACATTGATAGCTCTGAGGAACAAGGCAGAACAGTTGTGAAGCCTGGAATAGACAGGGACTTAGATCGGATTAAAGACAGATATGACGGCCTGAACAGCCTTTTGAAGCAGGTTGCGATAGAGATAGCAACTACCATCCCCGAGAGTTACGATATAGATGTCAATGTCGTTTACTTCCCGCAACTCGGCTTCAACATTGCAATCCCACTGAATAATGCGCGAGACGCCGCTTACAGAGGCGCCGAAAATGAGTGGGAGCTTATGTTTTTCACAGAAAACAGAGCTTATTTAAAGGACTTCAGGATGAGGGAGATGGATGACAAATTAGGTGACATCTACGGGATAATCTGTGGTTTGTCTTCGGCTCTTAATGCACTTTTGTGGACAACGACCTGATAAGCTAATAGAGAGGGAGATTGAGATTGTTTACGACCTTGCACAAAGGGTACTTCAGTATGAAGAAGTCCTTTTGGAGGCGTCAGATATATGTGGGCAAATAGACAGGTAAAAGATAGGTCTGGACGATTGATGCAGTTATCTCACTTTGTGATAGTCTACTTGCAATGGCTCATGCAGCTAGCTCCTACAAGTTGGTGCGACCTAAGATGGTGCAAGAAGATGTTATCAAGATCAAGGGTGGCAGGTAAGACAGCTGGCGCGCACATGTGCCCAGAAAGCTAATTTAAAAGAAGACATATCCTACAAGAGCTGACAGTCTCGTCTTATGTGCCCAATGATACCTATCTAATTGGCAGAAGAACACAGAGAGAGTCGGTGGAACCAATCTGCACAACACTCAAGCCATACGAGAATGACTGTGAACCAAGCATGCTACTACTTACAGGACCGAATTACTCTGGGAAGAGCGTTTACATGAAGCAGGTGAGCTTCTACTCTGGCACCAATGAAAGCTAGCTGATGAGGTGCTATGCAGGTAGCTCTCATCATCTATCTAGCGCAGGTGGGAAGGTATGCAACACCTGGTCCAAGAAAATCAAAGCCATAATACTCAGCATAATAGCTTTGTCCCAGCTGAAAGCGCAGAACTTGGGATCATCGACAAAATCTTGGTCAAGTCAAACACTCAAGATAGCGTCTCCCAAGTAAGTTGGTGAGCCGTCTATCATACTAAAAATCTAACTTTTTGCACGCAACACAGATACAAAGTACCTTCATGAACGATCTGCAGCAGCTATCATTTGACCTGAAGCAGGTAACCGGCCATAGTCTGCTGTTGATAGATGAGTTCGGTAAAGGCACCAATGAGTATGGTTCGTATACCCACAACCTCGAATGTCTAGCCAGAAGCTGAAACTCTCAGATGGAATCGGACTGGCATGCGGAGTCCTCGAGAACCTACTAAACCGTGAAGATGCTCCCAAAGTCATAGCGGCAACGCATTTTCATGAGATTCTCGCAAACGGATACCTCAAACCCAGACCGCAGTTACAGCTCGGCCACATGGAAGTCCGAGTGCATGAAGAACCCGGTGAAGCTGAAGATCAAATTACTTATCTTTATAAGTATAGCGCCATTCTCTCACTGCACTTATAAGCAGGAAGTACTAAGAGACATGGCATAGTTTTCGCCTAGGACGAAGCGATCAAAGCTTTGGAACAATGTGCGTTCCTTTCCTCTACGGGAGAATCAAGAATCTAAGGACAATTTCTGACTGAACACGACGATACAGATGCGCTGCAATGAACGGAATCAGCCAGACTATCGTCGATCGAGCAAACGAAATTGCCGCACTATCTGCCCGTGGTGAAAATCTGATTGCCGCTTGCGCTGTGCTTTCGGCTCAAGAGACGCAGGCTCTGGAAGATGCAGTAGGATATATGCTATCTGTTTGCTTCTGGTCCTCTGTTGAGATTGCTAACGGGGTCTTGCTTGAAGGACAGATTAGCAAGAGAGTTCCTGTCGTTGGATCTGTCAGAGGCTTGTGATGTTACTAAGTTGGTGAGGGATAGGCTGGAGAAAATGTTCGATGGATCTGGTGCGGGTCCTTAACTGCCACGTTATATATTTTCACCCGTACAGATCATGATGCCGTGAAAGGTCGGAACCTCATGAGAGTCTGCCACACTGGCAACTACTACCACTACCACTAGCACCTGGACGGACTATCCGTCGCTTTCATGGTCTTTATAAGATTGTTCTATACTACTCGGTTACAATTACTGATGGAAGCTAAATCCAGCAAACCCAGGATTGATCAGTCAGACAAAAGTTTGTATCATCGAGTAGAAGATTATCTATATACACACAAAGACCCATTTTCGCACACATTGAACGCCAGTAATGTATGTCTCCAACTGTGCTACCGCAGTACCAAGAAACAGAACCAGAAGAACTAGAATCAGAGCTTAACACTCTTGACCACGTTCTTCTTGATACCCGTAAGTTCACCACCATATCCACCACGACCTTCACCACCCTTGTACACCTGGCGAATACTGCCGAGCTTCTTCTTCTTCTCCTCGTATCTCTTTCTCTTCTTGACACGAGGGTTGCGAGAGTCCTTGCTACGCTTAGGCGCAAGACCCTTGTTCTTCTCGATCTGGTAGGTGATAGCACGCTTGCCATCGGGGCCGACTTCCTCCTGGATCTCAACGTGGCCGCCTTCACGGGCCGCAGCAGCGTAGGCGTCAGCGCGCGCCTTCTTGTCGTCCTTGCGCTGCTTGCCGCGAGCCGCGACCATGTCGTAGTAGTCGTCATCGTCAGATCCTTCGTCGCCGCGGAGCTGCTTGGCGACCCGGTGGTCTTCCTCGTCACTGTCGCCGCCCAGCTGCTCGGAGTCCTTCAGTTTCTGTTTACCACGTCTCTCGGCTTCGGCATTCAGGCGGGCTTGGCGGTCCCTTAGACGCTCACGGTAAGGAAGATCTGCATCACCACCTGCGTCACGACCGGCTGCGTTACGCTTGTTGGCTTTCTGTGCGAGTTGAGATGTGTAGAAGCGGAGAGAACGCTTCTGCTTGGCCTTCTCTTCGGCTTCCTTGGCTGTGAGGGCGTCTTCGTCACCGAAGTCGGAGTCGTCGGCTTCCTTGCTCGATTTGGTCTTCTGGGCGGCTCGTTTCTTGCTCGATCCGGAAACGAGCTTCGATAGATCGGCCAGGTTGGCTTCGGTCTGTCGGAGTCGCTCTGCTCGCCGAGCCTCTGCCTCGGCTTGTGCTGCCTCGGCTGCGCGTTGTGCCTTGGATACCTTCTCTGTCTTCTTCTTGTTCTTCTTGGAAGTTTGCTCCTCCTTGCCCTTGCTCTTTTGCTTGGCCGTAGGTGCGTCGGACATGATTTCATCAACTTCGGAGTCATCCTCGGCTTCTGATGCCTCCGGCTCGGGTTCACTAAGGTTCTTGACGGTCTCCCAGAGTTTCCTGAACTTGACTAGGGATCCCATTATTGGGTGGGCTCGTAGCTGAGCAGGCGATAGCGGAGCAGGCTTGCCGGAGTCGTCGGTGGAAGAGGTCAGGAGCATAAAGTACATGCCGATCGTACCAAGGTAAGCAGACAGAGCGCGGAACTTGACAACTGCAACAGGTGCGGAATCCGGGGCATCTTCGGAGTCATCGTTGGCATTGAAGCTCCGAGCGGCCTTGGCGAGAGCCTGATGCGTGGACTGAAGGTCGGCAAAGTCTTTCGCTAGGGGTTCGAACTCGGGATATCTGGACTTGAGTATCTTCAACTTCTCCTCTTCGCTCATATCCTCCGTAATCTCCAGTTGTGGTAGAACCTCTGTCACCTCACCGCCATCCCCCGCATCCTTCTGGTCCTTGCCGGATTCAACCCATTCAGATTCGTCAAAGCCAAAGTCTTCCTCGTTGATGGCCTGCAGATGCTTCTGCTGAAGTCGCTTGGCTTCTTCCTCCTCCTCAAGAGCGTCTGCTTCCGTTTCGATCTGATCCGCACTGTAAAGGTCCTTCTTGGACGAACCCCAAGCGGCGATACCTTCCTCGTCGTCTTCAGATCCCGGACTGCCGCCGCGCTTCGACTTGGATTTTGACTGAATACCATCCATGTCATCCTCGTCGTAGTCGTCGCCTTCGTCAAGGTCTTCCTCATCATCGAGATCTAGATCGTCTTCATCGTCGTCGTCGTCCTCGTAACCCATGATCTCTTCGTCCGATGCCTGGAGAAGTTCCTCTAGAAGCATAAACCTGTTAGTTAAGCATACCCACAGCATGCGCTTTGTACAACAAACCTTCCTCAGCCACTCTCCGACGTCTCTTTGCTTCCGGCGCCTCTTCTAGTAGGATTTGGTCGCGACCAGTCTGGAACTCATCCTCCGAATCATCGAATCGCTCCTCGATGTGGAATTTGGACGGACCATGCTTGTCCGCCTTGGGGGCCGCAGGGCGACCGCCGGCCTTTCTTTTTTTACCCATGATAGACTGTGTATGAGGGGATGAGAGAGAGAATTGCTAGTCCGGACTAAATCCTCCGCAGCGAATCGATAAACTTTCGCAATAAAAATTTGGGAGGGACACTCTCACCGCCCGGCAGACACTAGCCTCAGTTGGGTGTTTGCACCGTTTGGCGGGTCTCATGTTCCGCGGAGGATCACACCTTCCTATCTGGAACTGTTCCTATCATCTTTCCCAAAAAGCAACAAGATCCCGATTCATTCTCTCTCAATCGGCCATTGTCCCCGAACAGGAAGCTTCGAACAGCCCCAGACATCTTCTTCCTTTCTCTCCCCCCAATCTCACTTCTCTTTCTTTCCTATGCATTCTCTGATACCCACCATCTTTTACGACTCTTCCCCGACGACGCTGGGAATTTATACCATTCTTTGCGGACTATTCCTATACTCTGCTAGCAAAATGTTCGGCTTTGGTCGTAATCAGTTCGTCGTTCAGGGCAGGGTATGTTTCCATCGTCGCCTCCCATGTGTTGCCCTTAGCATGGTTGGCTAACCTCTTCTTTAGACCGTCGTTATCACGGGCGGTTCGGAGGGGATGGGCAAGGCCGTGGCTTGCCAGCTTGCAGAGAAGGGTGCAAATGTTGTGCTTGTCGCACGCACGGAGTCGAAGCTCCAGGATGCCCTCGAGGCTGTCAAGGTAAGTAGAGCCTCGGTTTTTTTGGAAGAATCTCAGCTAACTCTCAATTCTCTTGAAGGGTACGGCGGCTGAAGCCGACCGGCAGAGATTCCACTACATCTGTGCGGATCTGACCAATGCTGCGGAGTGTGACCGTGTCATGGCCGAAGTCACCGAATGGAACCACGGACAATCTCCCGATATCGTATGGTGCTGCGCAGGATACTGCAGCCCCGGCTTCTTTGCCGAGACCCCCGTCCAGACATTGAGGGACCAAATGGATACGGTGTACTGGACAGCTGCCAACACTGCTCATGCCATCCTGAGACGGTGGCTAGTACCTATTAGCCCCAGCCAGCAGATGCCACTACCTCCCAGACACCTTATCTTCACATGCTCTACCCTCGCATTTGTGCCCATTGCTGGTTATGCTCCTTACTCGCCAGCCAAAGCCGCGATCCGCTCATTGTCTGATACTCTCAGCCAAGAAATTGAGATGTACAACGGTTCTCGCGCCGACAAGTGCCGCTCGGAGGCTCCAGCCACGGACGTGAAGATCCATACAGTCTTCCCCATGGGCATTCTCAGCCCTGGATTCGACAACGAACAGAAGCTCAAGCCGGAGCTTACTAAGAAGCTGGAGGCTGCTGACAAGCCACAGACTCCGAGGGAGGTTGCAAACATTGCGATCAAGGCCCTGGAGAGGGGCGAGTACATGATCACCACGATGTTCGTTGGCGATGTGATGAAGGGATCAGCGCTCGGAGGCAGCCAACGGAATTCATTCATTAAGGATACTTTCACTGGCTGGCTCAGCAACTTGTTGTTCCTGCATGTCAGCCCCGATCTCAGGAGGCAGGCCTGGAGCTGGGGTGAGAAGCACGGCGTCCCATCTCGCCCGAGAGAGTAATCAATGGGGGTCTTCTATGCTTTGTGTGCCGTCGTTTGGTGTATGCGTTAGATACCCTGAGCGTGTCCTCTCTTTATCCTTATGGCCATTATTATGTTCGCTGGAGTATCATGTACTGAAAAATTCCGATTGATCATTATTTCAAGGTCACCATTGTTCCACTGTCTTCATGTTTTAGCTTGAAGGCCAGATTCCATAGGCTATACTGTAACTAGGAGCTCGGTGCAGGGATTCGAAGCGTCTCTACACGGAGAGGCGCTGTCCAATAGGGATGCAGTAGAAACCGAACGATGCCTTTGAGGCTGCTGGCAAGATTGAAACCTCCAACGAATGTTTGGATGGCACCTTTGTTCGCGGCCGAAAATAGCCGCGGAGTCGACAAAGCGAGGCTCCAGTTTAGGGCTAGTGGGTCGTGACGTTGGGCGGCTGCTGCAGGCACTTTGCTGTTCCATTGTTCCTGCGGCTGTCTTTCACCTCGACAGCCACAAAACTCTCTTCTGCTTTGCGCCCTTGTCCATAGTTTTCACTATATAAGATGCGCTTGCGAAAGCATGCAAGGTGACACTAAATATTGTGATCCCGCTACCGAATCGTTACATTTCAGAACCCTCAACACCTTCCGATCGCCGTCGACATCATGAACCGGGTCTTGGCTCTCCCAGCTCTGTTCTTTTGCCTCTTCACCTACACCCCCTCCTACACCACCTTCAACTTGATCTTCTTTTACATGACATGGACAACTCTCATCCTGTCGCATTCCCCTTTTAAGGTAGAACTGTTCGGCTCCATAGGCGTACGACTGCTGTTCTACATCCTCCCCTCGGCGCTGCTTTTCCTATTCGATGCGCTTGTCCCCTCCGCCGCCGTACTGCTCAAGGCGCATGGTGAACAGGGCCTACCGACAGGAAGCAAGAGACGAGGAGTTCGAGTTCGAGAGATTAAAGTCGCAGGATGGTCATTCCTCAACATTTTCATAAGCATCGCCGTGCAAGCTGCCATCGAAACTCTTCGCATCGGGTATTTCAATACGCGCAGTGCCCTCAAAGTATCCTTTACGATCCCTATCATACCTTGGAACATTGCCTTTCATCTCGCGTGTGTCCTACTACTCCGAGAGGTAAGTCCTATTTCGAAATGCCCACACTTCCCAGTGTTGGCGATCACCCGTAACAACACTCACTAATCACGCGCGCGCACAACTTCCAGATCCTCGCATACACCATCCACCGCTTCGTCCTCCATAATGACAAATACCGCATCACGCGCTACATCTCCTCCCTCCACCAAACCTGGTACCACTCGCTTCACGCGCCCTACCCTTCCACCGCCCACTACGACCACCCTATTCCCTACCTCCTCGGAAATACCGTCCCCACATTACTCCCCGCTGTATTCCTCCGCCTCCACATGATCACCTACGCCATGTACTTGAGCATTGTCTCGCTGGAAGAGACTCTAGCATACTCGGGATACTCTGCCATGCCGATGGACTTCTTCCTCTTGGGCGGGATCGCTCGTCGAGTCGAGAAGCATCTGCTGAATCGCGCGGCCGGGAATTTCGGCCCCTGGGGTATTGCGGACTGGTTCTGTCAGACTACGATTGGGGATGAAGAGGGTGAGGTGCTGATAGCGGACACAGAGGATGATGAGGATGAGCCTACACCTGTTCTTAGGGGGAAGGAGATCTTTGAGGCCAAGGTGCAGGAGGCGTTGGATTCGCATGCTAAGAAGACGCAGAGGAAGCATAAGAAAAAGTTGAAGCAGAACTTGTGAGTTGGTTTGGTGGGGAAATATATATTTCGTTGATATGTATATCGATGGTGTGTGGGGTTGGTTGGTTAGTTAGTATGTGTTTATGGGTCTTGTATCTTATGATGTGATGCTATTTCTGATGTTATGTACGCGCAATGGGTGATATAGACTGGCAGGGAGTTTGGTTCGACATGGTTGGGTTGGGTTGGACTTGGTCTGGTGTTTTATAGATGAGCTGCTTTCTATCCATTACTATTTTCTAAATGTTATCGTTATCAGTGTGAAATGTGAATAAGCATGTGGGGCTGGGGTCGAAATCGGAATCCCGGCAATGTCTTTGCCAAAAGCAGATAAGTAGTAGATAGTCGATACACACACAAATACTATGCCATCATACATCGTGGATATGAATGATCAACTACAACTTGATCTACCGCAGAGGAACAGTAGTGGATCGTTGATATAGTAAAATGCCCAATTCTTTTGATATTTTCCGCCCGAACCTGATATTGAAAGAAATTGGAATAGTCGTAGTGAACAGAGTGTAGTAACATAAAATTGAACAGCTGGAAATGGTATTCTTCTTTTTTTCTTTTTCATTTCGGCTCAAAGTTATCGACTGCAAGAAGGGGGTGTGAAACGGCCAGAATTGCTGGAGGAAGACAGTTCAGTTTTGAGGGAGATCAAGTATGAAATAACAACCGGTTTTTCCTTTCCTTTTTTAACCTCGGCATTAAAAAAACCGCAATCCTAAGCAAACATGAGGCTCGAATCGAGTTACATATACTTCATGAGCTGTTTCCTCCTGCGACCCCCCTTTCCTTTCGCAAGTGCCGGTTGTGGAGTTCGACCAGTTGCTTGCAAAAGATTGAAAGGGGGTTCTAGCCGCCGCCCCTCGCAGGACTCCTCCACAATAACTACCGAACCCGCGGCCGCCGCGTCACACATCTACCACTTCATCTCGTGGGGCTTGTCGCCGTTGCGGAGGCTGAAGGTGCTGGCCAGGTAGCTTCCGAGGAAAGCCTCCTTCTTGACGGAGGCGAGGATGGACTGGTCAACGGCCTTCTGGTCGCTAGCGCGGGCGCTGGCAACAACCTTCTTCTGTTGATGGAGAAAAAACGCTACATCAGTATCATCCGGCCACTTCCGCAAAAGTCGGACTCTTCTCGAAGGAAGAGCCCAACCACGGGTGTGTATGTGCACATACCTGGGGCTTCTCTCCCTGCTTGAAGAAAGCCTCCTCGGTCTTCTTCTCAGCCTTCTTCTCCTTGGTGAAGTAGTCGGCAGCGGAGACCTTCTCGATGGTCTGGGCGTCAACACCGCTGATGTCGATACGGGTGCTGGTGGCGATCACGTAACGAGCGTTGACACGGCGGAGGGGAACACCGTTGATCTTGAAGGGACCGGTGACGAGGAGAACACCCTGCTCGAGGTGCTTGAGGAGAACGACACGCTTTCCACGGAAGCGGCCGGCGAGGAGGATCAGAACGGTACCGGGCTGGAGGCTCTCGCGGACCTTAGCGGGACGGATAGCCTTGCGGACCTATATGTATATAAAATAACCATGTCAGAATGCCTGTTCCAATTCCTTCTTGTCCATTTCGAATTCCGGGGCCCCAATTTCTCCAAGATGCGATTTCCTTATCAACTCATGCGGTATAGAGCACTGGCCCTGAATCTTTGATTTTCCCCCAAACCTCCAGCTTTTTTATACAGGAGGTTCAATCTTTCCCAATGACCAGCGCAAACCCGTCGCATTTGTTCATAACGAAACCGCATCCGTTTCCACCTCATTTTCTGGCTCTTGCACGGGGTGTGGTACTGACTTTCTTGGGCTGCGACTCGTCATCAACGGGGTACCATTTCTGGGCCTTCTGGGCCGGGTGAGGGACGGTCCTCTGGCCCTTTCCAAACTGCTTCGTCTGGCCAACAGTAGAGTCCGACATATTGGCTGCTGGGGACGAAGGTGGTCTGAAAAGAATGTAGGGGGAGGGTGGTGGTTGTCGACGGCGGGTGGTTGTTGGAGTTGATGTGTGACTTGCTACTTGCGCCCCAGGACGGGAAAGTGTGAGTTTGTGTGGACGCGAGCCCTAGCCGAAAGGCGCTAGTGCCGATTCGGCGCCCCTTGATAGCGATAGCCCGATAACCGCTGCTTTGGTGGCCTCAGGCAGAAAACGTGTCTTTTTTGCCGTCCGCCTTTCCGGTCACCCGTAGATACCAGTCCCGCAGAAACCCAAGCTCCCTCCATTCTTCATCACGTTACTTGCCCGACTTGTTTGCGGGCGACGAACTGACGTACATTACTGCTTCAGCTTCTTCTTCCGTCAGTCCACAACCTACACTGTCTTTGCCGCATCGTTAGTGTGCGCCTATCATCAAACTTCTAGCCTAGAGAATTTGTGTATATTTTCAAATCTTTTTTTTTGCTACCTTCCATTAGCCTACACCAGAATACACCATGTCTATAGCTCCGATTATTACCTTCAAAGCGGGTATCTGTGACCTCGAGGTTAGTTGGATATGAAGCTTTCCCCCACCCGCCACTGTCAACACGTTACTCACCACATTTGTTTGTTTTTTGATAGACGTCCGGTGAAACCTCCGTCGTCAAGCCCAAGCCCACCCCCGGTTACATCTACCTCTACTCCGAAGATGAGCTGGTACACTTTTGCTGGCGCCCCAGATCTGCTCCCCACACGGAACCCGAGCTCGACCTGGTAATGGTTCCCTCCGATGGATGCTTTGTGCCTTACAAGCCTGTCGACTCTACAGCACCTACCAATGGCCGTATCTACGTCTTGAAGTTCTCCTCCAGCTCCCAACGGTACCTCTTCTGGCTGCAGTCCAAGACTCAGCACGAGGACGGAAACCCGAGCTGGTTCAGCCAAAGAGATCTTAAGCTAGGAGAGATTGTCAACGGACTACTTCAGGGTGAAGATGTTGATGTAGAACATGAGATCGCCAACCTTCCTCGAGGTGGTCCTTCGGGCGGCGATGACGACGAGACTATGGAAGATGTTGAAGGCGTGGACCATGACCCGAACCACAACCACGGAGGAAACAGCGGAGGAGCAGGCCCGGATGCGACTGGCGGTGATGTTCGGGCGGAAGGCCAAGGATCGAGGGAGGGTGGTGCCGATGGTGGAAGAGCGTAGGTACATATCTCGACAGTTTTATTTGTCTCTAGTCTTGAACTTTACTAGCCGGGATATTCAATATGCTCGGATATTTTGGTCACGATTATAGGCGTTCCTTTCCATGAATTCAAGCTAACCAGCATCATTTGGCTCACAGGGCCGCCGCTGACTCGGATCCTTCATCTGTCGTGCAGAGCTTCCTGCAGTCGTTGCATGGGGGCTCACGGCAATCCCAAGACCCCGAGAGACCTTTCACTACTCTGCAAGATCTACTTACAACCTCGACTACATTGCCTTTCCTGGAATCTGCGGACGAAAAAGCGGTTGACAATCTCCTGAGCTTCCTGCCACCATCGCTGCTTCTCCTGGCACAGGACAATGATCTCGACGAAGCCGCGGCAGCTGATCAGGACCCGGACATTGCTCAAGCCGCCCTGGGATCCCTCGAACTGACGCAAAAGAAAGAGATTCTGCGCAAAGTTCTACACTCACCTCAATTTGCGCAGAGTCTAGCAAGCTTGACGATGGCCATTAGGGATGGTGGATTACCGAGCATCAGCGAGGCCCTAAAAATTCCGGTTGCAAATGGAGGATTCATGCGTAGAGGGGGAGTTCCATTGGGTGGTGGTGATGCTGTTGAAGCATTCCTTCAAGGCGTTCGGGATCATGTTAAGGATTCGGCTCAAGGAAACCGTATGGACACCGATTGATTGGTTCCAAATAGCAATGATTGTGTTATGTTGACAGGGTCCTTTTTTTAACTTTCTTATCTCTTTTTTACTATTATTATCTTCAGCCAGCCATTCTGTAACTATCCACTGATGTTTTAGAAATCCATTAGCGGCCTTGCATGGATGTCTCATTCCCTCCTTAGCAGAGAGAGACTTGTCATGGGTTATTTTTGGCATGAGGTGGGTGGGGTAAAAAGGCCAGTGGCCAGTACTAGGCAGCATGATAATACTGGTAATCTTAATACCGTTAATAATAATGTGTCTTGGTTGTGGCGTATGGCGGACTCCGCCCGTTAATCTCAAACAGAATCAAGAATTAAAAAAGAAAAAAGTAGGGGAAAAAAGTTTCCGACTCGATGATCTCTTCCTCCACCATGGAAAAAAAGAGGTGGGACAGGTATCAAAGGCATTGCCGTATCGGGAGTAGACATAAGTGATCCTGTCAGGGACCAAAGCAAGTCAAATCAGTCCGTACTAAGATACATCATGGGGAGGGGGCACGCATATTCCCCTCCCGGGCGCAGCAGGGGGAAAATCCCAGCTTCAGACCCCGTTCCATCCCAGAGCCATCCATATCCACCCTCAATTATTGGCCGTGTGTCGAACGAACTCGACCCGGACCATTCATAAGGCTCGGACGTTTAGCAATCACTGGGCCAGAGAGCCTGGCCAATGGGCCATACAGAAGCCGCCGCTGCCGAATCCGCCCCAGTTTTGGCCGCTTTGGCGCCGTCCAGCCAAAGCTCCGCTGCGCATACCGAGCAATAATAATCATCACTGTGATCTGGAAGTCGACACGTTTGGGTTCCTTTCCCCATCATGCCCGCTGCTTCTTGACGGCTGCCTGGCTTGATTGGATCCTTGCCCACGTTTCCGCACGGGGTGCCACCGCTAACTTAACCAGAGTTCGTCAGCCCTTTCGTACTACTTTAACTTACTTAGGGAGTCTGTCCCATATTTTCCCCAGCGCGCTTTTACTTTGCCTCGGTCGTCAACGCTCCCCAGGGCCCTTCTGATCATCTCTTTTTCTTCTGGAACAGCCTGCGATGTCTGCCTTCGGTTAGCACTCTGACGACTGCCCACCATGGCTTCAAGTAGCCATGACCGCGGCCCCGACGACGATAACTTCCACATCGATCACTCAATCCCCTTGCAGGATCTCTCATCGCCAGACCATGAACGTGGAGGCCCAGGTGGTGTTGCGACAAGGCTGGGCCGATCTTTGACCGGTAGGGGTCGGACAGGGAGAAACTATGAGCGCATAGCGGTGGATTCACCCGTTGAAACGGCCAATGCGGCGGGCAATGCGCGCCCGCATCCTCACATTTCCCATGAAGAAGATGAAGAAGCAATCGAAGATCCGGAGGCGTTTGCTCAAGCAACTTCGTTCGGTCTCAGCTTTGATCCCTCGCCCAGTACCTCTCTTGCCCCGACGCATAGTCGAGCACCCTCCAGCGTCGACCTAGATACCGTGCCGCTCGACGGAGCCGAACACTACCTCGCCCACATCGACACCTACAATGACACCGCACGATTGACGGAAACCCAAAACGTCCAGCCCATAAGCGGAGCATCCGGCTCAGACAATGAACATCAGAACGATCGGGGCGGCACAAGATCGGTTCAATTCCCTGCTACCGGCCATTCGGGGTCACGATTGGGTGATGATCTACACAATCTGGAGGATGGTTTCGTGGGGAGATCCCGCGGGGGAAGCAATGCAGCGGACAGGTCGCGATCGCTGTCCCCCTCGGCCTCGGGATCTGCCTTGTTGCGGGCCAGTTCTATGATGAAGTCCATGTCCCAGCGTATTGTTAACCTTAGTAACGAACCAGAAGTGGTAGAGCAATCAATCCTCAGGGAGGAATCGCATAAGAATGCGCGAATGGAAGAGCCCCCAGTACTTCCATCTTTGCCGGACTATGCGCATGATGCGCCGTCTACCACTTCATTGAACAGTTCAGCTCCTAGAGAGAAACTGCCCTCGAGCAATAAGGCATGGCGCGGTATTAGCAATCCTTTGAGAGGGAAGTCGCTGGGTATCCTAGGCCCAGATAATGCTCTGCGGATGTGGTTGTGTGATATACTCGTCCACCCGTTCACAGAACCCTTTATTCTGATCGTGATCGTGGTCCAGACAATTTTGCTGACCATTGAATCTGCACGTTCTGTCTGGAAATATCCCCGCGCTGTCCGTTGGGGAGCCAATCCCATGGATTATCCCTACTTTGCCATCTTCATTATCTACACGCTCGAGATTATCGCCAAAATCCTTGTGTCAGGATTGATCATCAACCCTGCCGAATACAGCACCATAGACCGGTCGATGGGCTTCAGGAAGGCAGTGGTCGAGAAAGGGAAGAACCTGATCATACCACAGCGGCAATTCTCGGTGCGAAAGTCTGCCATGTCAGAACAACCCCAGGCCTCCATTATACGAACTTTTACGGGCGGCTTGAATCAGTTGGAGAATCAATTGGCCGATGACCCTCTTCAGAAAAGTCGCGTACGACTAGCTCATCGTGCATTCCTGCGACACTCATTCAATCGGCTCGATTTCGTCGCCTTAGTATCGTACTGGGTCTCCTTCTTCCTCTCGATATATGGAGTCGAAACTCGCCAGCAGCTCTATGTTTTCAGCATGTTGAGCTGTCTTCGAATTCTTCGTCTCTTGAATCTGACCAATGGTACTTCTGTAAGTAAACCGCCGAATACTCTTAGCCACGTCGTTCACTGACATCAGAGACAAGGTTATCCTCCGCAGTCTCAAGAAAGCAGCACCCTTGCTTGCGCACGTAGCGTTCCTTATCGGCTTCTTCTGGCTTCTGTTTGCTATCGTCGGCATCCAAAGCTTCAAGTCAAGCCTTCGGAGAACCTGTGTCTGGCTTGGCGTTGATGGTGAAAGCGATTACGCACAGAATGATCCAAATGGCTCTTTACAGTTTTGTGGAGGCTACCTCAATGCGACCACTAAACAACAAATGCCATGGATTCAGAAGGATAATACTCCGAGTTCGTCTTCTCCGAAAGGCTACATCTGTCCTGCAGGCTCTATTTGTCTTGAAGGAGACAATCCCTACAATGGGACGTTAAGTTTTGACAACATCGTGAATTCGCTGGAGCTTGTGTTTGTAATTATGAGCTCGAACACATTCACTGACCTACTCTACTATACTGCCGACAGTGACTATCTCGCTTCTTCTCTTTTCTTCATATGCGGGCTTCTCATATTGAGTTTGTGGATGGTCAATTTGTTGGTTGCAGTGATCACCCATGCTTTTCAGGTCATTCGAGAGGAAAGTCAGCGCAGTGCCTTTGCCGTTAAGAAGATAGACACGACTGAAAGAGAGGATTTGGCCTCTCGGAAGGTCAGTGCGATCAAGCGTCTTTATGACAAGACCGAATGGCTCTGGGTTTGCATCATCATTTTCGATCTTGTGGTCCAGGCTCTGAGGAGCGCTTCCATGAGCGACGATCGGGCCCAGTTTATTGACACCACAGAACTTGTTATGACTTTCGTATTCCTTTTCGAAATTATCCTACGATTTGCCTCGGATTGGCGCACCTTCCACAAAAAAACGCGGAATTGGGTCGATCTGGGCCTCGTCATAATAACGTGCATCATTCAGATCCCGGCGATCAAGCGTGAACGAGCATACGATGTCCTTACGCTCTTTCAAATTCTTCGAGTATATCGCGTCGTGCTCGCATTTAAGGTGACCAGGGACCTCATTATGGTTGTCTTTCGTAATGCAGTTGGTCTGCTGAACCTGATCTTCTTTGTCTTTCTGATTACCTTCCTTGCTTCCATTTTCGCAACTCAGCTCTTCCGTGGCCAGATTCCAGAGGAAGACGCAGACGGCGATACCATAATCATCACCTTTTCCGACATCTACAACTCTTTTCTCGGGATGTATCAAATCTTGTCAAGCGAAAATTGGACGGACATCTTGTATAACGCTACCACGTACACAGTGTCATACAATACAGCTTGGATCTCTGCGGCTTTCTTGATATTATGGTTTATCCTGGCCAACTTCATTGTCCTGAACATGTTCATTGCTGTCATCCAGGAAAGCTTTGATGTCTCGGAGGATGAAAAACGGCTTCAGCAGGTCAAAGCGTTCTTGCAGCAGAAACAAGTTAGCATGGCCTCGCAGGGGAACTTGTCTCTTTCCAAGATTTTTAAGCTGGGCAAGGACTCGAACCGGTATAAGGACCCTCTTGACCACGGCCCAGCGGCACTGGAGATGTTACTCAAGGATGCTGTCGTCCAGGAGTTCCTTGATGAGGATGAACCACCCGAGCATCGGCCAGGAGACAACGTCCCATTAGAACAGTCGGCCACGGCCGAGACAGCTCAGCCAGGATTCTTCTCGCGGATCTGGACGAAGTTCACCACGTCAATCATGCGTCGAGAGCCGAACCCTTTCTACTCCAAGCTGGATATCCCGCGTACATTTGATGAGCTAGACCCAAGGACGATGGCGAAGGAATTCGTTTCAGCAGCTGAGCAGAGGAAAAGGGCCCAACGAGAGTATCTCATGCGACACCCAAATTACAACAAGTCGCTGTTTATCTTTGCGCCAAACCACCCCGTTCGGAAGCTATGCCAGCGTATCGTGGGGCCGGGGCGTGGAGTTCAACGAGTGGAGGGTGTAGATCCCTACAAGCCTGTCTGGTATGCATTTTCCGCGTTCATTTACGCGGCCATCGTCGCAATGGTGTTGCTGGCCTGCATAACCACACCAATCTACCAGAAGAATCACTTTACGACGAACAGGGATTGGTTTACCTACACTGACATGGGCTTCGCGGTCTTGTTCACCATAGAAGCTATCATCAAAGTTATAGCGGATGGGTTTTTCTGGACGCCTAATGCGTACTTTCGCGGTTCCTGGGGCTTTCTTGATGGTGTGGTTTTGATCACGCTCTGGATCAGCGTCGGTGGATCCCTGTTCGAAGATTGGGGCGTCACCCGAGCGATTGGAGCTTTCAAGGCTCTTAGGGCTTTGAGACTCTTGAACGTCAGTGATAGCGCTAAGAATACTTTCCATTCAGTGATCATTGTTGGAGGATGGAAGGTCATTGCTGTAAGTCCCGCCCCCTGTTGAGCCCCCTAGAGGCAGAATCTGATGCGCTTGGCAGGCCGCGGCTGTTTCGATGAGCTTTTTGATCCCCTTCGCTATCTATGGAGTAAATCTATTCGCTGGACGAATGGTTTCATGCAATGATGGCGACATTTCAGGAAGCCTGGATCAGTGCATTGGTGAGTACAAGAACACGCCTTTCAATTGGGATGTTCTTTCTCCGCGAGTGGCCGACAATTCTTATTACGACTTTGACAACTTTGGCGATTCCCTCTTCATTCTGTTCCAGATTGTCTCTCAAGAAGGCTGGATCGACGTGCAGGACAGTGCTATGAGTATTACTGGTGTGGATATGCAGCCGCAGGACTACGTTGCGCCGGAGAATGGGCTCTTCTTTATCATTTTCAACCTGCTTGGTGCCGTCTTCGTCCTGACGCTGTTCGTATCTGTGTTCATGCGGAACTACACAGAAGAGACTGGTGTAGCGTATCTTACTGCTGAACAGCGATCGTGGCTGGAATTGAGAAAGTTGCTCCGGCAAATCTCCCCTTCAAAGCGCTCCTTTGACAATAAGAGCCGACAATGGAAGATGTGGAGTTACCGAGTCGCCGTTAAGAAACATGGCCCATGGGCGAGATGCGTGACATTCATCCTCACACTCCATCTGTTGTTGCTGGTCTTGGAATACTATCCCGAGCCGGATGTATGGGATCAGACCCGAGGTGAGTAGTTCTTCCTATGGCCTTGCAAACGAGCTTGTTCCCGCTAATTTAGTACAGAGATAATATTCTTTGCCTTCAACTTTGTCTACATTGCTAATGTTCTGATCCGAATGCTTGGCTTGGGTTGGCACCGGTTTAGCCGGAGTTCATGGGATGTGTATTCGTTGCTCTCTGTCTCCGGGACGTTCATAACGACGATTTTGAGATTCGTCTCGTCTAGCCAGGTGATCAACGAGCTGAACAAGCTCTTCCTGGTTTCGATCACTCTTCTTATTATACCCCGGAACAACCAGCTTGACCAGCTATTCAAAACCGCCGCAGCTAGTCTGACGTCGATCGGAAACCTCATCGCCACCTGGTTTGTCCTCTTCCTAGTGTTCGCGATCGCCATGAACCAGGCCTTTGGTCTCACGAAGTTTGGTTCACAAGAGACCGACAACCTCAACTTCCGCGATGTTCCCAAGGCGCTGGTGCTGCTCTTCCGGATGAGTTGCGGAGAAGGCTGGAACGAGATCATGGAAGATTATGCCACGATGAGTCCTCCGATGTGCACCTACGATGGCAACTTTTTCTTAGATGACTGTGGCAGTGCGCCATGGGCTCGGACGCTGTTCATTGCTTGGAATATTATCAGCATGTATCTCTTCGTCTCACTGTTCACGTCCTTGATCTTCGAGAGCTTCTCCTACGTGTATCAGAAGAGCAGTGGGCTCTATGCGATCAGCCGCGAGGATATCCGCCGTTTCAAGCATGCGTGGGCTACATATGACCCGGACGGAACCGGGTATATCACCAAAGAACAGTTCCCGCGACTGCTGGGAGAGCTCTCGGGGGTGTTTTCGATGCGGATCTACGATGGTGAGTTCACTATCGGCCAAATCATGGAAGAATGCCGGGTGGACAAGCGCGACTCGCTGCTTGCCCATCGCAGAGTGGTCGACGGGCTAGACTTGGACAAGATGGCCCGAATCCTTCGACAGATCCCAACGGACGTGGTGCGCAACCGCCGGCAACGGCTGAATGCGTTCTATGAGGAGGTGCTTGTGTCGGCGGACCCGGTGCGCGGCATCTCGTTCCACTCCTGTCTCATGATCCTGGCCCATTACAACGTGATCAGCGACAGCAAGAGTCTGCGACTGGAAGAGTTCCTGCGCAGACGGGCGCGACTGCAGCGCGTCGAGGAAACCATCCGTCGGCAGACGGTGATCGGCTTCTTTGACACACTGTACTGGTCTCGCGAGTTCCGGCGCCGGGTTGAGCATAAGAAATCGGCCCGGATGAGTGGTGTTCCTCAGTTCTCGGTGCCGGAGATCTTTATTGATGACGGATCTCACGATGAGCCGGCGGCGGTCGAGGGGCCACGAGAACAAGCACGCGACGCGCTTACCGGAGAAGAATCGTCGCAGCAGCCGATGCTGTCCCCGACGTCCCCGACCGGGCGAGCCACCCGGTACCAGCTGCCACCCATCGATACCAGTCCGCTGGGTCGGATCTCTGTCCTGAACTCCCCGTCGACGGAATGGTCCAGCATCAGCCCATCGCTGTCGCCTCTGCGGGAGCGAGCCGGCACGACGTCGTCGTACGGCAGCGGAGGTGATGTGCATGATGAGCAGGCAAGCCCAGCGCATTCGCGGCAGAATAGCGCGATGAACGTCAACGATGTGATGCAGTCGCTGGGCGAGTCGGTATGGGGAGAGAGTATCCGACGCAGCTTTACACAGCGACGGCGATCGGGGGAGTGAGGGAATAGATGAGTTGGTTGATATATGAGCGATGTTGCCACGATCTTGGTTATTACTTTTTTTTTTCTCTTTATTAGAGATGTGAACATGGGGATGATTTCAAATCTTCACCCTTGACTTTGTTTCTTGCTTGACTCTCATTTCCATTTCTTGGTTTACTCCTGTTTTTTGGCGTGTCTTGCTTTTATCCCTTTCCTCTTACTTATTTGCCGTGCCGTTCCCGATGTTACGATGCTTCCATCATCTACTGTCTGTCTATTGTTTTTGGGTGATCCATTTGCTGGTCTGTGTGATCTGTCAGTGACCGAAGTATGGGGAATGATGTGGATGAGGTAGAGAAAGAATGAGTGCGTGTTGTTGATCGCTACGAGACTAGGTGTTTTGCATAGCGGGGGCGTGTGGGCGAAATCCACTGCGTTACTTGGTTCCGAGCGCAGGTCAGTTCATCCATGCGTTTGCATCATGTGTATGTGTATGTGTACAGTTTATTTCTTTTCTAGCTAGAAAGTCGACACAGAGAGAGAGAGAGGAATAGATCAATGATGATTGATTGGTAATTTTCAGCAATGAATTTTCCTTCCCAGGATGCTTGGCATTACCGGATTGGGCAACGATGAAGGTTGGGTTTATGAAATCAGGATGCAGGGAGAGAGCCGACACGAACACGTATGTTATCTCCAGTCGTACGTCTGTTTAAGGATGAAAGACAGGGAAGGAGAAAAAAGAGACGGCCGCAGGCGGAAAAGAAGGGGAAGAATGAAAGCCAAAGCAGGAGGCACATCGGAAGGGATAAGATAGTAGTTGAGATGGCCGGATGCAGCAACGAGGGGGCAAGGAAAGTCACTGCGTTCGGCGACTTGCTGGTCGCCCTCGTTCAATCATCTTAACCCCGTCTAGTTTACACTTAATTCCTTTCCCTTTTTCTCCTTCCTTGCCTGCCGCTTTTGTTGATTCAAGGCTGGCTCGGGGTTCCTTTTCGTCTTGAAATGATGTGGATGCAAATGGGGGGGCCCCTGCTGGTCTTTGGTTATAAGAAGGTTTAAACTACTCCGTCGGCCTGCCTGCTTGCTCTAGTTACTTCTGGCTGCTTCTTTGTTATTGATGCTGCAATGAGGCGTGACTCCTTCCTCTGACGTTATTGTCGTCATTCAACTCTTCAGTGACTAACTTATTATTTGCTTCTGATATTATTGTACCTGACCTGATCCTAAACCGAGATCTCGTTATTTGTCTCCCCACATACTTTTGAAAGTTCTCTTTGCTTGCTTTGCTTTGCTTTGGTGAGGCGAAACCCGAGTAAAACGAGACCGACCACCTGACTCGATCCAATTTTCCCTCCGAGTCTCATTCTATTGATTTCAATCAAATCAAATCTCATCCATACACTGATTTTATCTGTCAATCTTAATTACTTTATTATTCATATTGTCGGTCAGCCCGCGCGCACCTGACATCATCTCATTTTATTATCCCATCTTACCTTTTTACTTTATTGTCTCTTCCTTCCCACCCCCCAGACATCCTCAGTTCCAATCTGATCTATCCTCCTCATCTTCAAACAATCAACCAATATGCGCCCTAACCAACCCACCCCCCTCCACCTCCACACTTCTTTCCCTTCATCATCATCATCATCACCATCCGACCGCAACACCAAAATGTCCACCTCTACCACCACCACAACAACAACATCAACCATAATCCCACCCCATCCACACCCCCCATCCTCAAATACTATTAATCCCGGCGGCGGTCCATCCTCCCCATCCCTCTCCGTCACTCTCTCCATTCCATCCACCACCCCAACTCCACTCAGCTCCACAACCGCCAGTCCCACTTCCTCGCCCACCTCATCGCCCGTCCCCCGCCGTCGCTTCAACAACCACCACGCTATCGGCAGCCTCAACAGCACCTCTCTCTCCGACTATGGCCAACAAGACTACTACTGCCGAAGTCGCAGCCGCAGCCAAAGTCCCTTCCGGTACTACCACCACCATCATCGTCCCTCGTCCATGTCGATGATGCTGCTGCGGCGGAGACCCTCCAAGGTCGATTTGGCCTTGTCCGAGGAGCGATCCCGTGCCGATGAGGATAAGATTGAGCGTCTGGGATTGGATCTGATGGAGCCGAGACCCGTGGATCCGTTGTTGGGGGTCGGGTTTGCGTTGGATAGTATGGATGCGAGTGTTTTTGGTGGGGATGGATTGGATGGCGGGGTGTTGGAGAGGAGTAGTGTCCAGCCGAGGTTTGTGATGGGGGGGATTTTTGAGGTTATGGAGGGGAGGGGGTGAATCTTTTATTCAATTTTAATTACTTGTCAATGGGGTTTGGGATGGAGTATTGGGATTGTTTTCGTCGGGATTGAGCGATTTGTGATTCTGGGATACCTTGGTGAATTGTGATTTATTTAATTTATGGATGGGATGGGATGGGGTGGAGTTTATTTTGGCATTTTCATTGTTTAGAGGGTTTTGTTATGTGCTTGCTTGGTACTTTGTTTTACTTTCTTATGATTTGATAATGATTCTGAGTGAATCTGATTATCTGATTCTTTTCCTGCTATGAACATATCATTCAGGTTAATGCACTGCATAAGTTGCAGGCTAGCATACATAATGAACATTTCTTGTTTCCTCAACTTGCTAGTTTTTGTCCACCTGTCCTTTCTTTGCTCTGAGCATGAATTAGAATAAGAAATGACCGACTCTGTAAAAATAGGGTGAGTACACCCGCGTGTTGCTTATCTGAAGGCCAGCAGTGTACATGGAACTCCGTAAAGTCGCAAATAGGAAGCAAAGTGGGAAAGAAGAAGAAGAAAGACAATGTAATTGAATCCACCGGGGTATCTGATATCGAGACGAAGAAATTCACATGCAAGAGATTCGAAAGACACCGAGGCCTTTGAACCGTTCCCCAGAGAATACATAGATGATGCAATGCAAGGCAAGAACTCAAGAAAGATGCCCAACTCCCATATAGAAACGATGATCGCATGTACCTCACCTCCTCAAGAAATTCCAGACATGCAGTTCATCAACTTAACGCGCACTCTCATGCAATGGCATATGATATCATATCATAATATGAAGTCAACGAAGTGTACGTCGAAAGAAAGTCCGCATAGAGAAAAGGAATTGAAGGAGAAGAATCACCCCCTCTTCGCCTTCCTCTGATTCGGCCACAGCTGACCTCGACAATTACTCTCCCCACAGAGGCAAGGAACGGCATTCGGATCAACTTTCTTGACTTTCTCCCAGCCGGGATTATAATCAAATGTCAGTTCCGTCATAGGCGGCACATCTTTAAAAGCGAAGAAAGCCAAGTCGTACAGGTAATCGTCAGCGTGGTTGCGGGTCACGGTAATCATGCGACAGTTAGGGTTGCATGAGTGATTCATGAATCGCGTTGGACCACCGAATTTGTGTCCGTCTACTACGTATTTGCTGTCTTCGCCGGTGGCGAGAAAGTCGAGACTGAATAGATACGAGTGTCTGTTTTGAGATGTCGCGACGTCTTCGCGGATGTCGGCCACTTCTTTGGTGATGACCTCCCCGAGGTAGCAGTCGATGAATTGACCTGCGCGAATGTGGTCGGGGGAGCGGAGGCCTTTTTTCTTGATTAGTATTTATACGTCTAAAATGAATATGGCCTGTGACATACCGAACCCTCGATTACCGGTCTGGAAAATCTCTAGCCGTACCGTCCGGCCATTCTGCACCACCCGATTCCAGCACCGCTCATCACATCCACATCTCGAACTACACTCGTAGATCATGGCTTTTCGTTTTAGGAACTCCGGGGTGAGAACCAACAATCGCCCATCATCGTCAGCCCGCTTATACGGCACCATTGGGTCATTGGTCTCCTCTTCTTTGCTGAGACAAAGACATCTTGCTGGATCGCAGAATCCGTCACAGCTACATCCCGCAAGGAACTCCTCTGGAACAGGCGTGACCCCTTGTCGTAGCTTGTATGCATTAACGAACTCAAAGTTGGCTGCGAACTGCGCTAGCTGGTGCTGGTCCCCAGATGCAAAGGTTACTTTGGGGCCTCGGATCTTTGCGAGCTTCTGCTGCAGGGTTTGGTGCAGCTGTGCGCTGATATCCGGCTTAGAAGTCAACAGCGGGCCAGGGGCGCCGATAGTGAATGGGATGGCTGCTCGATTGACTTTTCGGGCCACAGGGTATGCGCCTTTCAAGGCGCGTTTCTCATATGCGTCGGTTGGATAGAAGTTCTCGGAGAGGCCAATTGGAGAAGGGACGGAGATCACTTCGGCTGAATCGAGTTCTTGTTGCTGGCGCCGAGAAGGCGAGGGAATTACTACGCTGAGAGAGATAGGGCCGGGACTGGGGGTTTGAAATGATATGGACCGACGGGTGCTTAAGAGGGATCTCTGCTTTCTGTCTTCATCCCGGTCTTGGCTGCGGCGGTGATCGTGATTGGTGGTCGTGAGATTGAAGGGTGACGATGAGCGAGTAGATGTTGCATTAGACTTGATCTGCAGAGGTCTGTTTTCCTTACTAGCAGAGATGGCGTTAGGATTAAAGGAGGAGGTTCGAGCAGCTGTAACTCTGCGCCGAATCTGAACAGGCTTGACATCCTCGTCATCATCATCGTCATCCTCTATTTCGATAGAGATGGCGTGCTGATTGGCGCGGTTTGCCGACTGTGGTTGGGAAAAAGACCGCGGCTGTGATTGCGGCCGGCGGGGCAGGAAGGATGCCAGCAGTTCCTCTGCATCTTCAGATTTCCTTTTCAAGGGAACTGAGGACGCAGGGCGGTGGGTGAGAGTGGAAGGAGACTTGGGGGTGTTGTTCTGAAGAGGTGGTGCTGAAGATGGCACATGATTCTAGATGTATCAAGTCAGCTGATCCTCTCACGAACTATAGCAGGGGTTGCGCAGTGAATAAAGTGAAGCAAAATTGTGAAGGTCACAAGAACATATAACAGAGAAAAAAACAAGTGCGAGACTGTCAGATTCCAATCTCTTTTGACAAGAAACAAAAAAAGAAAGGAAATTTCCAATTTAAAAAAGATGTTGTGGCATTGGTACAAGTGCGCACAACAGAGGACATCCATGCAATGCAGTATAGCCGCTCCCTCATACAAAAGTAGATAGACAACTAGCCGCAAAAACAACACCAAAATAACACGACGCCAAACAATTTTGAAAGGGCGGAAATGCATAAAAGTGCAACTTACCTCATTTCTCTCCTCTGAGTCTGAGTCGACCGTAAGATCGATGACCATGGTGGCAGATGCAACAAGTACTCAGCTTTGTAGCAGTAGTAAATTCATAGGTAAAATGACTACCACAAGAATGACACGCCTATAGAGGACAACATGAGCCTGGTGGCTGCTGAAGATGATCATTAGAATAAAATCAGGTCTTGGAGTTAGGAGTGAACCAAAAATAAGACTAGACTATTTTAGGAAATTACAAGTCAGCTGATTTATAAATTATTTAGTTTCAGTGAATTGGCTGATATAACACTACAATTTATATCAAATGTAACTGACAAATTAATATTTCAATAATTAAAAGGATGAAGAAGAAGTGGCATTAAACTATCCCTTTATTTTGGACTTCTACTGTTATGCTGGTTTGTTATATCAGAAAAACACTTGGTAAATTGCACCGAGCATTCTAGTCTGACCAATAAGGGTGAGTCGTGAAAGAGAAACCATAAAAGGGGCTAATCCTGTTATCTTTGCCTAGTTCCGCCCTGCCAAAACAACAAATGCAGACACAATAGTATCAAGACAGCACATACAGCACAACTTGGTAAATTAGTGATAATAATTATATAGACATATAGAATAATATCTTGCAAATCATATCTGATAAATTAATTCTAAATAAATGCTTTAGTGAAGACATTAGAGCAATTCGAACTGGCTTTAATTAATTCTTTGTGAAAGTGGCATAATTTCTTGGCATGTCATCTGCTTCATGACTAATCATGTTTGAAACATGGTTTACTATTGTTATAGACAATTGACAATTGTAAGTCGTCTTCAGACCCGAGAACTGTACAAACTTTGATAGACTTCAATTCGAGGTATGATATATTGGTCCAGTTCTGAAAGCAAGATGCTATGCGGTAGTGCTTATACATTACACGACACCCTATACTTCACCTCTTTAGCGTCCCCGTCTCTAGTAATTAAGCTAACCCCACGGCGTCACGCTAAGGGGCCAACTGGCTACTGGCAAGTGCATAATCTGGCTTCCGCTGATCTAGATATTTGGTAGATGAGCTTTGGGCGTTGAACTTAGTCGGTCTGTGGCATTGCATTTAAGCGAATCGACTACATACAGATACTATACGCTTAGAAAGTTCTATATTTGACTAGCATCTGCTACCATAGTGTACCACGTGATTGCTAATTGCTACAAGAAGTTTTAAAACATAGTCTGCATCAGGGGCAGCCAAGTACGGCCTATCAAGGTCTCTACACTGTTGGTAAATGCTTTGTAGGTTAATGAACCGCTGACACAAGTGGATGGCCAGCGAACCGAAGTATTATGACTTGCCATCAAATCTACCTATATCATAACCTTCAATGTGACTGAAAACAGGGGGCCGACATTCCTACGTATAGTAACGCTCCATAGTCCTGTAGAGAGACAGAACTCTAACATAGGAAAACAGCCCAGAAAATTATACAACAGGTCAAGGGTCGAAAGACTCGGGGGAGGGAAGAAAACTGACGGAAATCCATGATGCATCCTTGCTCGGTTCTAATGTACACCACGACAAACCGCTACCGGGGACGATGAGCCAGCTCAGGGACTATGCAGACCGAAAGTTAACATAAGGAAAAGGAACAAAAGAAACACGTGATGCTCATGCAAATGCTCATGGTTCGAGCCGACTGGCCCGAGTAAATTTAAATGCAATCTGCGTGCAGGCGCCCCATTCACAATACTCTCAGAGTCTTAATGCGTCCAGGATTTTCTTGGCCATTTCCCGGTACTGCCACATACCCCCTGCAACCTTCTTGAATTGGATACCATGCAGCGAGAACAGCGGCACCTTGACGATCAGAATTTCAAACCTTAGGACCAAGTTCTCGCCCGTATCACTCTGCACCCGGGTCGTAGTCTCCCCCATGACACGTTCGCCCACCACCACGTTGTCACGGTGGTCCCGAGAGCCATCATCTTCGTCAGGGCCTTCAGAGTCTGTCACGAAACTTTGATCCGGTGGAGCCCGGGTCCGACGCTGGCCCCGAGGCGTGTAGTGTCGCGATTCGTCTCGGTCATCGTGGTTCAAAAAGCCCCCAAAGCTGATGCGACGACGATGGCCCGAAACTTGTCCCTGACGGTCTGGGCTTGGGGGTCCGACATCTACTACTTTATCCAAGTCGATGCTCGGCGCGTGGCGACAGCTAAAGCCGCCCTTGATCTCAACGTACTCCACAGAGAGCTGTTTCAATACCCGGATGATATCAGCCCGGATGACTGGCAGGGGTTTGCTGCTGGTTGTTGAAACACTGAAAAGTCCCTTGAGGTACACCGGCTTAGAGAGATCCTCTCCTTCGTTGGCACTTTCAAGTGCCGTGCCGGCGCCCGATATATCTGCATCGGTCTCCTCAGGAACGTTGGCCTCGCGCGTTGCCTCCCGTCTAGCTCTCCGAGCCTGGATACTCTCACGACGAGCGTGACCCAGAGACATGGTCCGGGCTGTATGTGTGCGGGTCAACTTGGCCTCTTTTCCGGGCGCGGTTTCTTTCTGCATGTTCGCGAAGTCGGAACCGCTAGTGGGAGGTGGCTGGACCGCCGTATCCGCTTCATGTCTACGAGAGCGGCGAGCTCGGTAGTCTGCCGAGTTCACACTTGCAGATCTCTCCAAGAACTTGTTGGACCGCGAGGCCGGCTCGGCGGATCCTGGAGCCTTGAGAAGATCCTGGTGCTGTGGTTGACTACCCCCCGTGTGAACGGCCGTCGGCGACGGGTCCGCACGTCGGGTTCTCTTGACGCTAAACCCTCTGGAAAGAGGTGAAGCTGAATCGGCGGGAGGTTGGACATTCAAGGACGGCGTATGTGGGCTCCCAAGTCTGCCGCGTTCCGGGTCGCGGCTGCGCTCCTTTGTCCTTCTCGTACTGAAGCGCCGTAGGATACCCGCTGCAGTGCTCTCCTTCTTCACCGGAGTCTCCGGTTGCGACGCAGGAGGCGCAGGAGAATGCCCGGCTTGCGGGGCCAGATGGAGGTTCTTAATACCATCATTGAGATCATCGTCGCCATGTGTCCTTGCCCTAGGACGAGACCTCCTGCCGGTATCTTTCTCTCCGGGAACGTGGTATTGATTGGTGTGAGCGGCCTCTGGCGCAGGAAGATCTGGCATCTGGAGCATCGAGTCCCCGCTAGCATGTGGAACACCAAGCGCGCCAGGGTTAACTTCAACCCGCTCTCTGTCAAGTTTCTCCTTTACGAGGTAGTAAACCGACAGAAGGGGACTATAAGCGTTGACCGGATCGTTGCCTAGTTGAACAGCCTCTGCGGAGGGCGCAGACAGTGTGTCTCTGCTGGCCGAGTTTCGTCGCTTGTAAAAGTCGAACACACCACGCTTCTTCTCGGTATGACTGGGAGGAGGCTGATCACGAGCCATAGCCTTTACAGCATGCTGATACTCCTCCGACTCAATGATTTTGGTAAGTTGTGATGCAATGTAATCCGCGGATCCAAAATCAAAACCGGTCATTTTCTCAATGACCTCCGGGTCCAAGGGAAGCTGTATCGGTTCACGGTATGGAAGATAGTTGTCGGGTGGCCCATTGAAACCCTTGTTCATCCATGGGTGATTCATTATCTCTGCCAAACTGGCACGCTGCTTGGGATCGGTTACCAACATGCGCGAAATTATATGGCGACATTCTACAACTCAAGCATTAGCATTGCGTAGGTGAAGAGGGCGAGGGGTAAGCTCACCAGTTGTGAGGCCGGGCGGGTACTCGAAAACACCCTGCTTGATCTTGGCATGAAGTTTGGGCATGCTCTGATCGTCGAAAGGTACTTTGCCACAGACCAGGACATAGAGCACAATCCCGAAACTCCATACATCCACCTCCGGACCGGTATATTGTCTAGCCTGTAGCAATTCCGGAGCTGCGAAGTAGAGACTGCCACAGAATGTCTTGAGAAGGCTCCGTGGGGAGAAAAGATTGCTCAGGCCAAAGTCGATGATCTTGATGTCTCCAGTCTTGCTGATCAGGATGTTCTCGATCTTCAGGTCACGATGCACGATGCTATTGCGGTGGCAATAATCCAATGCGCTGGCGATCTGACGGGCGAACTTCCGAGCCTGCTTCTCTTTCAACTTGCCATGGGAGATGATGTAGTCCAACATCTGACCCCCATTGACGAGTTCGAACAACATGTACCAATGGTAGTTGGTTCGCACCACATCTCGCATACCACAGATGTACGGATGATTGACGAGGCTAACAATGGCCGCTTCGCGGGCGGTTCGGATCTCTTTGGAGCGATCAGCTCTTTCGGCTTCGCGCGAGCTGCGGTGTTCCTCCGTCGATTGCCGGGGGACGATCTTAACGGCCACCTGCATGAAATTAGTAAATAAATGGCAAGAACCCTAAGGACACCGATATATTACTTACCTGCTCTCCAGTGTCCATGTTCTTTCCGACTTTGACCTTGCCCATACTGCCTGCTCCCAGTGTTTTGCCCAAAGCCCATTGGCCTGAGGGGGTTGTGATCATCGTGCGACGCTTTGTTTGTACGGAGTTGGTCGGGTGCAGATGGGCGCCGGTAGCAGCCTGCGAATGTCCCGCAACGCCCTCCGCCATGATGGGCCCCGCGGTAGCCATGTCGATGCTATCCCGTTGATGACCGTGGGCCGACAGATTCCGGTGCTGTTTGTGTGAGGGTGGCTGTTCTGAACGGTAGGAGGTGGAGGGGCGCTCCTGTGAACGCTCCCTTGAGGAGTCCCGACGGAACGGAGCGGGTTGGGCACCCCTGGAGGCTTCAAAATCGCGACGGGCTATGTTGTCAAAGACGGCTTGGTTCGACGGAGGGCGACGATCATAGGACTGAGACTTGGAGTAGGAATGGGAGTAGCGATTCTGCGAGTGGTGATGATGATGATGGTGATGCTGCGGAGAGGGCTGGGAGGCAGTCGCGGGACGGACCGCGACACTTCGGGTTCGGTGAGGAAGATCGGATGAAGGAGGACGATGGGAAGAGGAGCGAGAGGAGATGGACTGGCTTCGGACGACGGAGGGTGACGCAGTGGGAGGAGCAGCAGTGGACATCACGATGGGCACGAAATTGACGAGTTCCGAGCCAACCACGATTCAGCGCGCTTCATCCACCCTAAGATCACTTGCTGATCGAGGGGAGGTTTTCGCGTGAGGGCGGATGCAGCCCAAAGGGAGGCCAGAGGCACCGGTCGGGGAGCAAGTGGGAGCGAGTGGGGGAGATGGCGTTGGCTGACGGAGCAACTTTGAGGGAAGCGACAGCCTGCGTGGGTACGTCCAGTCTCCAGCGAAACGGCTTGGTACACTCCTCCCCCATGTATTTTCGGAAGGTCTAGAAATTAGGGGGGGGGAAGAGGTGGGTGAGGGGAATAGTAGTAGAAGGACGGGCACCACTACTAGCGGAGAGGGGGGGGGGAAACAGGAGAAAGGAGTGAATAGATACCACCCACAATAGAGTAAGAAAAAGAGTGAAAGGGGGGGGGAAAGGAAAATAAGGGAAAGGAGAAATGGACGAAGGGGAGTTTGCGAAATGCAGAGAGAAAGAGGAATTGACGCTGGGATTATTGCGGCTGGCAGCTGCGGAGAAAGCCAGAAACCAGACCAGACCAGGACCGGACAAGCCAGCCAGGAATCAGCCAGGAATAGCAGTCCCGGAGACACACTAGAGAAGAGGGGATATCCCGAATGTCTCTGATCTCCGCCGCACTCTGCTAAGGCCAAGAATGTGTGGTACCTTGGGTGGGAAATGAAGGGTCTTGCTTGGCTGCTGTCTTTAAAATGCAGGACGTGCCTCTTGGGAGTGAATGAGATAAGTTTAAAAAGAGAGAAGGAAAACAAGAGAGAGAGAGAGAGAGAGAAGAAGGGAGGGTGAGGAAATGATGCCCATGCGACCTCTCGTATTTGCTTGCTGCTGCATGGATTCTGGCGGAATCACCAGGGCGATTGCATCGAGTTACGCAGGGGAAAGGAAACTGCAATTTCCATCCACTCATCTTCATCTGAGAATAGTTACCGTTGTCTTACTTCTTGTTCCTCTTCTTACTATTTTAGCATTTTCTATATCAACGGGGATTCCATTCCTGTCTGCTTCTTACTCCCTCTTCCCTTTTTTTTCCTTTCCCCCCTCCCGGTAGAAATTAGACAGCTGCATGCACGTTTCCAAACCGAGGTTACTATATTGAATCACATAGTGGTTGCCTCCCAGGCAATAGTCTAGTAGTTCCCCTCCTCAATCTCACTCACCCCTACAGGTTGGATCAAGGACCCTGCCAACTGCTTCTGCTCCGACCGCCGGTGGAACGAGACCAATGGATACGTCGGACTTTCGGTGTTTTGGGCACGGATGGGCATGATCAGCTGGCCGAGAGACTCATCATCATCATTCTGGGTCCTGACCATTTCCTGCTGGACGGTCCAAATTAAGTTGGTCGGATGAGCCCAGATTATCTGCCAAGCACGTTCGGTCGCAGAAGTGGACATCAGATGCTCGTTCTGTTTCCGGATGCTCATGTTGGATCTGTCATCCGCCCCCGTGGCCATCATTCATGATCTCGCGGTTAATCTGAGAACAGCCAGTCTAGTAGTACGGAGTATATATTGTTGGGGCCTCTTACTATGAATTGTCCAGCTGAACAAAAGACCAACAAACGTAGCCCAAAACTCCCATCTTTCCCAAAACTATCGACACATCCCATGATTCACAGCAATAATGAATCGAGTTTGATCTATAAACAAGAAATCCGGCCAGGTTCTAGTACTTTGAGCTACTGCAGTTACTGTTTTCAGCCACACAGAAACGTGGCGGTGCACACGCCAATCCCATGTCCGCCTTGTCACATGTCTTCCGCCCGCGGCCTCTAACCATGCATCGTTCATCATCATCATCATCATCATCATTTGTTTCGTTCCCTCTTCCTCACAATCCACCAAACTTAGTTCTCTTTCACTGATTCACCTGGTGGGTAATTTCTATACTAGTAGTGGTAAGTCCACTTCATCCGCGTAGGATCTACACTACAGACACTGATGGTATGTCGACGTCGGAAACAGCCATGCTGCACCCTTGAGCTGCACCTCCATCATGGCCAGTAAAAGGAGCCGCGCCGCCTTTGAGGCAGACCTGCAGGCGCGCCAGTCTCCTTACGCATTATACGGAACTCCGTTACCCCCACTAGACGATAGCGTGCGAGACGACGGATCATATGCGCCCATCTGGAAGCAGGAGGTGACCGATGACCGGGGAAGGAAACGCCTACATGGTGCCTTCACCGGTGGGTTCAGTGCCGGGTGAGCTCACGATTCATGAATAGCGTTGGACAGCACACTAAAGGCGGCCCATCTTCAGGTACTTCAACACCGTCGGGTCGAAGGAAGGATGGACTCCAGCAACCTTTGTGTCTTCGCGCCAGAACCGCGCCAAGGATGTTCGACAGCAACGACCAGAAGATTTCATGGATGAGGAGGATGTTCGGGAAGCAGAAGAGGCCAAGAGACTGCAAACTGCCGATGAGTACTCCGGCTTTGGTTCTACAGATGCCGAATTGGCGCGCCGCGGAGGGTTGATGGACCTTCTGAAAACGAGCGGAGAAACTATGGGGGTGAAACTTCTGAAGAGGATGGGGTGGCGAGAAGGCCAGGGGATTGGGCCCAAGGTGCGACGTAGAGCTGACCTCGGGGACGGTATGTTGCAACGTGACGGAGGAGCTGAACAAACATACCTCTTCGCGCCCGAAAACCCGCCAATGGTTGCCTTCATCCATAAGACCGATCATAAGGGCCTTGGATATGAAGGAGAGGCCCGTCTAGACGCTCAGCAAACCAAAGCAAACGAGTCCGACGACGAGGATAATGATGCGTTCTTCGGAAAGCGGCTAATGGCTCCGGGGAAGCCGAAGCAGCCCAAAGCGAAAGGACCTCGACGCGGGGCGTTTGGTGTCGGCGTGTTGAATGATACTGGCTCGGATGACGAGGATCCCTATTCCTTAGGCCCACAGATATCTTACAACCGAGTCATTGGAGGGGACAAAAAGAAGAAGAAGAAAGCAAAGCCTGCTGAGGATGCGAGAACCCTCCCCAGTTCGTCAAACCCGCTTCTCAGCAACAAACCCGTATACATACCGAAGAGGGTCATTGCCGCCAACGGTGCCGCCGGTTTTCGAAAGTGTTCTGATGGTCGTTTACCTTTGGAAGGATTCTTGCTTGCGGAGGGAATTTCAAGCCTCTCAATATCCTCGCAAGAGAAGAAGTATGCGCCACCAGAAATCCCCAAGGATTGGAAATCCCGCAAAGCACCGACACAGGAAAGGGATGTCTCAAACTACGTTTCTACGGCTGAGGCAGCTAAAGCTTCGTCAATGGATCCTACCGCAAGAGCCGCTCTCTTGGGAGAAGCACAACTTCCCGGAAAGTCCATATTCGATTGGATGACTCCCGAGGCTCGGGAAAGAATCGTGAAGCTTACAGGGAAGACCGATCTGCCGCCGGCGCTTGGTGAAAAAGCCCCTAAAGGTTACGAGGTCTCAGAAGCGGAGAAGCGCAAGGATTTATGGGATCTCGTACCTAAATTGGACAAGCAGGTAGCCGTCCAGGCACTCACACGAGCAGCCAGTGGTTGGATGCCGTATTCGGAAGACCTAAGCAAACGGGACCGCTATCGAACATTCCTACAAGTACGAGCTGGACTCCGAGACAGTCTCCCGGACCGGGTTGCCGGATCAACTACAGATGAATGGGCTGCGGAACTACACGAATTTGCGCGAGCGGCGGAGGTCTTCAAGCCGATGTCTGGGCTCATGGCATCGCGATTCACCTCTGCCAGTTCCGGACCCAAAGAGTCGTCCGACAAGTCTGACGGATCTCCTTCGGCGGAGCCGTTGCTTAGCAAGCCCGCAGCAAAACCAGAGGACCCTGCAGTGGAGGCAGCGAAGATTGGCATGTTTGGCCCAATGACTCGTAGTAGCATCTCTTTCTACCCGACGCGTCTCTTGTGCAAACGATTCAATGTTCGGCCCCCCGAGCATGTCCAAATGGATCCTGGTGCGCCATCGGGACGCGCTGAAGCCTCAGCCCCCGGGAGCCGGTTCCAATCGGCAGGTTACCAGACCGCTTCCGGGCCGAAAGAGTTAGTTTCGCGGGATGTTATGAACCAGCTCATGCTTGAGGCTGGCGGTGGATCTCTGGCAGCTTCAGACGCGGCCTCGCCGACGTCATCAGGGCCAGCGGGGAGTCGGGCACCAGTGGTGGTCGAGCCAGAGCGCAACGAAGCTCTAGAAGCCGAGCGGCCGGGCGAGGCGGTGTTCAAGGCGATCTTCGGCAGCGATGATGAAGACGAGGATGAGGAAATGAGCTGATTGATATATTGGAGGATCCAAACTTGTACCGATAGATAGACACCCTGTCTTCGTATTCCCTGCAGGCAAAACCAATATTGACTTTGAAACGTAATGATCGTCTGGGGATGTTTGCAAAGTCCCACTTCTTCCACGTACCCGACCGCTTAAACTTTTCTTTGGTCGATTAAAAAAAAGAAAAAGGAGATCCACCTGACAGTGGATGCATAAGAAAAAAGAAAAATAAATATGCAGTATCTTTCAATCAGAGTAGAATAATTGTTTATTTCTTTTTTCCTGTCTCTTCTCTTTTCTATTCAATCTTTGCCAGTGGAGAGAGACTTGAACTGTGACATCCGATACAGTGAAGCCGGAAGAGAAAGCCGCCTTTGCAACTTCCCCCCAACTCGCCATCTCTCCCTCTCTAACTCTCCAACTCGCAAAAGAACGGTCTGGACAAGACCTGCATAGGGTGACACCGCAGGAAACGTTGCGGAGCGAGTGATCGGTTGGCAATATCTACTCTAGGCTCCGCACTTAAAGTTCTCTTACTTTGCTTTACACGAAGAAGGGGACGGCGAACCTCCAGTCAACCTTGGGCTAATCCCCTCACGTCGGTGCGCCGTCATCGTCATATCCTCTCCTCTTCTTCCCCCGCTGGTTGGTTCCTTTTATTTACCTCAACCTGGTCGATCAGCAGTGCTCGTCTATTGCTTTTCTCTCCTCAATCGTTGTCACCGTATTTCCTTCTCTTCCATACACACTCTCTCCCTCTCTGTGCCTCTCTCTCGCTCTGCATTGTGGCTGGTCAGGCCATTGCGCTGCAACTCTCCGCATCGCCCGCCACCCATTCACCACTGGGTTTCCACCGCTTCGGGTCATACGACCGATTACGATAACTGGATGGGAGGATTCTCGATCCATGATAGGAACGGCTCATTAGACTAAGCCTGTCTAATAAGCTCTCTCCCACCGGCATCGTGAACCACTTCTTCCACCCCTCCACGCCTTCCCCCTCCTCATTTGGTCATCTCCAACTGCGTCCCTGCAGTGACTCTCACTGACCACTGAACCCCCGTCGGTTCTGGCGACCGGTTATCTTTGGCTGATGGAGCTTGAGCTTGTTTCTTCAACATGGTGAGTCTTTCAACTACCCCTCTGTTTCCTTGAAGTCTCTATGTCCACACCCTATACATTCCCCCGATGCGGAGTCGCATGCCATCCCGTCCTGCTACCCGTTATCTCAAAGGTCCATGCCCTGCAACCGCCCCTCTTCTCTCTCTTCCATCTAGTTCATGTACATGGAATTATGGGTTTCCAAAATTCTCACTGTATATGAAAATCCATAGGGTTGTTGCTTTTCCTTATCGCGCGACTATAGCCGTCCTTCCTACGCGGCACAGGTAGTCACCGAAGAGCGCCGTTCCGAAGACATTCATCCCCAAGCCGCCGCAACAAGCAATGCGCTCACCTCCGGCAACTCATCTGCCAGGGCGCGCGGGTCCCGAATCAGGGCAGAGCACTTCCCGCTGAACCAGCATTACAATGCGCCTATCCGTCGTCACGTCTGGTATAGCAAACGGCGCCTATGGACCCGCACACAATTAGACCAGGAGCGCACCGAGTTCTTCGAAACTAGGGTCACGGGTCGTTCGGAGATCTGGGCGGCTTTGTCTGCGGCCATCTCTTTGATGCGCGCCGGTGATCTCGCAACAGCGCAAAGTTTCATTGATGCAGCCGGCATCACCGTCCCCACCGGCGATCTCTGCCAAGGCTGCTACGACGAGCAGGGTGTACTCTACCGGCTACCACAGTGCATTGTGAGCGACCCAGAGAATATCGTGCGATCCGACCAGGAGCCGGATGACTTCGATACGGACGACGGCAAGCTATCTTCAGACGAAGCCTCAGGGGATGAGTTAATAGCCGATGACATAGAACGTCGTCGCGACGAAAAGGGCAAGACTAGCGAGCGTGATCTAATCCGCATCCGTGCGCGATTGAGCGATAGAGGCGGTCCCGATATCATCCTGTCAGTGGTGAAGACGATGAACGTCGGCTCGATAGCCCGCAAAGTGCAACAAGAGGCAGGGGTACGTCAGCTTGCGCTATGCTTTATCCACCCTCCTTTGAAACAAAATTTGGACATGCAGTCTAACAGAAGCCGTGGTTGTATAGATTCCGCGCACTCACCGTGTGAGACTTGTCTACCTAGGCAGAATGCTCAAAGAACATGTGCCCCTAGTCGACCAAGGGTGGAATCCCGCCCACGTTATTAGCGCCCTCGTTGTCCCGCGACAATCGGTGTCATGACAGTTTCGTGGCTGCGATAGCTCACATGCACTCTAACAGCCTGCGTGCATGAACTACCTGCAGAGACGATCCACCCAATACACCCTTTGATATACGGTCTGATATTGCAGGAATAAACAACACAACACCGCACACTACAACACACCATACCTCATCCGACTGATTAACATTCCAAATAATGATGATAATATCTCGATACCCCCCTACTTACTTATTTCACGACTGCATTGCCATCGAATTGGCACACCTACTTTTTCTCCCCGCGCAAGCCTAATCTACTCTTCCCCATACCCAGGTGCCAAGGCATCACCTCAACTAAGTCGATTTTCACGTTCATGTCCCATTTGTCTGGTTCCGCACAATACCCCAATTATTGATTGATTGATTGATTGATTGATTGTTTCTTCTTCATGATGGAATGTTCTTTCTTGTCTAGTACTTATTACCTTAATTAACAATTACATAGCTATTTAACACTCACAACTATTATCTTAATACTGAATACTAAACTAAATACTCTGTGATAGTAGTAGTAGTATGATATATCCTCCCGTCTATCATCCTTCCTCCAGGTACTTGATTCGTAGCTTACAGTAGTCGGTAATCTAAACCATTATCTCTGCTAAAATCTACTGTCCATCTTAGTGTATACTACTCCGTCAGTAGATAACCTCATCCGTCAGCTTAGTTGGTGGGCATCGGTTTGGTGATTATATATATTAATGTGCTGTACTCTCTTACCCACTAAACACGGATTGCCGACGAGTCTTAAACATAGTATATCAACTTACAGACGGAATCAGCACTGTAGTTTAAGATATATCATTATTGAAGAAAAAGATGAAAAATGAAAGGAAAATGAACTTTAGGAAAACGTACTACTAGAAAGGGGTGTAAAAAGAAAAAAGAAATTGCTGTGCATCATCCGTGAATCGAACACGGGCCTCATCGATGGCAACGATGAATTCTACCACTAGACCAATGATGCTTGGGCGGCGGACCACTGCGTTATCTGATTCGCTGCTTATTTTATTTTTCTTTATTGTGCTCTATTAGGGACAGGATAACATGTTGAATTTTCCATTAATGACTAGTTAGCACATACGTGCAAAAGTATACTTAACAGAATGTGTTTTATGTCCATGACAAGCATATACCATGCTGAAATAAACAATCAGTAGAATGCTGACAATAACATCTAATCATAAAATCCCGCGACATGTAGATCATGCTTATCCCTTCCAGAAGCCTAGAACAATTTCCCGTTCTCGGCTTCCCTTCCCTTGGGCGTTTGTCCGGATCGTCTCTTGAATACACGGCAGACCACCCTTGCGCCCTGTACCACGCCTCTGACCAGGCTAGTGGGGTTGTAGTGCTTGACTCGGAACATGTAGTACAAGGCGACCGTACCCAGGATGTTGAACCCCACGTATGCCCATCCGATTCCAAAGTTCCGCCAGCGCTGGCTGTAGTCTTCAGATTCGTCAGCATGTGTGGAAGGTAAAGCGGAGTTTGGGATACATAGACCTACAGATTTCACTTGTTGCTAGGTATTGATCGGCATTCTGCATCTGACAGTATTGGCATCCTTGCGTCGCTGTTGGGTTAGACAGTCGCCCCGCAGCAGTTTGCAAGTACTGAGCCATGTACTGGCCGCAGGTTTGACCAGAGGGAGGATTGAACACGCTCATCTCCTCGCTGGAACATTGAATTGTCCGTCCGTGTAACCCCGTTGCCGTGATACCCGCAATCAGGTAGGTCAGCGGTGAGACCCGGTACATGAAGATCCAAAATCCTGGTAGTGCTTGGGGTGGCTGCATAACACCATTGAATGTCAAAGCCATGATGAACATGAGCGTGGCGATGGAACCTCCTGTTTCGGCGTCGGGCAGCGCGGAAATTACCAAAGCGGCAAACGTTGAGGTGAACATGTAGAATTGTACGACGAAGAGTAACATGAGCCCTTGTCGGTGAGACGCCTGATTGGCTCCGTAGATTGGATAGTAGTAGCACGCATAGGCAATGACTCCGGCGAGAATTTGGTAGGGTATCTCAACCAGAACGTTGGCGACAAGGAATGCTGCCCATGAATACGCTTTGGAGGGTCTCTCTCGCACCTCGTAAAGTGATCGCTGAACCACAAACTTTGGCATTATCCTGAAACCCTGTTAGCTTGTTGTCGAAGGAAGTAGGGCGATGTACCTACTGCTGCACCAGAGTTGAGAAAATCGAAGTGAGCATGAAGGCGCTGAACAGGACATCTTGAAACCCTTGCATGTTGTTATCGGGCTTGAAAAATGTGAATCCGATGAACAAGGAGGCAGCGGTAGCCAGAATAAGCTTGGCCCATACGTAGGAAGGTTCACGCCAATACTGTTGGAAGACACGATGGGTTACGTGCCACAGCTGGTTGGGGAAAGGCATGGCGTATTCTCCTTTCTGTGCATCATCATTGCCAGTTTCGGGAGCAGAGGCTCTCTCTTGGTGAATTCGATCAATTTCTTTCTGAATATCAGTAGCCTGTTGGCTGTCGTTCCAAACAGCTGGCCAATCCTTGGTAGCTCTTCCAGAGGCGCCGGCACCTATAATCTCCAGCATATATTCGGCGGGCTTTTCCGGTCAGCATAAGACCCCACACGATCATTTAGAGTACTTACATTTTCTGACGGCCCACATGGCCTTGCACCATTTGACTCGAAATATGTCAGTAAGGTCTGTGATTGCTCTCCTATGTCTCCAAAGTAGACCGTCCGCCCCCCTTTTGCTAGGAAGAGAAGGCGATCAAACTGCTGAAACAAAAGCGCACTGGGTTGGTGAATCGTCGAGAGCACTGCTTGGCCATGGTTTGCGAGCTTCCTGAGGAAAGCACAAATAGCCCAAGAGCTTTGTGAATCCAACCCACTAGTTGGCTCATCAAGGAAGATAAGTAACGCAGGCTTAGCGGCAAGCTCCACACCGATTGTCAGTAACTTCCTCTGCTCAACATTTAGACCTTCACCAGGTGTTCCGACAATAGCACTAGCAAAATCCTGCATATTAAGCATTTCAATAACCTCCTCAACGTGCTTGTACTTTTCTTTCTTGGAAACCGACTTAGGTTGGCGTAGAAGTGCGCTGAACCGCAGAGCTTCTCTCACAGTTGTTGTAGAAAGATGCAGATCCTGCTGCTGTACATACCCCGTCTTCCTTTGGAAGCTGCTGTCAAGCGGCTTTCCATCTACCAGCATGTCGCCTGTCACAACGCCTATTGAAACACGTTTTGCTAGAACATCAAGCAAGGTGGTTTTTCCAGCACCTGAGACTCCCATAAGGGCCGTGAGTGTTCCAGGCTTGACCCATCCGGAGACATTGTCCAGAAGACGCCGTTGGCCTCCCTTGACTGGTATATCGTAGCAAACGTTCCGCCACGTGAATATACTATGCTGTTTGGGGAGAGCAGACGCATCCTTCTCTGATTCGGCAGATCTGTGGGCCACGGCAACACTACTGGTTCCGGCATCTCCCTGGGGCTTTTTGTCGAGGCCGCGCATGTGAGGAGGGACATGGCCTCGTCGGAATACGAGGAACTCAGCTTTAGACGAAGTTGCAGAGTTGAGCTCCGTCGCAACCAAGTATATCACCGTGAAAAAGATCCAGAACCCTATGAGGATCCCAAGGTTTCTCCATACATGTGCATACGTATAGCTATACTGGGTTTCGATGTAAGCATCTCCAGAGACAGTCCTTTCACCAGCGACACTGCCACGAATGGAGCAGATAAAAGAGTCACCACTCAGAGTCGGATATGATGGTATGAACTGTGAGCATGTGAACCGTCGGCCGTGGAATTCGTTGGCAACTAGAGCTTCAAAGGTATAAAAGACGGGGTTGATCCATCGAATCCAACTGAACCATGGAATAGAGGACATTTGAGGTGTAGGAATTACAAAGCCGGTGTAGATGACGATGGCCAATACAATGACACCAGCCATAGCCATTGCTTGTGCAAGTGTCTTCGTCGAGGCTGCAAGGGTCCGGAAGATGCCAGACATCGCAAGCGTGCTCAGAAAAGTGAATAGGAAGAATATGAAGAATTGTGATGGTTCGTAGCGCTATTTTCACGGTCAATTGAGGTACACATGGAGTACCTGGGTTATTGCATTTACTTACCAAGCCAGCTAGAAAATAAAAGATGATGTTGAACACCACAGCAGAGACGAATTTGACGGGTATATCGGACACAATGCCACCAAAGGCTTCAGCAAAAGGATGGACAAAAGCGTATGATGCTTGTTTTTCAATGATTGGCCGTTGGTCATAAAGTGAGTTTATCTCTGTTATGCTTATGAGAGCGTTCATCCTGAGAAACGCAGTCAGCACATCCCATTCTCCCATTTATGCTTGCAACATGCCCACTCTTTAGAGGACAACTTACAACACAGCGAAAAAAAGAGCAGCTCCTTTGCTTTGAAAGCCCACGGTGGCATTTGGCGTCCTGTACGTCTTAGTGCACGTTCGAACTGCAGTAGATAAGATACCTACCCAAAATACATTGAGCCAATGATGAGGGACATTGCGATTCTGCCAATGACGTTCGTCAATGTAGAAGGTTTATCATTCCATATCCTAGAAAAATCAGCATTTGTCATAGAGATATACAATGATTAGCAGCAATTACCTTTGATATGCCCTAATGGTACAAAGCTTAACCTGCATGGGGATCGAAATTATATAGGGACTCTTTGGCCAAACATGTCGCGCTTGTTTCAGGCGCTTCATTTCACCAAACTGTTGCTCATGCTTTCCACCTAATGGAAACTCCTTCATATGCTGTTCGATTTCCTGTTGAAGCCTGGCATACTGAGGGCTGTTCTTCCAGTACTTTTCAAAGTCATCTGGTGTTCGGGGAACCTTGTTCTCCATTCCTTCACGTGCTTGACGCTCTTGGGGGTTGGTGACTGATGTCAGGAAATCACCAGTGGTCTGACGCGGCGGACAAAGCCACCCCATGTCCTCGAAGTATTCTTTTGCCTCGTCGCATGGCCCGAAGTATATTTCACGGCCCTCATACAGAACGATTGCCTTGTCAAAGACATCGTAGATTGCTTGAGATGCTTGATAAATAGCGACTGCATGGCAGGTACCGGCTAAGTTGGATGAAACTCGTAAAGCCTTGACAAATTCCAGCGCACTTGCAGAGTCAAGCCCTCTAGTACTATTATCCCACGCTCCAACTGGTGCTCCGGAGACTGGATCATGTCAATTCAACTGCTAGCTATACACTTGAAGTGGTATGATAACTCACGCGCCATTTCAGCAATACTGCAGACAAGTTAGGGCGATATGATAAGGCAAATCTAGGATCAAACATACCTGACTCGCTTTCTTTCACCTCCTGATACACCCCTGATATAGTCGTCGCCAACTGGAGGCAGGATTAGGAACATTCAATGGCTGAAATTTGACATCAGAGACGCACCCTTCGTGTTATACGTATGTGACAGGCCAAAGATAGTCAGCGCAACCTGGGTAACGTATTTAGCATATTGCTGTCGAGTGACGCCTTGCAATCGGGTCTCGGGCGCTCTCGCAGCGGCGGCAAATTCCAACGTTTGACCAACAGTGAGATGCGGGAAATGCTTATCCACCTCCTGATTGTATAGCACCTCGCCCTTGAACTCTTTGTGCATCTTCTCCATGGAGATACCATTGAACTGGATTTCAGAGCTCTTGCGCAGCTTCAGACCATGAAGTTCCCCACACAAGGACTTCAAGAAAGTCGAACAGCCACTCCCGGGGCGTCCGAGAACGATCAGGAGCTCACCACTTCTGAGGAGACCATCAAAGTCACGCAGGATATGCTTCTCTGGAGTGCGCTGAACACAAGGCAGGTACTCCTGTGGTCTGAAAGGGGCTAGAAGAATCGAAGACACGTTGTTCTGGTATTGCAGGGCGGAACCCGAGCCCGAGACGTTGAGATGTTGAAAGACGACACCGGTCGAAGGAGGTCGAGGGATTCCCTCCCTATCCAACATCTTCAGCACCATGCGAACCCATTTATAGTGATCAAACTGGTCATTTGTGGGATCAAGAACTGGATCGCCCATTTCCAGTCCTTCGAGAGTGTCCTTTCGTTCAACCGGTCCATCGACGGTTGAGTCGAGAGTGCTCTGGCGCCTTGGGAAGTTGGAAGCCAAGCGGGTCAACTCAGCCTTTTGCTCAGGGTCCATGTTCTCCATGAAAGAGCTTTCATTGCGCGTCAACCTCGGCGGTCTTTGAGAATTGCTCGGCCCAGAGGCCAATTCCTCTTGTTTGGAGGAGCTGGACTGCGAGCTCTCGTCGGGCTTCTCAAGCTGAGCCATCTTTGAAGACGAGATTGACGACAAGCTAGAGCGGGAAACAAGGGTAGAGCTCACCCTAGAAGATGAAAGAAAATAGAAGCGGGTGAAGAAGAATTGGCCCAAAGAGCACCAGAGGGGTGATGAAGAATTTCAGGAAATCCAGGTTAGCGAATAGCCTGTCAGGACTTCGGGTAACGCGTGCCTTCCTACCATGGCCGATTTCCCTCGATTGGAGACGGATCTTCGCTTTGCCGACATCATTCACTGACAAAGAGTTTGGGGGACGCAAATAAGATTCAGGACGCTTGATGTTGTCATTTGTGCACGTTGCAAGTGATGATGTCACCCGCAACCTTCCGTGTAACGACGGGAGACCCGAGGAGCCAGTGGTTTCCAATAATGCTACGAGACGGAGCACTTGATTCGATCGGTGGAACAAACAAGAGCAATGGACAAACTGCAAGAGCTGCTAATTGGAAGTTGAGAGTTGTGGTTCCGTCCCTGGAGGGGCTGGGATATCGACCATCCGGATGCGGAATGCGTGGTTTTTCTTAGTTCTCCGCGCATTGGGTTTGCATCGGGCACTCTCGTTGTACCAGGAGTTCATGCACAGTAACTGTACGTTGAATAATAAGCCGAGAGGCTCAAATCCTAAATATCGGGCAGCACATTCTAAGATGCAGGCTTCTAGACTACTGCAGGTCTGGGGTTGATAATACTTTAATGATCACCCACTGAAAGGCTAGAAGCTACTGGGATAGGCGAGCACCGAATAATCAGCATTGTATTACCAACTGAATACATAAACGTACTTGTGGTCGGGTCTTAGTTTCAACAGGTTCTTTCGGACCGGCCTACTTATCCAGAACACCGCCTAAAGGTGCCCGACCATCGTTCTGGTGCCTCCACTATGCTGCGTAGCTTCATCGGCCTATCTAAGCTATCAACCTTAGTAAAGCTACAACCAATCCAAGCTACCAAGATCTACGAGAGGCGCCTAACCACAGAGCTGGCTCAAGCCGTAGTTAATGTCCGTAAGGGCTGGACAGGCTTTGAGTTACCCAGCAAGTCCGGCGCCTTTTGGAAATGGTTTTGGCGCTATCAAGGACCGCCTGAGGGGAGGGACGAGCCCAGACCCAGTCCAGCCCACTTATTACTGACGCGTTTGCAACCATGATGGTATGCACTTCGCAGCAGCAAGACGTTCCGAAGCTGCGGTCCCAGATAGAAATGATTGATTGGCCGGGCTGCATCTATCTAGTGACAGAAGTCTCGTCAGTGTCTATCTCGCTAGACAATAGCCATGGGTGGATGACCTGTGAAGCTTCAGATACCACCAGAAACGCAGTAGTAGTAAATGACTCACCAAGTTTGTGTTTTTGTTGTCGCGGCTGTTGTTGTTGTTGTTGTTGTTGTTGTTGTTGTTGTTGTTGTTGTTGTTGTTGATGGTGATGAGGATGGCTGTGGCTGTTGTGGTGGTGTGACGATGATGCTGTTGTTGATGCTAGTGGTGGTGGTGGTTCTGTAGCAAGTCGTACTATGACTTGCCGACTAGACCAAACCCCTCAGATGAGTGATGATTAGGCTGTGCATGCTAACAGCTTGTTGAAGTGTCAAGTTGAGGTGTCGGATTGAAGGAGAAGAGGAGATGAGAAAGGGAAGGGAGAGAAGAAGATGAGAGAAAGATGGGCTTTCCTCTCAGGATTGATAAACGGAAAGTGCGAACATCGTTATGATACAGAGATAGGCAGGAACGCTCGTCAACCCAGCAAGAGCCATATATTCTGCAGTTAAAATACCTTCTTACAAGGACCCTATCCATCACATCCCTCCCTACTTTGGTCATAGATATACATCACTCTAAAGCCATCGTGATCTGTAGATAGTAACTAAAATGCTAACCCGATCAACATTAGTCCATCGCCTTCCCCACACCAGCCCCACCGCAACCGGCATCCAAAAACAACCAACCAACCAAATCACACTGCAAATCAAACAATGCAAACAGAAAATATCTCCAAAAAAGAAAAAAAAAAAGTCACGAATAGCTTCATCAATCCCAAGGACTTCCCCAAACCACCATTGTCCAGAGACCACCAAGGAATCTTACGCTCTGGAAAGCGCAGGCACATCAATCGTCTCGCTCCCGCGAACATCACAAGCCCAAGGGCTCATCCCCCCCAGCTACCGCACTCGAACAATCTATTCCTGAACTGGAACCACCACCAACAAGCACAACCATGTCCGACGTGACCAAGACTCCCTTCGTACGGGATCTCGCCTCGAGCGGTACATACCTCACCCATCCGTCCAATTCGTACGTCCAGAAAACCAAATCTAACGAAGTAAAACTACAGAGAAGAAAATCCGCGACAAAGCCACCGACTCTCTCTCACTCTTCCTCCGCTCCAAAACCGACCTCTCCCTCATCGACCTCCTCAAACTATGGAAGGGTCTATTCTTCTGTACGCTACATCTCTTCCCCAAATATCACACCGCCACAAACACCAACTAATCATGTATTTAACCAGGCTTCTACCACTCCGACCGTCCCCTAACGCAACAAGCACTCGCCCGCACTCTCAGCTACAGCCTGGTCCCGACGCTCCCCCGAAGCACGCTGCATCGCTTCCTCCGCGCCTTCTGGATAACCATTGGACGGGACTTCCACTCACTCGACCGTCTCCGTCTAGACAAGTACCTATTCCTGATCCGTTGCTACGTGGGCGTTGCATTTGAGGTGTTCCTCAAGCCCCAGCAATCCTCCACCTCCAGCACCACATCCACAAACGGCGGCAAGCGCAAAAGAGAAGAAGAGCCTACATCATCAAAGCGGAATAAGAAGAACAACAAGAACAAGAAACAAACCCAACAAGAAGAATCCACATCATCAGCAACCACCGCAGAAGAAAAAGACTGGTCCGCCCTCGAATCCTACATCACCATCATCGAAGAAGGACCCTTGTGCCCTCTGAACTTTGACCCGGATCAACCGCCCATGAACGAGAAGGAAGATTACGTGCCCATGCCGCATGGACCGGACGGATTGCGGTACCATGTGATGGATATCTGGATTGATGAGTTGGAGAAAGTATTGGAGTTCGAGGAGGGAGAGGAAGAGGGGCAACCGAAGAAGAAGGTCAAGGGCGGAGTGCCGATGGAGCTTTTGTTGAGGCCGATTGAGAAGTTGAAGGCGGAGAGTGGGTATAAGCCTGTGCGGACTCGGGCTGCGGAGACGCTGGATGATGAGCGGTTGGTTGAGTGGGGGGTTAAGGAGAGGAAGGTGGTGGAGGAGAGTAGTGATGAGGAGTGGGATGGGTTTGATTGAGCTGTTGATATTTGTCTGTATAAATTCTAATGGCTCTTGCATTTTTCTGTTTGATCAAAAGTGTATAGATTGTGAATTGGATGGCAGCGTGCGCATGCTGTGTTTATTGGCTGGCCTGATTTGAGTCGGCTAGCTCTACTACATCATGTGAATGAAACAATGTATATTTATATAGTGACTCTATGCGCCATCTTGGTGCACTGCTGTCTAGTATACAGAAAGCACAATCCAATTGAAACGACAGTAAAGCAAGCCAAAACAGAAAGTCTTGCGCCAGGGTATCATCAGAGTGCGAAGACCAGAATGAAGAATATAGAACGACGACATCTAAAGTACCACCCGCTACTTTTTCGCTTGTATCATCCCCCAACGTCTAAGGTTTCGGTCCTTCGGCTTCGTATAGGTGACCCGACCTCGAGAGGACAGTGCCCAAGCCCTTGTGGATTTCCACTTGGAAAGCTTCAAAAGGTATGCTCTCTCCGTCAACGCTGATGTAGCCCTCCTTTTCGTGGGGAACAAGCCGATAGGCAAGAGCCTTGCGGATTTTGACGTCAGGCATATCGAAGAAATCGCCTTCGGGAATGGCGGTCATCATTTTGAGCGTGGTCAGGCGACTGAGAGTCCCATCGATGGTGACGATATCCATCAGGCCATCGTTAGGCAGAGAAGCAGGGAAGAAGTTCGTATCCTTGGACACGATGGCCATCTTGCCCGCATAGAAATTGCCAAGATTCTCGGCTGGAATAACCTCCCAGTCCTTGGGCAGCTCGTCCAACACGGTGCCGTACACGAGCTCGGGAAGCCCGTCCGGCTGTTCTGTAGTACCCTTGTCCGGACGACTGGGCGGCTGGCTCTGCGCGTAAGCACTGTAGTGATCTTTAATCGCTTGTTTATCATCCATTACGACCTTGACTGCCAGATCGCACGGATACACTGCGCGGCGCATGATACGCTTGAGAAATCCGTAGGTGAAACGGTGAGCACCCATCCATCGAATATCATCTGTACCGAGGTCGGATTCCGCGATGATACCGAAGGACTGTGACAGGAAGGACAGCGTGCGAGTCTTTCCCTGCGTGATGGAAACCAGATCCATAGGGGTTCGGACACCCTTTACAATGGCCAAAGCCGCCACTGAGACACTGCCCGTTCCGCAAAGATTCCACGCCATTGCGTTTCCGGACCCGCAAGGCACCATTGCCACGGCCACTTTAGCTAAAGCTTCACCGGCATTAGGTTTCTTCGCCAGACCGTTAAAAACCTCGTAAGGCAAACCATCTCCGGAGCAGCAAATGATCGCATCATACGCATTGACATCCAGTTGCTCCACAATTTCAACGGCGTGGCCTCCATGCGTTGTTTCCTGCACGTCCACCTGGCAGCGGGCTGCAGCAAAGACAGGAGCTGCATACGAGGAGTACAATTTGACCGCGTGGCCTTGACCGCCGAACGGGTTGACCAGAACCTTGAGTCTCTTGTACTGTTTGGCGGTACCATACGCAACGGATAAGAGTTTGTTCGTCCAGGATTCTACCGCCGCCTTTTCTTCGGGCGCGAACGGGTATCGCAGGGCGGACACAGAGACATCCTCTTTAGAGGCCGGCTCCGCATAGGTGATAGTAAGGCCCTCGGGCGACAGGTCGGCGTCCAAGACATTGTAAAGCGCAATGGAGTGAGTGGGTTTGGCTGTTTTGCTGGCGATGCCGCAACACCCACGCTCGGATTTGCGCATGGAACGCTCATCTGCGCGAATGCCAGTACCTCGTTAACACGGGAATTCGGTGAATAATCTCGAGAAGGGCAATTGCGCAATGAGACTTACCGACAATCAAAAGAGAGTCGCCCCCTAGGGTGAGAGAGACCGAGTTGGAGACTATCAGCGTCGCATCATGTTCAAGCAGCTGATCCCGAGTTTCCGGATGATCCGCGTTGTTAAACGACGGGCGAGGAGGCCCGTTGGAGGTGGTCATAGTGCCCAGCGCAGGGCACAGCGTGGAGGTGAAGAGCCGACCGTATTTAGAAATGAGAAAAGATAGATGCGTAGAAGTGAATGTGGTCAGTAAGAATACTAACCATAAGAATAAGAGAAAGACGAAGGAAATGAAAGAGTTTGAGACGAAGAGAAGGAAGGTGTTGGGGGAATGAAACGGGCAAGTCTCAGGATGGAGCGGAGAGAGACCGGAGACTCGGAGAACCACTGAACCATCCATTCATCATTCAATAATCGAATATCGGCAGTCCAACTTTTATGGCGGGCTCCACTTTTTTCCACTCCACTTGTCTGCCCTGTAAATTGATAGGCTTTCAGATAAGACTTGTACCCTCATCATGCCATGACAGGAACACCTTTCTTTTTGAGTCCGGGCCCTACATGATGCATGCCTGGATCTGGTGGGTTTCCGGTCATTCCTGGGGAACTTGCCACTGCATGCACTGCCGAGATCGCCGCAACCATCCATCCTTATCTGGGAATGCGCGCAGCCCTTCCGCGCCCATATTTACACTGTTGGCTGGTCTGATTCGATGATCAAGACGCAATGAAATGATTTCTCGAAGGACCTTCGCTCCCCTGATGCATTCTTTCGAACAAAGCCGATGTTGCTCGGAATAATGCCCTCCGTGTCGTCGGAATCGGGCAGTTGCAGCCATACTCCGAGGCAACACCTGCGGGGTGGCGGGCATGGGATGCATCGTGCTTAATCAACGTGGTACAGATGAGCTTGGGCAAGTCCATGACGGCGTCCAAGAAACATCCTACTGCTGTGACAATAGCTGGCCATGGTGGTACATACATACACACATACATACAATAAAAATGAAATAAAGTCGTTCAAATGGGGCATTCCATTGAGAGATAAAAAGTCTTTTCTCATCCAGAATAAACAGAGTAAAAGGTGCATATAGTCAACAAATTCGTCCATTAAGAAGAACACAGAAGAGTTAAAATAAAAAAAAAAGCGCAGTTGAAAAAATCGAACAGAAGAGTCATGTAGTAGGGAACAAGGGTAGTGGCTATTCAAATATGGCTCAAAGGGGATTCTCTATTCATGCTGTAGACGCCTTAAGGCCCTTCAAAGACCCCAGGCTCAAGGCCAGACCCTGAGAACGGCTTCTTATCCGCACAAAGCCGGTGATCGGCCCGTCCTCTCCCTCCTTCTCGATGCTCAAGTTCGCAAGGGCATCCTCACCTGTGACAGTCAAGTTAGCGGTTATCCAGAAAGCGAGGATGGAATGAATCTCGCGATGGGGAGATCTGTTACTTACCAAATACGCTCCGGGCATATAGATTGGCACTCAGGAACCGACAGTCGCCCTTGAGAGACGCCTCAGGCGTCAAGCATGCCATGTTGGTGCTGTCCATCAGCTGCTTGAGGAACTCGCGAAGGTTCTTCGCCTTGGAGTTGATGTTGACCTTGTTCTCCCATTCAAACTCGGTCCACATCGTCCGGAACTGCGTCTCGGTGCAGTGTGCCGGCTGGATGTAGTCCATGATGTCGGCATGGATGTCATTCAGGATAACAACATGCGACTCCGTCGAGCTCGCCCCGTCGTACACAATGTTACCGAAAATCACACCCGTGTCCGTCGACGACACCTTGACTGTAGCCTGCACATTCAAGAAATCGCGAGGTCCAAGGTTGTGCGTGGTGGGCCGCTCCACCACCTTGAGGTCTCCGAGAGTCGCAAACTCAACACTCAGGTTCTGGAGGGTCTCAAGGGTCTGGTTGACCAGGAGGACATCCAGGACGATATCGAACTGGTGAACCGTGACATAAGCCTCGGCGTATACCGGGTCTGAGAAACCAGTGAGTTGCACAACGCGGCTCAGCTTCGAGGACACCGTCTCCACAGTTGAGTCACCGCCAGTGGCCTTGGCCAGATCCAGCTCGATCTCCTCAGCACCTTCAAGAGCTGCCTTCTTGGTGAATTGCCGGATGGGGATGGCATCGTCAACTTGGACGGCAGTCTTTGCCTTCTCAACGGCCTCCTTAGCGGCCCTCTTCTTGTCTTCCACTTGAACCATGGCGCGGAAGGCTTTCCGGGTGTCTTCCAGGAAGGTAGTTTCCAATTCCTTCTTCTGAGAGAACTCTGCAAGCGAGCGCACACAGCACATGACGCGGTCCACGGAGTCTTCGTCGATGGGAGCCTTGACGAAGTGCGACTGGCCCACTCGGATGATGGAGATCATGATGAGCATAGCCTCTGCACGCAGGGCGTTGGTCCGAGCAACATCTTCGGAGACCTCCGAATGGCGCATCACCAACTTAGTAAGGGTGGACGAAAGCACAGTAGCAAGGTAGTAGTCGCCATCCAGGATCAGTTGACGAAGAGGGGGCTTCTGGGCGGCCTTGACAGCCTCAAGCCGAGCAGCCGCAGCAGACTGGCTGGTCAGAGCACTCTCGGTGGCATAGGTGCCGTCAGCCAGCACCTTCCGTGATCCGGTCGGGGCTGACGGCTTGGAGTGGCCGTTAACCTGCTCCTTGAGGGCCGCATCCTCAGGGACTTCATCAAGAAGTCGCTGTTCCGAGGCAAGAATGGGGATTTCGCCGAGACTGGCCCTGATCCGTTTCCAGGCTTCGCGGATATCCCTCTCCTCCAGAGAATATTCTCCGACAACCCACAGGACACCCCGGTAGACCTTGCCGGCACGGACTTCGCTCAAAGTAGAAACCAGGCGATCAACAATAGAGGTTCTGAGCGCGGGGAACTTCTCCACGACTTCCTTGACGAATGAGATCACATCAACGGCGGAGTTGTTGTTGAAATCAGCGATGAAGTCCATCAGAAGATCGACAACGCTAGCTGCGATCTCCGAGAACTTGATGGCGCAGTTATGTATCGACTGGATCAACAATTGACGATATTCGCTGTTCTACAAGGTTGTTAATATATTTGTATACCACCAGCAAACTGTGCAAGCCTACCTTTTCATATTGTTCATCAACAGTCTTGGCCAGTTCCTTCTTGAGCAGCATGACAATCTCTTCGACATTCTTGCTCGAAACCATCTCCAAGGCAATGCCGAGGGCTTTCCGACGAACGTCGATATCCGGAGAAGAGAGGACGCGGAGAATTTCCATTGTAAGGTCATCAAGGACACCTTCGTTGCGGATTCGTAGCTGATCGACTCGGTCAAGGACGATAAGCTTGACGTTGTTGTCAGCTTCTTTGATGCACAGTTCGATCAACTTGCTTGCTGCGGCCTTCACGGCGACGGGGTTGCTGGTGAGTGCGGTAAGAGAAGTCGCAGCTTCGTAGATGACAGTACTTGTTGACGCATCGAGAAGGTCGAAAATCAGGCGCAGGTACCGTGCCTACTAGTCATTAGCAACCGGCTGCAACGGGTTTGATCTCCGGAAGCCCACCTTGTTCTGAGTGTTCTGCACAGCATCCTTTCTGATGAACTCCAGCTCAGCCAATTGAAGTAGTTCGTCCGTGTTCGGGATGCTGTCGAAGGTAGAAGCCAGGTACTCCAGGGCCTTTTGGTGGCTGATGGACATGAGGGCCGCGAATGCATTGCGCTTGCAGGTGCCATCGGTCTCCGTATCGAGGAACGCCTGGATAAGCTCCGGGGCGTCGGGGATGAGCGACTCTGAGTGCTGGAAGATGGAAGCGACAGCCCACACAGCATTCTTCCGGACATATGCGTGGCGGTGATCCAAGCAGGAGCGTGCGGACGAGAGGAGGGGTTCAATGAGTTCCGGTTCTCGGAGCTTGCACAAGAATCGCAGGGTGTTTCCTCGGACGTATTCGTTGGGGTGCTGAAGATCGTTACGGATACCGTTACTGCGCAAAAAGATCGTTTGTTAGATAGAACGGCCTACAATGTCGGGATGCGCCATGTTTCCTTACCAGACCAGGATCATCTCTTGCTTCAGCTTGCCATTCGCGTCGAGTTTCGGACAGATCTCATAGTAGAAATATAGGAGTTTCTTGAGGGGCTTGCTTTTGGACGGCATGACAAAGCGAATGATATGCATGAGCAGTTGGGGCATAGGGTCGCCATTGAGCATGATTGTGATGATCCGCCTCATTGTCTCCATCTTGGTCTCATCGGTACCCTTCTCCAACTGCAGCTTCAGCTCCTGCAGAGAGGGCTGATCAGCAGTGTTGTCCAGGTGGACCAAGCTGTATGCATTTTCTAGGAAGGACGCCATGGTGATCGAGCGGTGCGAACGAATGGCCGGTACAGGGAAGGGTTCAGGAGGGAGGAGAGCTGGAAGCGGTCGTCAGTACAGGTGGTTGTTTGGGCCGGTCAGGGGGGAAGGATGGGAAGACGGACTGGAACAACTCTCCCCAGAATGATTCGATAATAGTAGAGGGAATTAGATTAGTGCAAATTGTCTCCCCTCACCTGCCTAGCATTCATCAGAGCGAATGTTGACAATCCGGGGACATTGAGTATCAACCTGGCCATTTGCGCGGCGGAGCAAGCTGTCCGGAGTGTGTGGATGACTAAGCCCGCCTGGACCAACCCTGCAAACCAGGCAATTCCATCCAGGCACGCGCTACGAAGCGTTCATTTCCAGCTTCCCTTTTTCGTGTCAAGCCCCAGACGTTGTCGCTTGAAGTATTCGAAAGATGTCGACCCAAGGCGAACCATTCTACCTCCGCTACTAGTAAGGATGATTTGTGTGTGGCCCAGATTTCCTCAGCTGCTGACAGTTCCGCAGCTCAGGTCACTCTGGGCGGTTCGGACATGAGTTTCTAGGTAGGTTCCCCGCGATGGTCTACAGCTCGAGCTTCCCTATTAACAGAGCTTAAGAGTTCGACTTCCGTACCCTTGGCGATGGCCGTAGCGCTGCCGTGCGATATGCGAACAACTCCAACTACCGCAATGATTCCCTGATCCGGAAAGAAAGTGAGTGCTAGGAAAGGGCCGTCCGGTTCTACATCGATTCGCTAATGGGCGATCACTACAGTGTGCGTGAGCGCGTCGATGATTCAGGAAGTGAAGCGCATCATCAAGGAAAGTGAGATCATGAAGTGAGTCAATCAGTGGGGTTCAATGGCGGTTGGTGGGGGTAAAAAGATGCTGATGCGACGCAGGGAGGATGATTCCAAATGGCCTCAGAAGAACAAGGATGGACGTCAGGAACTTGAGATTCGGCTCGGGAACGAGCATATCTCCTTTGAGGTATGTCCATCGCCTCATTGACATAGATACTAACAGACGGGAACCTGACATCTGTTGTAGACTGCGAAAATCGGCTCATTGGTGGATGTGACTGAATCTGCGGACCCGGAAGGCCTACGAGTCTTCTACTATCTCGTCCAGGACCTGAAGGCCCTCATCTTCTCGCTTATTTCGCTCCATTTCAAGGTAAACACAGCTCCTTTGTCTCTTGCTACTCTATGAGTATCGAGTCTAATTCGGTAATAGATTAAACCCATCTAAATGGTGGTGGTTGTGGGAACATGAAATGAAACGGTTCAACTTTCTGGGATGAATAATAGGCGTTTTCTATTTGACTGCAGCCGTGGCGGATATACTACTAGTGCTACTTTTTCTTTTTTTTTACTTTTCCTTTTCCACATTCCCCCAAAAATTTGTCTGGCAGTTTGGGTTGCTTGAAACGAGGCCCGATGGCAAAGCGACTCACCGAAAGGCGATGACGCAATGAGAGCTTGCCACTTAGGGCCAACGTAGCGGAAGAATTGGAATACCCAACGACGTGTATGTGTGTGTGTATGTAGGTGTCTGAAGTGTTTGATGTGTAAAAAAAAGAGCCGAAAACGGAAACAAAAGCAGCGAGAGCAAGCCATTGCATAATGGGGATTATTATTGTAGCGGGCCACGTCCGTCGGGACGAGCGTCAGAAAAGCTGCAAGGGAGGCCGTGCTAGACGTGCAAAGGCTGCAAAATACTGCCAAATGCCAGAAATGCTCGAATAACCGCCCGAGGCGCCGTTTGCCCCATTTGCCTCCCCCGCGCTCGCATGATCAGTTGGTCGATTCCTCTTTGGGCAGTGCCTCGCCCCGGACTGACCACCAAACTAAACGAACCTCTTCGTCCTTCCTCAATCCTTTCCTTTGGCTCCTTCATCCCCGATCTCTCCTCTTTCTCCTCTGCTTGCTCCCCTTCTTCTCTCCCTAGACTTTGCTTCTTTCCGCTGTCTGCGCCCTAACTATTTGCCACCCCGATCCGCTGTCGTCCTCCCCGTACCCATTCTAGTTCGCCCCCTCCGGTCCAATAAATCACCCCTATCCTTGAGCTGCCCTTACACTGTGCTTGTATCAGGTTGTCTCTTCCGCCTGATCGTGTTTCACTTCTCCGCCTATCGGTGGGAACCTACAATTTTATCGATTCCGATGTCATTCCTTCCTTAATTAGCCTCCAATGCCGACTCCGAGTGATAACACCCCGCCCTTGAATGCTTCAATCGCAGAAGAAATCTCCGCTCGCTCTACCTGTCCCCCAGAGGTTGAAAGAGAGACATTACATACCAGAGAAGAAAGGCCGTATCCCTGGGTGTCGGCGTGGGAAAGGAGAAGCACCAGCGATGATGCTCCCGACAACACGTTTTCGCCAACCGTCCCATCAAACCAGACCGCCTTAACGCCATCAGATGGAACTCCCTTTACTTCTACTGATGCGGACCCCGTGAGGGGCGAGCCAGTAGCCAGAGCGCCCACGAAGGGCGTGGGTAGATCGGAAGATGAACCTGCTGCGGGGAGACTGAGCCCTGCTGCGGAGTCATCGTGCTCCTCCGGCCCATCATCTCCAGTCACCCCTTCATCGGCCACTTCTCTACTAAGCTATGAATTTTCTAACATTCGGGTATGGTGGCCTACTTTTATCCTTCCCGTCTCTAGGTCCCCCTTGCTGATTGTGCTAGCTGTTACCCAATTATTCGTCGTCTTTTTTGCGACCGGGAAGTAGATTTACTGGCACGCAGCAGTCAGACAGCCATGTCTACAGCGTTGATGTGGAGATCAAGCACGTTGATATGCTTGAATCTTATCTTTGTGGATACCTCCGCATACAAGGTCCGTGAGCGCTTGCACCAGCCCGCTGTGGCCCATTCTAATCTTTTTGCATCAGGTCTTACCGAGGATCACCCTACTCTAACAACGTTTTTTGAGGGCGAAATCATCGGAACCAAGCACACGTTTAAAACTAGAAATGAAGCATGGGGCGCGACCGAAAAGACTGACATGCAACATTGGGGACGGTTTCCCGCTTGGCGATCGCAGGCGAAACAGGCGAAGAGACCGGATTTCACATTTCGAAATTTTGCCCAGCGTGAGCATCTCTTCATGCGTTGGAAAGAGTACTTCCTCGTTCCCGATCATCGCGTGAGGTCGATCTCCGGAGCCAGCTTCGAAGGCTTCTACTACATATGTTTTAATCAGGTGGAGGGAACGGTTGCTGGGATTTACTTTCACGCCAAGAGCGAAAAGTATGTGTCTGCCTCATCCCAGTGGTATTTATGACAGACAAAACTGACTTGGTTAATTGCTAGGTATCAACAACTCGAACTCAGACATGTCAAAGACTACGGTTGTGCGCCAGCCATGGAGTTCCGTTGATCTTCTGGCGGATTTGTCCAGTATTCGATTCTACTACTGCAAAAGGATCTCATCTACAATAACATCCTACGGTTTCACATGACTCTACATTCTAATGGGTATTATATGGTCACGTTCATTTCCGTGCCTCCCAGCCGCGATGGCTGATCTGTTACGGTTATACTGTCGGAGTTACTATTACCCCGCTCTGTTTTGACTGATGTCTCTTGACGAATTTTCTTCCGACTTGTCTTCTTCCTTTTTCTCTCTTCTATCGGCGCAGGCTTGGATGATACGATATGGTATGGAACGGAACTCTATTCGCCAAATTTATCCTCGCACTTTTCTATTTTCTTCAATATGACGCAGCGCAGCACAACAAACGCAACACAACACACTGTATCGTCTTCTCTCTTGACCGTGAGGACTCTTATTTGATATACTAGGCAGCGGTATCGGGGCGAGCGCAGACTCGACTTCCTCATTGATGTCTGCTTTTTCATTCAATTTAGTTGTTGCTTCTTTTCTCAATTATGACCGGTTTAACTTAGTTCCGATAGCGGTAGCGTTGGCCTCCTTGTTGTGCAAGGGACAATTTTCTCTGTTTTCTTGACTGTCTGAGTGAGAAATATATATTACTATTTTATCTATCTATTTCCACTACTACGCTCAACTATAGCTATTAAGTTCTTGGCTGTGCTACGCATGTGTTTTCAATTCCAGGTATCATTCAAAGGCACCGAGTATACCTTGCTATCTAATTCTACTACTAGAGGCTCACAAAGTTTAAGGGATCTAAAGAGTGCCATCCATAGTACTCCGTATCTACGAACGGAACTTCTTTTTATGAATCATGGACATGTCTAAACAACTTAATACAATATCATGTATTGTAACTAAGAGCACATCGAACATGTTACCAAAACAACTTCATAAATAAATACTCTTTCGTTTTCTCGAGCACTAATATAATGGTAACTGAAAATAAAAAAAAGCCCATCCCGAGAACTGCAGCACAGAGCACATATCTTATATCACATGGCTATATCAATGGAACCTCCCAAAGAAGAGGAGTACAGAAGCGGAAGGAAAAGAAATTCAAACGAGACAAACACTACTGATGACATGACATGTAGGACCTGAGGACAGTAGGTAAAATGAATGTTAAGTTTTGAGTCGGGGTATCAAATGCAAATTTTTATGCGTGTATGAATGTGAAAGGGCTGAGATAGATAATTGCAAACAGAGATTCGAAAATCTGGTGAAGATGGGTTGAACAGACAATATGGGGACATCGTGATGGATTGGTTGTCTGTGTGGAAGACTGGTGAGATGATGAACAGAGATACAGATCAGGTAGATCCAGATGCTGGAAGAGGGATCAGGATGATCATAGATACGCTGAGTTCTGGCGACTGCCTGAATGGGAACTACCACCGCTATTGTCGCTGCCAGGCGTGGCTGGCTCGAGTACGACTTGCTGGCGGATGGAGACGATCCATTCATGCTGGAGGAGTTCTGCTGCAGTGGACCGTTTATTGGGGTCACACTCGAAGCATCGTCGGAGGAAGTCGATACCTAGGTCGCTGAGCTGGTCTCGGGATGGCAATTGCGGTTGGTTGCCCTGGGCAATGTTGTACATGATGGCCCATTCGTTATCCAGAGTGGACCAAGGGCGACGACCCGTGGCCATTTCTAAGATCACGCATCCTAACGACCAGATGTCGACAGCTCCCTGGCGGTGGATAAGTTTTGTGGTATCGCCGCGAATCACCTCGGGTGACATGTACATTGGGGTGCCGGTCATCGTTTTCTGGTTCTTGCCCCAATTGTTGTGAGCCAGCTGGGCGTCCTTGGGCACTATAGCGTCCTTATGACCAGCGCCAGCGAAGGCATCCATAGGGACAACGGTTCTGCCCTGACGAGCGATGATCTTTGCAGCTCCAAAATCGACGTATTTGATGATACCGTTATGATCAAGCAGGATATTTTCAGGCTTGATATCGCGATGGATAATGCCAGCCTGGTGCAGGTACGCTAATCCCTCCAGCAACTGAAGAGCGTAGACCATAATGACGGTTTCATCCTCGACACGTCCGTGCTCAAGCAAGCTGGCAAGGGACCCACCAGAACAGTATTCCATGAAGATGTAGACCTTATCGCGGTGCACTTCAATACCGTGGTAAGAGACGATGTTAGGATGATCCAAGACTTCCAACACACCCATCTCATCACGGATTTGCTGGGCAATTTTAGGGATAAGTTGGGGGTCTTGCAAACGGATCTCCTTGACAGCCATGAGGTAGTTGCTGTCAAGGTTAATTCCAGCGTAAACGGACCCAAAGGTTCCTCCACCAATGAACTGGCCCTGTTGCCATCGCAGAGTAACGTTCGTAGCCGAGGATGAAAGCACCGTAAGAGACCTGTCCGCTTCGTTTGAGCCCTCTAGAACCCTTCCCAATGCTTGGCGTTTAGCATCTTCGTCAACGCGTCTCTCCTCGATCTCGGTAAGATGAGCCACGCGCTGCTCCCGAACAAGCTTGGCTGCCTCTTCATCTGTAAGGATTCGCCCTGCGCCCATTCGTCTCGAACCGCCGCGCTCTTCCAAGCGTTGCTTCTCTGCTTGAGCCGCACGAGACGATCGAGCACCCATGATATCAAAGTGAGATATAAGGAGCGACATGCACCCGGCAACCTTCTGCCTCAGTCGACTATACTGAGCATCATCCATAGACAGGAGGTGCCTGCTGGAGGTGATAGCCATTGCAAATTCCAGAGCAGCAACGGCCCACTTGAAGGTTTTCCTGTCAGCAGCATCACAATCATCACAGATGAACGAAACCCAGTCGAGGGACAACTCGACAAGTCTATTACTGTTCATTGCGCGTCTATTGGGATCAACGTTTGAAGAACGCTTCCCGAACTCGGTCGCAAAAGCATAGCATGCTTGGACTAGATCGTGGTTCTCCACGTCTCTATCCTTGAGTTGCTCCCGTATCCGGGCAACACTATCCATGATAGTCATTGATAGCTTGAATGACGTCTTCTTGATCTTGTTTAGCTCCACGTTGACCCGACCAAGATTGGCACGTTGCTCGATGGCCATATCGAGCTGAATACCAGTGAGATGAGTCAGCTCATGTCTCGCATTAGACAGCCGCTGCTGCGTCCCTTCAACCACAAGTCGCAATTTGCCCAATCGCAAGTCCGTAGGCTGTTCCATGATGCCCAGCTGCATTTCTTTGCCAGCCCAGGAAAGGGGCTTTTCCGGACGAACCACGAGTATATACGGTGCATGGGGTGTATCCTTGCTGGTGTCATCCTCACGAAATGATGTGCCTAGGATAGCTTGGATATCTGCAGGGCGATCCCACAATGCAGGGTGCGCAAAGAGATAGACGCCCTTTTGACCAACAGAGACGTTTGATTTGATCATAAAATGATCCGACACAAGCAACGACTCCAAAAAGTCGTATGCAATGTCAGCCGGCAAATTGTATTCCGTTGCATTTTCGAACAGCTGGCGCAAGAATCGGGAAAATCGGTAAAGCTTCCGTTGCCGGATCCGAGTTGAGTCCAATACGCTTTTATAACGCTTGTCCATGTCGGCAGGATCCTCGTCATGGCGAGGCTGCAACTCCCGCTCGAAGTGGTACATCAAGCGTTGGATCGACTTGGCAGTCAGTGCACTAGCTCAGGTTAGCCATATTGATATATCGCATAGTGTGAAGGTTGTTCGTACCTAAACTGCTCCGCGACCTCGATATCTCCGCCCTCAAGTTGTCGGCCGACCTCGTTGGAAAATTCCCAATCCTGTTCTAGAATCTCCGCTTCTTTGAATGTGTTCTTATTTGCAGTCAGCTTCCAGTTCAGAAGCCGGAAGTAATACTTCATCGCATCCAAGACGACTGCGTCGAAACCGTCATCAATGCAAGGGGGCAGGTCCCACCCAGGCTCGGGTCTGGCGATATCCAAATAATGCCGTTTGATATCGACCGCCACCTTCATCAAAATCTGGAACTGCGATATCATTTGATCGACTAAGATGGCGGATTGCGAAGCTGGGTCTTTCATATTCTTAGCGTAAGATAGTCGAACCCGTATAATTTCCTGTATGAGACGAGACGGGAAATTGATAAGAGTAAGAAGTTCTTCGATATAGGGAGGTAAGTGGCGTTTGGCGAAGGAACCGGCATTCTCAATTAATGTATTCTTTGCTTTTTGGATGACTTCTCCAATGCCGTGGAGCATGTTATGTTTTCCTTGCAGCGTTTTGAGGCCATCCTCCTTCATGATGCGGTCAAGGAAGGATGTTTCGTCGGAAAGGTCGCTATTGATTGATTTCGTTCTCGATTTGCTGAAATCCAACTCATCGTTTCCAACCCATTTCTGCAGGATAGCGAGCTCGGTGTTGATCAAGATGGTCGTGTTGTGCCAGGCAAAAACAGCATCGCGACTCGAGTGATACTCCTCTGAAGCGACTCTGGGGTGGGCAGTCTCCAGCTCCTTGTGAGTAGAGTAGAGGCTTTCACAACGTTCTATCTGTGCGACAATATCCTCAACCTGCTTGATGGGTGGCTTCCCGATCTCTGTTTCACCTTTGATCTCGAACTTGATAATTTCTTCGATGATGGGGCCAAGGCCAGCCCTCGCTTCTTCAATGAGTTTCCTCTGCAGTGCAACACTCCTTCCACAGGTCCTGGCTCTGACACCCAACCATATTGCGTTGTTCTGGGCCGACGATCGTTTTGATTCTGTAGAGCCGAGTAATCGCTGTTTCTCTTGCTTCACCACGTCTCCCTTTAACACAGACGAAAGCATAGAATGCCACTCCAGCCTCTCTTGGTTTCTTGGGTTCTTGAGTTCCTCGATCGTCGGCTGATTGTCGTCGGTCAGGAAGAGTTGAATATCCGGATCGTAGGCATCGTCTTCGAAAGGAACCTCCGAGGATGGTGAGGGTTCTTCTAGGTCCGAGTCCCCGACCGTCATGCTCATGTTTTGAGCCTCATCGAAATGACTGTACCAGGCCTGAGGGTCCGCACGAATGCGCTGGACATACGCCTTCTCCTGAGCTCGGTACTGTGCATTGGGATCGCGTCTAGAAGTTCGTTTCGTTGATGAGCTCCGTTGGCGGTCATTTTGGAAGCTGATATACTGAGGTGGGCGTCGTTGGGGCGCGTAGGTATTGGAGGGCGTCCGAGCGGGGCCGGACGGACGTTGCGGCCTCAAGTCACGATCGGTCACCGGATGGCCATCCATCGGCGGAGCTTTCTCAAGAGCAGCAGAAGCACCTATACTGGCCCCGCGGGCGCGTGTGGGCGTGCCGGTTGCCCATGATGGCAGGGCAGACGCAATGGATGGGGGAGGGGACGAGGAAATGGTCGTCGCCGGGGTTTGGACCTGGGTGTCGAAATTCTCCGGGAAACTGGAGTTGGCTCTTACAGCATATGGCTGCTGCAGAAGCTCATCGGAGGACCCGGAGCCATCCGAATCATGGTTGTTTAAATCAGGATGCTCCATGATCGGAAACCCGCGGTCCTGCTGAGATTCCATGTCGCATGTCCGACGTTTGGAAAGCGGGTTGGGAGGGAAGCCTCAAGCGGATAGATAGGGGGGTGTGGCGGTGCACGTCTGTGCTACTTATCGGTTCCGGACTGGGGATGATCTCGCGCAGGCGTACCAGTTGCATTCAAGAACTTGAGGTGCGGGTGCTATTACAGTTGAAAGACAGGACAAGTTAGATGACTTCTCTGCCATTCAAGAGTGAAAGCAGTGAAGCATCTGAGGTATAAAACGAGTGGTATGCTCCAGATTGACAGGGCGGAGCTTCAGCCGGAGGTGGATTATTCCTGCCACGTCTATCCCGGATCGGGAGGCGGTAGGGCCCATTATGCCACAATCACGAGATGAATGGTGCCTCAGGCGGAAGGCACATGCTTTTTTACACGGCATTGTTCTAGGTCTCAAGGATAATATGTGCACATGCTCACACCGAATTTTGTTAATGGGATATGGTAGCTCTGAATTGGCCTCTACTGTGGCGACTGACCCCTTGCTTGTCGCAAGTGCTCATAGGACTAACAAAATGACAGATCACACGGCTGGCGCTTGAAAAGGTATTTGAGAGAACTGAAGCCTGTTTACGCCTTCCGATAGTCAAGGGAAGAATGCAGCATTGATTGACACCCTTTTACTCATCTCTCGCCCTTCTCCTTTCAGCGTGGACTCTCAAGGGTTTTCAAAAGTGGCAGATTTCAAGTGGGTGGTTGCCTACGAGCATTCGTATAGCTATGGGCCGCGTTCAGCGCTGCAAATGATATTGCTCCCAAAACGCGACATCAGAGAAGCAAATAAAAACAACCATCGACATACTTCTCAAATTGACCAAGTCGGGAAACCGAGAAGGTGATCCGAAACTCTACTCCTTATAGTCCAGACGGAGACTTGTCGGGTTGGTATGCGTTCTCCTTTTCGGGCATCTGTAGATGTCCGTTCAATGCGGCCTCATGCACCTTCTTGAATTCCCCGCCTGATTGTTGGATAAAAAGTTGGACGATGATCAATTGACATCTTGAAGATCGCCCTGAGGCGTGAATAGTGGCATGCGTCTGATGGTTGATCAGTGGAACCCATTGTCCTGAATTGGGGCTGCGGGTCTCTTGGAGATCCATTTTAGAAATTCTGGGGAAGCTTAAGCAGGTACTGAAGCCTGGTGGACAGTAGACCATGGCAATAGTTGATCCGACCGCCTGGTAGAAGGTCAGTTTGATAATGACATCATGCTAGCAACATGAACCATGTCCATGATGGGGCGTTGTGGTCTAACTCCGTAACAGAGATTCTCTATGGGTGATGAGCTGCATCAGTCTTTCAGAGGGTAGTACTGGGTTATTCTAATGAATTAGAGATTTGAGAAACATCGCAACTATCATTACTCATGGGTTTCTGCTCGACAATTTTCTACTAAGTGACCAAGAGCAGCAGAGATAGATTAAGATATGATTATCAAATTCATGTTAATCAGAAACATAATCAAACATAACCTACCAGATGATCTCGCATTGATTGATGAAAGTGAAAGAGACCCCCAAGGTGCCAAGCCCGCTAGTCCGAGCCAGTCGGGATGCCGAACTGCCCTAGCCAATGGGGACCAGTGAGCTTATCTCTACCTACGGGAGACGCATACTGGGAGTACGAAGTGGTGCTTGGTACTAGTAAATATTGTAAATTCCACGAAGAGGTACAGAGGAAATAGTTCCAACTTGCTGACAGATATAGCGGGCTACTATGCTAGTGCTACTTGGTGCTACCGTTGATCCAGGGATATCGATTGCTGCTGTGGTTCCGTGGAGTTGTTGGTTCATCCAAGTTAACCAGCCCTACGATCCGTGCTGGAAACACGAATCGCTTGATCTGGACTTACCTCAAATTATTCTTTTTTTGTAGGTCGCATGAGACACCTTCAATCATTGATATACTGCTAGTTAGAATCATTTTAACCAAAGTCCATCTTACAATATTGCTGTAGGATGTTACTCAGAAGTCAGCTGGTGACATAGTATGGTATCTCCACGGAGTACGGAGTAACCTTCCTGCTATGAAGGAACAACGCAGACACTATCCGACAAGGATGATGAGACGGAGGTCTTGCTTTCATTAAATCTCTAGTCATAGAGTAAGTATCGACATTACAGCCGACAATACTAATCGCCAGGAGTAACAGGAACCCATGGAGTTTGTTTTGAAGAGAAAATCAGGAGGCCTGATAAGCCATCCCGGCCCACTGCTGATTGGACGGCCGAAGTCTGAAGATAAGCACTGCGAGACCGGCTGGGCTGAAGGAATTCACGACGCGACCATGAATTCCCATGGATTGAATCATAGGAACCAGTAGTAGCGGAACACCTCGTGGTCATTGTCAGCTGGGGTTACTAGCTAGAGTACCAGTGACTCCTCAAACCATGGAAGTTCGAGAACGATGGGTGAAGCCACGAACTCAATCCGCAGCCTTGTTGTCTCTGATAGATAGGGAGCAATTGATAGATAACCATTTCAGCTGCGAGTCCGGAGTAGTAAGCTCGAGTAATGTTCTTCTTTTTGATTGGCCGATTGGATGCTATCTCCCACCAGTCGCGAAAGCTGGCCGAGAAATTAACGAAAACTAACCAGTCCTTCGGAAGTTTCCTGCTCCTCCTGAGTCTTATCCGCCTTGCATCGAGCCCAATGACACTGTTATACTATCCATTATTTACCCCGATCTGTCACTGAAATCCCCAATCTCAGGGTCTCTATCGGATGCATAGTAGGAAGTAGTACTACATAGTACATACTCTACACTACTGGGTGGGTGGTTAGTAGTCGGTCATATTACCTTCTTTGACCCCTATCCGTAGTATAGTAGTAGTAGTATAGTGACTGAGTACGACGTAGAGGGGATTCTCAGCTTCTTGCCTGTCACTGATGCAGCATGGCGCGGTTAGGCTGCCATGCACCCAGCCAGTGTGTCACCCACACACACACACACACACACACACACACACACACACACACACACACACAGCTTGGCTTTCCGTCCACGTTCTCGTCCAATTTCCTTCTAGTCAGCGGGAAAGAAAAAGTCCAAGCAGACATTACAGGATGATGGCTGGATCCCGCTGCAGGTCAAGTGGAATATCCCAACGGGAGGCCGCGCATTGGCCCGCCCATCCATCCATTCATCCCTCCGGAGTCTCCACGCTCTTATCCGCCGCCATGGCTTTTTCGTTGCTTGCTGATATCTATCTATCGGTCGTATTGATTGCGACTAACCATGGCCCAGGGTTGCGCCTAGTGCCCGAATGGGTGGAACCGGCCATGAATCAATGCAAGTGAGACCATGGCGTTTCATTCTGACTGGTATCATCGCCCTACTCCGACTATTCCCAGTACTATTTATCACTCCTGCATCCCCTCCCCTTCCCCCTGCAGTGGCTTGTTTTGCTTTTTGAATTAGGCTCCATCGTCGTCTTCTTTTTCCCTTCGTCCCATAATTCCTTTTTTCCTCTCGATCGCTAGTGTCTAGAGATCCCCCCCGACTTGCTGTCCATCTCTTGTTGCCTTAACCCATTAAAGGCCTCTGGGTCTACACGTCGACCCCATCTCGCGCCCTCTGCGGTCTACAGGGCTCCTGGTCTTAGTGTGCTAGGTTTAGGAGTCACCTACACACTTTTATACACAGTTCTGGGCCTTTCTTTGTCAGAAAGCTCAGTGTAATTAACCATGTCGGAATACCCTGTCGCCTACAATGGCACAGACAATGGGACCGGTGGTAACTCCCTGACAGAAGATCTTAACATCTACTACAGCGTATGTCTTCCCTAGATATGTGACGCAGGCTATGACTGGGCTCATCCCCACTAACTGATTCCAGTCTGGAGATATCGCTTGGGTTATCACCTCTACGGCCCTGGTGTTGTTGATGATTCCTGGTGTCGGGTATGATACCACCTGTCAACCTCCAAGCCATTGAGCCCCTCCAACTGACGGCAACAGCTTCTTCTACTCAGGTCTCGCCCGACGCAAATCAGCATTGTCGTTAATATGGCTTTCAATAATGTCTGTCGGGGTGGTGTCATTCCAATGGTTCTTCTGGGGATACTCGCTGGCCTTTTCTCATACCGCTGGAACGTACATTGGTGACCTGAACAATTTTGGAATGAAGGGTGTTTTGGCAGCTCCTTCAGTTGGCAGCTCCAAGGTCCCTGATATTCTCTTCGCTGTCTTCCAGGGAATGTTCGCTGCTATTACGTGAGTGTCCCCAAATCCGAAGCAACCTTCATGATTGATAACTGATAACGGAGATAGGGTTGCCCTTGCTGTTGGTGCAGTCGCGGAACGCGGTCGCATGCTGCCTTGCATGGTCTTTAGCTTCGTTTGGTCCACCATTATCTACGATCCAATTGCCTGCTGGACATGGAACTCGTCCGGCTGGGTGTACAAACTGGGTGGACTTGACTTCGCAGGTGGTACTCCCGTCCACATTGCCTCCGGCTCGGCTGCACTGGCATACTCTCTGATGCTCGGCAAGCGTCGCGGACATGGCACCCACGAGCTCAACTACCGCCCGCACAACGTCACACACGTCGTCATTGGTACCGTCTTCCTCTGGGTTGGTTGGTTCGGGTTCAATGCCGGCTCTGCTCTGAGCGCCAACCTGCGGGCTGTCATGGCAGCCGTTGTCACGAACCTGGCTGCCTCCGTGGGTGGTGTCACCTGGTGCATCATGGATTACAGACTGGAGAGGAAGTGGTCGACCGTCGGTTTCTGCTCCGGTGTCATCGCAGGTCTCGTTGCCATCACGCCAGGCTCTGGTTTCGTGACACCTTGGGCTGCCTTCATCTTTGGAGTTGTCGGTGCCGCTGCTTGCAACTACGCCACGAAGCTCAAGTATGTGCTTCGTGTGGACGACGCCCTGGATATCTTTGCAGTGCACGCCATTGGTGGTCTCGTGGGCAACCTGTTGACTGGTCTTTTTGCTGCGTAAGGCCCCCTGATCTCTATAGAAAACAGACAACCTCAAACCGGTGGGCACTCAACTAACGCTTGCTCTGATAATAGTGACTACATCGCCCACCTGGATGGTTCTACGGTCATCGACGGAGGCTGGATCAACCACCACTACATCCAGCTTGGCTACCAGCTGGCCGACTCCATCTCCGGCATGGCCTACTCGTTCTTCGGTAGCTGCATCATCCTCTTCGTCATCAACCTGATCCCTGGTCTTCACCTGCGTATCCCCGAAGAGGAAGAGATCCTCGGTGTCGATGACGCTGAAATTGGTGAATTTGCCGTAAGTGCCTTCCCATATCATCGAAGTAAACGACTCTCCCTCTAACAAAAACTAGTACGACTACGTGGAAATCACCCGCGATGTCATTGGTGGCACCAGTCCCGAGAACGGCGACGTGTCCTCCAAGCGCACCATGACTCCTCCCAACGGCAACGAAGAGTCCGTGGAGACAAAGGCTTGAACTATATTACCCAGTATAGTACTATAGGAGTTATGTCGAGGGTGACCAATCATCTTCACTTCCTTCCTAACTACAAGCCATGAACGAACACAACAACTTCATCAACTTTATTTGGATTTAATTTTTACTTGATACCTATTTCGTTTCTGGTCATTTATGTCATAACTTGGATACCTTCTGATGTACATATTATTCACTTTTCATTTGTCCTTACTTTCTGACATCAACATAAGCTTCTCATATATTACCAAAATTCATCATATTATGCATTTACCTGAATGAATTCATGTGAAATAAATCTAGTTATCTTTCAAGAGAATTGCTACTATGTAGTAATCTCTATTATTATATTATCATTTCTCTATCTTTCCCAATCTAGTATTCCGTAGTAATAGTAGTAGTAGTAGCCTTGCCATTACCCTTTTGTAGGAGAATATTTATCCTTTAAATCGAATCCTTTCATCTTCTTTCGTAGAATCCATAACCACAAATTAATCTCAACATCAAGCAACTCAAACACATAGAATGACATTATTCCTAGTAGCTAGCAACATATATAACTACAAAGCATGTATACATCGCCTTCATTTGCGAAAATACTACTTACTCAGCTTGCTTGTCTACTAACTGATAATAGTATATACTACTACTCATGCATACAAACCTGATAACCGAATAGGACGTTCCTATTACATCTTCGATTATAAATTGAGTGCCGGTGTAAACTACTAATAGTTACGGTATGCTAGGGCCAGCAACTAGTCCTTGGAAGGATAGGGGGTGGGTTTAGTTATTGATCTTCAATAACAGTCATTACTTGGGTAGTATATCACTTAAATGAGATGAGGGTCATGTACAAGCTACCTATACGGAGTACATAGCGGTATGGTATTGAGACTTTGAACCAGTCATATTGAACAGGGAGTATCGTGGAGCTTAATTTGCAGGTGTATTGAGTGCTTCGAATAAATGGTGTCTTATGATGGCAATCCCCGATCTTGTCCTTGTTGATGAAGTATGAAACTACGAAATGTCCAAACAGATACCCGGCATATACAGATGTGACTAGGAAATTTGTACCAAACTGCTTTTAAAACTATGTGCGATTGGGTTTACTAAGTCCAGGCTTTGAGCCTAAGTAATTAAAAACAGGAAGGGAAATTAAGAGCGCTCAAACAGAAGAACTCACTGACCAAGACCTCGGAAGGCCTTGGTCGAAGAGAATGTAGGCTTATCGGGGTATTATGGAGCAGATCTCAATTCGCATAACTGTCGATTTGAGACATTTACTCCTCAGCCTCAAGGGGCTCCTCCTCGACGCTGTAGAATTGGTTAGAACCAAAACAGAAACAATAGGTTCTTGGGTGGACTTACTATTCCTCCTCACCCTCGGAGATCGAGGCGTCCTGGTACTGCTGGTACTCGGAGACCAGGTCGTTCATGTTGCTCTCAGCCTCAGTGAACTCCATCTCGTCCATACCCTCACCAGTGTACCAGTGCAAGAAAGCCTTGCGACGGAACATAGCAGTGAACTGATCACCGACACGCTTGAACAGCTCCTGGATGGAGGTGGAGTTACCGATGAAGGTGGAGGACATCTTGAGACCACGGGGAGGAATGGAGCACAGGGCGGTCTGGATGTTGTTGGGGATCCACTCGACGAAGTAGGTCTGGTTCTTGCTCTGGATGTTGCGCATCTGATCCTCAACCTCCTTCATGGAGACACGTCCACGGCTAGATACCTGTTAGCTGGCATATTGTGCAATCGATGCAGTAGGAAAACTCACAAGATGGCGGAGCAGGTGAGGTAGCGGCCGTTGCGGAAGTCAGAGGCAGCCATCATGTTCTTGGGATCGAACATCTGCTGGGTCAACTCGGGAACGGAGACGGCACGGAAGGAGTAGGCGCCGCGGCTGGTCAGAGGAGCGAAGCCGACCATGAAGAAGTGGAGACGAGGGAAGGGAACCATGTTGACAGCCAGCTTGCGAAGGTCGGAGTTGAGCTGACCAGGGAAACGGAGGCAAGTGGTCACACCGGACATGACGGCAGAGACCAGGTGGTTCAGGTCACCGTAAGAGGGGTTGGAGAGCTTGAGGGTGCGCATGCAGATGTCGTACAGAGCCTAGATTGGCCAATTCGTTAGTTCTCGAGCACCAATCTTCTTCTCACTTGTGCTGGGTCTGGAATCATACCTCGTTGTCGATACAGAAGGTCTCGTCGGAGTGCTCAACGAGCTGGTGGACGGAGAGAGTGGCGTTGTAAGGCTCAACAACGGTGTCGGAGACCTTGGGGGAGGGAACAACGGAGAAGGTGGCCATCATACGGTCGGGGAACTCCTCACGGATCTTGGAGATCAGGAGGGTACCCATACCGGCACCGGTACCACCACCGAGGGAGTGGGTGATCTGGAAACCCTGGAGGCAGTCGCAAGCCTCGGCCTCACGGCGGACAACGTCGACAACCTGGTCGACCAACTCGGCACCCTCAGTGTAGTGACCCTTGGCCCAGTTGTTACCAGCACCGGACTGGCCGAAGACGAAGTTGTCGGGGCGGAAGAGCTGGCCGAAAGGACCGGCACGGACGGCGTCCATGGTACCGGGCTCGAGGTCGACGAGGACGGCACGAGGAACATACTTGTTACCGCTAGCCTGCTGAAGTGATTAGGACATTGATGATATTGTCGTGAAAAAGCCAAGGTCCGATGGATCTCACCTCGTTGAAGTAGACGTTCATGCGCTCCAGCTGGAGGTCGGAGGTGCCATTGTAACTATCCTGCGTGTCAGAAGACCCAACCCTTTGCCCATTGTTGACCAATTGAGAGGTGTGAAAAAGTTGCACTTACACACCGGAGCCGTCAAGGCCGTGCTCGCCAGAGATGGTCTGCCTGTTGAATTGTTAGACGTGTTCTTAGACCGATAGCATGTACCTAATGGACAACATCTGAACTCAAGCTGAGATAGCCTAAGAGACGATGTTCCATCCCCAATCCAATGGCAGTTGTATACGTACCAGAAAGCAGCACCAATTTGGTTACCCTAACCACCATGATATATTGTTTAGTCCACCAAACACCAATCAAGACCCTTGGGGGCAATCATCCGAAGCATATATTGGCACTTACACACTGGCCGGTTTGGAGGTGAACCTATGAAGCGAAGAAGACATGCAGTTAGCACAAGAATGAGTTGGTCGAAGAACCGGTGGGGTCCCGAGCAAAAGAGATGCCAACCAACGACGCGTCTCCTGACGGACGAGGGACGGGGAGGGCAAACATACGATCTCACGCATTGTGCCGGGTAGATTGAAGGGGTTGAAGGTATTGAAAAGGGTCGAAGGGGTATGAGAGACGGCGAGGCCGGAGGGAGTAGATGGGCGGGAAGTTGTTGGGAGGAGACTGGGGAAAGACAGTCGACTAAAGGAGGAGAAGGGGGGAGGGAGGAGGGAGGAGAAAACGAGGAATGGGAGGAAGTTAGTCTGGCCTTAGTGGAGAGTTGGGTAGAAGGAGAGCGGTGAAGGGGGGATCGTTGTGCGGGCAATAATACCAATACTGCTAATACTGTTAATAAATTCGGGATCAACAACAAAGCCAAAAAAAACGCCAACAAAACAACCCGATATTTTGGGCAGGTAAATAGGGGCTCTCCCCAATTCGGTTTGGCGTCGTCACGGGACGGCGTTGCGGTCCAGTGACAGTCACGCCCCGTGACTTGGCTTGTCCACACGCGAACCAGACTTGATCATGGCCTGACCGGCCTTACCATGGGTTCATGGACCTTCGTGTAAACAAATGGACAAAATGATGAGCACCCGTCAACATGATCCTAATCACAACCAGAACGCTCTTATAAGTACATACAAGTCTACAATCCCTTAGGTTGTCTAAAGTGACCAGCCAGCCTCAGAAAACGATTACGCCCATCCCATCCCATCCCATCCAGTTCCAGATCCCCCTAATAATGATTACATCCCAAAAAGCATCACCACCATCACCATCACTTGGCCGTGTTCTCGACCGTATGTGAGCTTTCCAACCACGTGCCAAACTCATCCAATCGCTGCTCCTCCTCTTCATCGGACGCATCCAATCCTTTCTCCGCCAGATCTTCCAGTGCTGCACGCTTCTCATTGGTCTTCTTAAATCTCTCACTGCCATCCGCGATATAGGCATCGACTCGGGTGCCAGCGAAAAACCGCCCATCCATCATCTAAATGTAACAGTATCATCAGCATATGTTCCTTTCCGGAGGGTTTGGGCCATCGTCATCCCATGATCAAGCTTACCTTGACACAGCTCCTGGCTGCCTCGGGATCGGAAAAGCGAACGCTCACCACTCCCTCGGGTTCCTTATCGTAGAGAACAACGTTGGTCACATCCCCCAGCTTCGAGCACTCATCCCGAATATCTTCCTTGATATCAAGAATGGCCGCAGGATCCTCCTACACCAAACGTTAGTTCCTTTTACCAATCACTCCTAGCGCGGGATGGATACTCCCGTACATCTAATTCCTTCAACGTGAACATATGTTTCAAGATCACGATCTTATCAAAACGGGAAGTCGTATCCGGCAAGGCAGACGGGTCGTCATCGTCCCAGTCAGCAAGTTTGCTAAACGCGTATATCAGCAAAGCCCAGCCCAATCATCCCAGGTCAAATGTAGTTCCCCCATACCTGTTCAACTTCTGTGTCCGTCGCATAATCTTCTTCTTATCCCTCATACTAGTCTTCGTAGGCGCCTCTTGCTGGCTCTTGAACGAGAAATCCGCATGTTGCACTCGCATGGGTCCCTGCGGTCCGGGTACCCCAATCCTAAAGTTGGAATCATCCAGCATCTGTATCGCGAGATTGACGGACTCAGGCCGGAAGTACACAACGAGAGCTTCACCTTTGAAGTTTCCGCTCTCATCGGTGTACATCTTGATGCGCGGTCGGCCGCTATCGATCTCCTCGGCGATAACACCACACTTGGAGAAGACGTCGCGGATTTCGTCGAATTCAGCATCCAGAGGAATCGAAGTCACATAGACCGCGGTATTGACGCGCTGTTTCTTAGGCTTCTGTTGCCCATTGCCCTACGCGATTTCATATCTTCTTAGTTTTAGGCCCATCTCAGTGCCATTGGGGCCAAGTCAAGGAAGCATCATCGTAAACTGCTGGACTAACCTCTTCCGTAGTAGCCTGTTGCTTGCGCTTCTTCCTCAACTGCGCCGCAGTAATCTGTTCCTCCTCATTGACGCCCTGGACTCTATATGCTTCTTGCTGTTGTTGTAGCAAGTCTTCATCGACCTGGAGGCACCCCGGGCGGGCGCAAGCGGCGCCAACCAAGCAATCAGTTTCACGAACCAATCAAACAATCCCTGCAATGATAGACGTGTGTCTTGGTCTATTTGCAACAAGAGAGGAAGGTTCCATAACCAGTTGAGTCGACACAGAAAGGAAACAAAAGGGGGCGGGGAGGAACAGCAAAGTAGAGAAAAACAAAGGTAGCAGTAGTTCAACAGCTACTACAAGACATCACACCACCCAGCTGGAGAAAGAGCGCGCACACACCGTCGGAATCCATCTCTTTAGCACCGTATCATATTCGTATTCCTGTCCATCCTCCGTTTCCAGAATGAACTTGTCGTCTAGCTTCGAGAACGAGATGCGCGGGTCGCTGTCGAATTCCGAAGGATCTTGGGGGAAGTTGCTTAGCGGAGGAGGGTTGTTGGAGCGGTCGTCGTCGTTCGGAGCATGCGACGCCATTGTTGTTATGCACGGTAGACGATATAAATGCGACGGCAATCGAATCCCGAGTGAGTAAGGAAAGTTTTATTATTTGGGTTAAGGAGAGGTTGGCTTGAGGATGATAGGATTTAATTTGAGCTGACTTTCGGATTTGCGGGGAGAGAGATCGCTTTATGTAAGCTGCGACGGCTATTCACGTCATGGAAGGTGCGCTTAGTTCAGGCTGACGATTTTGGCTGCACTACTTATCTAGCTATTACTCTGTAGTGAATACAAATAGTGAATGTCCAGTCTTTCATAGGCGCGTTCGATGCGCTTACGGCCTTAGCGTAATTGTGGGGGGGAAAGGAATGGTTTCCCTGTTCATACCGTCTGCGTTTGTAGCTTTAATTCAATTTCGAATACAAGTTGAATCTCTTATCGAAACATAGACGAACACTCAAGCACAGTATCCTTCACAGTGATAATGTTGTATGCCAGATAGAGGCGCTTACTCTAAAATGAATGCAGGAGTTTGCTTCCCACAAAGAGAGCGTTTTGCGAGATTTTCGGCTATTTGACTGATACATAATTCGTATTTCCAGGAAATCTCCGAGCTTCAGCGTAGGCTGGACGCCCATTAGTGAAGATGGTAGTCCAACGTACCATAATAAAATAGATCGATGCGAACACTACAATACGAGGGCACTAGCAAGCGCAGGCAATTGAAACAGACATTGGCGCAAGACTTTCAGAAGACTGCAAGAACAAGCTGTTGATATCTGTTGGGAGTTTCAAGAGGCTTCGAAATGCATAAACTATCTTCAATAGTTGCTTGTAGATGATCGGATGCGGGAAAAAGGGCCCGCTAAGTAGACCAACATTTAACAGCACAATATACGCTTTATAAGAACGACATAACTTCGTCCAACGCGCATTCCAATCGAGTGAGGCCAGCTCCGTGCAAAGCTCAGTGGAATGGGCATTGGCCCCGTCGTGTATTCTCCAACTCCTTCATAATGTCCTCCATACCCTGACGGCCCTTACCTTCAAAATACTTCGGGCCTACGTTGAGATTATCATACCCCTTTGGATAATACTTGTCCCCCTCATCTCCGGGCAAAGGCCGACCAAGCGCCCAAGTCAGCCAGGCAACTGGGCCCCAGCGGTTCCGGAGACTCGGCTTCACATAGTAAGGGGCGGCATCCCAGTTGGTCATGTAGATGCGACCGTTCTCGTTATAATCATCGGTGTAACTAACATACCGCAGAAAATAAGGGCGGGGTAGCGCGAGATACCGCAATGCAAACCGACGAGCGGAGAACAGTAACGAGAAAAGCTTAGCATCAAAAGCTGGAGGAGGGTCGATCCTGGAAAGGGAATCAATCAGCTGGTTGTTCGAGTCCGTGGAATCATTACACAAAGAGATGCACGGCATCACTCACAACATGGCCTTCCGCAAGCGATCGTCCATCATGAACGAGACAAATCTCATCCCAATAAAGTGCAGTGGCTGGGGAAGCATGTACAGCAGCACTGCGATGGTTTGATCGGCCACCTCACGGTTCTTGAGATGAGGTACCATGCAACGAACCTCATAATCGTCGCTCCAGACCATCATCTCCTCCAGCCAATGAAGGCCATCGCGAAACCCAGTTTTACCTGATGGGAGGGCATCATAGCTGATATCCAAGCTGTCGCCCAAACTTTTCCAGAAGGTACCGATAGCACATCTCTCAAGGTCGCTCAGGTCCCGCCATTCATACATTTCCACAAATCTGACTGGCTGAATAGCAAAAAGGCCAAGGGTGTACAACATATCATCTTCCAGGATCTTGCCTGAAGCGCGATAGTTGCTGTGGATCCAGCGGGTGCGTGCAATAGAAGTACAAGCACGACGAGAGGTTGGCGCATGGCCTACAAATTCTTGAATCAGGGCGGCGGTATCAGCGTAGCGTTTGAGGGCCGTGTCGGGCTTTGAGAACTGGGTTGTATTTGTAAGCACTGTCGAGATGGTCGGGATGCCGTATGTCTGGCGTAGTAGTTAGTCGGCAGGATAGGAGCAAGAATAATATGAAGTAGCCGGGGTTTCACACCCTGAAAAGAGCAAACTGGAGTGATTTGAGGTAGAGGAATGGAAACTCCAGCTGCACCAAGCCTTTTTGTATCTCACAGGCTTCATCATCGGTCATGCGAGAGAAAGACTCTCGAGTGTTATAGGGGTATTTTTGGTGCAGCCGCTGTAGATATCGGAATCGCAGATGGGAGACCAGGAACGCGTAGGCCGGAAGCAGCAAGCAAGCATAAGTGACCAATTGCTGGAATCCCAAGCCCGCCCGAGGGTCCGTGTTGGGGACAAACCCCAGGAATTTCCCCGGAGTGAGCTGTGTGGTGTTATCCATTGGTCGCTTATAATTGCTTATTCGGTTCAGTGGTCCATGCGTCGATGAACAGCTAGTATATAGATAACCTCGAAGATGGGGGAAGAGGACTGTTGGAGCATTTTTGAGTCTCTCAAGTCAGTCACACTGAAATGAAATGATCTGCATCGGGCATTAGTCATAGTTGTGAAAGCGACCAGCCAGCGGAGGCACAGATGACCTGTTTGAAAAGAGTCTCTACAGTCTACCAGGTATGAAGATCGACAATGCACAAGGAGTCAGACACTTGGTCAGTGATGGAGAGAATGGACACGCTCGAAAAATTACTTTACTTACAGGGTGGGTCTGATGATGATGATGATCCTCGGTGATTGCTCTTAAGTAAGATCTTAATTGCAGCATTTTAAGGTGTGGTTACCCCACCGCACTCCTTTCTCCTACCGTGGTTCACTAACCACATCGATTTCAGGCCTTCCCAGTCAGCAACACTATCTTGATATACTCTACGAAATTTCATCATCTCTATCTCCAAAGCTAATAAGGCCAATACTAGACTCGACGACCCTCAGATCGACTAGTATCACCCTAGCACAACACTCTGTGCGCGCCTTACTAATATCACATAAGTCATTGGCTTCAATGCTGTTATGGATCGGGAAGAAGGAAGTTGCACTAACACCAGCCTTGCTTTATAAACCGGAAAGCCCACGTATCTTTTGGCGAGAGTACATGGAAAATTGTCGTGATTCGCCGAGTCCTACGTAAAACTAGTACTCGTTCTGGCAGCCGGTGCAGAGATAGGCAATATGGTGTCACATACGGATGCTTGAAGCCCAGAATGTAAATCCCCACCGAACCACTAGTCGTTCACGTGGACTGCCAGTGTCAACACTGATCCCACGTTCGGGCACTCTTATGGTCGATGGTTGCTTCCGCAATGTCCAGAGTTCATGCCGTTGATGTACTGGTTGATGATAGTGGCATAGTAGCTCTGATACAGACATTGAAGAAGCGGATAAATGGCACTGATGATCATAGATCCTGCTTTTGGGGTAAAGCAGTTGTACTTCAATCTCACTGCAGCTTAAGTGGTCTCGGAAAAATAGCAATAGTGCTGTATGACATCTGCGGAGCCATCGGTATACCTGTTCATTCAGTAAGGGATGCTTATAGGCCGTCTCTACCGTAAGAACGCTCATACACTGTAGAGCATGCAGCTTTGGATTCTGGACCAGTTGCCCTTCATTTCTCTGACAACAATCACTGTTATGTCAAGATAGTCGTTCTTGAATTATACAAACGCAATCTGCCTTCCGACTCAGCCATGTTTGCGACTATACGCTTTGGCAAGACACAAGAACCAGTCTATGTCGAGTCATTCGAATCGTCGCGATCGAGTCGGTAAATCTTCTGGTCATATACGATCTTCCAAGCCATATCGTCGCGATGGTGGAAATGATTCATGCATGGGTCGCAATTGCATCCACAGCTTGCGACAGATCTGCAGGAACGGGATACTGTTGACGACAGCGGAGGTGACTTGGAATGGAGACCAGCACCAATCAGGCAACTTCCATTGATACATACATCGTATACACGCGTGCCGAGCAAGTAATTCTCGTTTCGAAGGCGGTTGAGGTTCAACTTAGGATGCTCTGCGCCAATTTAGATGGTCTGCAGAAGCTCGCGATAATTGCGAACTTGAATAAGCATCTTACACCGACCCGTGCCTTGAGTGCTCAAGCCCAAACCCACATCGCAGTTTTGAGAAACTCTTCTGGAAAGGTTTCGATAGACTTTTGAATCCGGCCGGTTTGAACAATGTGAGAGGTTACTAAAATGCACATGGGAAGTAGCTCTCTCTCTTTCTCTCTATGAGAACTTGGCTAGGAGCTTGAAGAAGGTCAGACCCAGGCAAATACCCTTTATCCTGGGAAACCATACATAATTCCCTGAAACTAATATAGTTGTCATAGAAACCCGTCTTTGATGCTATTTTGGCTGGGCCAATGGATTGGTAAGCAGGCCAAAGTGCTGGAGTCAATATGAGTGACATCCTTGAACTCAACCAGTTATTCCAACCTACAATCATGCGAAGAGCTTCTTTGACACACCGTGGCGCAGTGAGGGCGCTCAAAACACGTCAAATCTAGCTTGGAGTTCCGGGATTCCATTGCTGGCTGGCAGACATTATTCTACAGAGGACTGTGCCAATTCCTCCGTTGAGGCCAGTTCCGGCTTATTTAGGGAGATAGATGCAGATGCAGTAATACCGCTCATGATTTGACGATGGTGCAATCGGAACTTATAGTGACGTTTTTGTTTGAGCGTTGATATCACCAGATATAGTGCGAGACTTGTGCTATGCATTAATTCTGGATATCATAACTCCCTGTCTATCTCGAATAGAGTTCAACCCATCCTATCTAGGAGGAGTTCTACCTTCCATACTAACCGGCCAATTTCCTCATAAGGAAACTCGGCTGTTTGCCTGTCTGGGAAATGCTTCCGATGCCCGATACAGAAATAGGTAGACCCCCAATTGGGCAACTGATCTCACCTGACCATGGATGATTACAGAACCATACCATTCACTCATACAAGGCATCGTCCTGGGACAAAACAACTTCTTCACAATGTGCTTGCTTCTGCTCGGAAGGTAAACAAGGATTGGATGACAATATCAAGATCTAAACAGGCATATGCACATACATACAAAAAGTATTTCCCATATCGGGTGAAGTTCTTCTGCCCCGGGATTCTATTCACAGCAATAGCAGACGGCAAGTTGGTTTAATAAACAGCACATCGGTCCGCTCTACACCCGTCGCTCCTCAAGAAAACACACAGAAAGGGCCTGGGAAAGCGTCTTCGATACCTTCCAGAATGACATCGACATCTAATCAGCTTACGTATACTCAACGGCCAATTATTTTCAGCTCCAGCATTCTGAATGGCGGAAATGCAAGAGCCGTGAAGCCCAACCCCAGCCAGATGCCCAGATCACACCCACCTGGGATCGCTCTGGAGACTGGGCCAATATAATAGGCTTGATTCTACCAGACAAAAGGTACCTTGGTTAGCAGCAATTCGTGCAACAAGCACATGCTAGTGGGACTGCGTACCATGCCAACGATGGCTCCTACCCAACCGATCAAAAAGGCAGTGCTAGCTGCCACTCCAACCGGGAGCTTAAGCCAATTGTTCCAATCAGTCCAGTCGTAAACTTTCCCTCGGTTGAAAAGTACGTCTTGTTCTACCACAATGGTAAACCAGATAATGACCCAGTATCCAATGAGCGGCATGAGATTCCCGAATATCTCATACAAAGAGTTTCGGCCTCCGATGGCACATGATGCGTAAATCAGAGTACTGACAGTCGTGAAAACAGGTCGTGGAACTCTGAGCCACATCTCTCCCAGCATCTGGAAATTCAATCCGGTTGAGTACGAGCTGGGGGCATTGTTGGACACAATTGTTAAGACATTGATGAAGGCGCATAGCTTTCCGAGAGGTCCCAGCCGATCATAGCCGGCCATCAGCAGACTCCCCGGCGTACCGTCATAAAGAGACGCCCATTTAGAGTTGATTGCAACACCGCTTCCAAGCCCGGCGCCAAGAAGAAGCGTTATGGCGATCGAGAGGCTTACACCGATCGTGGTCACTGTCCATATCTTCCATCGCCTGATCTCCGGAGAATAGTAAACCTGGTAGTCTGCGGATACGGGTATCCATGACAAGGGAATAGATAGGCAAAGTGAGAAGTATGTTAGACGCTTTGCGTTGATCTGCTCGATAGAACCAATCGTCGGGCTATGGAAATCGAATTGCGGTCCAGCCGAGCCGGTGAGAACGGAAAAGATCAACAATTGCGGAAACCAAGCATATCTATGCCAGAATTGATGGTCAGGATAGTGCTCTGAAACATGGAAGGGTGACGAGCCATACCTCTCATAGAACTGGAATATCTTCATCCCAAAGGTAGCCATTGCCCAGCTCACCAAGGCAACTATTACTATACCAACTATGACGGATACGACTCCTCCTGATAGCTTGGAAAGCAACTGTCCTCCTACAGTGGCACTCATCATGCCGGTTCCCAAGTTGGTCAGCACATTCAGTATACAACAGACCTTACTAGGGTAATATCCCATGAAGTACCGAGACACGATCTATCAGGAGAATATGGTTGTGAGCCAGGATCTTTTAAATCACGCAAATGGCTAAGTGCAGATGGGAAGGGCGAGAGAAGAAAACCAAGGTGCAAGTGTAGGCCATACAAGTGTGCGGTTACCGCTTCTGGGACCCCATGTGCTCATGTATCCAACTCCCAGACCTCCCAGGAGCGTACCGAAGATGACACACAGCGCGGCGTCGGTGAAGCTAAGCTTCATGACCAGTGTTCCCAAAGATCCGGTCACAATATTGTTGATTGCCATGCCCATACTGAACCACGTGAGCATCATTCGGAAAGGGGTCGAGCTGGTGTTCTTCAGTCGTTCTTCAAGAGACACGGGCTCGATCCCGCGAGCCTCTAAGCCTTTGATGTTTCTCGCCCATCTTTCGTATCTCGATCCACATGTTGGAGGGGGTGATCCCAGAGCTTGTGAAGTCTCTAGCTGCTCTCGTGTCACACTCCGCAAGGAAGGGGATCTCTGTCTTTTTTCTAGGTCAGAGTCCATGCTGGCTCAGGCGTGCCTCTCGAGGGAGCAGTGTGTGCACACTTTCGCGATCTGTAACAACTTGACCTATGACCTGCTGGGACTCATCAAACTATAAATGGACAGAATGAAGGAAAGACGGTCGCCTCACTGGGCATACAGACTGTCGAAAAACCGGAGGGTGAGGATTCCAGTGAAACAACCACTGGTTACTCCGTCGTACTGCATTGACATCACTTTGTTTTCCTGGGCGTGACACCCGCGCTCCAAGACCAGAACAGCATTCCACAACATCAGAGAACTAAATCGGGATACCGACCCCTAACCTGGTTGGAAATACTATGCTTGTACTGATTTGGGCTTAGTAGCACACGTCTACAACCCCGGAGAACAAAGGGGTTGGTATCCGGAAAAGAGCTGGGAGGCACCCGATTCATCAGGGTGTTAGCACCAACACCGTCATTGAGAGATATGCTCAGTGTGTACTGTCCTATTATGTTGGCAAGGCCATACACCCTTCCGCACAGACAGTCATGTGAGTATGTGTCCCACATACCATGCAGATGATGCCTTATTAAGCTCTGCGATACATTCCTCTGGTATGCACCAGCCACGCAAGGAGACGAAATGCTGTTCAGGGAGAGAAAATCTTGATGCCTGTACTAAGTACCAGCAGGTGTCCATGTGTGGTTTGTGGGGTACAGAGCATAGAAACAGGTGTGTCAGGTATGGGACGAGCTCATGAACTGCTGATCGGGATCTTGTAGCCCCAGATTTCTAGCTTGCTTCGACCCTTGTTTTGTCGCAGAAGTAGTGAGCAGGGTCAGAAGAACAAGGGAGTATGTCACCCATGCCTTGTGATATATTCCCCTGACGACTGCGACAGACGAATACTTTTTTGACCAGTTCCCCTAAGAGACGGTTACGTACTCGAAACCTCTTAATAACTCCTTGATAGGGCTTTGAACACTGCTGCATGCTCATGTATGATTGACAAGCAAGGCCAACTGCCATATCGGGAGGTGACGATCCTTGATTACAGGTGATTCGAACGAGACTGAATGCCACAGCTTAGCATGACTCTATCACCGAGGTAGGCGATATTCCCAGAGGGACATGATTGAATGAGAAAATTATAAGCCATAATGCAATGAAGAATGAAATGCGATATGACTTCACCATCTTCGGTAATATACAACTGCAAGTGACTACAGTTCTCCTGTCAGTGACTGGCTGTAGCCCCTGCCATCATTATAAATCCTACGGATGTCGAGATACTTTCCTCCTCGAACATTCTTTCTTTCCTCTCTCATCATATTCCAACATAGTACTATTTTAACCACTGTAGGGCTCTGGACACTTATTGCTCGATCAAGCAAGATAGAATTCAATATTTTCAATAAGAATCAAGAAATCAAGAAATTCCAGAGATTATGATCCAATTCATACATCACCATCACTGAGTACCTGGAGCCTAAGGTTTCAATTCCAGGGCTGTATGCACCCTAAAAAGAGCCTCTAACATTCCAATCTAAACTTACAGAATTATCGAATGCAAGAATCCAATCAGCATTACGATGTCCATGGGCATCATTCACATGCAATACTCTACCATTACATCTAGCCTACGCACCCTTCACAGCGACCGAGGTATACAACCTAAGGGAAGGCCGTGGCGAGGGGAAGCACTGCCGGTGCTGAGCTTGTCGGCTTTCCACGCTGACCCCGCCCCCCAACCTGCGGTATATCGAGATAACCGAAGAGAATCTCCGATATTTTGACATATATATAGTAACACGGGAACTACTTTCTTCATGCAATATGAATCAATGATCTCTGACAACATGTCTCATTTCTCTCATTCTACTATGTGGTAGCACTTCAACATATTATGTGGGAAGCGTCTTCAAAGTCTCTTTTCAGACTATCTCAGCAGAGAAAAGATACAAATATGGTGTTTATACCTGATATTAAAAGACGAAGTACGGCATGGCTTGAACACAGAGAGGCTTGTGTATATTGGTGTGTTCGCCCAGTATCATGTATTCGCTAAGACGGCCGATGCGAATATAAGCTCGTTCTGCCTATGCCAGGTTCTGAACAACCCATATAGATATAAAATGCTTTCGAGAAGACAGTCTATGATGGTGTTTTTCTTGAATTTCATAAATTCCACAAGCAAACCCCAAACAAGAAGAGCTAGAAGGCCTTAATAGGGTACTATATCTATTTGTCCAATCCCAGCTCTAAATCCCTCACGAGAAATCAAGCCAGAGCTCTACGAGGCAAGCACATAACTCAACTTCAAGCGGAAATCTCTGCCCTCTCAGTTGCGTGAAATTGTGAGTTAAGAAGATGAGACATTAGGAGATTTCTTCCCTATGATATTGGACACCTTCGGGGATTGTATATGGTCTCAGCTATGTGTCTTGTCACCTTCTAGGTATTCCCTCGTTCTTAGCACATAGATCCTTAGGTTACAACACACTATGCTGAGTACTTGAAACACAGAAAACCATCTGCAAGCACTCACTCAGACATTGCAAGCAGGTTTACCTCGAGTATTGAGCAGGCGGCTCAACATGATGCCACGGAAAACTACATGGCCTGAACACCCAGTCCTTCACGAACAGACGATGGTTTCTTCAAAAGAAAGACCGTTACCAAACTTCTAGAAGACCGAGGTTCTCGTGAGCACAGTAACTCCCGAAACATTACACATAGCCAACCATGAATCTGAAACAGGTACTTTCTCAACTTAACACATAGTACCTGTTTGTGAATACTATCAATCACGCGTGAGGATCCCTCAGTCTTGTTTTTCTGGCGCCTGGCTGTACACAAACGTTTTAGCAATGTGCTAGATGCGTCGATACGATGCTACCAAGTCTAACATTTGCAATAATAATTGCTCTTTATAAAGAAATCCTTGATGGAGATGGCTATCTCTTATCTGCCATGAGATACAACTCGGCCGATTACTAACAACAAATGTCTGGAATATATCCCAGGACATGACCGCCTGTCTTGAAAATGATAAAGGCCCGTAATAACCAGACACTGGCAGCTCTGCACGTATTCAACTGCTGGGCCATAACAGCGACGCCAATATGGAAATGTCTGTTGGACCTCTGCGGGTACCTCGTCCTCCTATACTAAGAGAGGGAGGATGCAGGGGAGACCAATATCCGGCTGGGCTGGTATGGCTGCTTGACAGGGGCCCATTGTTCTTCCTATGATTCCAAATATGACTTGCCACAGACACACCCACGGCAGCAGATCAAAAACAAACGGGTGCTGCTACCTGACCTAGGGTCAACGCACAAATTTGAAAAAGTTAAGTTAAGGAGTCCTTCAAGAAGGGCAGTCCCAGGAAAGAGCAAGACACGAGAGTCTACAGGTGCACCGTTCCTCCCTAATTCGGAGGCATATAGGATTCTTCTCCTAAATCATCTCCTGAATCATCTGTCCTCTATCTTCCTGATTATAAACTTTCATATCTAACAAGAATAAAACATACAGTTCAACCAAAGATGTAAAACATTAGTTCCTCCTCTTTCGCATCATATATGACCCAGCGTTCTTCCCCAGAAGCAGCCGAACGCCTCAGCCCAAGGCGAACGCGGCTGATTGGTAGCATGTCAGGACGAAGAAAATGGGCAATAATTTTACCCCGTCTATGGAGGGTTTTACGTCTTAGGTGGCGACGCGGTACGCGTCAGCCAGGAATGGCTCGTTGATCATAAGGATAAGGGAAAAGAAGAGTTCGTATACAGCACAGTCATTATGGATGCCGGTGCGAGGACTGAAAAGCCGGCAAGCATATACCACATCAACAGCGGAACGTGGACCGGGATTCTGATACCGGACCTTGACTGCCGATATCCGAATCACAACAGCGAATCCCATTCTGTTTGACGTCGCGGCAACGCTCCCTGCGATCATGGCGACGAGAACAGTTGCTGTAGCAAACATGGCTGCGCATGACTTTCGGGCAAACACTCTGGCAGCAAACGCGCCTCTTATGAATACTCTGATTCTTTTCCTGAATCTTCCTGTTCTATCTATTTTACCTGTTTCAATGATTTCTGGCACAGCTCAAGGCGAACGCGGCAACAGGAAAGGTCAAAGCATCGACTGCGAACTGATTATATTAGTCTTCATATAATGTCTAATAAGGTCTAGAATGTATCTTCAGAGCGAAATACCGCATATCAGATTGCTATACCCTTTTTCTGTGCACCACAGCTCCTTAAAAGTTCGGACTCTAACCCAAAAAAAAAAAAAAAAAAAAAAAAAAAAAAAAAATCAAAATAAAGATAAAAATATAAAAGCTGATAAGGCTGACTATATAGACGAGTAGGCGAGTGATGAAAACAAATGCGTAAATCTTCCCTAGTAGCATGAACCCACGGCGGATACTTCACCCAACGCAAACGCTATATACCACCGTGTATTGACATTGACCAACTCGAATATATATCGTTCATTGAATAATACCATTCCTCACAAGGTCCGGAATCAAGACTCCAAGCAACAATAATTTAAGGTCTGACCCTTCTCGTATGTACTTTTCCGCCTCCTTGAACCATATCCCTCCAGATAGAATGAGCTTGAACCTATTATCATAAACATGCTGTTTCAGTCAAGAACCGCTATCTCTGGAACATGGCCATCATTGAAATACTCCTGTGTTTGCTGATAGATGATAATTGCGTTAGGCCTAACCATGTAGAATAGAGATAGCGATTTTCACCGATCTTCTTCTTTTTGATGTCTATATACGACCTCATTAAATGTCAGTCAGGTTTCTTCTCCCATTGTCGGTCTGATCCTCCGCTTCGCAGAAGACACGGGGTAACAGACTTCCAATGGCAAATGTTGACTAGGTTGATTAAGACAGCTGGCTGGAGCACGCCCGATATTTTGTCTTCATATGCGGGTTCATGAGATTGCTTCTTCCCTGTGAAAATATATGCAGAAGTGTAAGATATGGACGATTCACAGGTTCAAGTCTGCTTTCAATTGTTTACGACTCTAGATAATGTATATAACATAGTGAAAGAGTTGGGGAGGGCGTGAGGGTAATGCAGCAGCTTCAGCTTGCTATATACGGGTCTCCTTTCGTTAGGCAGTCACTGAAGAGCTGGGACGTCACCTACAGTTAAATATACTAGTGATTGCGGGAATTTCTACTTCACTTACAATTTTAGTTTGCTGCTTGTCTCATGTATTGATTCATGCACGTGAGTGTCATTGAGATAAAATACTTACTGGTGAAACATTTCTGAGTCACCTCGTCTGCTGAGTGGCCATCGATAATAGTTTGGTCAACTTGGTAATATGTTGTTCTGACCAAAATCCAACTCAACTTTAGTTATCACTATCAAAGTCACATTAATTTTTCCCTGTTTATCTAGACTTCTCTCCTTTGAAAGGCTGTGACTTAAATCGCCAACCATGATTGATACTTACCACAACGCACCGTCTCCATATTGCATCAGCGCAGTACTGATTATTCAGTCACACACTCCCCCTCCTCCGTTTCACAAGGGTGAAATCTTTCAACAAGATAGACCACATCGTTCTCTTTCTCCCCTAGAGCTATGTCTCCAAAACCCCCTTTTGCCAGGATCTGACTGTCACAACTTTGCCAATATTTGTTTGATCAAGGGGCTTCAAACTGGCGCTCATAAAAGGTCCCAGGTTTTTGTTGTAAGATGTGTGGATGACTTTCATTCGTCAGGTCTATCGACAGATCAGGACATGATCGCCAAGTTCTATGACCCTCTCTACCACGACCGTGACGATGGCAATCCTTTCCGGGCAGCTGACTATGATTACTCGCACGAGTGTGCCTCTTATAAGCGTTTGTCAGAACTACAAGGCTCTGCTATTCCCCAGTTCTTCGGCTCCTACACATTCAAAACAGAGATCGATGGGCATCCTCGCCAGGTTCGTTTGATATTGATTGAACGAGTCAATGGTCTGCCCATGAGTCGTCTAGAGCCCAAGAGATTCTCAACAGAGGAGCGCCAGGATATTATGAAACAGATTGTTGAAGCAGAGTCTGCACTTTACGCCAAGGATGTTTTCCATGAAGACTTGTGTCCACGCAATATCTTGATTGAATGGAGTGGGCTGGAAAGAGTAAGGGTCGTCATTATTGACTTCGGAAAGTCTGTTATTGGACGGTCACGCAATCCTTCGAACAGTGAAGAAGAGAGTCAATGGTTTCCTGGCGTCCCAATCAGTCCACTACTTAGATGGAACATCTATTATGGATATCCTAACAGCTTTGAAGATTGGATTGACTGGTCGTGGCAGGAATGGCTTGAGTTTCAGTACAAGGAGACTGAATCCGCGATCACAGATGAGCAACGGCAGATGTGGCCAGTGTATGACTGGATGCTGGAGATTGGACCACCTTCATGATATGGTGGGAGACGGGCATGCAATACATGTTCTGAGCCCATGTTGTGCTGATAGTTATGTGTCTCGGAGAATGTAACAAGACATGTGAATTATCTTTAGAAGTATCGATCTACTGTATTAAATTTCTTTTAAACCAAGAACGCTAACCTTCGGTCCCTGGAGTAGGAGGGACTCATATAAAGAGATTATATTGCACCGCTTGAGAAAGTGTTACTGTTATTTTTGGATGAAAAGACAAAGCGGAATAGCTTGCTTTGATAATAACACCTACAGGGTATTCTACATCTCTATCTAGTATTTAGAACATGTAGTTCGCATCATAGGTGAAGAAATCCTTCTTACCGAACGCGGGTCACAGCAATACTACTGGCATTGCCTATTCTCTACCATCAATGTTACCAGCAACAGCCCTTCGATAGCAGGTCATCATCCCCTCCGATTAAATTGCAGTGAGCCTCGGCGTCTTGGTTTCCATTTCTGGTAGTCCCTCCCGACAAGAAAGTAACCAACCATGAAGATCGCGAATGACTCTTGGAAGTCCACTCCATCCTTTACGTACCAACTAGTATCTACGTAGCACTTTGACCGAGACATGCGGACCCAGCTACGTGACCCTAACCTACGGCCCAGCGACAAGCAAACAGACGGGAACGAGAGAACCAGCAGCCCAAACCTAGCCACCTACCCAATCGAACTTTATTGCTGCGTAGATACAGACTGAAAGAGAAAAAAGCTCTCTTCCAAGCAAGCTGACGACACCCGTGTGACCCGGAGCTTGTCCTTGTGGTGGCTATGCTATGCACATGTAACCATTCGGCTAACGCAGAGCTTAGCATGGGAGAATTGACAAGTCAGGCTGATTGTATGATTTGCTTATCCATACGGAGTAGATACTTACTCCATAGGGGGTTGGGTTTGTAATGGGGTCCAGATAAGTCTTGCAGAGAGAAGATATGATGAGACTGTACACCATTGGGCCGGGCGTCAGGTTCTCGCAAGCTTCCCTAACGGGATCATAACGATGCTGGTGGCACAACGGGCAAACTGGGGAGATGGGATAGGGTAGAATAGGACGGAGAGCTCCGCCCGGAGAATTAGCATAACATGACAATAACAATACACGGGAAAGTGTACTGCATTGCACTGCATTACTCTACAGGATTGAATGATAGAGGCGTGATCTGATGTCACCATGTTTACTTGCTGTGGACGTAAGTGGAAATAGGATGCGCCGGATATGAAGTCAAATCAGTCAAGTCCCAACTACTAGACTAATTAAGAAGGAATATTCTTCTAGACGAGGATAATAAACACATTATTACCTCCGGCTAAGCTAAAGCTAACCTTACTTCCCTGTCGACTGGCTTTAGTATGCAGACTAGACTAGTCAGGTTCCCATACGTGGATTAGATGGATGGGGCCTTTTTTTTGCACCGCCCCCTTCCTGCCAAGTCTTGTTTTCTTCTTTTCCTTCTTCTTCTCCTGGTAAACTAAGTAGACTATTTACTGGTAGAGAAATTAGGTTGGGGGTGGGCTGTTCCACAAGTCTAGACTTGTTGGCGGGCGTCCTCGTCATCTTGCGTCTTGTTGACAGGATATTGATTATCTGTTTTAACATGACCACTTGATAAATTTTATCTGTCCTTTGACATTCATCACACTTTCTCATGTGGTACATGGAATATTCTTTCCCTGGCGAACCCGGCGGTTAGACCTGATGCGTAGCGTGCATTAGCTCGACTAGCCCAAACATTAATGCATCGTCATTAATTTGATGGCTTCTAGTAAGTTACTTAGCGAGTAGACCGATGAGTAGATAGATTGATTGTAGTTTAGATAGATAACTAGTCTAGTTTATCCTTCTGCGCCGCCCAGATACCTACTTTCTTGGTTGATAGATAGTACGTGGTCCGAGTGGAGCCCCTTTCTTGGGGGGCAAGTTAGAATACTTCAAGAGGCAGGTCCAACACCATCACCATCACGATGGATACCCATCTGAGCATCATAAGCCGAGAACGAGAATTACAGCGCGGCAAAGTTCCAGTCTAAGTACCGTTAGTGTTCTGAGGGCCATCTCGTAAACGGCATTGGTAGCATTGTAGGTAGATTTAATAGTCATGCCCGTTGCCTCACTGCTGGGTATCCCGTTCCCCAAATGTTGGAGTAACTCGGGAGAAATTGGCTGGTGATGAGTTAAGGTACGTGGATGGAGCACGTCCTGCTTCGGGTTCCATTCCCCTTAATTCTAGCTCGACCGTTAGTCTGGAGAGCGAGGGATGCACTACCGAGGTGTGGATGTTGTCTCTTCCGTCACCACTTTTCCTTTCCCTCTCCCTTTCCAGTAAGTCGCATACTGTACTAGGACTCCATAGACTCAGAGTCTAGATGTTACACCGGATTATTCTTGCACTGAAAAAGACCTTCTTCCCCAAACAGGTTTCGGGAACACAAAAACAGAAAAAAGGGAGCAGGACAATCATATCAATAAAGGCGGGTAATAATAAAGAGCTTGGAAATAATAAAAAAGAATAAAATGGAATAAAATTCTGAAAGGGGGAAAGGTGGGAAAAAATCAAATCAAAAGACTTTCGATGACGGGGTCGAGAATGAGGCAGTGCAAAGTGAACCGACGAGTTACGTTACAGCTTGGGCGAGTGGGAGCTCTGCAGAGGTCATTAGGCCCGTTGAACAAACCCCCAAGAAACCAAACAACCCCCAGCGCCCTGTTTTGGTGGCAAGGAGGTGGTCTCAATCCGTGGGTATCCCCGTTAGAGATCAGAAAGAAAGAGAAAGATTGAAAGGCGCCCTCCCTTTATGTGAATGGAGGTTTCCTTGAAAGATCGATAATCCAAGTGCCCTGACGAAGCATAACCATCAAACATGGGGTAGATAGTCAGCCATCGGGCAATTGGCAGCTTTTCTTCTGCAAACAAGCAGCTTTCGTTTCCCAAACTTACCACATCACTCGATCTGGACCAACCGGTGGATCCCGGAGTGGGGCATTCAGCCGTGCTGATTGGGTTCTTGCGGGAAAGGTGCAGGGTCTCCCACCGAATCATGCTGTAGTCGGTAAGTAGGTATCTTACCTGACAGTACCATTGCGCCTGCCATTCCTCTTTCTTTACTTCCATGATCTCAATCCCCTCTCCTCTATCAATCATTCTATCCACCCAACATCATGATGTGTCGTTGTTCTGCTTGATTCCTAATTTCTCCCCCTTCCCCATTCATTCTCCCATTTCTCCTCCACTAGACTTTCTCTTGCCCTTTACCCTCTTTGTCTTCGCTTCATTCCGTAATTTACCTCCATTGGTTCTGTGCTCCTTCCGCCGACACAAGTGAGGTTCGGTCGCTGGGTTGTTGGTTTCCCCCCCAATTCCCCTCAACGCAAGACATCTGTCCATTCGCTGGCTTTGGGGTAATACCTCGTCGCTGATAAACCTTTCTAGCACTGGCAGTGCTTTTAATCCGTTTACATTTGCCGGGATTGGTCCCACCATTGGGTCGTGCTTCGATAATTGTCACCTCCGGATGTGCTCCTGATACGACGTTACTACGTGGTGTGGCTCTCCGGTGCTGGCAATCTTGTCAACCTTCATATTCCACCGTTGTCCTTCCCTCCTTTTTCGCCTCACTAGTCGCCTGTTTCCCGTTTTCTCTCGTGCTTCTCCTCCCCCGAAACGCTGTTTAATCGATGTGGACGTTCCTTACTCCCACGGCCATTTCCGCGCATTCGTCTGTTTAATCCGAAGCGGCAGTTCTTAGTGTAGCTAGAACACATGGGATATAATACTCGCGCATTCCTCTCCGGCGTCCGTTATTGAGCTTAATCGGTTGCTACTTGCCTCTGGAATGATACCCACTTCTCTTGCGTCTGGATCCGAGATTTTATGATACGGCGCTGTTCAATTGTTTAGCTCCTCTTGGAGCCGCATTCCTATTGACGTCTAGTATCCTAGTCCTTACCAACCGGTTGCTATCGTTCAAAAGCCCCACTCATCTCCGGTTGTTTCACCCCTTGGAAATATCATGTCGGATTCCAGATCGGATGGTCATGATGCTAGGCAGTCAGGGACGACTCCCCTGCGACGGGAGCGGGCCCCAACCATCACCATCGATACGTCGGCTGTAACGTCCCCAACCGACCACCAAGAACCTCCACAGCAGATACTTCCTACCCCGTCCCATCCCTCTTTGCAAGTGTCTACCGAAAATGTTGATGCGCATGATATGAGCGCGCTCCTGAGCAGTGGGGGTGTCTCGCCGTCGTCAGTCCGCTCATTTGCGTCGTCTGAGAACCGGGACTACGAGAGTCGTCCTACATCTCCGCACAATATCTCGTCTCCCGCCTCGAAAATGACTGAGAACATGTCGAATTCGAATTACCTGGCTGTCCCCGGCACTAGGTCTCGCGGCAACTCGTTGGAATCTGAGGACTCGAATAATTCGTCGACCAGCTCGTACGGAGGAGATACATATGTTCCCACAGCATCCCACGGCTCGCGCACCGATTTGACGCAGAACACGATAATCTCCGATGAGGATGCCCTTAAGCCGGATCCGGGGCGAGAGGCCGAGTTTGAGGTGGAAGACAACAAATTTGCATTCGCGCCTGGCCATTTGAACAAGCTGTTGAACCCTAAGAGCTTGGGGGCATTCCATGCTTTGGGTGGGTTGCGTGGAATCGAAAAAGGACTTCGAACCGACACGCGCAGTGGCTTGAGTTTGGATGAGGGAGACCTGGATGGTACTGTAAGCTTCGAGGATGCAACCAACACGCAAACGTCCGAATCGCTGCCAAAGACCGCTTCCTCAACGCCACCGAGCCCTCCCAGAACCGACACGGGCTCGTCGAAACATGTCGAAAATGCCTTTGGGGATCGAAGCCGCGTCTATGGGAGGAACAAGCTTCCTGAAAGGAAGGCTAAGAGTTTCCTGGAGCTGGCTTGGATTGCCTACAACGACAAGGTTCTGATTCTGCTTACGATAGCTGCGATCATATCTCTCGCCCTTGGAATCTATCAGTCTGTGACGGCAACCGGAAAGGAAGCACGCGTGCAATGGGTAGAAGGCGTGGCTATCATTGTCGCCATTCTAATCGTGGTCGTTGTGGGTGCTGCTAATGACTGGCAAAAGGAACGCCAATTCGTCAAGTTGAATAAGAAGAAAGATGATCGACTTGTGAAAGTAGTCCGTTCCGGGAAAACTGCAGAGATCTCTATTCACGACATTCTCGTGGGTGACGTTATGCATCTTGAACCCGGTGATCTCATTCCAGTTGACGGTATCTTTATTACTGGCCACAATGTCAAATGCGACGAATCCTCTGCGACCGGCGAGTCGGACGTCTTACGCAAGACCCCTGCTCACGATGTCTATCGGGCAATCGAGCAACACGAAAACATCTCGAAGCAGGACCCATTCATTGTGTCCGGTGCCAAAGTTTCTGAAGGTGTAGGGACGTTCTTGGTCACAGCAGTCGGTGTTAATTCAACATACGGGAAGACCATGATGTCTCTTCAAGATGAAGGGCAGACGACCCCGCTGCAATCGAAGCTGAACGTACTCGCAGAGTACATTGCGAAGCTCGGTCTTGCTTCTGGATTACTCCTGTTCGTCGTGCTTTTCATCAAGTTCCTTGCTCAGTTGAAAGATATGGGCGGCGCATCCGAGAAAGGACAAGCTTTCCTACAGATCTTCATTGTTGCTGTGACCGTCATTGTTGTCGCTGTCCCAGAAGGTCTTCCTCTGGCTGTCACCCTGGCGCTCGCCTTTGCAACGACCCGGATGCTCAAGGACAATAACCTCGTACGGCTGCTAAGAGCCTGTGAAACTATGGGAAATGCCACGACTATCTGCTCCGACAAAACAGGTACCCTGACGGAGAACAAAATGACTGCCGTCGCAGCTACTCTGGGAAAGAATCTAAGATTTGGAGACAAATCCACGGAAACCTCCAGTCGTCCAGATGGCGACCGGGGTCGTGATCCTGCGACTACTCTTTCTCCCTCCGAGTTCGCATCCAGCCTTTCCGCTCCGGCCAAAGACCTTTTGATCAAGTCGATTGTATTGAACTCCACGGCATTCGAAGGGGAGCAAGACGGTGTAATGACTTTTATCGGATCGAAGACGGAGACTGCTCTCCTGGGATTCGCGCGTACATATCTCGGCCTAGGGTCGCTTAGCGAGGCGCGGGACAATGCAAATCTTGCCCAGATGGTGCCATTCGACTCAGGACGCAAGTGTATGGCAGTGGTCGTCAAGATGGAAAATGGTAAATACAGAATGCTGGTCAAAGGTGCATCCGAGATCCTGGTGGCGAGATCCACTCGAATTGTTCACAACGCTACGCAGGACTTGGCAGAAGGGCCTATGTCGGATCAGGACCGGTCTAACCTGGACAATTTGATCAACCGTTATGCATCTCGTTCGTTGCGAACTATTGGTCTGGTGTACCGGGACTTCGATCAATGGCCACCCCGCGGAGCACCCACGCAGGAGGAGGACCGTTCGCTCGCTGTTTTCGATGCAGTTTTCAAGGATATGATCTTGCTAGGCGTCTTCGGTATCCAAGATCCCTTGCGACCGGGTGTGACCGAGTCTGTCCACCAGTGTCAGCGCGCAGGTGTCTTTGTGCGTATGGTGACTGGCGATAACATCATGACTGCTAAAGCTATCGCCCAAGAATGTGGCATCTTCACCCCTGGAGGTATTGCCATTGAGGGCCCCAAGTTCCGTCAGCTGAGCAGCCGCCAAATGACGCAGATCATCCCGCGGCTACAGGTTTTGGCCAGGTCAAGCCCCGACGACAAGAAGATCCTGGTTAATCAACTCAAAAAGCTGGGTGAAACGGTGGCTGTGACAGGCGACGGTACAAATGATGCACAAGCTCTCAAGACGGCCGATGTTGGCTTTTCCATGGGAATCTCTGGCACTGAAGTTGCTAAAGAAGCATCCGATATCATCCTCATGGACGACAACTTCACCTCGATTATTAAGGCTATGGCTTGGGGTAGGACAGTCAACGATGCTGTCAAGAAATTCCTTCAGGTATGGCTTCCTTATATGTTCCTGTGTTTCGCAAGCAAAACTAACCGAGCTGTAGTTCCAACTTACTGTCAACGTTACTGCCGTGGTCCTCACTTTCGTTTCCGCAGTAGCAAGTGGAGATGAGGAATCTGTCCTGACAGCAGTTCAGCTTCTTTGGGTCAACCTTATCATGGACACCTTTGCGGCCCTTGCCTTGGCTACGGATCCTCCCTCGCCTCATGTTCTCGACCGTCGACCTGACCCTAAATCGGCGCCCCTGATCAATCTGACTATGTGGAAGATGATTATCGGACAAAGCATCTACCAGTTAGTCGTCACGCTGGTTCTGAACTTCGCAGGGAAATCGATCTTTCACTACAAAACGGCAGACGACCTCGATCGGCTTGAGACCATGGTGTTCAATACGTTTGTGTGGATGCAGATCTTCAACCAGTGGAATTGTCGCAGACTCGATAACAACTTCAATATCTTTGAGGGCATGTGGCGAAACTTCTGGTTCATGGGGATTCAGTTGATCATCATTGGAGGTCAAATTCTCATCATCTTCGTTGGTGGACAGGCTTTCTCTGTCAAGCGACTCGATGGAGCTCAGTGGGGTGTTTCACTGGTTCTGGGCGTGATCTCTCTGCCGGTAGGCGTGATCATTCGTTTGATACCTGATGAGTTTATTAGCAGACTCATTCCTCGGTTCTGGCAGCGCAAGAAGGGCCCCGAACTTCTGGTGTCCGACGAGGACCGGCGGTTTGAGTGGAACCCTGCGCTCGAGGAGATCCGTGATCAGTTGAAGTTCCTCAAGACGGTCCGCGGAGGTCGGCTGAGGCACCTCAAGCACAAGTTGCAACATCCAGAAGAACTCCTCCCAAGATCACGAAGCGGGTCACGGTCCAGAGAAAACTCGATTCCCGGTACTCCTGTTGGCGAACACAGCGACAGTACCCCGACGCAGCCACCGACTCCTGATTCGCGGTCTAGACGTCGCACTCGGTCCCGCTCGAATTCAGCATTCGGGCCTGCTGCTGCTATGGCCGGTGTGGTTGCGGGTAGTATTGCAGGCTGGTCTCCAATCGAGCGGGCACCAGGCGACGGAGAAGCTTTCAAGGTTCAGACGGACAGCCCTCATGGGGGTCTGGATAAGCAGAAGGGCATTGAAATCCACCCCGATACTGCCGCTGATGACCGTATTCTGGGCGATTACCAGACCACTTCAAAGACTCCTCCCAGCCAAAACCCAGGGCTCCTCCCGTTCTTTGAATACGCACCGCCTGAGCGTGCTCCCTCCCATCGGAGCCAGAGATCCACTTCTCGCTTGTCGCGATCCAGCCAAAGCCAGGCGTGAAAGCAAACCATCCTCTTCCCAACTGACTCCCGCCTTGTATACTTACCACCTGCTCTCTCCTAGTTCACTCTATTCGTCTTTGCTTGTGATTTAAGTTCTTTCATGCTAGATGTTACTGCGCTTTGTGATGTTACTTGCTGATTCGTTGCTTTTCTGGGACTCAATTAGCCTTGTGCGGAATACTGTGTTTCTAATATCCTGGGGTGGGGTTGGCGTACGTGATTCAAAAGGTGTATTCGTTCGCGGTTGCTTGCTTTCTAGACACTTCTCGCATAGGGATACGGACCTGGTCAAAAGGGGTCGGTTGCTTGCTTTGCTTTATCCATTAGTTTCTCTCTCTCTGTACATAGCACTTCTTGCCTCGCCTGGTGGTAGATTCAGGTTGAGCTAAAATACAGTCATCTCGAACTGGAATTACTATTCTCTCTCTCCTTAAGTAGATTGTTCATTGCCATTATTCAGAGCCGATACCACACGCCACCATACCTATGTAGCCCCAAAATTTACCCGTTGCGAAAATCTATAGTAGAAATCATAGATTATCACTCCTATGTGCCTGTTGATGTTATACTCATACTAGTACCGATAGATACTACGTACTTATAGGTAGACATTCTCAGAGGGCCGCGTGGCTGATCACTTCATTGTTGAATTACTCTCAGAGCTCATCCAAAGTCAGCTAGCTCCGACAGGGGTCTGCATCAGCTTGCTCAGTAAGGTCTTCCAATTTCACAGACATCAGCGTTTGTCACAATTCCTTCGGTGAAACGGTAGAGTTTTCAGGCGAAGTCGTAGTCGATGGAAGTATTCGCCGCGACCACAACAGCCGCTGAGCTTCCGTGATCACAGCCTCAGTATCCTTCCATTCCATCTCAAGCCAGTCCTGCCACTGCCAATCAATCCAGTCCTCGAATTTCTCATGGCGGCCATAAGAAACACGCCACCTGAGCAACGGACTGATATAAACACCAGGAAACCACTGATCCTCATACTCTTTATCCCAGGGCCGCCAAGTCCTTCCAATAGTCGAAAGCCCCTGATCAATAATGACGACTCTCACTCCTCCCCCTTCTTTCACCTCACTAGGTTCAATTACTATATTCCGTTGGTGGAAATCACGAAGAAGAATATCTTTCGCGTAAAGTGCTGACTCCGCGTCAACTATCTGCCTTAGGATTGACTGGCGCTGCTGCCTTGTAAACGTTCCCGGGATTAACTGAGACATCGGCATGCCGTTGATGTATTCGATCAAGATCAGACGCACTAGCCGAGTAGTCTGTTCACCGGGTCTTGTTATCCTCAAGGTGTAAGAGCCGAAGAAGCGAGGGATGGATGTGCCTTGGATTTCGGAACAACGGGTGTAAATTGCGCTTTCGTGGGAGTATTCGTAGTCGGCTTCTACGAAGGGGTTGTCACTGAGGTATTCAATTTCGTAGTAGGTTGGGTCGTAGAATTTGGCAACGATGGTGTGATTTGTTGGTAATCCTAAGGGATTGTTGGAATCGGTACATCTGACTGCGTAGACTTGGGATCTTTTGCCTTGGCCAGTTTGGATCGCTTCGGTTAATTGGATGTTTAGGAATCTGGAACCGTCTGTACCTGGTAGAGGTGGGTAGTTGGGCCATATCTCGGCGAGTGATGGCAATTGATCGTACTTGCCCCGTGGGAGTCGGTTCTCCTCTCGGCTGAATACGCTTTTGTCCAGCGGAGGAGGGGGTGTGTGGGACTGGATGGTTAGGGTGGCGTGGATGAAGTAGGGGTATGTTTTGCAGTGATGGTCTTTCATATTGGAAGGCAGGGGAGAGGGTTGGGATATTCAGATGGTGATTATGATGATGGTAGGTTACTAATGCTAGTAGCCAGTGCTGGTGAAGAGGGTAGTCTAAGTGATCAGCTATATACTACTGCAAGATATTGGGAGTTCATTTCTGCAATTTGTAGGCAGACCAGGCAGATAAACCCCTTGCCGGAGTTCATTAGCTAGAATGCCGAGCTGAATCTGTCAAGAGGAGATGACCGATTCATCCGCTGGCTTGAATGTGGAAAGCCATTCCAAAGCGGGTTGTACCATGCATGAGGTATTGCATAGTCTAAGGCAGCAATGTCACACCTGGGACAGCCGCTGCCTGGATTGCGCAGGGGTGCTTGAAGAAAACAATCATAAACTATACTAAACAATTGGCTTTGGTTTATGGAAAGCATGCTTGCAATAGTAGTTGCCTGCTTGATGAGTAACAGTCTCCTGCACTGTATGCTTCCTGACGTGATGTATTCATTTTAATTTATCAGATAGCAATCCAACTACGGGTGACCCTCTACTTTGCCGAAGAAAGATCAGAGGATAGTACTTCTCATTCAATTTTGGCTGCCCTCAAGCTGAGAAGACGCAGTTCGCAACGTTGAACATGAAATTCATCTGATATTGAGTAGGTCACCCAAATAAGAAGCTATGGCCACAACGATGATGTAAAGCTCGAGATCGTGATGACAAGCTTGCACCGGAGGGGATCAACCAGCCCCAGGATCCTTTTCGGCACAGGAAGCCACCACTCCTCCACGCCCTGTTGACGTGACATGCTCAAGGCATATTCCATGGGCCAGGGCAAATTTCAAGGCTTGTCCTTTCTCATATTAGGTAATTCACGACTCCAGTAGGCTCTGTGTATAGGGCCCCTTAGCTTGCTGAGGCACCACTCATCAAACCTCTCAGAGAATATATACCCAGATCTTGCAAGCGACTGGCTTGGTACGCGGTCAGCCACTACCATTACCAGGTCCGGTTCGACATCGTAGCATCCGAGCACTCGAGGCACAAAAATTCCAACATCATGGACCTACTGCATCATTGCAGCATCTGAGCGTCGATTGGCCAGTACGTGCCTAATATTCAAGGGAGGGATCTTCAAATGAAATCTATACGGTCATGGTAGAACGGCTTAGGGGATCAAAAGTGGTGAAATGTATAGACCTTATATAGAACACCCTTTGACGATTAATCGAGTCTTCCAAAGGGGTTGAAAAGGATCCTTCCTTTCCACTGGGACGCAGTCTGTGCGACAGTATCATTTATTTCGTGGCTCTCACTACTACCTGCATCTCACAAGGAAATTCCACAACATCATTAAGCAATCAAGCTCGTGCGAGGACGGAAGATAGTTCATGAAATGTTCAAGATTTTATTTTCCGATGTGCTTGTTAATAATACAATATAGTCTATAGGAGGTCTCTCACTTTTGTTGACTGTTCGCCGTCATACTAGAATACCCAGCGGGCTTCTTCTCTGCTTTGACGGCGTGATGTATTTAGATGCTCTTAGAGTCATGGTAGGATGAATTGGCTTCATCATACATCTTCTATAGATTATTTATAACTAACTATTCCCGCTATTGAGGTAAGCTACTGCTTCCCGCGGAGATGGCCTATCGCCATGTGACTTTCCCGCTTATCGCGGGATTCTCCGCAGCGGCGATGGAGAAGTACTTCTACTGGTACTACTGCCCTTGCTTTTTCTTTTGTCTTCCTCATCTCAATTTCCTTCTTCTCTCGCAGCAATTGCTCATCATGTCTGCTGTACGTCCCGTGAGAAAAGGTCTTCACCTTTTGGGCTCGAGCTCGCTCGCCCGCCCCGCCTCTGTCGCTGTCAATGGCGCATCTCTGCTCCCGCGGCAGCTGGCAGCTTCTCCGCGCGCTCTCCGCCCCGCGGCCAGCTCCATTCCTGCTGCTCGTCCACTTCCCCGGGTGACTTCGCTGTCTGCTCAAGGAGGTGTCCGATATGCCTCGTCTGTAGCTCCTTCAGGTCCAGTGAAGAAGACTCAGCTGTATGACCTTCACTTGGCCCGGGGTGCCAAAATGGTCCCCTTTGCGGGGTTCTCCATGCCCCTGCAGTATTCCGACCTCAGTCATGTTGAGAGCCACAAGTGGACTCGGGAAAAGGCCAGTCTTTTCGACGTGAGCCATATGTGCGTATACCTCTCTTCGTGAAGTGCCCAGAGTCTCGTTAATTGACCATCTACAGGGTTCAACATCAGCTCAGCGGTCCCGGCGCTCTCGACCTCCTCATGAAGGTCACCCCCTCATCCCTCGACAAGCTCAAGCATAACCAATCCACTCTCTCTTGTCTCCTGGAGGATGGAACTGGCGGCATTATCGATGACACCGTCATCACTCGTCGTACCGATGACACCTTCTACTTCGTGACCAACGCCGGTCGTCGCACCGAGGACCTGGCCTTCCTGCAAGCCGAAATCGACACCTACAAGCAAGCCCACGGGCCCGACAGCCTGAAGTGGGAGATCCTCGAGGACCGCGCCCTAGTCGCTCTCCAAGGTCCTAAGGCTGCCTCCGTCCTCCAATCCCTCGTCACCCCCGACGGTGCCAACTCAGATCTCTCCACCCTCTACTTCGGTAACTGCCGAGAGCTGCACCTCACCTTCCCCGACGGCACCACCACCCCGCAGCCCCTTCTCGTCTCCCGAACCGGCTACACCGGCGAAGATGGCTTTGAGATCTCCATCCCCACTGCCAGCGACGCCACCCTACCTGTCCGCGTTACCGAGCTCTTCCTCTCCAACCCCGACGAAGTCCGTCTCGCCGGTCTCGCCGCGCGCGACTCCCTCCGTCTCGAAGCCGGAATGTGTCTCTATGGAAGCGACATTTCCACCTCTCAAACTCCTCCCGGCGCCTCCCTGACCTGGCTCGTAGGCAAGGAGCGTCGTGACCCTGCCACCGCCAACTTCAACGGCGCCTCCACCATCCTCCCCCAGGTTGCCTCCCCCAAGACCCTCTCCCAGCGCCGTGTCGGATTCACCGTTGAGAAGGGCTCCCCTGCCCGTGAGGGCGCCATCATTGTCGATCTGAACGATGAGTCCCGCACCCAGATCGGTGTCATTACCTCTGGCCTTCCTAGCCCTACCCTGGGCGGCACTAACATTGCCATGGGCTACATCAAGAACGGCCTGCATAAGAAGGGCACCGAGGTTGGCGTCTTGGTGAGGAACAAGCTCCGCAAGGCTACGGTTACGGGTATGCCTTGGGTTGAGAGCAAGTTCTATCGTCCCAAGGCTTAGGCTTAGTCTATCTTTTGGTCGATATTTCTTGGCTTGGATGTGGATGGATGGGGCAATAGGAGTGGGTGTTTGGCTTGGTTTCAACAATAGGTTCCCCTGATGACGATTCTTGATGTTTGATGTTTGACGTCATTGTTTGTACATAGATTCTGATGATTCATCTTTTTTCAACTTTTTTCTTTGGTTCCTTTTGGGACCAGCAATGGGTTCAACCCTGTCGTCATGGCTGCTTCGTTTATCAGCAAAGGCCAGAATGTGTCCGATGGTACAAGCATGGTTAATGATATCTGGTACATTCATAAAAAAGTTCCAATATTCCCGATTAGGTACTGTGCAACACGTTATTCTGTCTTGCTTCTTCTAGGTAGCAGGACGTTATGTACGTATGAATAGTGATGCAAAACACGAAGTTTCCCATTTTATCTACATGTATTGTAGATTATGGACTTAAACCTCAGGTAAATAAAAAAAGAAAAGAAAAAATGTACTCAATGAATAACCCCCGTTCCAATCCCTGTAAAGTTACCTCAGTCACACAAAACCCGCCTATACGCAACACCACAATCAACCACTCACCCTTCCCTCAAACATCCACCGAGTACATCTGACTCGTCGACAACGAAGGAGGCAGATCCCCTGCCGCAGTCCCCCAATCACTTTCATTCCTGCCCAACACAAGCACAAGCTCCTGACCCTCCGTGAAGAATTCATGCCCCACATAACTCTTCGTATACGGCTGACCATTCAGCGTCGCCGACTGAATATAGATGTTCTGGTAAGTAGAGTCGAAGTTGGTTGTCTTCACAGTGGCTGTCTTCCCCGTCAATGGGGAGGTGATCTGGACGGATTCGAAGAATGGCGCTGTTATAAGGTAGACGTTTTGACCGGGGTTCGGAAACAGGCCCATCATGGTCATCGCGACGAAGGAGCCCATGGCTCCGGAGTCGTCGTTGCCGGGGAGGCCCGTGGGCGTTGGGTTGAAGTATCGTGGGATGTAGTAGTGGGCGCGGGCAGTGGATTTGCCAGGCCGGCTGGCGTAGTGGTACTGGAAGACGGTGAGGAAGGCGGGTTCGTTGCCAATGTAGGTGATGCCTTGGTCGTGGAGGTAGTCAAGGCGTCGGACGAATTGGGCTGGGCCGCCTAGGAGGGTCACGAGGGTGGCCATGTCGTGAGGGACGAAGCTGGGGGTGGTTAATTGGTAGTTTGGTACTATCAGAGGGTTGGATGATTGGGGGCATACAATTGGTATTCCCAGATGCTGGACTCGAAGGTCTCTGCTCCGTTGTTTTGTAATGAGCAGGATCGTCCGCTTGTGTCGATGTTGGAGCATGTTAATGGGTCCTGGGAGTGTAACTATTAGTTGTTTTGTTTGAATCTAAGAGACAAGATGGGGTGACGGACTTGAGATCCCCATGTTCCGTTGAGATACTTGGGCTGGAAAAAGCCCTGGAATCCCGTGTCGGTGCCGTTGAGAAACGAGGTTTGGTCAGCTCGGAAGAGGTTCTGCCAGTACTGCGATGTTCCCTCGTACTTTTCGGCATCGCCGGTTTTGTTCATGGCCCGAGCCATTTGAGCAATTGTGAAGTCATTGTAAGAGTATTCCAGTGTGCGCGATATGCTGCGAGTCAGGGTACCAAAGCCGATGTAATCGAAATCCTCCACGGGGATGTAGTTCAACGCCTTCCAGCTCATCAGCCCGCCGCGTCCCTCATTTGACCAATCGAATGGTTCCTCCTCAGCGTCTTTCACTACAGCCGCATAGCCTGCATCCCAGTCGATGCCGTCTGAGATGCCTTTGGCGTATGCGTCAGCCAGAATGACGTCGGCGTTCGAGCCACCCTGCGTGTAACCTAAGAGGGTTAGTCTCAGATATTCTCGGACAGGCAGGATACATACCTTTGCAAAGCGACATACGGCAATCTGGAAGCCATCCCAGATGCCGCTGCGTATCAATTAGTGAGCGAATAATGCGAGTCAGTGATGCAGGATCGAAGATGGTTAGAAACGGCATCTGGGACCGGAACGAGTCCCACAGGCTGCAGAGGTCAGTGAAAGGAACGATTTATTCTGGAGTCACTGCATACCAGTAGAATGAGTCAAAGTAGGGCTCTGAGCTGTCCCACAACGGGTTCTCTCCTGTATAGTCTTGCGGGTTGACCATAGTCCGGTAGATCCCGCTGTAGAAGTTGGTAAGCATGCTTGAGTTGATGCCATTTCGCGACACACGGATCGGAGCCATCTTCTGCGTCCACATGTTTACAGCTGCAGATTGAGTCTTGTTGAAGTCGAAGTCCGGAATTTCAGCTTCTGCATTTTGGCATGCTTGGTCGCTACTGATGAAGCTCAATCCCACCCGAGCATGGACCACATTGTCCGCGGAAGAATTGAATCGGATAAAGGCACCACCCTGAGAACCGTCAATAGGCCATACATGCTAAGTGGGACACAGGTTGCGAACCGGAAGCGGATATCCATTGATACTTCGTGATATGGTAAGGTTTTTGACATCTACGCTGGCCCGCGCATCAACAAAGATGCCATTATCTCGGATATCACCCGCACCATGATAGTCGGCGCAAAAATATGGCACATAAGAGCCGCTCCCAAAGCTGGGAAGAAAGCGTGCATGGCCGGTCATGCGCCCTGTTGTTGGGTCTACGGAAATAGTGCCATTATCCTGGCGTGTATCCGACAGGTCAGACAGATCTAAGAGGATCAGAGGGCTCGACGGCTTGTCGACCGGAAATTGAAAGCGGAATAGAGCAGTATGATGGGCAGTTGTCATGTCCACCTGGATACCAGAGCTCATGTTTAGCCCAAAGTACCCCGGACTGGACTTGACCGAGCTGGAGTTGTAGGAGGTCTTCCGCTCCTTCTTGGGATAGGCGCAGCCATTGACATCGTCGTCTTTGCAGTTCACGTAGGGGAAAAGAGGGAAAACGCCCAAAGAGGGTTGCCCACCAGTCCCCGAATCATGCATACTGGAGAATCCGGTAATACTACTGCCATCGTAGGCGAAACCTCCCTGATTATTGTCCGAGTCCGTATCGGCGACAGCCTTGGCCATGCCGTATGGGATCGTTGCGCCCGCGAAGACATTGCCTGGAACCCGACAGTGAGAATAGCGCGCCAATTGTAGCTGAACTATCTAGTGCATACCTCCATTAGCGCTTCCGATGAGGGGATTGATGTATTGTAGAACATCATAGTCGTCGACCGACCCGGAAGAGTTGGCGCAACCTGCAATGCAGGGGAAGGCTACGGACAGAACCAAATGCCTCCAATTAATCATGTCGGCGATAAATGATTGAGCAAGGGAATGACAGAGACAAGTGACGAGCGTGGTATATGTTGTGTTTACAAAGATTAGACTGGCATGCTGACATGGCCATCAAGGGAGACAAGAATGAGACCGTGTCCCCGCGAGGGGGATATCGCTGACATCTTCTTCATCCATGAAAAGCAATCCCATGCCCCTGATATAAATTATTGACAAGGTTTATCGCTGCAATGTAACCTTTGTGGCTCCGTATGACCAGTCTGAAGCACGATGATCGTGCAGGCAAGCGTCTTTAGCGTCTCTCCCTGGCATGGAGCGAAAGGTCATCTGTGCAACAGAGGCCTGAGTCCCGTGAGAAGCTGGAACCGTTGTTTTACTACATGGAGTGCTGCCAAACATGATCCTGAACCAGCGTAGGTATGTCTAGATAGATAGAATGAACTGACGAGACCCCATGGTGGAGCAAGCTGATCGACGAGACGAAGGAGTAGTACTTTTAGTAGAAGCAGATAAGATGCGGAGGCGGAGTTATTGATCGGGAAGGATTGTCAGCTTTACCGGCTGCTGAAGGACGCCATTTAAACCCAACTTACCCCTATATCATAGGGGGGACCTGGAAAGTGATTTCAGTTTTCTCACGCCATCAGGACGACTTCGTACTATCCTGAACTCTTGCAATGGACATGAGGAAGTCGCAAAGTCAATTGCAAGGCCCCTTGCGAGAGCAGCCGAGGTTCCAACGCAGTGCCGCCCCGCCCGACGCCAATCAACGGAGCCTCGACCGATTTTGACGATGCGGAACCATGGACTTCCTCCTGGAAGAACAGGGCGAGGATAATTTGAATATTTCCGCTGGAACTGGTTTTGAATGGCGCCGCAAAAGCAAAGCAACTTCGAGGCTCTGCTGATCTGATCGAGGGGCTCCTTTGCGCTTCACCCCCCAGTCCATTCAACTCTCCTTTTTCTTTTCTCCCTATAAAAGCCTCTCGTTCCATCTCCAAGTGTCAGAGAGCCCACAATCGTCACCATGCCGCCGGTCCCAACAATGCTAGGCTCCACTACCATGGCCAGAGCTGTTGCTCATGCTCTTCCTCTGTCGCGTTTGCCTCCGAACCAAATTTCTTCGCTGTGCCGAGGCATTTCCCTATCCCAGCCTCTTGCACACAGAGTTTATTCGACTGCTTCTGCAGGTATGTATTCACCCCTTCCTTGCACAATGCTTTATGCTTCAAATAGACTTCAGTCTTTATAAAAGCACTTACTCAAAATTAAGTGTCCCAACTAATCACAACATCTCACAGAGGCAGCATCCCTCTCCTCACAAGCACCCCCGACACGCTCCCGCTTTCGCCGCTTCGTCGGATTCACCACCCTAGCAGTCGTCGCCTTCACTGCTGGCTTGACCTACCAAACCTCCAAATCTGTGTCGCGCATGATGACGCTCAGTCTAGCTACCGACGAGGAGACTCTCTCCGCTTTCATTCCTCACGATGAGTTTTCCAAGGAGGTCAACGACTATATCCGCAACCACCCTCTGGCCGTGTCGCTGCGCAACAACCCTGCTTTCACGGAGTCCCGCCCACACATGAAGATACCGGAGAAGCTGCGCGCGCGCACTCTCACAGGTGGCACACTCGCTGGACCGGACAAGATCGTGGCTCCGCCCTTGGTGTTTTGCGAAGAGGGCGGAAAGAGCTTGGTCTCGCTTTTCTACCTCGGACCAAACCTCTGCGGTCACCCGGGAATTGTGCACGGTGGATTGCTGGCCACATTGCTGGACGAAGCCATGGGACGATGCTGCTTTCCTGCTCTGCCGAACAATGTGGGTGTGACTGCCAACTTGAACTTGGATTATCGCAAACCCGCCATGGCCGGCAACTATGCTGTTTTGCGGGCGGAGACAGTGAAGGTGGAGGGTCGGAAGGCCTGGGTGGAAGGTCGCATTGAGACTCTTCCTGAGGACGGAAAGGAACCGGTGGTGCTCGTGGAGGCCAAGGCCTTATTTATTGAGCCCAAGCAGGCCGCGGTAGGTTCAAATGATCGAAGCATGATGCAAAGACGAGGCTAATTGGATATGCAGGCCATGTCGACTCTCTACAACATGACCAAATGATTGGCACCCATCTCATTCGATCTAATTCTATATATACATTGGACATTATTTAGAGTCATCGTGATTCGAACTTTCAACAGGCGTATAGATGGTTGGAGAGCTACATTTGGATTGTACATATAGATAACTTTTGTTTTAGTATACTATACCTATTCTAGATTGTGAATTTTGATTTCCAAACCCAAAGTACGAGCAGAGAAGTGTTGCAGGCTTCTTGGTCACAGTAGCTGCCGTAGAGGCCTTAGCAAACGGGTGTTGGATTACAGCTCAGGTTATGACGAAGACACCGTAGAATTGCTACTATTACTGTTGCACAGGTGTCGACCTGACTAACGTATACATTGTTATCAAGCTGTCAGAGGACTGCAGGTCCATGTTTACTCCCAATAGAGTTTCACGATCTGGAGGTTGCATTTGACGTCACACTCACGCCAGCTTGTGAACATCGCCAGAACACCAACGCCAGCTCCTCTCTATCAACATCCAGCACCATAATTCTACTGGCACAAGAATACACGATGGCTCAGAGCATCACTATCGACCCCAGTAACCTTCAACCCCCGACGAGACATCCTACGTCCTCCATCGACCCTGCATCAGAGCTGCCTCCGGCCAAAGAAAGCAGGGTCCATCCCTCCAAACCAGGCGAGGAGAATGCATCGATATACTTTGTTGGCACTGCCACGACGATCATGCGCGTGATTCCTCTCTAGGTAACGAGATCAAGCCAAGAACTAACGAGCAATACAGACAATGGCATGGGATCCGCATTATGACTGATGTATGTACCACCATGCACCTTGCCCAAGGAGTCTAGACAGAAGCAATAATATCGTTAGCATGCTAACTGACAAGATCAGCCCAACTTCCTTCACGCAGGGGACCACGTCCACCTCGGTCCTGGAGTATCCTCGACTCGAAGAACGAATCCGGCTGTAGATCTAGAAGAGCTACCGCGGATCGACTTGGTGCTTCTTTCTCATTATCACGGGTAGGTATGACGTTTAACTCATTGGAGTGAAGAAAGACTGGCTAACGAGGGAAATTGTAGAGATCACTTCGATCGAAAAGTCGAAGCCTCCTTGCGCCGCGACCTTCCCATCGTTACGACACCTCATGCTAAATCCATCTTAACTTCTAAAGGGGATGATTCGTTCACGAGAGTATCCAGCGTGGACGTCTACGAGCAGCTTACAGTCGATATCAAACCCGACCAGAATGACGCACAGCGACAGCAACGGCCCAAGCTCCGGATAACCGGTATGCCAGGGAAACATATCCCGGTTGGAAAGCCGTTAGAGAAGCTGAATGAGCTGGTAGGGGCGGTATGTTCCTTCCTCCACATATAGTCCAGCCAGACACTGATGCGTACGCTGGAATAGATCCCTCCTACAAACGGATGGATGCTCGAGCTAGGTTACGGCGACGCAAACAGTTTCACCTCCGGGTACAGAATCTACATCTCAGGGGACACGCTCATGTTCGATGACCTCAAAGAGATTCCGCGTCGGTATGCAGGACAACCGATCGACCTGATGCTGGTTCATCTAGGTGGCACAACGGTACCCTCGCCGGCCATGTTGCCATTGGCGATGATGGTAACCATGGACGCGAAACAGGGAGTGGAACTGATAAAGTTGATTCGACCACAGGTGACCATCCCCATTCATTATGATGATTATGACGTGTTTGCAAGTTCGTTGGATGATTTTCGGGCGCAAGTGCAGGCTGCTGGGTTGGATGGGGAGGTTGTGTATCTGGACCGGGGAGAGGAGTATCAGTTTCGCGTCGTAGAATAAGAACAATGGGTGGATGGATGGCGAGAGGCAAAATAAGTCACATCTCAACCATGGCTGACCCCGGCATCGCGCGCCGCCAATCAGCATGTCTTCATTCCAGCGGACTCGTACATCCCGCCCTACCAGCGATGTTCCCATTTGCCATGATGAGATGTCTTGACCGAAATTGATCCTTAGTACTTTTATTTCCATTCAATAAGATCCATCAATTGTTCATCCACGTAGTTATCCCAGGTACGAATATGTTAAAAAAAAGTCCGTTACACCACATCTGCAGTGAATGGCAGGAAAAAGGTACCCTTATGATGTCAGACTGAACCAGTAGTTAGTTACCATCCATCATCTGCTCCATGACTTAGTACTTACCCTGCACGGCTTGTTCCATCTGATACTGAGTGAATAAACAGCCAACCATTGAATACAAAAGAAGGACGTCTTTTTCGCTCATAAGATCCCCCCCATTCTGACCCAGCCCATATAAGTACCTCACCGAACTTTTCTTACCTTCTGCAGATCTTTTCAATATCTTAGACGTCATAGTGACTCCAATCGTCTACTTTCCCTAAATTGGCTTCGATATCTCCATCCAATCCACTGGAACTAGCTTTGTATAAAAGAAACAAAGGGCGGAATACGTCGCTGATCTTCGTCCCTTCACAATCCTCTAAATCCAACCTAATCTTTCAAGATCAGCACTTCTCTACGAAGCAGGAAATCCACAAAAAGAAAGAAAGAAAGAAACCAAAATGTCCCACAGCCACAACAACTACCACCCAGTCGCCTCAGCAGACAAAGTCCCTACCATACACACAATCCAGCCCATGAAACGCTCGACTTCCTACTCTCCCACCCAAGAGAGTGACGAAGAGTACAAGCAACACGTCAAGAAAGACAGCGCGAGCAGCACAGTAGCCTGTGGCAACGACCATAAAGTGAAAGCCGCGCTGACGGAGCTTCTCAACGACGACGGAGTGAAATGCAATGCGCGCGGAAGCAGATCGGTGCAGAACTTGCTGATGGATACGGAGAAGGCGCTGAGGAAGCAGCGCAGGGAGTCGCTTTCGGGACGGGCTTCGATTTTGGTGGCGAAGTGAAGTGATTTCGGTGTTGATGTGAGATCTATTCTATTTGACTGGTGACGACATGATGAGTGAAATGGGGGTTTTGCTTTGATTGTCGAATGGTGGCTGCTTTGCGCTGCGTGCTCGTGTATGTGCATGGTCGAGTTCCTCGTGCTGGTCTGGGCTGGTCGGTACAAGAGGTGCGCGCTGTGTCGATGGGGGGGTCTTAGCTGCTTCTGATGATGTTGATGCTATGTGAGCCGGCTGTATATAGAAGCTGCTTGGTTCGATATGGTTCATGCAGGGTAGTAGGGCTGGAGGTTAGAGGCACAGCTGATGCGCCGTTGCAGGAGTTGGAGACGACATGTCTATTGGTGGCAGCATAATACACATTACAGCCTAGGAAATGCAGTCGCAAGGGGTTCCTGTGCCATAATTCAATGAACCATTCATGTGTTTATGCAAGAATTGAACTCATTAGTATCGTGTTCTACAACTGTACTGTGTAGAAAATAGTATAAGAGGCGGCGCGGCCTATACACCTAGCTTATAGTTAGTAGTATGTGGCCTCTTCGACGCATAACACATCAACAACAGTAGTAGTATGACCTCAAGCTGTCAAGTCAGATAAAGAAGACTGTAATAGACGAGGTAAAATAGTATTCCATCCCTCATAAACATATAACAGCCCCAAAATCAACAAGTACCAACCAAGCAACCCAATGAAGCCAACCACCGCCGCCGACCGCCTCCGAGTGACGACCGACCGACCGACCGACCGACCGCAATCGATCCTCCTCCGCACCAACAGCTCCAGCTCCAGTTCAACTCCAACCAACCTCCCCCTTCACCTCTCCACAGCCCATCTTCCCTTATTCCTCCGTCTGCACCGCCAGACTACATGCGTGGCAACCCCCTTACACCCAGCTAATTTTATATACCCCCAGCCACCATGTCCAAATCAACCAAGTACCTCCTCGTCTCCTTCCCCACGTCCATCACCCCCTCCCACCACCGCGACGACGCCCTCGACGCCATCTCCACCACCGTCTCGTCCGAAAATGGCTCCGTTGCGCCCTTTCCCATCCCGGAGTTCAAGATCGGTACGCTCGATGCCCTGGTGCAGCAGGCCGACGAGCTGGCTAAGCTTGAGGCCGGCTGCCAGGGGGTGGTAGCCAAGGTTGGCGATGCGCTGAAGAATATTTTGGATGGGGATGAGGCGCAGATTGATAAGATGAAGACGGTTAATGATAGTATGTTCGATGTGTCTATGGGTAACTATTCTTGGAGATATGTGGTTAACGGGCTCATCTAGAACCGGTGGATCAGTATCTCCGCACGTTTTCGTGGAATAAGGTCAAGTATAGGGCTGATAAGCCGCTGGGAGAGTTGATTGACTTGCTGCAGAAGGTGTGATTCATCGACTATTTTGTATAGGGGTGGTGGGTATGCTGACGGGTGGAACAGGAAGCAGCGAGTATCGATAACGACATCCGCTCGAAATATACCCAGTATAATCAGGTGAAGAATACGTTGGCGACGTTGCAGCGGAAGCAGACGTGAGTTCTTACTTTACTTTACGCTCCATGTCAGGAGGAGGATGGTGTCTGATCAGCTATAGGGGCAACCTGTCAACCAAATCCCTCTCCTCGGTCGTCGACCCTCGCACCCTCGTCCGCGACTCCGAATACATCGAGACGCACCTCGTTGCGGTGCCCGCCCAGCAAGTCAAGGAGTTCCTGAAGATCTACGAGACCGTGGCACCCATGGTGGTGCCGCGATCGGCGACGCTGGTTGCCTCGGACGACGATTTCACACTGTACGCCGTCACGACGTTCAAGAAGCACAGCCTGGAGTTTGTGCACAAGTGCCGTGAGAACAAGTGGATTCCGCGCGACTTCAAGTACATTGAGGGCGGCAAGGAGGAGGAGCGGAAGGAGTTCGAGCGGGTGGGCGGTGACGAGCGCAAGCTCTGGGGAGAGACGCTCCGGCTGGGACGGACGGCGTGGAGTGAGGCTGTGATGGTCTGGATCCATGTGTATGTGCTGCGGGTGTTTGTGGAGACGGTACTGCGGTATGGATTGCCGCTGGACTTTGTGTGCACGTTGATCCGGGTGAGTCACCTTTTTCCCCAACCTTTGCTTGTTTCTGAATACTGACTGCAGCAGACCCCCGGAACGAAGCAGGCAGACAAAGCGAAGCGCAACCTGGACGACAAGTACTCGTACCTGGCGGGCAATGCGTTCGGGCGCGACAAGAAGGGCCGAGTGAAGCGCGACGACCCGGGCGAGATGCACGGCGAGGGCGGGCCGGAGTATACGGCATACGTGTATTATGAATTCGAGTTCAACTGAGCCGACCTTGACTAGTTTGCATCATTCTTCTGCGTTGATCTATTATCTTCCTGTTTATATGTCTAGCGTACGTACATAGAAGTACTCCAATCACCCCCCGATCTATATTCTATCCAGCCTAGGAACATCCAAGCAATAGTAAGCAGTCAAACACGATTCATATATACAACAACAGATCTAATATCTATCTACTCTAAATACCCAACCCATGCTCAAAGAATCTACTCCTTCTTAGGAGGCAGATATCCCTGCTCATCCAAATACTTAATAATCTGCCCCACAGCCTCCTGCACCGGCACCTCATGGTTCTTGATGTGAACCTCGGGCTTCAACGGCGCCTCATACGGGGCACTAATACCCGTGAACTCCTTAATCACACCCTCCCTAGCCTTCTTGTACAATCCCTTGGGATCACGCTGCTCCGCCACCTCAACCGGCACATCAACATACACCTCGACGAACGGCAGACCAGTCTCCTCTCCGGGCGTGGGCACCTCGTGCAGCTGTCTAGCGGTGTCGCGGTCCTTGCGGTAGGGGGAGATGAAGGAAGTAATGGCGATGGCGGAGGAATCAGCGAACAGCTTGGCCACTTCGGCAATGCGGCGGATGTTCTCGTTGCGGTCGGCTTCGCTGAAGCCAAGGTCCTTGTTGAGTCCGAAGCGGATGTTGTCACCGTCCAGACGGTAGGCGTGCACGCCGCGGTCGCGGAGGAGTTGGTGCTCGAGTTCAACGGCCAATGTGGACTTGCCCGAGGCGGAGAGACCCGTCAGCCAGATTGTGAGACCGCGCTGGGAGCGCAGGTCGCTGCGCTCGGTGCGGGTGAGGGCGCTGGCGTGGTAGGTGATGTTGCTGGGGTCTTTTGTTAGTTTGGGGGTTGGTGGGGGGATTTAGGGGAGGGAACGTACGTGGCCATTTTGGAGGGAGGGTGTGTGATGTGGTTTAATTGGGAGGGAGGAGGATAATAGAATGGATTTGAAGAAGAGAATGGGAAGAGGAGGGGTTGAAGTAAGTAGAAAAAAGGATGGCAATTGGAAAAGGGTGAAACAGCGGGGCTGCGCCGATCGCGGGGTCGATTTCATTTGACGAGTTGGACTTACGTACGCCTACGTTCCTTGGATGGTTTCTGCCCCGGCGAGGAGTCATTGGCTCGGAGGGAAGGGCAACGTTACGTACCTCGCTCTAATGCCATGTGTCTAGAACGTTAATTCATTTTGGTTGGATTGATTGATTGATTGATTGATATTGATTATCTATCTATCTATCTAGGTCATGTCAGTCAGTCTACTGTGTCTCGGCCAATTCAATCACTCGCTTTGCTGCTGCCTCAAAACTGTCAAATGCCTCCAGTGGCAATCCACTTTCCGCGATCTATCCGGAACATTAGCTTTCGATGATGAGGTGTCGGGAAAAGTTTAAGGGATAAAACTGACCATCTGCTGCCCACGCTCCTCGTTCGTCCCGCGCAGTCGCACCACCACCGGCACCGTCATCTCCATCTCCTGAAATGCTAGGATGATCCCTTCCGCGATCATGTCGCACCGTGTCAACCCCCCAAAGATGTTCACGAAGATCGCTTTCACGCGTCGGTCCGACGTGATGATCCGAAATGAAGACTTGACTGTCTCCGCCGTGGCTTTGCCGCCCGTGTCCAGGAAGTTCGCGCAGTGTCCGCCATGGATCGTCAGCGCGTCCACCGTATTCATTGCCAGACCCGCGCCGTTCACTACGAGGTCAGTGGGATGGTAACCTCTTAGATGTGGGGTTTGGGGATGTACTTACCTAGTGTTCCGATGCTTCCTTTCCCTTCTAGTCTGTGCTCGGTCAGTGTAGGTTTCACAGGGATGACTGGGGTAACTCACTTGACGTAGACAATGCCGTCCTTCTCGGCCTCAACTTCCTCAGGCACTTCTTCGGCTGGGTTTCTCAATTGCTGTACGTCTTCCTGGCGCCCTGAGCTCCGAAAGGCAGCATCATCGAACGCAAAGCGGGCGTCGCGGACTTCGAAGGCGCTTGTGGCGTTGGCACGTACTTCCAGGAGGTACGCCTCCTTTTCCTTGAATACCCGCCATAATCCCTGCAACAGCTGCGCCAGGTTGTCGTGTGCCGTTGCGGGAAGCTGCAGGTAGGAGGCAACTGTTTCAACCAGGAGGGTTGTGCTGCCAAAGTCCGTGCCCTCGTATGCAAATGGGAACCGGCCCGTCTGTGCTGGTTCGAAACCAGCGGATGTCGAGGCAAGGATACACGGAGACAGTGCTGTCCTGTCAACGGTGAGGGACAAGAAGAAGTCCGACTCGGAGAGTGCAGCCTCCTTGACAGGAATTGACTCTTGTCTGAGCATATCGAGGGCCTGGAACGGCTTAATGTAAAGACTCCGGGCTTGCTGGGACTGAGAGATTCCATAACGGTTTGATCTGGTGTGCCTCATTGTATGTAAGCCTCGCCGCTGGTTCCCGCCATTGATAGACTACATCATGTAAGTAAGCTGTCGTGGTTCGCGAGTCTCAAACCTACAGTAGTGCCCACACGCCCCCTAGTTCCCAGAAGAGACTTCATCCCCTCTCCAAACTTCTCGGGATGGTTGACCATCACTACGCCGGCGCGTTCGAGCGCTTCATACTTGGCCTTGGCGCCAGGCTCCCCAATCGCTGTCCAAGCACCTGCATGGCCCATGATCCGCCCAGGAGGAGCATGCAAGCCTCCAACGAGGCCCATTATCGGCCTGTACTTGTCAGCACCGCTTCCCATCGGAACGAATTGGCTCTTCCACATACTTGGGATTAGCAGTTCTCTGATTGTAGTCCTTGATCCACTCCGCTGCATCTATCTCTGCCGTGCCACCAATCTCACCAACCAGGATAATCCCATCGGTGTCAGGGTCGTCTTCAAAGATCTTCAGTGCATCGACGAAATTAGTTCCCGCTAGAACATCACCTCCCATACTAATACAGAGACTTTGCCCCAGACCTGCCCGCGTTGTGGACGCGACAGTCTCATAGCTCAGTGTCCCTGACTTTGCAACAATGCCAATATTGCCGGGTGCGAAGCAGGGCAGAGGCTGGAATCCGATTCGGCATTTGCCAATTGCAGAGATGATCCCCGGGCAGTTGGCTCCGACCAATCTCGTCTTTGACTGGGTCTTCAGCATGGAGTGGATCTAATCACCATCAGTTCGTAGCTCTCATAGACGTCCCCTGAACCAAATCGCTTACTCGAAGAATATCATGGATGGGAACATGTTCCGCCACTGCTACAACAAGCGGAATTTCTGCTTCTATCGCCTCTTCAATCGCCTTTGCAGTCTGGTTACCAGGCACGTAGATCGCTGATGCGTCCGGTTTCGCTCTCTCTTGTGCCTGTCTTTATAAGTATGATACTCTGGATCAGTAGACAATTAGCCATACCGCTTTTACAGATGGGAATACCGGAAGGCCGAGATGCTCTCCCTCGACGCCCGGCTTAACGCCTCCAACAATTTTCGTGCCCCATTCTAACGACTCCTTGACGTTGGCAGTGGCCTGGGATGTTAATCACAGCTAGTTGCAAACACATTTGAAGCCAACTTACTTGTCTGCCTAAAGCCACTGTCAGCATAAAATGGTCGATCGCAGTAGATCTACTCACCTGTAAATCCTTGGAACAAGACCCGCGTGTGAGCTCCTATCTTTAAATTCGGTAGCGTGTCCGCATAACTCCAGGTTTTGGACGAGGTCGAGAACCCCTGTGATTGTCTCACTGATGTACGGACGAGAGGCCTTCGCGCTGACGCAGATAATGAAGCTAGGCGGGACATTGTGGGTTTCGTACTGTGGTTGTTTGACGGAGGTCAATAGCCGCCTATTTCAGTAGGATGTATTGTAAGACCACCAATTGCATGAATGATAGTTTTTAATGACGGAGGGACAACAGATAAAGGAATACTGCTCGCAGTCACTTCGTAAGTAGTGCAATATCAGCATCCAGTTTCTTGAGTGGTCTACAGGCCTGGAAGAGAGTCGAAGAGGCGGAAGACTAAACCTCGGGAAATGATGTCTTATAAGACGGATACTCCGCCGGTCTCGGACAACTTGCCGACTGTTTCCGAGGTACTAAAGAAGAGGAGGTGGGCACTCGGGGCAGTCATTGCGGGGCTGTGATTGGTCATCTCGGAAATGTGTTGCCGGGTGCTTAGGGACTCGGAAAGGCAAATGCCACATGCTCCGCCGACGGTGTTAGGAGTCACCAGTTTGGTATATGTTAGTTATTCCATAATACCATGTAACGATCGAACAAAATGCAAACATCTCCTGGAATATCAATGGATGTATAGCTTGCGGATTGGTTCATTTGCATTGTTTTATTTGTTCACGTGTAGCTGCTGGACATCTGTAAGTAGTGGCGTGCAGCATTGCTCGGTGCAGTACTGCTATAGAATGACATTGCACCAGCTTCTAGCACTTTGTGCGGTGCATAGACATTTCAATTAATCTTTGACACTTTCTACTCAGTGGTATCATGTCTCAGTCTGCATTCATGGTCATGGTGCACTAGTAGTAATGCTTCATGTCAGCAAAAATGTGTTCTGGTTCAATTGATCAGCACAAATTGGAATTAACTAGTACTTCACATGAATGGGAAATCCCTGTCCCCCTTCACCAAAAGGGAAATCTTATCGAATTGCATAGTCCAGGTGAGATATTGGTAGATGATGTCAAGTGGTCTATTTTTATGAATTCTAGGCTCTGGAAGCAAGGATGGGAGATCACCCCACACTCCCAACTGCTTAGTCACTATCTACAAAGTAAAAACACAATGCTGGGGTCCTAAACTACGAACAATAGTAGATGAAAGCGCATACTTTGGACTACAAAGTAGGTGTCCTAGATATGGAGAGATGAACATCCTGAGATCAGATCACACGACTCTATTAGAGAGTCATCCTTGCTAGTAGCGTTACAGCCTTGGACAGGAGTATGTAGATCAATGACCCAACTCCCCCATCACACTGTACACACAGCAAGAAACCGGCCAGTCAGACAACCATTCTGTCCATGATAGTCGCTTTCCCAACGCAGATCAGCCACCACACAATGGTGGAAACGTGAACCGTTCCTCAACCTGCAATTCGCGCCAGAAAGACGAAAGCGCTGGACCAACTCGAATTCTGGTCAGCCCAATGCAGAGCCAATCACGGGGCCCGCCTTCCCCGAAAGGCGGGGTCGCACCGCCGGGACTGACGCCATTCATGATTTCACCTTTTCGCTTTGCTTGAAAGCGGTCGGACCACCTGCATTGTCTGTCTGCGAACCACTCCAGATCTTCAACAATAGAATTCCATCAATTAGTTCGATATGGCGACCACTCATGCCAGTTCCATTCCCAAGGGTTCGTTCCTTCATCCTCCTTTATTAACCTTCCCTCTTCCCTTCCCAATTGTACTGCCGCCGCAATAACTGAACCCCTCCTCAAACAATCCATTCCTTCCCTACTATACTTTTCTCCTCCCCAGATCCCCATTGTTACTACTTCCTCACCCCACAGTACCCATGGTACTCCCATAACATAAATAGCTACAACTTCCTTTCATCACAAAAAACACCAAAACTAACACCACTCCCAATGTCCGTTCCAGCCACACCACCAGCAACAACACCGCCAACAGCATCAGCATCAGCAACCTCCGAACTGCAATCCTCTCTCCGCGAGCTCTCCCTCACCAATAAAAGCCCTATTAAGGACATCCCCCGACCAACTCCCCCCACCTCTGTCCCCAAACAACACCACCACACAGTGAAGAAGAAAAAAGAGCCTGCCCCCGTCGCCGACTCCTGGGAAGATGAAGTAGACTCTGCTTCCGCCTCTGACCCCGAAGGAGGAGCAGCCGAGATTTCATCTACTTCCCCCGCTACCTCCTCCCGCTTCGCCAGCCCCGCATTGTCGCCTTCCATCCGTTACACTGAAGGTCCTCTAGACCCCCCGCCCACGCCTATCTCGCCGCAGACGTCTGCGTCACAGCCGCCGTGGCCTACGTATGGTGGACGATCAGAGGCAAGGTCGCCGGCGAGGAGGCCGGAGAAGCAGACGGCTGTGGCGGGGAGGATGATCGCCGGGGCGTTGGGAATTCGGGCGCCCAAGCGCACGGAGGAGCAGCGGGCGTATGACCGCGCGGTGAAGGAGCAGGAGATTAAGCGGCGGAATAAGGAGAGGGAGGAGGCGGCAAAGGCGAAGGAAGAGGAGGAGAAAGCTAAGGCAGCGGTGTGGGACATGTAATTGACACTGTTATATCAACGGAGTTTCTACACCATACTGTTGGGTGTGGGGTTGGTGGGGGTACATATTCTTTGCTACTACTTTCAGCTCTTGAAAGTGATGTGCTGTGCTGGGTGCTGCATTTCTTATCTTCTTTTCTCTCCTTGATTGTCTGCTTTGGGGGTGGGTCGGTTGTCTGGCTTCCTGTGTCAATTTCCTATCCTACATACACAGACTCGCTGGGTCCAAAATATACGGGACCATAATATAGTCTTTGCGGTGAATTTCTCAGCATACAAATCCAGATGAAAGGACACGAAACAGGAAAGCCTAATCTAGTTTTGCAAAAGTTGCAACCCAGCATAGCTTGAACATACTGATCTGATCGAGGATCTATTCCAACTGTAGAGCACATCAGAGGTAAGACACTCGTCCTTTTCCGTTTTCAGCTTCCATATAGTTTGCAAAGCAGCGAAGTTAAAAGTAAAATAGCTGTTTAATCCTCTGATTTATCACTCTGAAAATCCCGATTCCTACCCAGATACACATCTCATGATCTGACGCTCTCCAAATCCGGGCCCGGCTCCGACCCATCAACCAAGTAGAACACCGTGTTGCGCCTTGTGTCTGTTTCATAGAACGGAAGAAACAGATCGAAGGGTGGTCGGGAAAAAAAAGTAAGGTAGTAAGTGAAGTGAGAAAGACAACGGGGCTGGTAATGTATTTTGAAGGACATAATAATCATAATTCATCGAAGAATATTATGCTATCTAGCCACCGATTTGTTCCTGGTGCACTTCGAGAGTGTCCCCATCGGCCATCTCGAGCTGCGAGTTTTGGATATGTTAGCCGTGTTCTTTGTGGTTCCCTGGCTTCTGCCAGAGGAGCAGGGGTTCGTGCGGGGAAGGGTGCCGCGGTGCGTGCACGTAATATATCACGGAAGGGTCGTTGTGCAGAACATACAGTATCGGGCGTATCTTCAGGGCGCACGCGGGTGCCATCAAACAGGAACCGAACCGTCGAAGGCTGCTTTCCTTGCCTTTCGCAGAACGCGTCCATCAACTTCTTCAACTGGGTTGTGCGCTTGATCTTGAAGAACACTTCGTTGTTGTTATCGGTAACCTTGATGTTGAGGTGCTCGACAGCCGCGGGAGCCTCTCCGGAGTCGGCCATTGTTGTAGAAGGAATGGAAACGATGAGACTGAAAACTGGAGCGGGGGCGAGTTGTCAGCTTTCATGGACTTCCCGTCGCAAGTCGTTCGTCACTGCTGCGGTGTTTGAGTGGCTCACCTGTTTGCCGCTTGGGAAGATCGGAACTACGCGCTAGAACACCGGCAGAGAGACGGACGAGAAGGAGAAGCTGGTGGACGTGAGAAACGACTGGGAGAAGAAAAGGATGGGTGTTGAACTGAGCTGGAGGCGATGAAGGCAACCCCCACCAGTTATAAATATCGGAGAATCTATTTTGCGGCGCAGGTCCAACTTCCCGCTGCTTCGCTGCAGTGAATGAGATCAAAGGTGTTACTACTCTTACTGAGACTTGAGCTTCCCTCTTTATAATCTTCAATATTAGATCATATTTGTTTCATTTTTCTGGCTGAGTGTGTTCTTCCACTTCTAGCCTCTGCGCCGTCTATTTCTGAACATACTTTCTGTCTTGTTGCCGGTTTTCTGGCTGAGTATAGTATATTGCGTCATGGTATGAGTGTAACCACTGACTCCCGTTTGAGTTGAGAGTAACAGATAGCAGGGCGGACTTAAGGAAGACATAGCATTTGACCCGCCTTGCCATCCACGAGCTGTAGGTCACAGACAGAACATTCTTTTGGTGCATGACTGACAATTGCCAGTGTGCCATACAAGGTGATTACCACCATACAACATCCAGGTGCAGAAATGTCACTGATTCTTGCAGCATGTCTCACGAAGAACTCGTACCAGGAGGAGAAATGCCAGTCCCAGATCAATGCCCTCTATGAGTGCTGTAATGCCTTCTACAAGGCGCGAGGAGAGGACGCAAAGACTCCAAGCTGTCCCAAGCCCAACTTGCTGCGTCTGAAGATGAAGCAACGGGGCATGGAGCCTTAGCTTGCATTGGTAAGGGTTTTCGTGTCTTAACAAAGATCTACGGATCGTTGTACATACTACCATTCATACTTTCGTCGTCCATAGAGTAGAGACCAATTCATCAAGGTCCTTAGAACGTGTCCGGTCGTTGCCGAAAGACAGTGGCAGTGATAGTCTTAGTAGTCAGTCCATCTCAGATAAATCTGAAGCTGGAATGTGACAATTCCCTTGCAGTCTGAGCTCCCATGCTGAGTAAAGAGCTAGGCTAGTTGTGAAAATTGCCAAATTTCTCTAAGACAATCTTGAGCACGCAAAGAGGCCGATTGACCTGAACGAAGATTGAAGCGCTCGTTCCGAGACTCTAATGATTGCCTATAGACATTTGATGAAGAAAGAAAAAAGAAGAAGAGGGAAAAGCCGAAGTGCGCGAGTTTTTATGGTTGTGTGTTGGCGCTAGTCCCCATGTGGGCTAGTGGCCCGTCGGCCCAAAACACGGCCAAAAAGAGTAAGACGAAGAAGATTGGAAGTTGCAGTTCTTCCCCGAATCCTCCTGGGAAGCTTAAGGTCCCTTCGCAAACACCCTCCATCTCTATCATCGCCCTTCCCCCGACACACCCCCTTCTCTCCCGATCAACCTCTCCGGCCTTTCCTCGCGCTCATGGCACCCTTAACCAGGGCCACGGGTTCGGGCGCCCCTGCCGGCTTCACGTCCATAAATGTGAGTTGCTTTGTTTTGGCCTTCTTGTAAGGCGGTGCGCTGACCGACCGATGTTTCATTGTCCAGCCTTCCCAACAACCAACGAACGAGTCGGATGTTATCGAGATTGAGGATGATGACGATGAGCCCATGGACGAAGAGGGAGACGACATGGAGCCCAATGAGGATGAAGACATGGAAGATGATTACGTTGACGAAGACGAGGAATCAGAGGAAGAGCCCACTGACGCGCTGAACGGAAGCGAATCGCCACTGGATCTGGGGTTCGCTCCAAATGGGCACAGTATGCTCCTTACGACTTCTGGCAGTGCTACGAAGGCTGACTTTGCTAGATGGCACAGATGTTGCGACACCGGACTTGTTTACGTCGGCAGGCGCGCAGGAGGCCTTGCATCCCCTTCGCCGTACCGCTGATCGAGTCACGCGCCAGATTGAGGCCTTCGCCGAAAAGTTGGATCGTTTCAAACAGAAAGGAAACCGCTCGGATGACTTTTCGGATTACCAAGCTGCCTATAACCTGGTGAAGAGCTACCAGACTCTCGCGCAAGATGCAATTAGCGACATCACGAAACAAAACACCTTGAAACGGGCCAAGCTTGGATTGGGTGCTGCTCGAAGCAACGGATCCGCATCGTTCGATCCCAAGACTGCAGAAGAGCTCCGGCGTCTACAATTGGAAGCCGACACTTGGCGACTCCTCCTCAACCTTATAAGCATGGACGATCCGCCCCGCAGAGCCAACTCCAAGAAATCGCAAGAATCTGTCTTCCAGGATCTACACCGGTACTCCCCCGATCGTGAGGTCTGGGACCATTTCTTGGCTGCGGACCATTATGCGACGGAATGCGTCATCATCCTGAAGTGGCTCGAACGCTCAGCAAAATACAGTACGCAAGATGTGGACTATCTAATCTCCGAATTAGAGTCACAGGCCGAGAGAGGCCAGGGATCATGGTCCCATGGCTGGCTTTATACGAAGGAGACGATCAAGGGACAGAAGCGACTGCGAGCCTGGCCTCAACCCCTCGAACCTAACGACCCGGGCATCACCGCTACGCTCCTGAGCTCGGATAAGTCGGAGCCACTAGTCACCCAATTAGATCCGGACGCCGTCACACGCCAGAGGCAGAGCCTACAGAAACAGGATCAGTTCTACGAGCGCGCTACATGGATGACTTGCTGGAAGATGCTAAGACATGGAGAGAGTTGGTTCAAGATCCGCGATTGGTGTGCAGAGCGGCTGGAAACATGGCGAGCCGTCAGCATCTGTGGTACTAGCGTGGATGTTGAATCACACACTGGAAGGACGCCTGTTGATGATGGACACACACGCTTTATGAACTGGCGCTCCCAAGAATCCTGGAGGGCTGCCTGCAGTGCTTTGGCACGGAGCTCACACGCCGAGGATTTCGAGCGGGCGGTCTATGCGTTGCTCTGCGGCGAAACAGAGGCGGCCTTTAAGGTCTGCCATACCTGGGACGACTATCTCTTTGTGCACTTCAACAGCGTCCTCCTGTCTCGCTACCAGGGATTCTGCAAGCAATTTCAGCGGAAGCTAAGTCATTCGCCTACCACCCCTGTTGCCTTCGTGCCCGAGCCGGCAGGTTATGCCGAATTCAACAAGTTCGTGCAGTACACTAGAGGGAACGAACGCGTTGGAAGCGAGGCACGGAACCCGTACCGCACCATCCAGGCGACGATTTTGGGCAAGGGATACGACACATTCTTCTACTCGTTAGCCCAGGCAGTGTCCCAGGTTGCAAACAACAAACCGGATGCGTCATCCTTCGTTCCTGACGTGTCACCTACCTCCGTCGATGACAGCCTTGTTATCGCTGCAGAGGACGGCGATGCGCTCAGAATCGCCACTCATCTTTACATTGTCGCTCATTCCATTGGATATGTTCGCGCCGACACTCAGTTCTACAACACTGCCTGCGTAAACGTGATCGGATATATCGCTAACCTGGAGTCTCTCGGTATTGTGGATATCATTCCGCTTTATGCGTCCCTTCTCCCCGAGGATTTGGCGAGGTCTGTTCTGGCTCAGGTATTGATCGAGATTGTTGATCCACGGGAGAGGAAGCTCCTAGTTAGGCTAATGGAGAAGCACGGTATCGACGTTGAGGCTGTTCTGCAGACTCAGTGGGAGTGGCTGAGCGTGAATGTCTCTGCCATTGACCACTCCAGGACGGTCAAGCGGCACCCGAAGGTTGTAAACCGCAAGGATGGCCACTTTGAACTGGTCCCGGTCAAGACGGATTTCATCGGGAATGAGATATCCGAGAGTGATGAGAATGTCATCCGCAGTCTCGAATGGCTTCGCTACGTGGATGGACAGTGGGGGCGGATCTGTCAGCTCGGAGCTCTGTTGTACCGCAAGTTCTATCGTATGGAAATACCCTTGTTCCGTGTAGGAGATGCAGGGCTAACAATATCACAGTTTCGGGGAGACTCTCTGCAGCTCGGGAGCTGTGTCGACGGATGAAGCTATCCGACATCTCGCGGGAAATGTTCGGCTTTGATATTTCGGAGTTCAGTCTCGATGTGGAGGCGATGCAGGAGGTCAACACCCCAGAACCTTCCAGTCCGACGAAGTCGAGGTTGCTCAGCTCCCCCCACAAGCGTTCCCGGTCGCGAACCAACGGAGTCGCGTCGAATAGCCAGGCGAGCATCCTACTCCAGCAATCGCAGACCATGCGTGACCTGGAGGTTCTTATCTTGGCGTTTGACGCTCTAGAGAGATATGCAATTATCTACGAAAAACTAGAAAAGTATGTCATGACCATCTATGACTGGGTTTGCGTTGTACTTACCACTGGCGTAGTAACAAACGGCGGCGTGATTCGGGTATGCTCAAGGACTTGAGAGAAGGGCTGCAGGAAGCCCTGGATGATACTAGCGTCCAAATTGATGTCATGTTGGATGAGTGGCTGGTCAACTACGAGAACGGTAAGGAACCTTGTGTGCTTGAGGTCAAGTGTACTGATACTGACATGTTCCCTATAGAAGCCGAGAAGGCGGAATTGGAGGAGATCCGTAACACCTACATTCCCGAAGTCTTTCTCGATTACCACAATACGATGTATTTCTCGGCTCATGTGCTCAGCAGTGAGCTCTTGGTGCAGTGCATGAACTTGGCCACCCAGGTGGCCGAAGTGGAGCATCTTACCAGCAGCTTCGTTGCGGCCCGTCGCGTTGGAGAGCTGATGAACGCGTTGGCAGTATCCAGCAAATCCATGGTGAACACGCATGCGAAGCCCGGCGTCAGGCTTCTGGGAGGCGAGTCCTTGGGGATCTGGGCCCCGCAAGTGTCGGATGAGGAAAATGGCACGACCCAGGAGCAATGAAAGTGTGTATCTGAACTAACGATGGTGGACCGGCGTGTATATTACCCTCATGTTTCTCATTTTCTATGACTTCACCCAATCCTTTCTGGCCAGAAGGATTATGGGCATCTTGCATGTAACAGGGTCGGAGGGATGATCATTTCCGGCGCATTTCCAGGATTTACATCGACCTGAAAATAAAGATCTAAGCTGTATTGCAATAATCAGATGGGTTCCATGTCAAATTTAGCGAATTGCGCCTTTTCAATCTTAAGGACCGCCAGAAACGAATAAAGCGAGTACTACACCAAGTAGAGGCTGACCTGCAGTTCGATTGCGATCTGATAGAAAGGACGCAACACGTCCGTAGTCAAATAGGAGAAAAAAATGCTGTTTTTCAGTCATTGTGCTAAGTATGATGATACGCATCAAGCAATTGGATGAATGATCATATGGTAACTAGCTATTCTTCTTGCTTATGATGAATCACGTGGACTGGTACATGCATTTATTCTTAATGTCATGCTTAGAGGGCTTGCTTTAGTAGAACTGCTGGTCCGCCTAGATGCTATTGAGGTTAGCAAAAGTGAATCAAATAGCTAGATCTCCTCTCTCTCGCCAGTTACAAGACTACTAATAGTATTATCGGCAATCCGATCTTGATTGTAATTTCATATTGTTGATTGATAATCCCATCTTAGTAGTATAGATATAGTATATATATACGTATATATATATACTACCATCCTACCAGTACTAGTAGCAACACATCCACTAACTCATTCCCTGTCCACCCAACTCACAAGATAGTAAACTCCTCCTTCCTTCTCCGAACAGACACCTTCGCCACCGGATCCGCCTGCCATATGAACCCGTACTTCCTCACCGTCGGGCTCCACCCATCAGCTATTTTAAAGTCATACTCCAGAAGAATATGACACAGAATGATTTTAAGCAATGCGATCGCAAAGAATCGCCCAGGACAAGCATGCTTTCCCAACCCGAAAGCCAAATGCTGAGGCGTAGTCGAAACTGCCTGCGCCATAGTCTCGTAGCCGGGCGTCTCGCGCAGTTTTAGAAACCGGTATGCGTCGAATGTCTCCGGGTCTGGGTAGATGGTAGGGTCGCGCATGGCCTCAGTGGTGAGGACTGAGATCGATCCTTTGGGAAGGACGGTTCCGTCGGAGAGGGTCACGTCTTCTTGTGCGAAGCGTCTCATTGCGACTATTTGTGGTTGCATTAGAAAGGGATTTTTCAGCTTCATTGGAAGGGATAGGAGTGGGGGCTTACCCATATTGTGCGGTTTTAGCCGTTGGCTTTCCTTTAAGATGCTATCCATGAGCTTCAGATTGTTGAAAGTGGACTTGGACCATCCATCCCCTTGCAGAACTGTGATTACTTCGTTTCGTAGCGCCACGATGATTTCGTCCCTTTCCGCGAGGTAGAAGAGTGTCTGTGTAAGCAGGTCCGATGTAGTATGTATAGTTGCGAGTGTGAGTGATATCTGAGCAAGGGTCGGGTCGTAAGGACGGCCTTTTGCGCATTCCTCCATCCACTGCATGGCGTCAACGTAGCGTTCGGGCTCCTTTCCTTGACGGATGGCGTCTTGCTTGGCGGTCCGTCTTTCTTCGACGACCGGGGTGATGATGTCTTTTGCTTCTTGGAGCTCCTTGCGCATCTTGCGGCAGAATGGTAGCAAGTTGGCCACAAAGGGTCGGGTGCATCGTGGGAACATCCGGAGAAATAGAGCTGACATGAATGTGTGGACGGCGTAACCAGCCGTGACGCGGTGCCAGTCCGGGTTGCGATATAGCTTCTCCCCGAGGAACACTCTCGATGTCAGTCTGGAAATTAGATCGAGCATGTTGGGCTTCAGTTCTAAGTCATGCCAGTCTGATGTCGTCATGACATTGAATGATTATTTACAATTATTCCGGAGCCAGGTCGACAGGAGTGGATTTGATGAGCTTACCGGGATCGTCTGTGAACAACTCCCCCAACGCACGACCGGTCTGAAATCTCTTCAGACAATGGCCGAGTTAAGCTATCTACCAGACGAAAGAGTTAGTTATGTATGTCTCAGCCAATTGCGGACGAATCTGATCTACTCACCCAAATGTGGTGTCAATTTCATGCGCACCATATCTATGATGATAGCCGGGTCCCGGTTGAAAGGATCAAAGCCTCGAATATGGGCGTGGTATTCTTCTGCCACAGCATCCAGCAAGCTTAATGCATGATGGCTCCGGAAGTCATCTGCATATTTTGAAGCGAGCACGATCTTCGGCCCGAATTCCGAATAGAGGTAAAAGGCGCTGCCCTGGTAGATGATGAACAATCAATGCTTATGGGTTCAAGGCAGAGCTTACAGAGGCATACCTGACTGAGTCCAGCCCTGACCAAGCCATGTGCATCCTTGAAGAACCGCTTTAAAGATCCCAGGCTTCCGATCTCAAATCGCCGTCTTTGGTTGATTACAGGAAGGGAAGTCTTGAGGGACGGAGCGCTTAGAAGCCAGAAGAAAACTGCTGCTAAAATGGGCGCCCAGATCCATCGGGGTGGCACCAACTTGGCTAAGTATGATATGATGTTGGCAGCGAACATGATGTGTGCCAGAGTATCAGAAAAAATATTGTAGATTCAAAGAGAAAGACGTTTGAAACCATCCAGTCAATGTTGATAGTGCAAGTCAATCTTGGTGATTTGAAAAAGCGAGAATCCTTAGATCATCATAGCGGGTGCCATATCACACAAGGCCCAAATGGACGAGGGAAGGTGCGGAGACCGGGATTTGCTATGTTTTAGTACATGATATATTCTCCAATGTGTGCCGTCGGACTTGTCAGACTTAGAATGCGGCATTGACTAGACGCAGATGCTAATGCAAGAACTGCTGCAATAAAATATGGATCCTGGAGAATGTGGTTGGCTGGCTGGCTGGCTGGCTGCATGCATATCGTGAATGAAGGGAGAGGGTACGGTACAGCCACGCGTTGATGCCTTAGGGCCTGCATGCGGGAAGTTCTGTGCCCTCAGGCATGGCTCGCATTAATAAGCACTTGTAGCAGATAAAGACAAACATGGATTGATCCGTATATAAAAATGAATTAGACGAGCTGAATACTTCAGATCACAGCTTTGATGTGTCCAACCTCTGTACTTGTGGGGGCTGAAAGGCCTGTACAGCATCTGGATATTGCGTCGGAGAAACCCCAGCCAGTGCGGCTGAAGTGGCCCACAGTAGCACAATCCAGATAGATCGGAACAGCGATGTTTTGATCATCATCCAGTCGGCTGATGAAGAGAGTCATTTATCATTGCTCAAGCTCATTTTACGCATCAATCGGCAGCCAAAACTTGGAGTGGATTGAACCAAAGCCAGCCCGCTTTGCCAATGAGCATAGGAAGAGGAATCTATGCGCATTCATAACTGCAACGTAGACACTGCATAAATCAAGTGACTTTTCCAACTCACCGCTCCACCCTAATTTTGACCAATCAGAATCATCGGAAAGACAGGGCGTCGTTGTCTGCCTGGGGCACCCAGCATCCCATGGTGGCACTAGTCGGAGTATTAGTAGTCGAGCTAAAACACACTTACCAGGACGAGAGAGGCCTTTTCCCCAATTATGATCTCCCCCTCAAAGTGTTGGCGAGAGATCCAACTGACAGGCTCTCATCCTTCGCTTCTTACTATGCAAATCCACTGAAAGGTCAAGCTCACTATTCCACCAGTGGAGAAGGTACTACTGCAAGTATGCACTGTAGATATGAACAGCCCTCTGAAGCGTGTCCCTACACATAGCCAGCCAACATGAGAAGACAAAGAGCATTCACCCATCGATCCAAGAATGGATGCCGCACCTGTCGGTCAGTCTTTAATCCTTCCATTTCCTACTTCTCCGCTTCCGCTCATCAACATCAAGACTAGGCTCCTGATCCTAGGGTAAGCAGCTAATCCCCCATGTCCGTGCACGCAGGTCCCGCCATATCAAATGTGATGAAACCCCAAATGCATGCCGCAACTGCACCTCCACTGGGCGCAAATGTGACGGGTACACCCAATATCGATTACCCTTTCGTAAGGCGACACTACCAGTCTCCAAACCATCCAGGAGCCTCATCGTCTGTCTGCCCGGACTAGATTCCGATGAGCGTCGATGTCTGCAGTTCTTCGAGCACAACACCATCCCCATGCTAGTGGGGTATGCCGACTCGGAAGTATGGCAGCGTCTCGTGCTACAAATGTGTCACAGAGAACCCGCCGTCTGCCACGCAGTAGTCGCGCTCAGCGCCTTTCACGAAAACTACGAGCGGAGCAGCATGAACATGGAACCAAAACCCGATCACCGCCACCACCACTACGCCCTGGAACAATACAACCGTTCCATGGCGATGCTGCGCCGGCGCATCCAGTCCAATGACCCCCAAGTCCGCAGCATCACGCTCATGTGCTGCGTTGTGTTCGTAATCCTTGAACTCCTCGAGGGGGACTACACCAATGCCTTCGCCCATCTACACCAAGGCCTCAACATCCTGAAAACCCAATCAACTCACCACGCACTAACCACCGAGCGTATCCTCGCCAAAGCCTTCCTTCAGCTCAACACCCCCCGAGCCTACTGGAACGGCCCCGACGTCGTCGTAACCGGCCACCCTCCCAAGGGTAGCGTATCCGAAGTAGCCTACTCAAAAACACCAATCCACAGCATCGCCGAAGCAAAAGAGCGTCTACGAGTCCTCATGAACAACATCTTCCACCTCCAATCCCTCTGCAACCTCTTCTTCCGCGGCGAACCAGAAGACCCAACCTCCACCACCCCTCTAACCCTCTCCGCCAAACAAACCACCCTCCACCACGACCTAACAGACTTCGCCCTGGACCTCAAATCATTCATCTCCTCCCATAAATCCAACACTGCCTGGACGTTACGAGAAACCCGCAGCGTGGACGTCATCCTCACACACGTAGCAACCCTAACCAGCATGCTGGGCTGTTCCCTCGACACAACGGAACTAGGCTACGACGACTTCCTACCCGAATTCAAGCGCATCAACGAACTCTGCGAGCGAATCACCACCAGCTTCGTGACCGAGTACGGGAGTTACGAGAACCTCCCCACCATGGTCACTGACGTCGGGGTCTTGCCGTCGCTGTTCTGGTGCTGTGTGAGGTGTCGGGATGCAGAGACGAGAGAGCGAGCGCTTCAGTTGCTGAAGATGTGGCCGCATCGAGAGGGGTTTTATGACTCGTATTTGATTCTGGGGATTTGTCGGGGGCTGATGGATATTGAGGAGGAGGGGAGGGATGGCGAGGGGTTTATTCCGAGGGAGGCTCGTGTGCATACGCACACGGTTGAGGTTGCGGAGGATCGGAGGAGTATGGTTATTAGGTATGTGTTGGCTGGTGCTGGTGGTGGCGAGCAGGAGAGGGTGGTGGTGCTGGAGTAAGTACCTTTGTTGTGCGATTTGTTCCAGGGAAGGGATATTTCATCGATGGTAATGTGTATATATGGAGAGATCGTATATACAACCATGCAGATATAATAGTATTACTCTATTAGTGAACGGAAAAGAGAATGAAGGAGGACAGGCAGCTCTCCTGGGAAAGGTTTCGGGAATGATGTCTATTTGTACCTCCTATTAACATAGTACATAGACACTTATTCTTACCCAAATATCTTTATCCTAGTGGGTAATCAGTAACAGCAGGTAAGTGTATACCTGCTAGCATGCTATGCATATCACATCAATAGTAATGTAGTATCACCTCTATTCATCTTGGTCCTACCATCCATCTCTATGTGCTAACTGAAATACACTTACATTGCCCCAGCCGGACAAAATTAAGAACTACCTAATACTAGACTAAAACTACTAGTCGTTCCTGAAGTGTGAGAACCTTACCAGATCAAACACACATATATATAAACCCCACCCCTTTCCATCCCATCATCCCCTCTCATAAACTTCCTGATAGTCCGAAGGACGCGATCAGCATATTCCGGCAACCGGCCAGTGATGAATTTCACATTCTTTTTTTCGTAGACGACAAACAGTGGTAGTAGCATAACAATGGGTATGTCAAACAATAATAAAACTAATAAGCAGAGAAAAGAGTAGTCGTTGATATGGTGGAAAGTACTCGTGAAGAAATCATCATTTCCCGTTTTTGTCTGTGGTGCCAGCCCTGAAGCTATTTCATCTCAAGATGGTTGATCCTGTACCTACAGTCCCGTGTTGGCGCAGGAGAAGGGAGTGCCGACAGTGCCTTCTCGGTAGCTGATAATGACACTCTCAATGGATGCCTAGTGGGATTTTGTTAGTTTCGGTTTGCGGCTAGGTATGTCCGGAGAAAGGAAGAGGACTCACATAAGTTCCTGGTCCGAGGAAAAAGAACCCAGCGAGAATGAGAGTAACATTGAGAATCGCGCCGAGCCAGCCGCGGATGCCACGGTTCTTGTAGAAATTGGGTCCATAGTCCTCCCGACGCATGCGCAGGTAGGCCGTGCCCCAGAAGATGAAGCCGAAAAATGAATCAAAGAGGGAGCTCATGATCGACTCCAGGTCGGAAAAGAAGGGAATCACCTCGGCGATGATGAAGGCGAGGATCCAAAGGATGGTGAGGATACCGGTCCAGGCGGCCCATCCGAGTACGGTGTGGTTACCCTTGTGGCGGGTGCCATCGAACAAGCGGAAGAAGATGAAACGCGCCGACACGGAGGCATACAGCACGCCGAGGAAAACCAACGTCGGGATCATGAACGAGAAGGACACCTTTTTGTATACCTCGTTACCCAGAGAGCCGAATGCCGGCGACGTGATGTACTGGTTACCGGTGTAGGCGTACACGATAGAACCGACCAAGCTGAACACGATGATCTCGGCGATAGTGACGGCGGTGACAGACTTCCAGAAATCCTTGGGTTCTTTCATCTCGGCGATAAAGCTTGGCAGGGTGATCTGTCCAATGAAGGTGTAACTGATATTGAGGAAGGCGCTCATTCCTGATACAAAGGTCGTTCCAGGCACAGGGATCGCTTTCACAATGGGATCTCCCATCTCCGGGGTATAGCCCGCGGGATGGTCCTCAATGGCAGAGAAAATGAGGGCTAGCATGACGGAAATGAATGTGGTAAATGCCGACAGGGTCGCCACCTTGGATAGAGCGCTGAAGGTGCGTGGAAGGGAGCAGATCAGCGAGATGATCGCCGTGACAAGCGAGAAGATAATGGTGCAGGCTCCATGGCCACTGATAGTGTTGAGATACTCGGCGCCGACCAAACAATGCAAGCCCTAATCCATGTCAGCGCTGTAGATTACTTGGCAAACCCAAGGAAAGTACCTGAATAAAGGTATTGTTCAGCAGGAACATGATTGCAGTCAGATACCATACAATCTTGGAGTCCCAGAATATCATTTGGCCGATGTCGCACACGTCACGGACATGTGGGTGTCGCAGACAAAACTTCCTACACGATATGAGCGGGGACCTCAACGAGCGATGCGACAATGGAAAACACATACCAAATAACCAGCGATGTATAAAGTACGATCATGGCGATGACGACTGTGAGGATCAACCCCGGGACCAAGCCGAGAACGGAATAGGACCATGGAAATGACATGATAGCCAGACAAATATACTCGGAGAACAGGAGGGCGGCCGTCTAGTAAACACAGGTCTGTGATTAGCCATTGCAACTATGCGCGCATCGCGCGCGTACACCGCTCCGAAGTGGATTGTAGTACATACCTTCTGCCAACTACAGGTACGGTATTTAATGGAATTCTCCGATTCCATTTCAATCTGACGGCCGATTTCCCCCTCCGTGTCTGAGCCAGAGCCCACCTGCTGTTTCTGATTTTCCAAATCCATCTGCTTCAACTTATCTGCTGCACTGGCATTGTCGGAGACAGACGACCGGCGGGAAACGACGGGCTTGAAAGTGTTGGACTCCGCCATTTTAACGAGCGGACAAGCCGCAGGTGATAGGAAGCGATGAAGCTAAAGGAAGAAGAGACACTGAAGGCCTTCGGATGCATGTACTGCGCCTTTAGATGCGACAAAATAGGACGACTTCACAACACTGAGGTTAAAATTGTTAAAGATAGCTCTGGGAGAATCAGAGGTGGCCGATAGTAGATCAGGAACTGCCTTCGCGAAGACAGGTAGCGAGTGAAGGAGAATTAACGAGGCGAGTAACGGAAGGCGAGAGAAGAGCGAGAAGAAGAACGGAGGAAGGATCTAACATCTTTTTAGTTGTCAGGTTCAGGCTAGAAAAGAATATCACTGGCCAAGGCACGTGCGGGCAGCCTAATACTTACTAGAGATAACCGTGAGGCAGATCGACACTACAAGACCAGGGGGGGCGATATGCGCGACAAAGAATCCCAAAATCACCCAAGGCAAAAATCTAGATGAAAAAGTGAGAAATGACGTGCTAAGCTTGTGAACACGAGCAGATTGAAAGAACTGAGCGAAAAAGTACCGCTGAGGCAAGAAAAAGAAAAAAAAAAAAAATGAATTCAAGCAAAAGAGATTTAATCTGGATGCGCTTATTTCCTTAACCTGGCCTGCCCTGGAAAGCTGGGTTCTCCCAAAGCGCGCGCCGGATGGGTTTTAGTTGCCTAGCCCCGGTGGTTTTGCTTCTCACCCCAAGACTATCTAGGCAAAATGCAAACCCGCAGGAAAAGGCGATTTAATTTACTAAGTAATTAACGATTTAAACTGGGGAACGAATAGCAAAAGGAGCAGCAGTCACTGATTGCGAGTCGAGGGCTCGGAGATCCAATGACCGGCGTGCAATGCAGCCGGCCAGTCCGACTGTCCGGAATGGCCGATGACAACATCTACTTTGTATGACGTCCTCCAGCGGAATTCACCACCGGTGCATCTTTTGCTGGTAGGTTACTGGGACGAACCTAAGCAGTGTTAGATTTTGGTCCAGGGACTAATACTGGAAGACTGATGTATCCCCCTTCCAAGTACTATAGTGTATGATTCCTGTCCATCTATCCTGACCATCATTACCCTCTCTACTACTATCTTCTACGTAGAGGACTTGCTCTCTCCACCTCCGTTAAAGCTCGACTCGGCTAAGAACAGCAATGCCGCGTTCAGACCCCACCCCCATCAGTCCCCACCGCCCATTGGTCCGTTCCCGGTACAACCTTTGCCAGTCTCCCCGGCCAATCAGCTTCTTGTCCAATGTCCGCGGCGGAACCGCCCGATCCAGAACTGCCCCGCATCCGTCTAACCTAAGCGGCTGAGCTTTTTTTTCTCTACTCTTTTTGACAGAAACCCCCTCTTGCAGAGAATTTCCGGTCCAAAAGGAAGGAAGGAAGGAGGATGGAATGGAACCATTCGTTACGACCTTATCCCGAGCCATTCATTTCACTCTTTTGGATTAGGTTACACTAAGCAAACGATGTCGTGTGGCATGACCAGAGCTACGCCTCTCTCTCATGCATAAATATTAAATGCCAGGATAAACCCAGTCATACGACGACAACGCATGCTTCGATGGTTTCCATGACCCTTGTTCGAAATCTTCTGGGGCGTGGATTATTCGCCTTATCGTATCGTATCGAGATCTCCTACTGGTTTCCCTTGTGCATGGATCCATGCATTCCTTCGATGGCAAAATGCAGAAGAAAAAAAAAAAAGAAACTAAGCTGAAAAGGTTTGGTTGGGGAGGAATGGGAAAAAATCGAACAGATGAAAGCCGCCACTGCTAGTAAACTGACACTGCTGATATTTGCTTCTTTAAGCCTTGTCGAGCACGCTATGCACTAGTAGATGGCGTGATAAGCCACTTCCCCACGTGCCTGGGGAATAACTGGTTGGATTACTTACTTAGTTAGGTAAGGAGCAGTAGTTAGTTACAAGGAACTAACCATGTGCCTTATGCGCGTATGTATGCTCAGCACTAGTACTGCAGGGAGATCTCTCACCAACATCCTGTTTCTTAATTATTTAAGTCTTTTTTTTTTCTTGATATCTTAGGTAGCTTGTCTACTATCTAGCTTCGGTGTTTGCGAATTCGATAATATCCTACGTCCGGTTTCACTGATAAGTAGAGTCGCTGGGTACTTGTTAGTGAGCAGCCTGCTTCTCCATTATCGTTACCAGGATAGGAGACATGGCTATAGAATGACCCGGTTCAAGTCCAATCAATTACAACAGGGCAACTCAGCCGATAAAATCTCTTCTCGAGGCATATACGCCTTACGCCAGGCGCTAAGGCACGCACTAGTTTACGCCGCAGTCCGTGTCGTGTCTGTCCCACGATCTGAACTAGTCCTCCTATCTATCTAGTATGACGGCTGGCTTGGTCTTAGTGGCGCCGCTTTTACGCCACTTCTGACAGCGGAAACGATTTGATGGAAGCTTATCGGCAGCTAGCTATGAGTTATAGCTAGCTGTACGAGCATGTAGTTCGGTATGGGATGGTGAGTGTTTATTGTGCGATTTGATGGCATTTTCAGCACGGATGTGTTCTCTCTGTTGTATTTTGCATGGTGCAAGGTTCGGAAACTAGATCCGGTCACTGTTGCTGTGTCGAATATTGCTTGCGCAAGGGATAGAATACCTGGAGAAGGAAGGAATGGAAGCACTCAAATCAGGGCGGGCCGGGCCATACATACTTAGACTACTAGTACGTACTGTCTTGCTACTTACGTATGAGGTAAGGGGTATTTGGTGGCACCTATTGTATTTTACTGCAGCTGCGGAGTGATGTTCATGTTTTTGAACCAATGTGCATGCTTTTGTGGTATACTGCAATAGATAGCATATCAGGGTAGTAACTACAAGCTCCAAATTCACATTCCCTCGTCCTCCCCGGCCAGCAGGGCCGCATAGTCGTCCGCCGAAGCAAATGTGGGCAGATGCTTGAGCTTGCGCCGCTTCTTCCGGTCGGATTGCTTGTCATCCTTCGGAGGCTCAACAGCCGCTCCGAGTTCCACGTCAGAGGGCAGTTCCTCGTCACTGTCAACGAAGGCCTCATCGTCTGAAACGTCCATGTCAAACGCATCCTCGTCGTCGGATGGCTCTTCTTCCTTGGCGGCCTTGCCCTTCTTAGCCTTGGTCTTAAGAGCGGGCTGCTCTTCCTCCTCTTCGATATCGGATACTGCGGCCTCCTCGATATCCTCCATCTCGTCATCCGAATCAAGGTTGAGTTCGACTTCGCTGTCGCCGCCTTCTTCGTCGGACTTGTCGTATGCGGACTCGAGATCGTCCATGTCGAGGTCGTCGTCGCTGCCTGCTTCCAAGTCGGGACGGGAGTCAACCAACGCCTTCCAGATCTCGGACTCGGCGCCGCTGAGTTCGGCATCCTCCTCGTCTTCGTCGACCGCATCCTTGGCCTTCTTGGTCTTGTCCTTGTCTTGACCCTTTCCAATGCGGCTGAAGTATTCGTGGAAGAAGACATCTTCCGCTGCAACTTCCTCGGACTTCTTCTTCCAGAAGGCCTCCGAGTTGAGAGGCAGCTGCTGGAACTGCTTGCCGCCCGAGACCAACCGGTCCTTGGCCTCGCTGCCTGCCAGCGGTTGCATAATAGATGAACCACGGGTGAGCGCAGAGGCCTTGGGGGTCCGGTAGACGAAGCGGTCGAGGAAGTGAGACAACGTGTGCAATGTGAGATCGGGCTGTCCGGACATCGGCTTGTGGTCGAGCAGGTGAGCCGCGTTCACAGACACGGAGGGGTGGAAGTGAGACAAGTAAGGCAGCTATAAAACCTTATTAGCGAGAGACAACATTTCATTATCAAGATAGACTTACCAATTCCCACAGACATGTCCGGTCGGCATTGCTGTGGCCGGGGTCTCTCTTGCGGGGGTCGTATTGCGTGGATGGCTTCTCTGACTTCTGTGGGGCTTCTGGCTGTTCCTGCGGCTCGTCATCCTCATCAGGAACATCGCGGAACACCTCCTCATCATCGCTATCGTTCTCCTCTGGTTGATCGAACAAGGAAGCGAGATCGGGGAATGTCTTCTCCAGTTCACGGATCAGGTAGAAGACACCGCAAATGAACGCGGGCTGGTGCAGCCCAAGAACCTGAACAATACGCTTCACGAACGCCTTCACACGACGGGTGTTCAGATCGTTCTTCAAGGCCTTGAACAGAAGGTTGAGATACAGCGACTGCTTAGAGGATGTAGCAACCCGCGGGTCGAGAAGAGACTCGTATAACGTGCGGTAGAAGCGATCAGCACCGACCTGGTGAGTCGCGGTGATCTGCTGGATGAGCATGAGCGCCTGGATACTGGTGTTGAAGTTGGCGGAGTGTGTGATGCGGAAGAGAGTATCGATGTGCTTGGAGAGACTAAAGACGGATTAGCGATGTATAGAAATTAAGGACATGCGAAACGTACCGTTCACTATCCGAGCTGGTAAATGGGTAGGCTCGGTTGACACCAGTCAGGACTGCAGAGGTCAGTTTATCCCGCACCTCTTCAGTCTGAGCCAGACTCTTATCAGAGTCCTCCTTCCCCTTGTTCTTGTTGTGCTTGTTGCCATACTTTCCGTTCTTCTTGCCCTTTGGCTCCTTGTTAGGCCGCAGGAGAGCAACAAAAATCGAGAAATAGATGTCAAGCAACTTCAATGCAACGGTCTCCTCCTTGAGACTCAAGACCGTTTGGTTCAGCGTGATAACAGCATAGTATTTGGCATGTTGACTCTGACCAGGACGGAAAAGGACTTCCTCCACAGCGGCGATGATGGTGGGCTTCATCAGAGGGTGGGCCTGTTCAAGTTGCAACAGGAGGTAGGATGCCCGCGAAGCAATCTTCTTCGACGTATCTCCCAGCTTGTTGACCAACAGTCGCAGGAGGTTCGTTTCCTGCTCCGGCTTCTCCTTGAGTAGTTCGTAAACGTAGCTGACAGCTCTGGAGCGAGAGAACTCAATCTCATCATTACACCAGACTTCGAGGATCTTAAGGACTTCGAAAAACTGATCCTTCAGGAAGTGCTCATAAGCCCAAACAATCAGGTGGCTCTTCTGAAGCCCTCCAGGGAGAGGGTCTCCTTCGGACCACCTGCTGCCTGCGCCTTGCAACGCAGCAATAAGAGACGGCTGGTTGGCAAAAGCCCGGAGTCTCCTGTCGCTAGGAAGTAACGTTCCTTGAGCGAACATATCCTTGAGCGATCTCAAGACTTCCACGGCCTGAGCACGACTGCGCTTCTTTCCAAGGGCGATGAGGTCACCCAATGCCTTGGTGTTGTGAAGAGGCGACTCTTGAACAGCAAGAGTCAAGGCAGAAGTCTTATCGCTAAGTGTACCGGTAGACATGATCGTGCTGTAGAACTTGTGGGATGAAGAGGCAGATGCTTGCTGCGCTTCCGCGTACATCTTGTTTTCCTTCTCGAGCAGAGAGACGGCGTAATCGTAGAACCGATCCACCACATGACGAGGCAGCGACTTTGCTTGTGCTGTCGGTATCGAGGGCAGTTCCGTCATGTACCAATCGGACCTGGGTCGAACAGCCTAATGGCTACATTAGAAGGATATTTGTGATTTAGGCTGGCTATACTCACGAGTTTGGAAAACTCCTTGGGGAAGACGACTTCGGCGGCGGGTTCCTTGTTGGCTTTCTCTTTCTTGGCCGATTCTTTGGTCTCCTTCGGGGCGGGGGCGGGAGCTGGCTCTTCATCCTCTGAGGGTTCCTCGTCCTCATCATCCTCGGCTTCTTCCTCCTCATCCTCTTCGACGTCATCTTCCTCGCTTGCTTCTGCCTCCTCGGCTTCCTCTTCCTCCACCTCTTCGTCCTCTAGGTCGTCAGGGACAACCTGACCGGCGGCAGCCAGAATACTCGAAAGTTCCTTCCGGAGAGAAGCATCGTCGGACTTGCCCTTCGATTTCTTCTCTGTAGCATCTTCAACTTCAGAGTCCGAACCAACCCCGGCGATGAGATCCAAATCTTCCTCCGTGCCTCCGAGGGCCAAAATCTCTTGCCGCAAAACATCGGCCTGGTTCTCCTTCGATGCCGGCTTCTTATCTTTCGAAACAGCCTTCTCCTCCCTTGCGATCACCTCACCATTGCGGTCCCGCTTCTTGCCTTTGTTGTTCTTGTCGTTGTTGGACGCTTGCTTCGGCTCGGGCTTGGGTGCAGGCTCTTTCTTCTGTGGCGTATCACTGGGACCCGACTTTCCCTTGTTGTTCTTCGGCTTCTGCTTCGAGGCGCTCTGGTCCTTCAGTCGCTGTTCGATCTTCTGTCGCAAGTCCGGCAAATGCACTTTCCTCGAGTTGTGGAAGAGCATCAGCACCGGGGGCGGAGTCGTTAACAGCGACACCACCGTCGGGGATGATGTTGTCTGCTCCGGAAGAGCGCTTCCCCTTACTTTTGGCCATGACGGATGTTGTACGGCCAAATGTAGACTTGATGATGGGGATTTGCATCTACTTTTTTTCTGCCGCCAAAAAATTGAGGAGAGCCCCCCAGGCCGCCGGAGAAACGGCGGGCCGAGACCCATGGGTCGGCGCACGGACCATCCGAAGTCGTCGAGTTTCGCATGCTTGCGATCTATTTACTTTGCGATTGATCTGGCTAGGTTATGGTGTCATCCATTGGATTGGATGAAGATTACTGCCGAGTGCTGAGGGGCTGTCCTGATCGTCCGGCCTCATGATCTCCGGGTTTCGCCCGGTTCCGGGCCGTTATTCCGCAACATGTCGAGCTTACTTTGGTATTGCTCGATTCCATAGAACATCAAAATGCGCCTTTCATGTATACGATCCAGTTCACTGTCAACCCAGAAATCACGCTGACTGATCCATAGGTAGATGGGCGTAGCCGGGTTTCTAATTTTTGGATTCCGACGGGCGGCATTACCAAAAAGCCCGTCCAGGGTGAGAAAGGTATTGATTATTGCCAGCCTATCCCATTGTTGACGGCTTCTAATATTGCTCAGAGGATGCCAATGACCTCTTGATCCGAGGTGGCTTTTTGCGACAGGTAAGTATCACTCCCAATACGATAGATCTTGTCCTGATCCGGTCTTCAGGCTTACTCGGGGATATTCCATATGCTGCCTCTGGGACTGCGTGTGCAAGATAAGCTAGAGCGACTCATTGATAAGCATATGCGAACAGTTGGTATGTTAACGTTACGCCCTCCGCAGTCATTGAGTTCTTTCTTATCGGGTGGATCTCTGCAGGGGCATCTAAGGTGTCATTATCATCTTTATCCGCCCAGGAGCTTTGGGAGCAGTCTGGGCGTCTAAAAGAGGGCTCGGAAGTATGAAATCCGCTGTCTTTGTATCAACGTTTACTTACGTCTGTCTCAGATCTTTCGTTTCCAGGATCGGAAAGAGTCCCGCTTTCTTCTTGCGCCGACTCATGAAGAGGAGATCACCACTCTAGTGGGTCATCTTACCAAATCCTATAGAGATCTGCCAGTGCGAGTGTACCAAATATGTAAGTAGATAATCCAAGGCTGAGACAACTGCTGACATCAATGTAGCAAGGAAGTACCGGGATGAACAGCGACCCAGGCAGGGCTTACTTCGTGGGCGTGAATTCATCATGAAGGATCTCTACACTTTCGATTACAACGCCGAGAATGCCCTGAAGACGTATACAGCTGTAAAGAAGGCTTACACAGAGCTCTTCGATGAGCTCAAGATCCCCTATTTGGTTGCTGCTGCGGATTCCGGGAACATGGGCGGTAGCCTAAGTCACGAGTTCCACTTTGCTAGCAACAAGGGCGAGGACACAGTTNTCAGCTGTTCCAGCTGCGATAGTGTCTACAACGAGGAACTTGCCGATGGAAAGGCCCATAATGTCGATGACCAGCAAACCCGAATTGGTCACGCATCCGGCTTTGACACGGGCGAAGTATCTGGCGAATCAGCGAAAGCTGTTTACTGTTGGCCTGTGGATGGCGTATATCACGAGACAAAAACACACTTCTGCGCTGCTGGTATCCGCAGTATACATTGAAGGACCCTAGTCAGCCGCCAGCTGAAAGGGAAGTCAACTCCCATGCCGTCAAGTCTATTGCCAAGGCGGCCGGCATAGACCTTGATATCAGTATTGAAAACCCCTTGGAACAATGGGCAAAGCACATTCAGTCAGAGGAAGCTTCCGGCCAGCGGCCTCGAGTGTTGGATGTGTACGACTCATATGTGCGGGCATACAAGCGCCCTCCTTTGACGGACACATTAGACGGGATTAACCGCGCCGTGGAAGGATGGTTGACTTTTCAAAACTCGATCGCTTCCCCGGAACCAACAACTATCTCAACCTTGTACGGGTGCACGAAGGCGACCAGTGCTCGAAATGCGGCCAAGGTTTGACAAAGACCCACAAAGCCACCGAACTTGGTCACACGTTCCACCTTGGCACGCGATACAGCGATGTTCTACAGGCCTCTGTGGTGGTTGACCGCGCTCACCTTGACCCAGGCGACCGTTCGTCATCATCCCAAAAAGACCAATTAGTCCCAATGCAGATGGGGTGTCACGGTATCGGAGTATCACGCATGATCAGCGCGGTAGCAGACAACCTGGCAGATTCCAAGGGTCTCAACTGGCCTCGTGCGATCGCTCCCTACGAAGTCATCGTCGTCCCTGCCAAGGGAATGGAAGAGGAAGCAGTGCAAATTTACGACGCGCTCACCTCAGAGCCCACTACTGCCTTGGACGTCATCCTCGACGACCGCGATAAGCAGATGGGCTGGAAGCTGGGAGATGCAGATCTTATTGGTTACCCTGTGATTGTGGTCGTAGGCAAAGGCTGGAAAAAGCAGCGCACCCTGGAAGTGCAGTGTCGGCGACTTGAAGTACGTGAGGATGTTGCCTTGGAGGCTCTGCCGGAGTTTGTGGGTTCTTTGCTTGAGAAGCTGTAGGGAACTTCAATCCCTCGGGCTGTGTTACGGGCAGGCACTGCAAGCTGCGCCACGCTATCACATTGGTAGAATCACTGTACACTATCACTATTAATTGCTAGGTAACTTCCGTTAATATATACCCCTCCATTCTGTTAATTAAGTACCCGCCACCTTGCATCAGCCTAGTCTGCAAATCCCGCCTTGCAGTAGTCACTTCCGATATTGGTGAATATATTCACACAGTATAAAAAATAGACAAGTAGACTCTGTCTCGCTGCAGTTTTGCGGCCTGCGCTCATCTCTCACCACCTGAACACTACCATCACTAAAACCAACCCATTTCGGTCCCATTTATTCCCCATGTTCAAAAGTCTGCCTTTCAGACCCGAACCAAACCTTCACAAAATGAACCCCCACACACATGCCCGGGTAGGTATGGCCGTCTTCATCTTCAACGGTCACAACGAATTTATTATCGGTCAAAGAAAAGGCAGTCACGGTGCTGGTACGTATCTACCACCATGATCACAATTATCATCAAGACAAGAACATCATCATTTACATCAATATACTATCGTCGCTACTACTGATTTGATTAACATACTGATATATTTTCAATGTCAGGAACCTGGGCACTTCCAGGCGGACATCTCGAACTCAACGAGTCATTCGAGACATGTACAGAGCGCGAAATCCTCGAAGAGACCGATCTCAAGGTCCAAGATATTCGCTTCTTAACTGTCACTAATGATATCATGGAATCGGAGGGAAAGCACAACATTACTGTTGTAATGGGATGTAAGCTTTGTGATGTGGATGCGCAGCCTAAGGTCAGCTTCTTCCTCATGCCATTTTTCTGCCTTCTTTATCTCTTCATATCATGTCCACGTGCTTGGTGTTATCATGAATGTGTCATGGTTATGTGAATCTTTTCTTTCATATTCACCTTACCCATAGAAAGGTATATACTTACTAACAACCAACAGCTCATGGAACCCAACAAATGCAGTGGATGGGAATGGACAACCTGGGAACAGCTTCGAATGGACTATGATGCAGGGAAGGGTCGGCCTTGGATTGAGAGACTCTCCCGGACGTTAACACCGGCAGCTGCCTACGATGAGGCTGTTTTTTCTGAAAAGGGAGAAATTATTCCTGAGAATGATTCGATGGAGGTGGATGAGAATACCGAGATGATTACGCCTCAAACTCGACAGCTCTTTCTTCCTCTGGTGAATCTGTTCGAGCAGAGAGGTGGATTTGATCCTGTTGCGGATTACTGGATTGCAGATTAGGGGTTATTGGGTGTGGGTTCTGTCCCCCTCCTTTTTGGATGTTGAGGGGCGGTTAATTCTAGTGATGTGCTGGTGTATTGCTTGTGAGGATAGGAATAAAAGAGAACTATGATCTTAATGTCTATCCTAGCTGGAACTATGAGTAGTTGCATTTAAAGCTGAGATTCCAGTTATCTTCTGAATAAATCTAGAGCTTATATATGGGTGATACACTACCAGTATTTTCTATACACAATGAATGATCCACGTATATTAAAGAAGATAGAGGCCGTTGTCTCTTCCTAGGCTACCATTTCACTTTTCCTGGCGTATCTGGAGATGCTAAAAGAATGCCTAGTAATAGAGGAATGCTCCTGTACATTGAGCGCGGGAATGAAATTTTCAAGCCTCTAACGTAGACATATGTACTATGGGTAAACACCGCCTTGGTTTGAATATCTATTGATAGACTACAATCGTACTATCGGGAATTAACATCGAGCTCCCCTTGTTCAATGGAGCTTCCCTTAACAAGCAGTCCATCACATGGCGCACTTCTTCTATAAAGGCTAGAAAGGCTCCTCTCCCTTTCTTTGACTCTGAAATAAAGTAGTATATATAAATTTATCCAAGTCGAGCCCCATCAATTCAATGGCTCTCGCCATTTTGTCGAAGATAAATCGCATAAAAGCCGGGCAGTCACCGCATCATTTATATAAAACCTACCTGAATCTATAAAAACGGAAACTTATCATCATATCCAAACACAGACCAGGAGCTGTTACAGTCCGGAATATACCAGTAAGTCATATACAATCTCTATCCACCTCTCCATGGGTCCCCCTACACCCTGCAAAGGATATAAGAACATCCACCCCATTTTTACCAACCACACATAAGATAAGCATCACCATCCATCACTGAGCTCCAAGCAACAACAGCAACACTCAATCCTTCAACATGGGAATCGAACTAACCTCACCCGAAAGCAGCCGTTCTCCATCACCCGTCCTCAGATGTGCACACTCTGCAAAGGCAGAAGCAAGCCTCGCCAATAATTGTCTCACTTACAACGTCTCGGTTGGTTTCAATGAAGCCTGTGGGGTTGTCTACTTGGTTGTGGTTCACGATAAATTCGGTGTGGAAAAGTTGACTCTTCAAAATATCCGACGATTTGAAGTTGCCGAGTGTCAGCTAAATCACTTTTTGGAGGAATACCCAGTTGAAGGTTATCGTGAGTACATTTAAATATCTTATCTTTAGAAAATCATAAAGCTTGGTTGTGCCCTTAACGCCACTGTGATTTGGAACTGATCCATATAGCTCAACTGAAACACTGTGGTTATTCGACTTCAAGCCATTTATAGCTTTATGCATACTTGACTCATTTAAATGACTCTCATAATTTATCTAGGCGAGCGCGTGCAAATGCAAATGGACTTGCAATCCATAAACTATGCTTACGACCATGCTGACATGAGTTCTCATTGAACTCGCAGATTGAAGCTGTCATTTTTGATGTATTATAAATTGAGCAGAGGAACAGTTGATCCTGGGTAGTACTCAAAACCTCGAAGCTTTTGTCTGATGGTGAGAGTATCGTCGGTGCTGTTACTGATTGCTAGATATGTTGTGGCTGCCTATGAGTTTGATCATCTATACAACTTCTTGGCTATAGAAAATGGATATATAAACAAGATACAAATACACGTTTTGCTCGGTGCAGAACAGTTTGCGTAGAACTATTCTGTAGACATATTCAGTATGAGTATCACACAAGATGAGGCCTCTAAGCCTAACCAACGACGTACACCACTCATCACATCTAGAACTCATATATTACACTACCTCTATAGTACCTACATCATCAAAAAATATTATATACCTCAATATATTGTCCATACCACCCTAACTCACACTCCAATAGTGATTACAACTAAAGTACATAGGGCTGCACAGCACACACACACGCCCCACCCACAACCCCCGCTGACTAACCCACCACTTATGCACACTATGCATCCCATCCCTCCCCACCAATACACTTGACCGCGGGCCTCAAAGCTCGAAGCCAGCATCATCACCATCACCAACACCACATAACCCAGTAAGTACAGCACACAATTCCACACCCTTTCCCCCCTCACAACCTCATCACTTCAACCTTCTCTCCAGACCCCTAACCAATATTTCGCAGACAACCAAAAATGCCACCCCCCAACACCCCCGCATCATCCGACTCCCCCCCTCCGGGCTCAGGTACGCACACCAAACACCTCCCCCCCTTAACCAACCTCACCACTAACCCAAACCCACTCACCAAAAGTCAACATCAACTCCCTCTCCGTCCCGCAACTCCGCGCGCTCCAAACACGTCTCTCCTCAGAACTTGAACACCTGACGACCTCGCACGCCAAGCTGCGCGCCGCGCAACTCAAGTTCAAAGACTGCGTGCGCTCCATCAATGAAGGTGTAATTGGGTCTCAGAAGAAGGGCACCGACGGAAAGGAGGACATCCTGGTGCCGTTGACGAGCTCGCTGTATGTGAAGGGGAAGTTGGCGGATCGGGAGAAGGTGCTTGTTGATGTGGGAACGGGATTTTATGTTGAGAAGGTGAGTTCATTCATACCCTTGTCTAAGTATCTATCTATCTATCTAGGTTTTTGTTTATGGGGGAGAACGAGGCTAATGGGTTGGTAGACTACGTCCAAGGCTATCGGGTTCTACGAGGATAAGGTTAAGAGTCTGGAGACGAATCTTACGGAGTTGGAGAAGATTGTGCAGACGAAGAGTCAGCAGCAGAGGTTGTTTGAGGATGGTGAGTGATACGATGCATATTCTTGGCTGAGGACAATTTCTGGTTTTATTTGCGGTGAACTAACGATTGCTACTAGCTCTGAGACAAAAGTTGCTGGCTGAGGGTGCTGGGTCCTCTGCTACTGCGTCTGCGGGTGCCGGTTGAGTGACTCTAGGCCCATAGTATAGGAGATTGCGTGGCCTTGGGACGGATATATAGTCGAAATGAACAACGACTGGAACTGTTACACCCCTTGTGAGGACGCGTTGGAACAGACCTGTCTGATGTTACTCAAGCTGCGGGTTACAAGAGGCAGGTCCGATACGAGCACGCCGGCTTCATTGACGGAATTCCACTGTCAGCTGGCACTTCAGAGGGACACGGACTCGGCCGAAAATTATGGAGGTGGTTATAATAAAAACTGGCAATTTAGAGCTGAAGCTGAAGCAGTGCACAACATAATATCATATTAACGAACGCCTCCACCTCCATTCCCTCCCCTTTCCCATACGCCGTAGTTCTGCTTTTTTTCTCGGACACGCCAGAGAAGTCTCGGCCTGACACCTCGGCCCCTGAGACTAAAACAAGGTGCCGAGGTCTGCATTGAGCAGCCCAGCCAGATCGGTCATGCCCATTACCGGCGACGAGTCGCTCGATCGGCCCTGAACCGTCGAGGGCTTGACGCTCGGTGCAGAATCGGAGCCAAGCAAAGCCTTCTCTCCAGAAGAGGTTGCAGTGGTCCGTACAGGACCCATTAGTCCCGCAACCTGCTTCACCATGTCGACAAACTCCCAGAACCCTTGGCTTTTCTCTGAGCCGCCCGCTGCCCCTCTTGCCGGGAAAAAGCTATCCAAAGTAGGATCATATTGAGCAGCATGCCCGATAGCCAAGTTGGCATGTTCACCCAAGAGATTGTCCCAGTGAGGGTCGAACAAAGATGCGCCCCAGGAAGTATTAGGCTCCGTGGTGAACGGGCCCGCGTAATTCCCCGGTAGCTTGCTCGACAACGCTGACGCATTTGCACGGCTATACTCATCATAGCGGGCAATCTCTAGAGTATAATTGGTTCCTTTGATCCTGTAACGAATGGCGGATTTCTCAATAAACCTGGCCACCGGCGCGGACTGAGAGAATTTGACCTTTCTCTCGGGCTTGGCCGAAATATCGTGCATAGTAGCAGTACTACGGAACTTGATGGTGTTTGCAAAATCTCTCAATGCAGCATCGATCGAACTGGCCTGGTAGAATTCCAGAGACTTCAACTCGAGCTGCCAGTCAGACCTTTCGAAGTCAACGACGGCTACCTGCAGGGGTGGGCGTTTGTCGCTGGATTGGCCGTCTTGACGGGGTTTAAGCCACCTTCGCTGGGTGGCCTCGTATTCTGATGCACCGGGACTCCTGGCGAACTCTGCCTCCAGTCGAAGCATGGAGTTGCTTTGGCCTAGAAACTCGAAATTCACTGAAAATGCAGGCTCGGCACTGCTCAGCGTTTGTGCCGTGCTGAGGTATGGCTGAAGCAGATGGGTAGCCTGGTAACATCTAGCAAGAAGTTCGTCCTTATGGACCTTGAGGCTGTAGGGATGACGAATGATCAGTGACATCGTCACAAACACAACAGAGCGGAGCTTACCCTGGTATCAAGCGTCCCTTAGTCTGCTCGTGCAGTATCATTTCCCTGAACTCCTCCAGAACATAGTATGGCTTGTCGTCTGCCGGAATACGGTACTGGTCGAGTACAAACGAGCCGAGATTTACCCGCATACGCAAATGTCCACGAACAACGACCACGCCCTTTAGACATTTCTCGACCATGCTCAGAAGCCGGGCATTATTCTTTGATTGGATCAGGCTCGCTCGATCGGGCCACCGTTCCGCCTCGGAGCCCTGGAGTGGAGTTCCACGGAGTAAGGGCTTCGCTAGGCGGGCGTCCTTCTTTACGACAATCTTACTTTTCATGGCAGTCGGAGGCTCGACAAGGTAGAGCTTGCCTTTCACAACATAGTTGGCAACAACCTCAGTGTACTTCGTTCTGAGGCGTCGGACGATCTGCCTCATGGCCTCGTCGTTGTGCCCAACAGCGCAGATGTGATCCGGGAGATCTTTTGGGACAAAGACGTGACAATTGAACTTGACCCGTATGTGGTCGAGGGCCTCGAGCTGCGGACCCAGGGAGTCATGAATAGAAGGACCATCCTTTGGCCACAAAAATAGCATCTACAAATGAGAATCAGTCAGGCGGTCAATAAAGTGTGTGAAAGGGTAATCCTGATTTACTCACAAGATCCGAAAAGTCGTAGGAGGAATCTGGTGGCTTTTGCAGCGCCTGGAGCCTGGCATTGTATCTCTCCTTCATCTCCACACGAACTTCCTTACTGACTGAATGTGCCGTAACCTTATCCCATTCTACCTTCTTTTTGCTCGAATGGCTACACTTTGCCATGATACTGAGAATGATGTCCTTTGCAGCTGCAACTTGAGGTGGCTCGCCCCATAAGTAGATGACCTATCTCCGTTAGTGTGCGACTTTTTGGTTGGGAGGGGGGGGGGGGGGGGGGCTGGCTGGCTCATGGAGCTTACAGTATCGGTATAGAAGGGTGGTTTAATGAAAGCTCCTGTACGTCGACTAATCTCTTCGAAAACCTCATAGCGGCCATGCGCCGCCGGGGGCTTTCTGATTGAGCTTGTCGATCTTGCAACGCCAAAAAACCTGCAACAGCTTTAGCACATTTGGAAACAACAACTGCAGAAAGACTGTGTATACTCATTCTTCAACGATCCGAAAGGCGCGGGTAGTTTAACGAGGCCTGCAGTTTCCTTAGTGAGCTTTTGGATCACACTGCACGCAGGGTCTGGTCTTACCTGCAGGCTCTAGTTTACCTCTCCACTTCGACTTTGCGGGCGAATCACCAAAGACGTTTGGCTTGGGCGATACCCCGCTTGAGTGCCCAATCCGTCCGCGATAACCTCCACGGGCTCTTGTTGGTCGTGGTATGCCTGGGGGACGAACCGGCGTGCTGGGAGTGCCTTTATTGGCAGGTGCGGCTGGGGGTTGCTTGGAAAACTCATCCGGAGTGGGCTTTGAAGCTTCTATAAAAGTGATCAGTTTCGGTCTTTGCTGTTGCTTGGGATGGATAGTAACCTTGCTTTCCGTAGCCCGGTAGCGTCCATTCTAGAACAGACAGAGATCAGTTATTGGCAACTAACGAATATAACCAAATGGCAAGGAAAAAGATAATATCTACCCTGGGCTCCAGAAGACTCGAAGCTATTTGCAGTCAGCCGGTGTCTGTCAAAAGGGATTCGGGGACTTACTCGACGCGTGTATTCGCAGCCATTGCGGACCGCGTGAAAGTGTTAATCAATAAGATGCTGGAAGATCACAGAAGGATCTGAATTGCAGTTAACACAGTGCTAAGATGAAGTTGGAAAATAGGATGGAAAGAAAGGGGAAATGCAGGGATTTATGAGCGGTAGTGGTAGTGACGGTGATGGTTGATGGTGAAAGGGCAGTGAGAGGAGGGTGAAGGAGAAGAGTGACAGGAGTGAAAATAGTGGGATGGTTAAATGTCCCGAGAAACACTTACTTGCTGGCAGGAACAACCCGGTGAATACTCCCAAGAATTCGTTTTGCATTAGAGACAAATCTACAAGCGAACCAGGAGGATCGAAGTCTTGGAACAGCTTCCGGCTGGGAAGGAACAGGTCAAGTGAAGGCAGTCAAGGTAATATTGCTTCATTCTCTACTAGGACGTTATTCAAGTCATATTACTGTGAAGCAATGTGAAATGAATAACAGCAGCAGGAGTAAAATGTACTGGAGTGGAGAGAGAAGCTCAGGCTTGTAAATATGGCTCAGTTTACAGGAAAGTCAGAAGACATTCATTCCTAGAATAAAGCTGGGTAGCAAACAAACATAGCAAAAAGTACGAAATATTGGGCAGTCGCCATAGACTGCAGCCATGTTTAACCACAAAGACTAATTCTCCTGTTGTAGAACCAGAACCGTTGCTACTATCACTGGTACTGCAGTACTAAAGCAGTGGTTTGTATGGCGTTTGCTATACGGAAAACACTCGAAGTATACGAGAGGCAATACTCGCTGTCATTGGCCAGAAACAGCTGCGCGTTACCCAAAGTGGACAACGCGCAGCGGGCGCGCCTTTCCCTTTTTCGTCTTTTCCGTCGCCGGTCCAACAAACTAAATTAATTATCATCCATCATATCATCCCATCAATCACTTCATACGGCCGTCGCTGCCCCAACTTCCATCCCTCCTCTCTGGTCTCTGCAGGACAATGGCTTCTGACTCTGCCGATGAGGCAGACAAGTCGCGGTCCCGCAAGTCTAGCGTCCGCAAGCGTGCTCAGCTATGGATGACCAAGGGAGGTCTTGTCCGTGACGACTCCGACGACGAACTCGGCGAGGAAGACCACCCGTGGGAGTGGATCTATGACCACAACGACGAGAACAACAAAGAAAGCGAGCAGGCGACTACAGAAGATACCCCGAAATCGAGCCGAAGACGCACCCCTCGCCCCAATGCCAAACGCCGCCGGACTATTGTCGGAGCTCGGATGGGCTCGTTCGAATGCGCCTTGGGCCAGGTGGTGCTTTTGAAATCCCCAGAACCAGGCAAAGATTGGATTGGCATTATAACGGAATTCGTAGAACAGGAGGATCCGGATGCTGAGGACGAGATCATCAAATCGGCGAACATCATGTGGTTTGCTTCCCCGGATGAGTTCATGTCAACCCGGAACAAGCGACGAGCCGACGCTTTGCCCAACGAGCAATACCTGACTGCCGATTTTAACGTCAATCCTCTTACGTCGATCAGTGGCAAAGCTACGGTAATGTCCAAGGATGCATTCTACGCCAGGTACCCAGACGGTGCTCCCCCGAAAGGAAAAGAGGCCCTCGCGGAGTTCAACAAGTGCATTGTTGTTCGGAGAGGAGTAAACCAGCTGCAAGGACGTTATACGGAAGAGTTTGTCTGGGAGGACGTATACCGTGAGGATAGGGTCTTTGATCTCATCACCTTGATTAAGGATGGGTTGAAAGCAGCCAAAAAGCGCAAGCAAGTCGACGACGACGTGAGTGATGTTCCTGATTGGTGGTGGATTCATGGTGCTAACGTATGTTGGAGTATGATGACAAGAAGGACGACACCAAGGAAGAGGATGACTTTGTCCCCACCACACCTAGGAAAAGGCAGAAGGTGGCTACAAACGCTACTCCCCAATCGCGGCGTCAAAAGACCTTTACCACCCCAGCTCATAAGAGGTAGGCAAACAAGCTCCTCCAACCAGATATCGGCTAACGTATCCCGACAGGATCGTCGTCAAGAAGCCTCTCGAATTTACACCTCTCGGTACTCGTATTCTTTCACCCACTCATTTCGCCTCCCCGTACCGCCAGGCGCGCACGTTGCTGCACGTTTCCACCGTGCCTACATCGCTTCCATGCCGAAAAACGGAGTTCGAAACAGTGTATAGTCATCTCAGTGCCGCGATCATGGAAGGGACAGGGGCTTGCATCTACATATCAGGAACGCCGGGTACTGGAAAGACAGCAACGGTCCGCGAAGTCGTTTCGCAATTGAATTCGGCTGTGTTGGCAGAAGAGATGGACGATTTTATTTTCGTTGAAATCAACGGCATGAAGGTCACCGATCCTCACCAATCTTACTCGCTGCTCTGGCAAGCGCTCAAGGGTGACCGAGTATCGCCTTCACATGCTCTCGACCTTCTTGAGCGGGAGTTCTCACATCCATCCCCGCGACGAGTGTCCTGCGTCGTTCTTATGGACGAGCTCGATCAGCTTGTCACAAAGAATCAGTCTGTGATGTACAACTTCTTCAACTGGCCGGCGCTCCGCCACTCTCGCCTTATTGTCTTGGCTGTCGCAAACACCATGGATCTTCCAGAACGTACGCTCAGCAACAAAATCTCCAGTCGCCTGGGTCTCACCCGTATCACCTTCCCCGGATATAAGCACACTGATCTGATGGAAATCATCAGCACCCGCTTAGCCAACGTACCAGGGAATATCGTCGACGCGGACGCCATCCATTCGCCAGTCGCAAGGTAGCCGCCGTTAGTGGTGATGCCCGACGTGCCCTGGACATCTGCCGACGCGCCGTCGAAATCGCCGAACAGGCCAGCGAAGCAGCAGCCCAAGACCCAGACACAGACAAACCCGATGCAGACGACACCGAATCCCTACCCCCAACACCCAGCAAGACCCCAGCCCGCAGAGAAAGATCCCTCAAACAATCCGCCCAGTCCTCCCCTCAAAAGAAACCACCCACCAAACCACAAACCGTCGGTCGTGTCACCATCGCCACAATCAAACAGGCCATTCACGAAGCCACTTCAACTCCTCTCCAACAGTCCCTCCGCTGTCTTCCCCTCGCCGCTAAGCTCTTCCTCGCCGCCATGCTAGCCCGGGTCCGACGCACCGGTATCTCTGAATCAGCATTCGGCGACGTAATCGACGAAGCCAAACGAATCGCCGATGCGGCCGTGGCTGTGGCCGGAGCAGCAGGCGCCGGTGTCAAAGACTTCCTGCTAGCCGGAGGGACCGGCGCTCGCGTACGAGCTTTGGGCTACGCCGCAATGGAACTGACGAACTCGGGCGTCCTCGCTCTGGAATATGGAGCCGGCGCCAGGGGACCCCTAGGTAGCGCTGCTATTCCGCATCGTGGCGATCGTAGCGGAAAAGTACGACTCCGTATCGCTGCAGAAGATGTCAAGATTGCTTTTCGCGAGGATGAGGAAGCCAAGGGGCTTGGATTGGGCTTGGATCAGTGATTACCACTCACTATAGTCGTGACCATCTAGATGATACATTACTTACTGTATAAGAACAATGATACCCATATGTGTTATTAATAAAACAATACAAATACAAACACTAGACACAATACCATGAACCTTGACATCATTACACACAATCTAGTGACTTCTACAAGTCAACGGCAACTATAAGGACAGACACCTCAGTCTCTAAGAGATTATATGATACATTCCTTTTATGAGCCCTTCCCAGGGCCAATCTGACATCCCAAATATTTAACGCTAAACTCCTAAGTGCATACACAGCATGACATAACATCAAAGCTAGAAAAATCCCCCTTGAAGTAGCTCCCCCAACACACCAAGATAAACGAACTGAAAAAAAAGACATCGGGGTATTGATGATAATGAGCAGAACCACACAAGCCACACTAACAAACTAATACCTCTGTCTCCCCAAGGTGGGGGCCCAGGTAACAGGGTGCGATTCTTCGGTGGCCTCATCATCCGGCTTCCAAATCTTAATAGTCTTGTCAGCCTCACCAGTAATAAGACGCAAGCCAGTACGATCAAACGTCGAAGCCATAATACCCGCCTCGGCTTCCAGAGAACCCGGCTGAGCGACAGCGTCGATGCTCTGGAACTGGTACCCGGTCTTCCAATCCCAGAAGCACATGGAGCCGTTATCACCGCCGGAGAACATGACGTTGTCTTCGTTGACGGAGAGGGTGTTGATAATAGCGTTTTGACCATCGAAGTTCTGCATGAAGTCGCCCTCGGGGCACTTCCATTGCTTAATGGAGCCGGTGCTGGCGGAGGCGAAGGTGAATTCGCGGGGGTGAGTGGCGAGAGCGCGCACACCCTTCTTGTGGTGCGTGAGCACGCCCATGGATTTACCGGCTGCGAGATCCCAGAGGCGGACGGTGGCGTCCAGGGAGCCGGAGATGATCTGCGGGTCGGCTTCCTGGCATTTGACATCGGCGACGGTGCCCTTGTGGCCGGCGAGGACGTGGACGTTGGCGCGAGTGCGCATGTCCCAGACGCGGGCTACGCCGTCACGACCACCTGTGACGAGGAGGTCGAGACGGGGGTGCAGGTCGAGGGTGTAGACGCCGCTGAGGTGGCCGTGGTAGTGACGGATGACTTTGTTGGTTTCGAGATCCCAACACTTGACCATTTTGTCTTCACCGCAGGAGAAGAGGTACGGATGTCGGGGGGACACGGCCAAGCCGCGGACAGTGGAAATGTGACCCGTGAGAGTGAGACGGAGGGCACCTGTAGCCAGATTCCAGATCTTGATGGTCCGATCGCCTGCACCACTAGCAAACCACTCGTTGTTGGGCTCGACGGCCAAACTGCGCACCCAACCCAAGTGGCCGGAGATGACCCGCATGAGCTTCCATGGCGGGTGCCAGTCGGGTCGTTGCTGTTTCGTCGCCGAGGGACAAGGGCGAATTCGTTGGGAGCGTTTTCACCGCCGACGCCGCCGGCTGCTGGGCCGGGGGCCTTCTTGACGAGTGCCATGGACGCGCCGCTGCCGTCCACGGCGGCTTGGGCCTGTGGTTGGATCTTGGGGCGTTTGGCGCGTCCAGCGGCCACGGCTTTGGCTTGCTTTTCGGCGAGCGCTGGGGGGAGTTCCTTCACATCTTCGTATTCTGCTTTGCGCCGGTAGGACGTGGCGATGGAGCCATTGGCGACGGACGGGGTGACCATTAGGTAGTCAGAACCGAAGAGCTCGGCCGTCCGCTTGGCGGAGAGGCGCACTGCCTCGTCGGGTGTGGTAGAGGGAACGACGTCCATTGTGATGGACTGGAGGGTATTCCGACGCTCGGTATGTAGGTTGAACTGCTTGCTGCGGAGACGTGTCGTTGGCGCGTCCTGAGCCCCGAGGCGGGGTGTACTGGGCTTCTAGTGGAGACCAGAGGTGTGCCTCATGCGGAGTGTATTGTGCACCGGGATGACAGGAGAAAGTGCGGCGCGAAAGTAGAATTGGTGATGATTTGAAGTGAAGGCGAAGTTGGAATCAGCGGCAGCGAAGCTCGACTTGATTTTCGGCGGGCGGCGAGCTATTTTCTGCCTGAGGCATTAGCACCATTTTCAGGTGTCAAGGCCTAGATGCCGACCCCGCCGATTAATTGATTGATGCTATTCAATCCCAAGTAATTCTGTCACATCCACAATGAATACCAGTCAGGAAGCTAAGTTTCCTCTTCACGAGGCTGCCCGGGAGGGCAAAAGTACGAGGCATTCAACCCGGACATTGTGATAAGCTCTAACCGATCTCCTCCAGCTCAAATCGCTGAATCTCTCCTCAGCGTACGTACTCCAAAGCTGCCCCGCACCGCCATCAGGGAGCTCTATACAACCTCACTATCAGCTCAAAGACCGTCTCGCTGATGGCTTCTAGGCCAACCCCAAGCTAGCAAATGTCAAAGATGACGATGATCGCCTTCCCATCCACTGGGCGGTAGCATACAACCGTCTCCCGATTGTGGAGCTACTGATATCCAACAAGCACTTTGATCCCGATGTCGAGGTCCGTTATTGTCTCATCTTTTGTAATGTACCACGCCAGAACATCACTAATATTTCCATAGGATGGCTCCGGCTGGACACCACTCATGATTGCATCTAGCTTGAAGAACGCCGAAGGCGATCCCATCATCGATCTCCTCCTCAAGAAAGGCGCAGACGTCAGCACGAAGAGCGTCTCGGGCCAGGTACTTCCCGTCCCTTCCTCCTAGGCCACCTTTTCCCTAACTTAATATCTGTGTCTACAATAGAACGCCCTCCACTTTGCAACTTCCAAAGCCAACCTCTCCACCGTCCGCACCCTCATCGCCAACAAATGCAGCGCAAGAGTAAAGGATAGACGCGGACAGCTGCCTCTGCACCGAGCAGCGGCGATTGGATCCTCGCCTATCATCAAAATCCTTCTGGAGGAGGGGAAGAGTCCCGTCAATGCAACGGATGTTGATGGGCTGACAGCTTTACATCATGCCGTGTCAGAGGGTCACGGCGATGCAGCGATTACGTTGCTCAAGGCTGGTGCGGAGGCAGATAAGAGGGATTCGAATGGTGTTTTGGCCATTGATATGGCGCCGGATAGCAAGGTTCGTCTTCTTCCTTTTTTATCATATATAAATCGAGGTGGGAGTGTGTGCTGATAGTGGTATGCGTATAGGTGCGGAGCTATATCCTGCAAACAGCGGAGAGGGAGGGGATCGAGTTATAGTTTATTCGGTATGTTGGATAGGAGGAACGAATGGATGGAAGATATAAAAAGGATTAATACCCGAGTCTATCTTTGATACTCTCAGGCTCATCGAATGACTGTTTCCATATTATTTTTGTCTTAGTAATTAACGGATTCATGACATCTTCTTTTTCAAGGCATGTCTCACATCACATCGTCTAAATCGGAGTCTAGCCCGAACGATAAATCTATTTACAGGGCAGCAATCACAAGTCTACTACGCATAAACACCTCTCATCTCATGGTACTGTCAACCAATTCCCGATAGATCTTCTTGAGATCCGCAATATCGGCCTGAAGCTCTTCCACCTGTTCGCTCTTCTCGCCAAGCATTTCAAGCGTCGTCTGGTATCTCTGGTCAAGATCCTCTAGCCGCTTTTCAAGTTCTTGCACGCGGGCGTCGGAGGATCGCTTCTCTTCCGCCTCGCGCATCAAATCGACAATCTGCTGGCGCGCTTCATCTCGTTGTGTGGTGATTCGGGCGAGTTCGTCCTTCGATGCTGCGCGTTCGCTCTCAAGGCGACGGACCGTGGCGCTCATGCGCTCAACCAGCTGGACGGAAGGTCCCGCTCCTACAGTCGACTCGGAGATGATGTCGTTGATGCCGCGTGAATGCTGTGTCGGTGCTCCGCCATAGGCAGAAGGGGTACCGGAGCGGCTGAAGTACTCGTCAGGCTCGAAAGTGATCGATGGTGTTTCCGGAACAGCGTGGTGAGAGGAGCCATTGGTTTGCGGTGGAGAGAGCATCAGGGTCGAGTTGGGGAAAGAGTTTTGACGGATGGGAGTGCCAACTTCTGGCGAAGTTGGTAACGTCGAGGACCGACGGCTCGTGGGCCGGAAGTCTAGTGAGACAGGCTCGAGAGCACTTGGTCTTCGGCTGTAGGCAACGGGGGACTGCGTCCGTGGCTGCTGGAGCAAGGCAGGGGGCGAAATGGTCTGCTCGCGCCATTTGGTTCGCTCCTCCTCCAGTTTCTGCGACCATGTGGCATCGAGTACCTTCTTTTGTTCGACGAGATCCTTTTGAGCCAGGGCCAAGTCATCCGCCGATTTCTTGAGCTTCTGCTCTGCCTTTTGTAGTTCTTGCATGCGCTCTTCGAGCTTTCCTTCGAGGTCATGCTCGGCCTCCTTAGCACTCTCCAGGTCTTCTTCAAGTCTTTTCGCTTTAAGGTTCTGTGCACAGTTAGCCCATCTGGTATCAGTGCAACATAGAATTAGGCTGTCTTACCACTTCGCGGATCTTCCGTCGCATCTCGCCCTCCCGTCGTGCAACCTCATCGCGCTCCTTCTCGACGTTGGCCAACCGTGCCAGTAATGAGCCCTCCAAGGTCTGCCAATTCTCGCTGGCGACAGCATATTGTGTTTGGAGCGTTTCGATCTGACGCAGGAGTTTGGCTTGCGCATCACCTGTAACACCAGAAGACGCCTCTTCTGCCCGAGACCGCAAGGACTCCATCTTACTTTCCAGCGCCGACTGTTCCCCTTTTAGCTCGATCTCCAACAAACGCGCTCGCTCCTTCTCCTGCTCAATAGTTCCCTTCAGATCGCTGATCTCTCTGTTCAACTTTTCTTCACTGATTTCACGCTCGATCTTGGCGCTTGCTAGATCCTCCTCCAACTGGGTAGCGCGGCGTTTCTCCTGCTCGAGGGCCTCAGATTGAGCCTTGGCCTCTGCGGCCTCTGCCCTAGACACAGCTCGTGCGAGTTGTCCCTTCAATTCCTGTACGGTTTGGCTGAGTGCGTTACGCTCCGCTGTCGTGGCTTCCAGGTCCCGGGACACCTTCGTTTGCGCAGACAGCGAGTCATTTGCTCTCTTCTCAGCCGCCTCAGCCCGTTTGGCTCTAGTTTCTGCGTTGGCAAGATCCCGTTCCAGTTTTTCAGTCTTCTTCTTTGACTCAGTCTGGATCTTTGCGTTCTCTGCCAATTGCTGCCTCAGTTTCTTGATCGCGGTTCTGTGGTCCATTTCCGACTTGGAGAGCTTCTGTCCTTCCTCGAGCAGCAGAGCGATCTTCTCGTCCTTTTCTCGGAGCTGCTTTTCGACGCTCCCTGGCTCAGCTGTGGCCGCTGCCTTCTTAGCAGATTCCGCGGCTTCCTTGGCCAGATACTTTAATTTGGACTGCAGCGCATCGATCCGTTCGATGTATCCGTACATTTCCTCCTGCCACTGAGACTCTGCAGCTCTATGATCCGCCTGTAACTGCGCAATAGATCTATCTTGGTCGCTGGAAGTTCGAGGGCTGTCCGTAGGAGTATCTGTCGTTGGCAGGGAAATCGTCGGCGCGGGAGTTTGATCGGGCTCGGGAGACGATGCGCTGGCCTTTTGTGCAATATCATGTGTCACATTAGATGCATCTGTAGAGGCAGCCTCCTCAGCATTAGCAACTTCGGTCTGCGAAACGAGGTCCTGAGAGCGGCGCGACGAGACGCCTGAGTCCTGGCTTATCCGAGGAGCCTCTGTAGCTGAAATCACTTCCTGCCGACTGGAGTTCCGAGAGTGTCTGCCTGTACTTCCATTTTGGGAATCCAGACTAGCATCAATATCCATGCTTGAGCGTCCACCGTTGCTGGGAACTGGACTGCTGACGGGGGAGGGGGCATGGCTAGAAGGCTGCGAGGAAGTATTGCCAGCGGTATTCGACTTCACCACAGCACGAGCCAGGCGTTCCTGAAGGCGATCATTCTTTCGCGCATTCGACGAACTGCGTGATATACCTAGTAACTGTTAGCAATCTGACATACTGCAACAGCCTGGATCTATCAAGAGTCTCATACTGCTCGTCTGCTCATTTTGTTTGGGCTTTGTAGTCGCATTCTTAGCCTGAAGCTGTTTCTGGTCCTCCTCTTCGGCCAGGATCAAATCCAGCCTGGACTCAACGCCGGCAACGGCTTGCTGCAGGAAAGAGCCCACTTTCCATTTCGGCTTGGAGCCTTGGGAACCCTGCGACATCGTGATGGCTGTAAGATTTGAAGTTCCTGCAAACTAGGATGCCTAGCAGCAAGAATGCGCCAATTCAATCATGGAAAGCGAGGAATCTGGAGGATGATGCGATTTGATGCTGGCTTGTCGTCACTCAGAGGAAGACGAGGCCGTAGTACGCGGACGCGGGGAGGAACCACAAACGAGAGACTAGCTTAGAGAAGCACGAATTCCACGGAAGTGAAAGAGCAATGAGGTCAAAAGAGAGTGAGTTGTCCGACCGGAGTCGGGAGGGGCCGTTCAGTCGATACGTTGCAGCTTGCGTGGACTCCGAAGAAGCGATGAAGCGCAACCGGCTTGGCGGCCGGGGATGGAGAGACACTAGAGAGAGTGACGGCGAACGTGATTCGTATCATCATCGGGCTCCTCCCTGGCCGTTCCCCAACCTCCTCCTCCTTCACCACCTCCGCAACCCCCGTCCCTCTCCCCTCAATCCAGTTTTCTCCGTTCCGGTTGGCTCCTGAATTCCCCCCTCCTCCGGAATCACCATGTCGTCGCTACCCCTGGAGCCACCCACCTACCTCAGTTCGCTACAGAACAACATCCGAGCTCGTCCCATCCCATGGGAAGGAGCTGTCCGAGCGGGAAACATCACCGATGACCACCTGAAGAAGATTAAGGCGGTGGACAAGGTTCGCAAGGAGCAGCGGCGTCAGACTGTCGAGGGGGATCTGGCTGGTTATGTTGGTCTACTCTCTGGTGGCTCTGAAGGGAAGAGCGTGCTGGACTCCGCCTCCAGGAGAACCGATATTGTGCAATACATCCTCGTGCTGGCCGCGGATTTGATCAACGGTATGGGCATTTCCTCCGTGGTCGAATTGCGATAGTGACGATGGAATGCTGATCAGCCTGGCTCTCTAGATGTCCCCTCCCTATCGACCGCCCTGGTCGCGCATCCCGACCCTTACAAGCCATTCCTTCCCCTCTTGCGTCACTCCACCAACCCCGAAGACCCGATCCCTCTGCTTACCTCCACCTTCTTGACCAACCTTGTCTCCGTCAGCCTGAGCTCGTCATCCAAGCCAGCTGCGCGCGATGATGAAGCGCTTCCGCAGCTGTACACCTATCTCTCTACCCTGACCCAGAACCAAGACAGCGGGCTGCAGGATATCGGGGTCCAGGAGCTGTCGGCATTGCTACGAACCTCTAGGTCTCGCGAGATCTTTTGGAAGCAGAGACAGCAGACCGTCGAGCCGTTAGTCGAGATCCTGCGTGCAGCCACGGGTGCTAAGGATAGCAGCTCCAGCACCTTGGCTGGCAGCTCGCGCGCGATCGAGCCCGGCCTTGCCGGTGGAGTCGGTCTTCAGCTGTTGTACCGGGTCTTGCTTGTTCTCTGGCAGCTCAGTTTTGAAGGGGAGTTGATTGGTGATGATCTGCAAGCGTATGTGACATGAATAGCAATGGGTGTAAGATGGAATGAGGCTGACGATGAATATAGGGACTACGAGTTTGTCCAGCTGTACACGCACCTCCTGCGCCTTTCCCCGAAGGAGAAGACCACCCGACTCCTCCTTGCAACTCTCAACAACCTCCTGTCTAGTAACCGCACCACCCTGCTCCCGGTCGCAGTTTTTGTCCGCCTTCCTGCCCTCCTTACGAACCTCGCCGGTCGCCATCTGACCGACCCCGATCTGCTGGAGGACCTCACATTCCTGTCCGAAATGCTGGATGAGTACACCAAGACACAGACGACGTTCGATCAGTACGCAGCTGAGCTGCAATCTGGCCACCTCCGGTGGTCCCCGCCCCACCGCAACCCTACCTTCTGGAAGGACAATGCCCGTCGCATCCTCGACGAGAACAACGGTGCACTTCCCAAGAAGCTGTCCGAAATCATCTCCAAGAGCTGGGATAACGACAAGCAGGTGCTGGCGATTGCCTGTAACGATGTGGGTCACCTGGTGAAGGAACTGCCCGAACGGCGGGCACAGCTGGAAAAACTGGGTCTGAAGACTCGTGTCATGGAGCTGATGACGGACAAGGACGAGTCGGTGCGGTGGGAGAGCTTGCGGGCGGTGGGCGAGTGGCTGCGCTACACGTTCGATGACTAGAGTTCAACGGAGGAGAGTGACGTGATGTGATATATTACCCGGTGCTTGTTTGATCTGCTTCTGTCTGGCCGAGCATAGACCTGCTCTGGCTGTATTGTATGGATTCTCAGCGTAAATCATTTTCAAATGCCATTGCCGTATGCACATAGCCAACTAAATCGAACCCGATAAGGTTTCCGCTCGGAAGCACGCAAGCCATGCATAGCCCGCCCCCTCGTGGCGACGATCAGTGTGACCTAGATAGATAAGTCTGGAGGCAATGCCTGGGAAAGAATTAGAGTACTGTGTCATGCACTTTCTGATCTGAGACATCAGAATCCGATCCACGCAGAGTGCCCAACGGCTGTTCTGAGCACGACGATTGGCAGCAGCGGTGGATCGATGATCGGCCGCTATACAGAAAGCCGCGGGTCCCGCTTGGGTTCGCCTTATCTCATCGGTCTCAACTTTTAGTTTCTCGCACTGACCGTTAAGACTTTCAACGGGCTCGTGGCGCACCTGCGGCTTGGGATTCATCTCCAGCTCCTCATCTCCGCACGGAACCCAACTGCAGTCATCGACTTGGTGACATCTCGCCCCCTTCTTGTCACTCTTATCAGCTGCGGAGAAGTAACCAGCGGACGAACACCCCTGAGCCGGGGAAGAGCCGAAGACTCCGCGGAGGGAAAAAAGTAAGCAGCAACATTTTCTGCGATCCCCTCATCCCCGCCAACTCCATGTCTCGATCCTTCAACGGGTGCAAACGATGTAAAGCCCGGCGGCAGAAATGCGACGAGCAGCGTCCCAGTTGTGGTCGCTGCATGTCGGCCGGCACGCAATGTCGATATGCGATGCAGCTGCAGTGGGGGGGCCGAGCCTTTTCGCGCTCAAGGTTTGGAGCCTGCGTGGGAACAGGAGGCATGCAAAAACTAGGTGGGTGAATGCCATGTAGCCTGTTGTATACCGGGATATACTGATCTAACTTTGCTACTCGCAATCAGAGTACTCCCCGGGCGAATTCATCTACACCACCAAAGCTGCGGCTGCTCTTTCTCCGGGCACAATAGCAACATCTCCTTCTACCCAACCGACGAACACCACCTTAGTCCGCCATATTGATCCGTTCGCCTCCCTCTCTACCGATCAGAAATCCCTCCTACACCACTTCCTCAATGATGCCTCTCAGATCACGGCTTGTCATTCCGGCATGCAGCGCGATATCTGCAAGATGCTCGTCCCTATGGCCCTTCAGACCCCGTCCCTCCTCTACGCAACCATGGCCCTCTCCGCTATCCACCTCCAAGCCCTCCACAACCAATCTGAAAACGTCAAGTCTGCACCCGAAATCGCACGCTTTATGGCCCTCAGTTTAGAACATTTCAGAACGGAACTACAGAACCCTGCGAGCAGGGGATCGGATGCGCTGCTTGCAACCGCCCGGACCCTCTGCCTCGCCGAGATTCATTCCGGTGCAATTCACCCCAATTCCTGGCGCGCACATATCGAAGGTGCCCGGGCTCTGATGGAGGCCTCGGATCAGAGCGGGGCGCTGTCCCCCAAGTCGCCGGAGGGGTTCAGACGGTATCTAGATAGATGGTATCGGTCAATTGTGTCGCTGACAGCGTTGACGGGGAATGGGCCGCCCATAGGTGAAGCTACGGATCAGCTGGTCTCCATTGGACCAAACCAGTCGGCCTCGCCGGATTACTTGGATGATTACTGGGGTTTTACGGTAAACTTGGCCACAATCTTCCGGAGGATTGGGGCTGTCGCGTGGCGGGAGCATCAGAGTCGGGGCCAGGAAGGTGATGAGAGTTCTGTCCAAGGGAACGAGATCAGCGTACACAACGAAGCTGCAGCGCTGGAGTCGTCGCTCCGCCATCTCATGGAACAAGAAGTGGCTTCGCAGCCCGCATTCTACCCTGGCGTCGTGGAGGGTCTTTCTGCGGAATGTATCCAACAGCTCATGCTCTGTAACGAGGCCTTCCAACTCAGTGCTCTCATTCAGATCCATCGTCGACTGCGAAAGACACCAGCGTCTGCACCGGTGGTGCAGGAGTCGGTTAAGAGGATCCTTGAATGCACGGCTCAAATCGGGCCGTCTCCGGGACTGAGCCCGTGGGTAATGCTGACTACCCCGCTATTCATCGCTGGGTGTGAGGCGCGCGGAGAAGACCGTGAGCAAGTGCGACGGCTACTGTCCTCGCTGCACGATACCATTCGAGTACCAAATGTGTTGCAGTCATTGAAGTTTCTGGAACAGTATTGGGCGAATCAGTTGGATGAGAACGAGGGGTGGAGTCAATATCTCGGTATGTACAATTCGTCTGTTAAAAAAGAAGATAATACTAACGCGATATTCAGATCGGATGAGATTTGATTTTATCCCGTACTAAATTCGAGGCGATTTCCTGAATGATGATATGTTTATGTGTGTTTATGCGAGCGTCGGTCTGACTGGATATTATATGGTCTACAATGTTATACATTCTGAGAACAGCTGAAAAGCGTTACGAGTCAGGAGCAATGAGCTTTTACGTGTGTGCACATGGCGTTGGTTGATTGATTGGAGTTATGTTTAGCGATGAGTTGAGGCGTCGATACTTAGGTTGTTAGATATATGCAGAAACACCGAGTTGCGTGAATTTCCAACAATAACTCACTAGCCATGTATGAGAATTCCAGTGGATATACCCAGTATACCAATGTATCACATAAACGATGCTACTTCCAGTAGTAGAAGTAGTGACTACGGAGATGAAACCGAACCGAACCCCTAATATACACCACCCAACCACCCGAAAGTACTAGTAGACTACGCAGCAATTGAATAACCATCTAACAAACACTGCATAACTGCATTATGACTCCCAAAATAGAACGGGAACACCTGCAGCTATCTACATATTTGCTTATTTCCTGCGGCACTACTGTACGTTTGACACCCGCTGAACCAAGGAACGAGAAGAGAGCGAAGAAAAAAGGGTCTACATACGTGAGTAGTAAGGGGGCCGGGGGGGCTAACACTAACTGAATCCACCCCTGCAGCCCTGTATTATCTATCCTTCCTTAGCCCTTTCAGTTTGTAGGCCATGGAAGTGTACGGAGTAGACTAAGACATAAGTCGCATGGGATGGCGCCACTTGAGTAATGGCGAGGAGGGATAAATATAGAAGCAGAAGAAGGAGAATTTATTGTTCGTGGATTATGTAGTTATTTTCCATTGTTCTGTTTGCTTTCGGAGTGATGGTTGATGGTGGTGGTGTCAATCACAAAGAGAGTTGAGTTGGGCTTAGAGTTTGGGAAGAAGTAGGTTTCGGCCCCTTGCTGATGTAGTAGGTGGTTCATTATTATACACTTTTCTTTTTAAGTATTCTCAAGATTGAGAACTTGAGGAGAATACAACGTTTGACAGAAAGATAGAAGGGGAGATAAGTAGAGATGGAATGGGAATAAATTTATTAATGTCTCATTAGTAAATATATTTATGATAGATAGTGGTTAGACTACACTCCGTACTACTAATGTGAATGTCTCTCTCGGAGAAGAATACCCAGAAAAGATGGGATAGACAAAGGGAACACGTACTGGACCTTTAGTACTTGAGTGGTTACTGTAGGATAATAGAACCACTTAATTTATATACTAGACACGGCAGAACTTATCAATTTAGTAAGTACGTAGTAGACCCGTTAGTACTAGTCAGGATGATCCATAATAATAACCCCCAGGGTTATCCGTGGTCAGACCATCTCCTATCACGTTTAATGCTATAGTGGAAGAGAATAAGTAATAAATAGTAGCCAGATAATAATACTACTGTATAGTAAACCTACACTATTGCAGCCAACCGTCGACGATCGAAGGTCTAGAATAAGCCTCAATAGTATCTATCGGTTGACAGTCGTTTCACGTCGCAAGATATATTTAGTAATTGGATTCTGGACTGGTCGTGTGTCAGTTTCTAACTGATGCAGGAGAGAAGGAAAATGTTGGTTCGGGACGGAGAACCGCGGCGGTTAGTTAGTAGTTTGTAACATTCCATCCAAGCGAGTCAAGCCAAGCGCTTAGAACTCTTAGTACCTAGCAGCCCCATTGCCATGGCCCCCCCCAAGGCTATACAGTGCAGACGGGAGTCTCACTTTTCTACCACGGTTCAGGTCTCAAACCCAATCACATCGCCAGTCATCACATGCAGGAGATCCGCAAAAGTGGAGATCAGTGCACTGGAAGTGTGACGATGTCTGCGTCTGCAAGCTGCATTCTGCATTGACACTCTCCTGAATGTACAGTAGGTGACGACTACTCTGTACTCTACTGTCGTATGTGCAGTAAATAGGTGGTTAGGAGTGGAACTAGTTCGGGTCATAACTGCTCGGGTGCAGAACGCACCGGCCACTAGTCTAGTCAGTAGGAGTAAGTAGAGTAAGAGATTTTCTCTCTCTCTCTCGGGAGAGGGAGAGGTTGGGGCCAGCCGATATGCTGACTATAGGGCCACATTATTTCTGTTTAATTTGGTTGTGCTATTTTCAGTATACAAGCCTCCTTGTTGGTGAAACAGAAGATGACAGCATATCTTTGGGGGTCTGAAAATGCATCTCTGGTTTCTTTGACCTTGATGTTTGGTTGTGGTTGATGCTGCAACCATGGTTTGGGTGGTGTATGGAAAGTCAGTCAGTCAGTAACTTGGGTCTCTAGACTACCCCTGACTAGAACTGCGGTCTTCCGACTACCGCGATATCGAGTGGGGCTGGACTCCGATCGGCCGTCTGGACTGGAGGCGAGCTGGTCTCGGGATGGCAGAGATAGCATGAAGATGAAGAAAACTGGCGTAAAGAAATATGAGAGGAGCTGTAGGAATGTTGAGTCCAGCCTGATGAGAATTGACCAGCAACAATGGCCCTCTGGGCAGTGAGAGAAGTTGGGTGTTAACAACCAACTATCTACCAACTAAAGATCCAGCGGATTATTATTATTATTATTATGGGTTCCTGTAACTGAGTAGAGCAAATCCCCACCAATTCGGGAATTAGTTTTGTCGGCGCCAATCAGCAATTGGCTTGAAGCTCAGGTCAATCTCACGATCCTCTCTCTCCAAAGTCTTTCTTCCTCTCTCTCTCACTCTCCGCCCCTTTCAATCCGCCCTCCTTTTTTCTCCCCTTCGCCCTTCTCGCCCGATTTTCCCTCTAAACCAACTGGAACTAACCCATTCAGAAACTGACTGCGTGTAATCCATGTGCGCATGTCTGCTTTTGTAATGGACTGATTGATCCAGCTAGATTGGGATTGTCTGAACTTTACCTATTGACTATCTACTTGCTCACCCGTCCAATGGGTCCGTTCCATCCACTATTCCCCTGAACGTCTTGTCAAACCTGCCTTTCCATCGATTATTGCCCCGTGCCAAACTAAACGCCTCCTGCCCTCGTCACCATGAGGGTGCGTCGATCCTGAACTCATTGACCAACGATTGTTTCTGATCTTCCCTCCTCTCTGTCTCCCCCCCCCCTTCCCGTCTTTGCCTGTTCTTGTCAATTGTCCCGGGTTTGGCGCTCAACCTTGCCAATTAGAGTGTCTTCTCCCTCATGGCCCCAGGCTGGACTTCTCCGCCTGCCTCGGGCGCTTTATCCTCAAGCCCAAACCATAATCATCTCCATTCCTTGTCCCAGACTTATCATCAGTCTCCATTCCCTGTGTCTGATGACCCCGGCGCTTGGCCAAGCTCCTCCTCCTCCTCGACCTCCCTCCTCTGCTTCCTCCACCTCCGCTGCCGCTGCTGGTCCTGTCACCTCTCCTTCTTCCCATTTGCCGCCCTCTAATACCTCTCTGGCCTCTCCCCCTCCTTCTGCTACCCTTGTGCGCAGGAAACCGCTTCCCCAGGATGCTGTGATCCTGTCGCGCCAATNACAGGCCTCCTTCCTCGCCCCTGCTACCCTCCTCCCCCNGGGGTGACTCGCCTGCAGATCCGTTATCACTCCCTGTCTCTTCCTCTCCTCTCGCTGCTGACCATCATCATAACTTGGCCTTCTCCCCTGCATCCACCTACTCCTTCTCCGGTTCTGTGTATGAAGTTGACGGCCAGGAGGACGAGGACTCCCTTCATTCGGTTCCAAGGAACCTGGACAGGTATGACAGCCGTTGCCCCCCTGCCCGTGCTCTCTTCCCCTCACCTTCTCCCCCTGCTCCCCCTCACTCTTGTGCTTGCGGTCCTTGCAATCTCACGCTACTTCTGCAGCCTGGAGAAGGCCTTTCCATGTCCACTCTTCCCTTCAGACGTGGCAAGACTAATCTCGGACCTTTTCTACTCTTCTCCAGTATCTCCTCGTGGTGGTCCGTCCGCGTCCAATCTACGTATAGATACCTCCGCAGCCTACGTTGACGACGACGACGAGAGCAGCAACAATCATACCCACAATCCCAGATACTCCTCTCAATTCTCGAATGGGACGTCCTTACACAGCCGTCTTGTGAGCGAGCCCTTCGTGCCCATCCTGAAATCACCGGCTTTCCTCCCCAAGCGCCCCACGACCATGGCCTTGAATTTACCCTCACGCCGTCCTCCACCTCTACATATAGATTCCCCCAGCCGGTCCTCATCCGGTGACTCCAAACAGCCGAAAACGCCGGCGAACAAGATCAGTTCCTTTTTTGGGTGGCGCGCTACAACCTCTTCTCCCGGCGCGGAATCCTCTAGTACCGAGATCTCCGAGTCCGGTCGTTCTCCGGTGCCTTCCCCGATGCCTGCTTCCCTCCACAGCGCATCCTTCTCCATAACACCCTCCACCACGGTGCCCTTCGACCCCTCCAAGCCGCAAGTGCCTCTCCCGCAGCGGAACCCATCTCTGAGCAGTGGCAGTATCCTGGACTCCAGGGCGACGACTCTGGTGACCGAGCTTGAGAATGAGCTGCGGGAGATCAGTTCCGAGCTGGCCGGGTCCATCCGGCGGGAGATGGAGTTGGAGGATTTGGTGGAGAGATTGCAGTCAGATATGCCCTTAGATACCCCCAATCGCCGGACTAGCGATTACTTCTCCGATTCGGGCAGCAGCTCCATCCGCTACGCCTTTGAGTCGGGTGGTCGGGTCGAAGACATTGAGAAGTACAAGCGCACTGCAGAGCAGGAGCGGGCTCAGATCAAGGTGGATCTGGGCCAAAAGTTGCAAGAAGAGCGTAGTCGCCGGGCAGCCTCGGAAGCACACGTCCAGATTCTAGAGTCCCAGGTCCAGCAGGTACGACTTTCCATCAGCTGAGAGAACGATAGTCCCAGACTAACATATTTTAGCTGCGACGGGAGAGAGTAGATCTCTCGGACCTGTCCTCCCGGACAAGGGAGCTCGAAGCCGCATTAGATGATACCCGTAGGAAGCTGGCCGAGGAGCGCCAGATCAAGGACAATTTCGAAGACCTGTTGACCGCCATGCGAGTAGAACTCGAACAGTTGCGAAACGAACGGGATCATATGCGTGACACTGTGATCCCTCAACTGCAACAAGGTGGTCAACCTGCCGCGCCTTCATCTGATCCCTCGGAAGTCCAGCGGTTGCTGGAGGAAATCGAAGCGTTGAAGATTGAAAATGCCTCTCTCGCCCAGCTGCAGGGCAGTCGATTCGCTTCAATTGCCGAAGAAGATGGCATGCCCACTGCCCGAAATGTCGGATTGGGACTGTCGCGGTCGAATTCGCTGGCGCGCGTGCGTACCAAGCCGTCGCCCGGTCTATCCCGCTCCAGTTCCCTGTCGCGGTCGAACTCGGTTTCTGCCAAGGAGCGCAATGAGTCTCCCCGCGAGAATCTGGCGGATAGGATTGAGGATGTCGAAGCGCAACGCGATGCTCTTCACCAATCTCTTCGGCGTCTGCTCGATCGTCAGGCCCACGATGCCCGTGAATACGAGAAACGGCTTCGGCTCATGGAGATGGAGATTGCGCGCGCACAGCAAGTAGGCTCTCCGCGCAAGCTGGGCTATGAGCGCGAAGTGCGCAACTTGCGCGAAGAAGTGAATGACCTTCGGCAGCGTGCCGAGGAAGCTCTGGAACAAAAGTGGCAGTGCGAAAAAGGATTGGCAGGTCTGAAGATGGACCTGGACCGGGCTGAACAGGAAACCACCTCCTTGCGTGTAATACTCCAGGAGCACGACATCACCGTTCCCGAAGACCTCGAATGTGATCGGGATGGATTTGCCGAGGTCCTCGCAACCTCTTCCTCCCTGGAGTCCGCTTACAGACAACTTCAGGCGGATCGGGAAATCGCCGAAGCCAGCGCGGCTCAGTCGCCCCTTGCCGAGCAAAACTCACTCGTGGAGTCAGTCAACCGCACAGAGGTGCTCGCGCAGCATGTGCAACAGCAGCTGGCCAGCAACAATGCCCTGCGGAGCCGTTTGGCGGAGGCCATTGGCAAGGGTGAAAAGGAGCAACAGCTGTCAGCCGCTCGTATCAATGAGATGCAGGCCCGTCTCAAGGAGATGGAGGACATCTTGCTGATGGCGCAGCAGTACTCCGAGGACGAAATGGCGCGCCACGAAGAAGAAGTGCGCGCTCTTGAGGAGAACCACAACGCGCAGCTGAAGCGCATGAAGAATGGCGCTCGCAGCCCTGCGGCCCTGTCGCCCATGCCTCCGACCACGCCGTTTGGCGCGCGGTCGCCACGTCTGGACTTGACGACCAGTGGTAGGGGCATTGCTTTGGATCAGGCTATCCAATCTGAAACGCTGGAACGGCGGGTGAAGGAGCTGGAGAAGCTCCTTCGCGACGCTGATTCGGAGATGGAGGAAGTTGTGAGCCGGATGAACCGGGCGCAAATCGAAGTTGCGGAGCTCCAGTCTGATCGGTATGTAATGAGAAACGTGTTTTATGTCAAGATAATGGCTAACAAACTGCAACAGCGACGATGCACTCCGCCAGACCCGCAAACTCCAGGCCGAAATCATGGCCCAACGTGAGACGTTCAGGACTCTGATGGCTTGAACGACAGCATATTAGACTTTTTCTTGTTTCTTCGTTGTATAAAATAATCCCATGGGAGGTGTTTTGGCGTCGACACTCTAGCGTGTGACATGTTTTGGAAGCACCTCTTTGTTTTGGTCGAGGTGCAGCGCATACTCCAATGCTTGTATATGGTCAACTTGGAGTCCATGGCCAGATGGGCATGTATATATCTCACGATCACGACGTGATCATGTATAATTGCATAGATGTACAGTTGTCAGCTGAGTATACTGAGATGAGAAAAATTCTAGCAGAGTAAAATAAGAATGTGCAGGAAGGAAGAGAAAGTTGACTTGTCGCATGCCTGCGAGTTCCGTTGATATCACGGGATCCACCCCCGGACTGGCTGCGGTGTTTGCCTGGTTTGGCTTTGCGCTCAGCCGCTCATTGGTCCGCGCATCGCCGCATTGTCTTTGGCGCATCTGGCCGAGGGAAAGTCCCGGTCTCTCCTTCATCCATCATCTACTCTTCCAAACTCCTTTGTTTTGGCTTCCTCCGATCGACCATGATACTTTCCACCTTATAGTCACCTCTGTATATAGCACAAGGTTCTTTCCTGCAACCTTACCCACCTCAGATTACCCGGCCACAAACCTTCAGTGTCCAATCTTCCAAGGCATAAAAAGAGAGTGGCCACCTCGCCTGCCTCCATACTCTCTCTTCTTCCTACCAGTCTAGAGATCTGGTTGACTGAGCTCCATCAATCACAATGGACTTTCTCCCAGGTAACACCGCAAACGCAACCAACATCTCCTACAACTACCCCATGAACATCCCCATCAACACCACCAACATCACCACACCAATCTCTCCAAATATCAATAATACTAACCTCCCACCCACAGACTCCCTCCTCTCTCTAATCCAACAACATCCAACTTTTCAAACCCTCACCTCCACTCCCATCGCCTCCCACCTCGCCTCCCTCCACACAACCTACCTGACCCCCTACATCTCCCACTGCCGCACCGCCTACCTCGACCCCTACCTCATCCACCCGCTCGCCTCGCTCCTCACCTCCTCCATGCCCATGCCCGACCTCGTCTCCATCTTCATCCTCGCCCTCGTCCTCATCATCTCCCTCAAGATCCTCGACTATGCTCGCCGTCTCGTCATGTTCTGGGTCAATCTGGCCCTGAGGTTGTTGTGGTGGGCGCTTGTGCTGGCTGCCTTGTGGTATGTGTACTCGGTGGGGATTGAGAAAACGGGCAGGGACTTGGGGTGGATGGTTGGGCTTGTCGGTGGGTTTGTCGATGGGTTCAGGGATGGTGTTGAGGGCGGGAGGGCTGTTACGGGGTCTGGCTCTGGGATGGGGTCCGGGGGGTATGTTACGGGGTTGGGAGGGGCGGGGAGGTATTAGGAAGTTTGAATATGATATAGTATTGGGGTTGAGAGGGGAAGTCATTGGGGATATAGATACTTGGTTGAGTTGGGAAACTGGTAATAATTAATGGGGTTTTATGGTGATGGTAGGATGGGATTGCCATTGGGAGATGGGAAGGAATGACACCGAGGTCGAGCCCGGTCCGAGACCGGCCTGGACTGAGCTACGATTAAACGAAGTGCATGCTGCATGGATACATGGCTGGTTTTGGTTCGATTGAATTGAATGTGACATGAATTGAGTTTTAGTTGCCTTGAATTGAGCGGTGAGGTATAGATATGTGTGCTATGGTATGCTAAGCCATGTACACTGCAAGGATTGGAAGGGATATCATTTCAATTGCTGATGATAAGATAAGACAGAAGAAACAACTCACTTGGTCACTATCTATCTTTATTATCATTACTACTTCTGCAGTTGAGAAGCTGTTTACGGAGCTACCGAGTGTCACAAGAGCAGAAAGGGCGCAGGTGCAGATGCATACTTGGCTATTATGATATGACATTATCATTGGTTCGGCTTTAGAGACATCTTAATTATAGATACTATGTAGTAAGGAGTCAAGTAGATACTGAGTAAGTACTTGGCTTTTCCTTCCTTCAGCTCACATTCCTGTTTCAGGTCGGTCGGTCGGTCGGTCGGACAATTAAGTAATTCCCGTCGGTTTTTAAACCGTATCCGGATACGAGCACTGCATCTAGCCGCCATTATTTTGGCCCCCATACCAGGTGGGTAGATGCTTATGGCAGAACAGCGACGGGCGGGTTGGTCGGTATTGTTGTTGTTGTTGTTGTTGCTGGTGACTCAGCAAGGCAGCGGGTGTAACAGCAGCCAGGTACGCACAAGTTACCTAGTAAGTAACAACAGCAACAGCTCTATATAACTCGATGGGGTAGTAAAGTAGGATGCGCTAGCGCATGCGCCCCCAGAATCCTGATGCGATGGCGTAATCACGGCGCGCGCCGGCGGCAGCGGCAGCGCCAACAACGGCTTACAGCATCTCACTCAGCTCAGTCTTCGTAATCGACCTCCTGGGCATCGGAAGGCTCGCGGGGTTCCTGAGCCTCATGGTACTGAATAGCATCGTCAATATGGCTCAGCACCGCGGCAACACTATCCTCATCCTGCACGTCCAGCTTGAGGAACGAGACCATGCTGAAATCATCGATGAGTTGGCCGACCGCGCGGTTTAATTGCTGGAAAGATCCTCCGCTCAGCATTGTGTCCTTGGACGATGGGTCTCCAGTGGCCACTGAGGATGTTTCCTCGTCACCCGCCGTGCCCAGCAGATTATTCACATCCACGTTAGTAAACTGCTTCAGTTCCTTGCGCGAGACCATATCCTTGACCTGGTCCATCTTGCTCAGGATATTGACGTGCGGCATCTCCAGCATCAACATGGCCGACATGGCACTCAGTGTGCCGGCAAAGAACTTGGCCTTGTCCACGACGAACGTGCTCTCGAGCAGATACGCCGCGCAGAGACTGATGTTTAGCGGGCCCTGCCGGGATAGGAACTGCACCAGGGAAGGGAGCAGCGGGATGTGTGTGTAGAGCTCGATCTGGCCTGGCATGTCGAAGATGATGAGGTATTCTTCGCTGAGGGGATCGAGGGCTTCAGAGAGGAATTCGAGGTTCTGAAGGAGGAACTCGAAGCAGTAGATGAGCCCGCCGTTGGGACCTAGCCCCAGCTCTTCCATCACATCTTCGAGGGTGATGAGCTCGCGGATGTCGAGGTCCGGCTCGTAGTTGAAGGTTTCGGCCGCGGGGTCTAGGTTCACGTAGAAACAACTGCGGCGCGTGTTTTGAAGATGTTGGATGATGGAGCTGCAGAAGGTGGTTTTGCCCGCACCGGCGGGGCCCATTACTAGGACGCCGTATTTGGACATGCTGACGGCGTCACTTTGGGTTGGTGGGTGCTAACGCTGGTGGTGGTGGAGGAAAGGTAGAGTAGGTACGGCGCGGGGTCGATTGCTGACAAGGAGGGGAGGGGCTAGTTGCTACTAGGTTCGGAGTTGCAGAAAACCCAAGGAAATTCACGCAATTCTCCCGTAAGCGAGCCGGAATCCGAAGGGTGAACTGAATCAGATGGGNATGGAGTAAAGGTGGGAAGAGGGAAGAGCTTTCGGTAGTTCGCAGAGTAATTCAACCCCGAATTTGCAGGCAGATTGAAATTGAAGAAAGTCCGAAGGCCCGTCGTCTAATGAAAGAGACGCCGATTGGCTGACAGCACAATAGAGGGGTGATCTTTCGGTTGGCAAATCAAAATCCGCCGCCGATGCATGTTTTTCCTTTGGGTCTTTTTTTTTTCTTTCCCTCAATTCTTTTCTTACTTTTTTCTGCCTAGTCCGACCGCCGGAAGAGATGGCGCCATCGGAGACACATTAATACGAGATTCCCCTCTCTGCCTCCTTCTTTTCTCTTCTTTCCCCTCCTCCCTTTTCCCTCTCCCTCCCATTTTCTTACATTTCTCGCTTCTTTAATATCTACTCTATTCTTCCCCTCCCTAATCTTCCTCTTCTTCTCTCCCCTTCACCTCTCTCCTTTCTTCATTCCTCCATATCTATACACATTCCCCCCCTCCACTCTTCACAATGGGTAGCGTCGCCAACGGTTCTACTTTCCTCTTCACCTCCGAGTCCGTCGGAGAGGGTCACCCCGATAAGATTGCGTATGTCGAGCCTCAATTCCAGCTGGCGCACACGTTTCATGTCTTACTGACAATATTTCCACAGTGACCAGGTCTCCGATGCCATCCTCGATGCCTGCCTTGCTGAGGACCCTCTCTCTAAGGTACGGACCCTCATCGGTTCTATATGAACCGGATTTTTTCTTGCGCACCCCTTGGCCCCTTGATTGGCCGGCGCTTTTCCGATTCGGCCTGTCCACCTTGCATGTGAATGTCTTGAGTTAACATGTTACCGTTAGGTCGCTTGTGAGACCGCTACCAAGACTGGTAAGTTTTTTTTTTCTTCCCCGCCCCACTCATCTAATCTTATCAGGACAGTGCGCTGACCCACGTTCCAGGTATGGTGATGGTCTTCGGTGAAATCACCACCCAAGCCAAGCTTGACTACCAGAAGGTCATCCGTGGTGCCATCCAGGACATCGGCTACGATGCCTCCGAGAAGGGTTTCGACTACAAGACCTGCAACGTCTTGGTTGCCATTGAGCAGCAGTCGCCCGATATCGCCCAGGGTCTGCACTACGAGGAGGCCCTTGAGAAGCTCGGTGCTGGTGACCAGGGTATCATGTTCGGTTATGCCACCGATGAGACCCCTGAGCTCCTCCCCCTCACCGTCGTCCTCTCTCACAAGCTCAACAAGGCCATGACTGATGCCCGCAAGAACGGCACCATCCCTTGGCTCCGCCCCGACACCAAGACCCAGGTCACCATCGAGTACGCCCACGACAACGGTGCTGTCAAGCCCCTCCGCGTGGACACCATTGTCATCTCCGCCCAGCACAGTGACGATGTCACCACTGAGGAGCTCCGCAAGGTCCTGAAGGAGCAGATCATCAAGTCGGTCATCCCTGCCAACCTCCTGGACGACCGCACCGTCTACCACCTCCAGCCCTCCGGCCGCTTCGTCATCGGCGGTCCCCAGGGTGACGCCGGTCTCACCGGCCGTAAGATCATCGTCGACACCTACGGTGGTTGGGGTGCTCACGGTGGTGGTGCTTTCTCCGGTAAGGACTACTCCAAGGTCGACCGCTCGGCTGCCTACGTTGCTCGTTGGATCGCCAAGTCCCTCATCAACGCTGGCCTTGCCCGCCGTGCCCTGGTCCAGCTCTCCTACGCCATTGGTGTTGCTGAGCCCCTGTCCATCTTCGTTGAGACCTACGGCACCTCCTCCAAGACCTCCGATGAGCTCGTCCAGATCATCCGCAACAACTTCGACCTCCGTCCCGGTGTCATTGTCAAGGAGCTGGATCTGGCCAAGCCCATCTACTTCAAGACCGCCAAGAACGGTCACTTCACCAACCAGGAATTCTCCTGGGAGAAGCCCAAGGCCCTCAAGTTCTAAGCGAGTCGTTCGCAATGACTGTGGACCTGCTTCTCTTCTGAGTCTGTTACCTTTACGAATGTGATGATTTTGCTTTGTTTTCAACAACTCAAAGCACGAGCATAGACATGTCAAAAAAGCAACTTTTATGTTTGGATGTTTGTTCAACTTTTTGCATGGTCTCTCGGCAAGAGACGGGTTCGGCGAGGATAAATTCAACATGATACCACTTTTTCATATACCTTGGGAGGGTTGTTTCGGCGTTTTCGGGAGCGAAAGTCTTCAACACTACCTCCTCCGGGCTTAGGACCGATAGGAACTTCGAGTCTTATCTGCGGGGGATGCGTGCCATCCGGCGTGGTGGTGCGTGTCCCTGACGCACTGGGGTTCGAATGATGGCTCCGATAGGAGTGATATAGATGGCTTGAGAGTGACATCTCGCCATACTGCTAATCTAAACATTAGCACATAGATTAATGAATGCATATGCATGGAGTAGCCTTGTGCCGTGTAACTAGATCGTAGAAAATGGAGTTGGACAAGTGGAGCGATCTGTAGTCAATCTAGCCATGGCTGTTCCGCGGTCTCTGTCCGACTTAGGGTTAAGAGCATACGAGTCTTATCGCGGTCGCAAGATCGGAAATGCTCCATACACCCTGACCAATAGACAATTTCCCGTTGGGCTTGTCTATACTATGCAAATCATCTGAATCTTCAATTTTCACCATCTGAATCTTCAATTCTCACAGATTCAGTGGTCCGCGAATCCCCCTGGGTGATGCCGCCCTTAACAAAATCTGCTATACTCGGCAACCCCTCCGCCGCGACGCGTGCCGCCTAGTTCTCCGCCGACGTGACTCGCGTCACCCACCGCCCCAGGGAGTGAAGGCCTCGACTTACCGCAACCACCACTACTGATCGAGGATACTCCATTAAAAAGACCCATTGCACATACAAGATAATCACGCAGCATATTCTCCATACCGACTGGACGATTCACGAAATGCAGCACTCATAATACATACCCAGACAAGCCAATCTACACGTCCACATACACACACATTCACCATCCATGGCAACTACCACCACCACCGCAGCAACATCTCCTCCCAGCAGCAACATCCTCGCTCCAATCCCTCTCAATCTCGTCCCGAACCATCCCACAAGTACCTCGTTATCAGCTGCCCCCCTTCACAACCATCCATACAAGAAGCGCAAGGTCTCGCATTCCGAGAATCTCAATGTCCATAATGACGTCTCTGCTGTTTCTGAGGAGCCGCAGACGATAAGTATTCGTGTATGTATATCCTTTTCGTCATATTATACATGTAGATAAAGTTGCTAATTCACCACAATAACCAGTCCCAATCCGCATCCCTCTCCGAAGACCAAGACCCCTACCACCACCTCACGCCCATCACTACCCTCTCCCGCAATGCTATTCCCTTCTCATGGATAGACTTCGAACCGCGCGAGCATAAGGTTCAGAATGCAGGCCTCCAGGGATGGTGCAATATATTCGTCGGGGATATACCTGTCCTTGAGAACGAACATGCGGGGGATACTGTCCTAGCGGTGCGGGTTGTCGGGGAGGCTGGGGTGTGGATGGTTGAGCGCGTAAAGAGGGGCGTTTATGCGTTGATGAGGTTGCGGGGTGTAGGTGAGGGGGAGGTGGTTGTTGCGGCGAAGGCGAGTGCTGGTTCGGCCTTTCCGTTCTCGTTTTCGTCTGGGATGGAACAGCGAAGAGGGAGGAAAGATGTCGGAGAGTGGTGGGAGGTCGCGAAGATTGAGGATCCGGAACCGGTTGTCCTGGGCAAGAGGGGACGGAGTGTTGCGGATGTGGAGGTTGTTTTTGGACATGTGTTCGAGGAAACTCATGCCAGAGAGACACAGGATGAGATGCTGCGCAGTGATGAGGGCTCGGAAGGGCCGGTGTTGCTGGGTGTTGGGGAGCAGAGTGGTGATGTTACTGCTACTGCTGCTGCTGGAGAGCAGGATGTGGAGGTGACGCAGTCGCCGCAGGAGCTGCTGGATGGGCTGCGGGAGCAGTATCTGCAGGCGTTGTATGTGTCGAAGGTGAGTGCGCATGCGCCGTTGTTTTATAAGATTGGCAGAGCGGTGCTAATGGCTGGGGACAGACTTCCGTGGCTTATTTCGCCAAAGGCCCCCTGGCGCGTTGTCGCGCGGCATTCCAGTCCTCGGACAATGAGTCCAGCAAACCGGCCCAGTTGGTCGAGTTCTACAGAGAGGCTATTCTTACGGCGAAGAGAATGGATCACAAGTATCGTGAGACTCTGCCGACTACGATTCAGGACCTGCTGTTGAGTGTTTCGGATGATGAGGCTGCGCCGCCGAAGCGGAAGCGTAGGAGTACAAAGAAGAAACTCGGCAAGAATGGGCTGTATCCGGAGGAAGGGGACTTGATTCGCAAGTGGTGGCGCGATCGTGCGCTCAATGATCAGGGGCTTCCGTCTGAGATGTCTAGGGATGCGGAATCCAAGAAGCATATTGCGGACCTGCGGTTGCGCGAAACGCAGCTGCAGATTCTCTTGATCCTCGAGACTATGGCTTTGGAGACGATTATTGCGGATGAGAAGAAGCGTGAGGGTAATGGGGAGGGCGCCGACAAGCCTACAAAAACCGCCAAAGGCAAGAAACCCCAGGATATGAATGTCATGCTTGAGCTTCACCTCGACCGACTGTGCATCTGGCATGCCGTGAGCTTCGAGGAGACCGTGGTCGCGGACTCAGCCAAGACCAACCATCTATCTGGGAAGAAGGTTGAGAGTGATGCTGTTCGCGACTTCTGCACGGAGGTCATCGTCCCGTTCTACGCGTCTCGCCTGCCGGACAAGTGCAAGCTGATTACTCGGAAACTTGGCGTCTCAACTGCGATTTCGCCTTTCACGAAGCAGTCTCAAACGAAGAAGACGCCACGAGAACCAGGAACGCCTGTTGAGCGACAGCATGCTCAGAAGTCCCGTCGTCGTGCATTCCAGCGCGTGTTGACAGACCAGGCACCGTCTCAGACCCGACAACCGCCATCACTCAGTCGGTCCAACACAACCCCGGCACCGACTGAAAGCCGAAGAGAGTCTCTGGACCCTTTGCTCCCTACTGTCAGTGCCAACGTGCGCGGCGGCATCCAGAAAGCCAAGCGCGTGGAGAATCGCGAAGTGGATCTCAACGCCGTTGCGCGCCAGCATGAGACAAAACTCAAGAAGATGCAGATGCTCGTGGACCAGAAGAAAGAGCTCGACGCAGCCATTCACGCTCTGCGCAAACCGAACCGCGAGCTCGTGGCCAAGGATATCGCCGAAGACGCCAGCAAACGACTGTCCACCGGCGGCGGCAGTTCACGAAAGCCGAAGAACCCAGTGCGCAACCCTCACGGCCAAGGCGTGCAGGTGGCCGCGACGCCCAAAGGCAGTCGTAAGAAAGACGCCATGGCAGACATGCCTCCTCTTCCCAAGAGTCTCTCCCAACCAGCCCTCATACCCCAGGGGTCTTCATCCTCTTCCCCGTTCACAAGCGAGCCGCAAATTGTCCCCGGCTCTAATATCCGACCCAGCTCAAATTCAGGGCTCTTCCGATCTGCCGACGACGGGGCGATCCAGGAAACGCCCACGCGGCGACCAACGCAGCCTCTATCATCAGCTGATATCGGCGCGTCGCCAAAGAGAAAAATATCAGGACCCCTTTTCCGCGTCCCCAGCAAGCCGGCCCCGGCCCCAACTTCAGTCCCTGCCCCCGTTCCTCCTGTCTTTCGGACCACTGAAAAGGGTCCAACCACGCCGATCGCAGCCCGACACGTGGACGCCTATATGCCCCGAGTCAAGTCCATCGGCTCCAGCAAGCCGTCCATGATCATGGAAACGCCTCCGAAACCGGCCATGGCCCCTATTTTTTCGATTCCTTCTGCTCCTGTGATTGCGGAAACTGCAGCCGCGGAGCCGGCAGCAGTGGCAGGGACACCTGTGAAGGGTGCTACTACTGCGACCACAACCACGATTACTACTACCCCGGCTAAAGCCAATGTCTTTGCTACGCCTGTGAAGGGTACAAGTGCCGCGCGACTAGCCGTGCCGACGACTGCGGCTGCGGCTGTGCCTGCGACGCCGGAGAAATCGATCTACGCACAGTTGGGGTGGGATGATGATGATGATGACTTAGCATAGTGGCGTTTACATGTTATATCTTCTTGTGCCGTTTTGAATAGTGTGGGTTAGCGGGCGTTGAACATATGAATTAGTACTTAGAACATACATACCCTGAGATGGCAAATTAGCTAGGTTAGTATTATGACAATCATCGAGTTAGAACATAAGCATAGTGACATATAGTGAGAAAAATACGCAATTAAATCATCCAGTATGCAATACACTCCCCAGAAAACAAAGTACGAACCCATCTATTTACCCCAACAGGTAATCAGTACTTCCCACATAGTGATAATGATCATGATAGTGATGATGATGATGACGATGTCGCCTCACGCCAATCCCTACCCTAATCATTACTAACAATCAAAAAACCAGACCCATAATCCGCTCGCGTTGGTGGCAACCCCAACAGAACTCAATTAGTTCGTTTAGAAAAGTACCTATGACTCATCAATCGTCATCAATGGCAAAAAAAAAAGACAGTGGTAGTATGATTTATGATGAAGTTGCAACTTTTTCGCCTCCATGATGAGGTAGATACAAGAATTGGGGGTGTCGTGTATGTCTTGTTCGCCTTACCTTCCTATCTTGGTACTGGGGTGCTTACCTTCCTGTTTTGGTGATGGGTGATGATATCGTGGTTGTGCATTGCAGGCGCAAGAAGTAGATCACGCCATGCTGGGTATGTACGTATGTATGTATGTATGTATGTTTGCTGGGCCGCGCCACGCGTTGCCACATCTCTTCCCTCTCTTTCTTCTTCATCATAGTAATAATCCTGGTGGTTTTTGTATGTATGTATGGTTGGGTATCAGAAATTACTGTAAAGTTAGTATGTGGTGAATGAGTGCCTGATGGTTGATAGTAGTTGGTATCACATGGGAGCTAGTACAGTATGATAAGTTGGTTTCTGGGGTTATGAGTGGTTGATTACTTGTTTTGACTGGTCGTAGATAAATTAATTAGTTAAGATGGCAGGTAAGGTAGACAGGAGGTAAGGTAAGGTATCGATGCTGCTGCTGATGCTGCTGATGCTGATGCAAATGCAGGTGCAGGGATACACCCCTGCAGGGTTACTATACGACTATGGAGTATTTACTGGGTTGGTTGCTAGGTTAGTTTGCTGCGGATTGATTAATCGGTTTGGTCTGCAGGGTGAAGATTGTAATTACTTGGTTGATTGGGTGAATTAGGATGTTATACGTGGCTATGTTATTTTTTTCCCTTACTTGTCAGGTAGGTGAATCTATAGTGTAGGTCTGGATGTTGAGATAATGGTATGATGTTGGCTGTTTTGATATATTGATCAATATTGATTTTAGACTTTTAACTAGATACATTGTTGGTAATCCGTTCCAAGGTTCCTTTCCTTTTTGCTTTCCCTTTCCTTATTCCTTCTAACATGGTTGAACTCCGATGATGATGTTATGATGATGATAGTGATACTGATTAAACCTTCGCACCAACTCCAAGCTAGCAAAGTAAAACCAATGAGTGAGTCGCTTGTTGACTCCGCCAAGTATGTATGAGCGAATGAGATTAAAACGGTAGGAGATTCGTAATTTCGTTGACATCGTGAAGGAGGATTATTAGAATTATGTGATGTTCGGTGTGGTGTTTGAAGTTGGTGGTAGGTGTTGTAGAAATGAGATGGGATGTGGCGAAGAGATGAGAATGTCGATGAGGTAGAATGAAATGTGTCGCATCATAGCGACGTTTAGCCGGCAATGCGCACAGGCAGGCACTGGCCGGGAGAAGGCCAGAAGTTTTTCCTCTGGACGGTCTTCTCCAGACAATTGCGACCCTTCTCTAGGAGGCTCTCCTCCTTGTCTTCTTTGTCGGTAGATGTTTGAGGGGCCGATGCAGGAGCAGACACATGGAAGGTGACCTGAACAGTAGTCTTCTCAGGCTCCGAGGTCTTCTCAGCCGATTCGTTGTCCTTGGTAGAGGACTGGCGGTCCTGCTCCTCATCCTTGCGGTCCTCGGGACCCTTCTTGTCTTCATCGTCACGGTCCTCCTCCTCACTCTCGGACTCGTCGTCCTCCAGGTCGAACGAGTTGATGCGCGTCGACATGTCCTTCTGGGCCCATTCCATGGACATGCAGTGCAGACGGAAGTGACCAAGGCAGCGACGAATGTCCGGGTCGGGAGCGGTGGCCTCCCGGGCGAGTTTCTGACGGGACAGGGTGGTGAGTTTGTAGGAGAGGGAGGACCTGTCGGCCAGAGGGGGCCAGCGCTTATTCATGGAGGGGTTGTTGGAGGAGAGGGGAGACGAGGAGGGCTTTTTGGGCATGATATCGATGGCGGTGACAGCCATTGTGATGACAGTCTAGTAGTCTAATTGCTACTGAGATGGTATGAATGGGTTGAAGTGTTGGTGATGAGTCAAGTCAATTGAGGCAATTGCTTATAGGATGGATGGATAGATGGGAGTAGTGGGTGGTTGATAGATATACGGCGCAGAAATAGTAATAGGCAGTCAGCCGGAGAAGAAGTGGGAGCGACTGCCCAGTGGAGGAGGGGGTGAAGGTTTGGGGAAATCAGAATCTGGAGGGGGAAGAGGGAGGAGAAGAGGAAGGTTAAGAAGAAACGAGTGGAGGGGAGAAAAAAGGCTTAAGGGGGAAAGAGAGTGAAGAGTTGGAAAGGTTGGGTTTTGGCTGGATCGTGACCGACGGAACACCCAAAAGAGCAATCCGTCCTGGTGACCATCTGATCTGGCAGATTCTGCAAGCGGTTGATCCCCGGGTCTAGACTCGTACCACGATTTAGTTACTACTTGTACTGCGTACTGCCTGTATCGGTCAGTCCCTCAGTCAGTCCACCTTGGCTGCCCACGCTGTCCCTCTCGTTTTCTCTCTTTTTTCATCTCCCCTCATCTCGTGATGATTCTATGATGGGATGACTTTTCCTTTGAATTATGTATCGCTTAACTTTGTTTTCTACTTTTACATCAATCATAATTTAACCTTTCCGGGGGAGGGAGGGGGGAGACCGCATTTGATAGGTAAGAAGATTCTGGTATGTGACCGAAAGGGAATGAGAGGGAGGAGCCAAGTCCCAGTCAGCCCGAGTGTACAGTAAGCCCCCCCCAGGACGTTACCAGGGAGAAAAAGAGAAGAGCAGGACAGAAATTTAAAAAAGAAAAGGGCCTCGACTCGACTCCACTGGCAAAACTGGTCGGGCAGCTGACCTCGCCAGTGGGTCCGGGTCTGACGGCAATCCGTGGAATGTTCGACGCCGGGGGTCGTCCGCCCAGTCTGGCTGCCCTCACGATTCCTGGGAAATGCCCTCCGGTTTCTTTGCCATTCGCGGCCAGCAACTCCCTTTGTCGCAAACAGAGTTCAGTCCTCGTCTTTCCTTTCACTCTCCCACCACCTTTCTTTCCCCCCCGAATGAAACCCCCAACCAATCCCAGATCTCTCTTCATCGGTTCTCTCTGTCAGTTGGATGCAATACGGGTATTGCAAACGCGACCAAGCCATGTGCAGCTCCAGAAATCTGGAGACGAACACCCTACCAGTAGGAACGGTAAGGGATGGACAGGGCCTGTTACTCTGATTGGCCATGAGTTGCGGGGTCGTGGACCATCTGGGACTAGTGTGCATGCTATACACAGTAACACTAGACTACATTGGGGCTTAGCGTGGGCTTGGGCAGTTAGGGTTGCAGGGGAAACACTAGTCCGGATTAAGTGGATTTGAGGGCTGTGGACCGTGGAGTCGGAAACGCACATGATCACTCCTTTAGTATGGGGGATTGGAGCCCGGAGTAATTTATCCATTCCTTCGTAAGCAATAAACCGTCAATCTATTAAGGCGTGATCAGCTGGACACGCGTTGGTTTCAGATTCATCTGGCGACCTTCTAGTCTAATGCTGCCCCCCCTTCCCCGTCTCTCACCGACGAATCTTCTGTTCTCCCCTTCTTTCTCCTGAGCAACCGAGGGGACGGCAAAATTATTTCCGTTAGTCACCCGAGAGACGGGGAAACAGGAAGAGTCACCTTGAAACTAAACTATCTAAAAGCAAACTAATCAAACTTGGCTCTTCCTGGTGTAGCGGCTGAACTATCAACCTCGACCCTGACTAAGCTGTTTCCCTTTCCAAGGCCGAGAACCTGCCAGACCGGCGGCGGGCCATGATGTCAAAGACTTGCGGCCTCCAGTTGGTTTCCCTGGCACAATCCCTTCATGACTTCATCCATTGTTCATTGTGGAGGTCTCCTCCATTGACTTAACATGACACAATGACTTTCTGGTACAGCTTGAGCTTATCTCTGCTCTATTTCCCTTCCTACCACTGCCTCGCTCGCTGCTCTCGTACTTTTGCCCCGCCGTGGGTCGTTTAGCGGACGTGATAGCCTGCGACTGTGCGCGCTGCCCTTCCATAGTGGGAGTTGATCTATCAATAGTCGGGTGTCCAGGAGGGTCTCTGATATGATTACCCGCCGCCTACCTCGGTATTACGGAGAAGATTCGGAACTGCAACGGACATCCTCCAGCTCTTCTCCATCTGGGGTAGATAGCTTCGGGACTGAATTTCCCGACGACACAAGGTCAGTGACTCATAGTCCCGAAACCGGGGGAAACCTCTTCGCAAGAGACGAGTCAGGGTATCATGATAGCCGAGGGTTGGCCTATGCGCTTCCCATCAATGCCATTCTATCGAGTTACGGCCGGATACTGGTTACGTCCCGTTTGTTTCCGCCACTTGACCCCGGGAAATTCTCGTGGGTGATGACGGATGTCGTTCGTTTAAGCTCTCCTGATAACGGGGCTTCTGCTTCGTGGTGATTCTATTGGTCCTGCATCACAATAGCGTCGATCGTGAGGTGATTGTGTCATTCATCGGTGGTGCGTCGTCGATTCGCCTCTCCGAAACCAGTGGTCTTCGTCATGATGTTGGTGTCGAACCACGATATGTTGGTGTCGAACCACGATATGTTGCTGAAGTCATGGTGGACTTATCTGACGATTGCTCGGGCTAAAAGTCCTTTGCAATGAAGATTGCTAGTCGATTACCCATGTTCTGCTAACAAAGCGCAAAGGACTTGTTATATACACTGTGGATGTGGATGTCCTGACGTGGCTACAACGCGACAACCCGACGAGCCGTTCAGTGGTTCTGTGTTGACTTGTGACTTCAGTTGCTACGAGATCAGTCACTCAATGCAGAACCAGAAGTGCTGGTGGCTGAATGTCAGCAATGCGCGTCCTATGCTGTCATACTCCTAGACGCTAATATTGTTAGTCGATATCCAGACAACATCCAGCGCATAATTCTTGGCCTAGCTGAGCTGGTGAACACTGGAAAATATAGCTCTCAGCGCAAGCATCAAAAGTCCGTGCTTGGCGCATGTATCATATCAGTCATCCGTCATAGGCATCATAGGGTGGTACCCTCAGCAATTTGGTTTAGTTAACACCCGGTGTTTTTTCCGACGCTGATAAGGCTATCCTTCCGAATGGCACGAGAATAGGAGTAAACGTGTCTTGATTGGAAGTTGGACTTGTCAGTACGCGCGGATAAATTCACCCTGTCAATGTGCTCGGTCTGCAAATAACCGCAAGACCACGTGGCGTCCTCGCCCTTTACAGCCTGGCTAACATGATCGATTGTGTTGCCAAAATCCTTCTCACGTCCAGGTAGGACCGGCCTGTCCGTATGTGACCGCTTAGTTTAGCACGGAGATGCGAGCTACCTTCGCATTGGGCGCCGGGTAGAATTGCAGTGCAGTGAAGTCGTTCTATCTGACATCACGCCATATGGCATGATGGATTTACGAGTTTGGCCAATCAGTCAGATTCTCTCGTTCGGCCACGCCGAGAGCCTGCAGGACTTGCAATGGATTGCAGTTGAATGTTACCACTCCATCAGGCGCTTGCTTTCACTAACCCACTCAGTTTCATCGAATCTGGTATGCCGAGAAGGATGAGAATGCACATACCTCAGGTCATCGGACACTCCCGATAGTCAAAAGGTGGCATTTCATCCCTGCATTCCATCGTGCCCTATTCTCTATGATGTGACAACTTGTGTCCCGATCTCCTTGAACAATTTCCGAGCAGGAAAATCAAAATTTGTCTTATGGTGCAATGGAGGTGTACTGAAGCAATAATTGCAAGCACAGCTAACTGCACATTGTGGACTAAAAGGTAGGCAACTGCCCTCCTGCGCGTATATGCATATAGTGAGTTTCTGCCACTGCGTGGAGAATTATAGCCACCAGAGGGAGACGATCTTCTAGAACCTATCCTCTTAGCCACTTGAATTGCACTCCATAATAGTCACTCGAGATTCCATTAACATGACCTTAACCAAGCTATCATCATCACTTCTGCGCAAGTATTGCCGATGAGATACAATGGAGCTTACGGTGCTACAGTGTTCGATTTTGACTAGTCTGAGTCGAAGGACAAACATTATGGTATTACTGGTGGGGCTATGCTTGCTCTGCTTCGATAAAGAGCAATATGAGACCAGATCTTCCATGATTAACACCGTTTACTCCGTGGTCCCAGCAGAACAACATCTATTTCGAGATATACAACCATTTCATAGACTAGTTGTACACGATATAGCTCTAGGCATAAATTAGTGGATAAGAGTTTGACGGGCCTGTCAGTCGCAATGAGGCCCAACAACTAGCGTTGGACATGCTACACACCTACCTAACTGCATCCTACTTACTGTCGTCCGAATTCTGGAATACCATCACTATAATTAAAACTCTACATTGTCTGCTAGGCTTCTTGTTGAATGGACCTCTGCTACACACTCTTTGGTATAAAGGATCAAGTACCCGGGTTTATAACTTCCTTCGATCTAGATAGTTCCTAAAAGGTTAACCGATTTGAGGGACGGGTCCTTCGGTTCGTGAATCAGCTGGTCTCAACATAGTGAATCCACATGCACAGTATCAAAATACCTAGACAGATCAGTATTTACAGAGATAGTAACAAACCAATCGAATATCATAAGTGTCCAACAAATAGATCTACTACCCCGAAAATTTCGCACAGATAGTAATCGGTTGTTGCTTTGCACGATCATTAAAGTGGCAAACGGTCCCCTCTCACCCTTGGTTCTCTCTACCAGATATACTTAACTTGAGCTTGACCTTAATCAAACGTAAGTGAACGATGCCTACTACTTGCCACATAACCCTCTATCATGATACATATCTCTAGCATCCTAATATACTCAGTATCATATGGTATATATAAGTACAAAACTACTACCATACACACCTACGCCTACAGCATCTAAGCTAAACCTTCCAGAAGTTCTATATAGTACTGATCACCAAGTAACAACCAACCCACATACAAGATGACCACGTCACATTCACCATCACCACAAATCCGACAAGAACCCACCACTCACTTCTATCCATCTCCATCTCCATCTCCTCCCGAGTCGAACAACCAGCATCATGGTAGCATCGAAAACCATCTCGACCGCTACGAGAAAACCACCTCATTATCAGGAACCATCAACATCACCGTCGAATCCCCTTCCTCTTCCTCCCACGACGAGGTGAACTCGAAATCCACTTGGTCGAGATCTTATCATGACTAATTAAGGGATATAATGTCTGATGAGTTGTTCGACTGATTGATAGTTCTACTAAAGTCCAGTTGAGTCTCCGATGGCGTTATTAAATAGCTATGTGGAATTCTTCATGATCGAGATATACGTGGTATCTTTTTCAAGAAAAAACTACCTTTGTATTTGTTACGCTACTGCGTGTATATTGATAAACGGACTTTATAGAAAAACCCCCAGAAATGCAGCAATCTCTATTACAAGATGTTGGGTGTAGAGGCAGTGGTGGGGAGGGTTTATTAATGATAATCATATTCTATGACCTCTTTCATTCCTGTCTAGTACTAGATGTATGTCCAGTCATCCTGCCTCCGGTATAGTCTAGACTATTATGGCCGCAGGATTTGGATCTACCTATTACTCTGTTATAAGAAATGAATGGGACCTCCTGTTAGAATTCTTCTTCTGTTTCAGCCAGGGTGAAGATCATTATACCACACCCTGGTCACTGGATCTAGTATCTAGTACTTACTATTAGCATTCATCGCTATTGTTCTTCATTAGAATCAAGTACTAGTTGTCCTTTCCATGGTTCCTTCTGCTATGTGTATTGTACTGTGAAGTTCGGTTTGTAGTAGGGTATGTATCTACTAGATTATTTGTCTTGGATAGGTAACATAAATATGAAGGAACGAGGGCTATGCTGTGCTATGCTGTGCTGCATTGTAGAGGGCTCTGTGTAATGCTATGGATTGTTTGGTACATAGTAGTAAATAGAGGGTTTAATCTGTGTTAGGATGGGTTGGGTATGTGTGTAACCGGGGTCAGGTAGTGGTCAACCCCCCTTCGGTCGAGTCACCGGGTTTTGCTAATTAGTATAGTAAATATACTATAATAATTCAGTTGGTATTATTGAGCTGGTTATCGAGGGTAGTCAACTACAGGCATGAGGTGACAATCGATATCGACTGTAGCAGATAATGCACTGGAGTATATTACTATCGTAGTTTCACTCGGACTAGCATCTGCAGGTGGAGCTATGGCAAAGCAAAGTGTCCTGCTGATGACATGCAGAAGGCCCATTCCTTGTCTGGAGGGACTTGGCTGGGCTTGGCGTGATGCAGCTTGGTCTGCCTGTTCTTGATTCGAACGTTACTACTCGACTGCTAGTGTACGTTGATTCCCCTACATGTTTCCTGTCCTTGTTAGTGCAAAGCGACGAAGGTGACGCTGCATGCAAACGGGAAAGCTTGAATTGAGCCGACCCGTGTTTAGGTCGATTTCTATGGCAGCAGCGGGGCGGGTTATAGCAGGAGGAGCTTGATATTAACAGATGATGGCTGCATATTTACGTACTAGAAGATGTTCGTTCGTGAGGATTGAGGTTTGGACTGGACGGCTATGCATGGTTCCCGAAGTGATGGTCATGGGTAGGAGATCTGGGGTTTGTAATGGTTGGGTTTCTGGTTCGAGTCAGTGTTCTTTCTACATTATCTACTTGCTCTCTACAGGGTATAGAGTACGTACTTTTTGCCACTTTGAAGGAATTGAATTGTAAGCGAGTGGCAGAGAGCCTCGGTAGGGGTGGGGATGGACATGGGAGATGCTTTGGTTAGCTTCGAACCTTGTTGATATGTATGTAGTATGCATCAAAACAATTCATCTCCACTGATAGCACGCAAGTAAGTAAGTTTGCCATCCTACGAAAGATGATGCATCTGGCCCCAGTATGGATGAAGGTTGGCCCCGGAAGGCAGAGGAAGGAAGTGAATCCATTGAATACTGACTGAACGGTAAAGTTACGGTCGGCATGACGCACGGTCCCTGATCGACCCTAGCGCCCGCGCTCGTGACCTTCCAGTCCGACTGGGTCATCTGCCCTTTGCTTTTCCCCCTCCACCACTCTCCGTGCCTCGTGGCCCCAACAAACACTGGAAGCCACAGGAATGATGACAGTTCCTGAGCAATGACCGTTCAGTCTCAGCAGTCTCAGCACGGGAAGGACTGAATTCCTGGAGTCGATCCATGGTCGGCTACAAGCCCTCGTTCAATGCGCATTATCAAATGTAACCGTTGTGGTCGGAGATGACTTGACTCCGGCCTGGGATTGTTCCGATTGCATTCTGCATGACTGGCGTAACCCTACCGAATGAGTCAAGAAAGATAAACAAAAAGTATACCAGTTTGTTGCCTCGTTCTGCTGATGATCACGCAGGAGTTCCTGGACACAACAGCAACAGGGCCCCTAACTATCTCCACTGCTTGCTTACTGGCGCTGGATGTGCTCGAGCTCTCCGGCCAGTCGTTTCCCAAATAGACGAACTCAACATGGAGCTGTCCAGGGAAAAAGCTTTCGCCCCGGTTGCACAAAGCCTAAATATAACAGCAATTGCAGACCGGGGCCTCCCTTCCTCTGAGGCTGTTTTCCGTTTTGCTGTTGGTTAATGGCTGCCTCGTTGGGGGTTTCATCTGGGGAGGCTTGCGCTTACTTCGTGCAGACGGGAGTATGCATCAACACTCTCTGGTATCTGGGAGGGAAAACACCATCAATGTTTTCTGTAGGAATGAGATATTCCACAAGCCTGATCGCCACGGGAATATGACCACATCCCCATTCATCTGGGGGAGTCATTCGAAGGTACCTCAACAGCCCTGAGCATGAGATGATTCGTCACCGGGCCAGATACCAGGCAGTGACAATACCTGACGGGACCGGACAGACTTTGGCTCGAGGCAATCAAAAGCGAGGAGAAGCGCCTGTCTGGTGATTGGTCCTGAACGGGAATGGCGCCAGATGCCATCAGAGACCCTTGCCCAATCAGGAAACTCTGCCTGTTTCTCTCCCTTCGAGTCACTATCGTAGAGCTGCCGGAATAGTCTTGGGAAGAGATCTCATCAGCCTGGAGAAGACTACTAGACACTAGAGACTAGATAGAGTACTACTGTGTATGCAGCAGGAAATCCATACTCCCCATCGGCAGTCCGGCTCAACGTTTGTCTGTATGTAATTCAAGTCTGGGGAGAACTGAGTGAGTGAATGACTGTCTGACCCGGTGGATCTTCCTCATCCCTCATCCAGAAAGCCTAGAAGGTACCAACCCCAAGTAGGTATATACATATACACAACAGATTCCTTTTGCTGCTCTCCTCTCTTTTCTTCTGCCCCTCTCCTGCCCTTTTTCTTCACCTCGCGCGCTCAAGTACGCTTGCACCCCCCCTTCCATCTGACGAGTCATTCCCTCCGAATTTCGGCCCCTCCATCATCCTCATCCATCAAGCCACTCAAGGATTAGATAGGTGACCCCCGCAGGGTTCTACCTTCGTCGACCGGGGAGGGGATCTTCCGGGCGATCCAGTTGTCCTTTTTAGTAAGTCCAAAGGAGTTGCGTGGTGGTCGACGGGGTTGGTCTTCTTGCAGACAGCCAGACAAAGGCTTGAACTCCCGTCTAACCTCGGAACAAAACGTGCAGCATTCGAAAGGCTGGTACTAGTCTGCCTGGAACTGACCAAAGAGCAGAACCGAAATCCTTCATCCTCCGGCTGTCGCTGACGATTGGCAGCCCTGACGATAGCAGTTGGCCCGGTGTGCTTCATTATTCGTCCACGCCGCGCAGCCTTCTTCAGTTCTGTCTCTCTCTCTGCCAGGTTTGGCACCGCGTATCCGCAGCGCATCTACTACCGACACCCACTAGGAAACCAGCCTATTCGGGTAATTTTCATGTGCTTTTATTCCAGTTACTCTAAAGTCCGGCCAATCAATCCAGGGCCAACCAACTTCCCGCCATCCCCGGAAAGCAGCTTGATAGTTAATTTCAATTCAGCGCTGCCTTTGCTATCGCGCCTCGTGTGTGGTCTGCTGCTGTGCCCACGCCGTTGCAGTCCAGTCCAGTCCAGAAGAATTTAGATCGAATCAGTCGGACATACAGAGAGGTTCGGGTTGCGGAACTCTATCACCGAGGCTGACTACCTTTCCGTATTTACTATCGCCTATTTTTGCTCTCGGCCCCAGCGGCGGCTGTCTCCGGCTCTCGATCCAAGGATTGCCCCGCTCTGGTTCTCAGTTCCAGCCAGCGAGACAAATTATTGTGAATGAGATTATTGTTGTTGTTGAGATATATTGCTTTTTTTCGGGTGGATTCTAGGCTGCCTGAGCCGGACTAATATCAGGATTCCTCACTCTACGCAGGGCGCTCCGTAACATTCCCCTGCCGTTTCAGTTTTGCCGGTGATTGTTTCCACAGGCAAAATCGCTCATTGGAGGAACATATTACCTGAAGCTCTAATACTAGGACATTCCCCGGTCGGGATTCCATCATCCTAGGCTTAACCGCGCCATCGATCGCGATCTGTTCCACTGTGTACACAGTCCCGTTATCAGCAGCAGTAGCAGCAGCAGCAGCAACACTCAGCCTTTCCTTTCGCTGCAGTTGCGTACTCGGGCCGCTTCTCAGTGCACTCCGATTCGTCTTCGTCGCGAGTATTTTCCGCGAGTCTGAAGGCTCTTTTTCTTGGTCTTTCTTGTTTTTGTTGCCTTTTACTTAGTTTTAAATTTCAGCAACACTGCAGCTGCCGAGCTGCCATCAAATCGGAGGATCGGGGCGCCAGACGTGCAGGGGTCCAGTCCAGTGTCGCCTGGACTATCTTCCGACTAAGTTGCTTGGTCCTCCGGACGTGCGTCCGCGCTACCCGGCCATCCACTATCCACATGCCGGCCGCATCGCGAAGCAGCAGCAGCAGCAGTAGTAGTATCTGGGATCAGCTAACGAGATCGAGCTTGGACTCGGGAGGTCTGGGAGTCAGTCCGTCGGTCTGTGAGTGAGTCGGTCAAAGGACGACGGGGTGTTGATCGTCGTTGCTGCTGTGTGGAAGATTCGTGAAGAATTCTGTAAGTGATTGGATCCTGGGGTTCTTGCGCTTCTTTATCTCCTATTATTGTTGTTTCTTTCCGTTGATCTCATCTATTATTTTTTTTTCTGTCTCTTTCATCTTACGCGAATCTGCATCTGTTGTGTTTCGGCGGTCTTGCGGCGACGATCCCCGATTTGGACTGGGAACATATCGTGACTCGAGCAGAGGCAACCAATCAGAAGCTGCGTGGCGCCGCCTCCCGCCTTCTTTCCCCTCCCCAGTTTTGGATTTCCTATCGCCCGGTGTTTCCACTCCGGGATTATTGCCTGGCGCTGTTCCCCCTCCCTTTCTTTGCTTTCTTGTGTTTCCCTCTCTCTCTCTCGCTCGCTCTTCGAATCAATCGAAGACTCTCCCGTTCCCTTCACCAAATCCTTCCCTCCTCCACCCACCTTTCCTTTTCCTACACCCACTCCTACTCTCTCCACCCCCTCCCCTTCTCGAACTAAATCCTTCTTTCACTTTTCCTTTCATCATCATCATCATCATCAATCATCATCATCCCATCCCATCCGTCCTCTCCATCTCTTGTCACTGCTTTCTAATTTTCCTGGTGCGCCTCTCTCTCTTCCCCCTCCCCCCCCTCCATTTCCCCTTGCCAGTCGTGTACTCCAACTTCTTCCCCACCCCACTGCTCTGCCCTGCCCTGTCCGTTGTGGTTCTAACCCAATCGACAACTGCGACCCGGTCTGGCACACGCACGCACACCCCCCCCTCCCCTCCTCTCACATTCACTCACATACTACTCACATACACACACACCTCATTACCCACGCACACACCACAGACTCACAGGCGGCCGGTCACACATAGCTTAACTCCCCCCGTCAACGGTCCCCACTGATCGGTTCCATCGGCGGCACGCTGTGAATCATCCACTGCCCATCTCCCTGTCTCCGGCATAGTAACCGCCCGCTGCTAGTTCTCCTTAGTGGGTGACGCTGCTTTTCTGCAGACAGGGAACCTTGGGATACCCGATCGATTGTGGAGGGGACCAGAAAGGAGGAGGAGGAGCAGTTCACAGCCTCATGTGGCGGCGTCGGTGGCCTTCCCTCACCAGCCACATTCACTCTTATCCATACAATTCCCCCATAACATTGTGCTTCCTCTGCAGCTTATCGGCTTGTACCTTGTTCGGCTTTGTGCCTGGTCTCACCGATTTGTTCTAAAGTGGTGACTGTGTTTGTTCACTTTTGTCGCTTCCCTGCTCTGGATTCGTCTAGATTTGTTCTTTTCCGACCGTGCGCTGCCTGTCTGTCTGCTGGTCATTCATTCATCCATCTCCCATCAATTTCCATTATCCCCTCTCACCGCCTTCGTGATCTGAACTTCGCTTCCCCCCAAACCATCACCACCCCAGTCTGCAAAGCACCGATTTGCTCAAACCTTTCCGCTGATCCGCTTCCTGCCACCTACCAGTCAAATTCCCACTGCATGCGAGCCGTGGTCCGTCCACCTTCATCTGTCCGAGGATCACTTGCATCGTCGCAGTTTCGCCCTCCATCATCGCAATAGCCAACCAGGTCGCCATCTTCTTCCTTCCCCCCTCCCGTTTTGGCATCCTGATCTTCTTCGCGTTTCTCTAACGCGCCCGCAACCTTGCGACGGTGCCCTCCACCATCACCACCACCCACCACACCACACCACCACCTTTCCCGTCCTTCCTTGGCCCGCCATGTACAGCACTCCTCAATCTTCTGTTCCCGCTCCGATGAATGGCATCGGAGGGGAGCTCGTTGATGGGTCGGGGACAATCAATCCCGCTGCCCTGAACAATGGTATGTGACTGATTTGCTTTCCCTCCTTCCCTTCGTCGCTTCGTCTGTTCGCCTGTTTGTGTCCCCGCTTGCTTGCTTTGTGTTCAGTTCCTTTCCACTATCCCCCCTCCCCCTTGTTTCGTTTCTTTCATTCTTTTTCTTTTTCCCTTTCCCACATCAGTTTTCCCTATTCGCCGCCGCGCTTTTAACGGTGGACCTTGTCTGTCGCCGCTCATGGAGGCTCAAAAAATATCTTTCTATCTCTCTTGCTTGTCCATCGTGACAGCCTCCAAACTGACGGCCTTCTACTAGTCGCCGTAGTGCTTCCTACCCCAACAACATATGGTGGCATTGCGACCCCAACGAGTATAGCTCCTCGTGGTGTGAAGCGAAGTCGAACCCCAGACCAGCGCGGGAATGCACGCGCGGATGGAGACCATGACGACGGTATGTGTGCGTCGGAGTCCTCTTACGATTCGCTTCGTGGAATTCCGGAAGCGTGGGAGTTTCTTGGCATTCGCGTTCCCTCGCACGTTGTTGTTGTTGCTATCTAAATGTCGCGCTTTTGCTTTTTGCTACCCTTCCGTCCACGTGCATGTATAACATTGCCTGGCGATCAAGATGGCTGACGCGTGGACCACTTCGGTCAAAGCAACAGATGAACAGGGCCGTCGGAAACGAGGCCGTCCCCCAAAGACTCCGCGTCCGTCTGCGACAACCCCCAGCGATCAGACTTCCAATGTTCACCTCCAGACGCCCCGGTTGCAGACCCAGCCTCTGCCGGCGCAAGCTGCCGTCAATGTATCACCTCCGCAGGCTTCTCCCCCGGATAAAACGACGCCGACCAAGTCTACGCTCGTCAAGGCCCTACCCACCGTTAGGGATCATACGACAGACCAGCTTAATGAAGAAGGCGACGAATACATCCCCAAGGAATTCGATGACGCTGGTGAAAAGAAGGTTGATGCCATGGGCTACCCTCAAGGAGGCCGAGAGTACAAGTGTCGCACGTTCCGCGTTCCTCTGCGTGGGAATAAGCTTTTCATGCTTGCGACCGAATGCGCAAGGGTGCTGGGCTATCGCGACTCGTATCTCTTGTTCAACAAGAACCGGTCGCTGCACAAGATCATCGCGAGTCAGATCGAGAAGGATGATCTCATTCAGCAGGACATCCTGCCCTACTCGTATCGTTCGCGCCAGATTGCTATCGTGACGGCCAAGTCGATGTTCCGTCAGTTCGGCAGCCGCGTGATTGTCAATGGGCGACGCGTCCGCGACGACTACTGGGAGAGCAAAGCACGGAAACAAGGATTCACCGAGGATGATTTGGCTGGTGAGAAACGACCCGGCGGCGCGAAAGCCCGGGATGCGGCGGCAGCAGAAGCGGCGGGCGCAGCGAACTTTCTACCCACCCTAACCCATGGCGATGTCATCTACAGCAATGCGCTGGAATCGGTGCCTGGTAGCTTGCCTGTCGGCCCCCCATCCTCGGTTTCCCTTGCGCCACCGCTCCCTATGATCCATATGGCCACCACCACCGATGATCCCCGGCTGCGGGAGTATAACAGTATGCCTCGCCCGCGTCAGGAATTGACCGGCCAGCCTTTCCAGGATCGCATTCAGCCCAGCTCGGCCGCTGAAATACTTAACCAGGCTTCACACACGGCCGAGTTCAACAAGATTCTAACGTCACAACGGAGTTATCGCCAGAAGGGCCTGGACGACTTTTACGCAAAGCAACGGGAGGTACCCGTTTCTGCAGCACAGTCACAGCCTGGCCAATTGGATTCGACACCATCCGTGTCACAGCCCTTGCAGTCCCCACAGATGGCCTCCACGGGAATGATGAACGCGGCTCAGTCGCAGCAGCCCATGCTTTCCCATCAGGCACCGATTATGTCTGGCCAGGCCGGTTTTCAGCCACCAGCGGCTCATCAGCAGCCGCCTGTTGCACAGTCCCCTGTTCGGGGCGTACCCCCGGTCCGGCCCGAGTTGATGCACCAAAGATCTAACCCTGCCATGGCTGCCGGGACGCCTCAGCCCCCTGGCCCTTATGGATATCCCTCCCAAGCGCAGCAGATGTGGGGTCAACCACCACCTCAGCCGCAACCATCTCCGCTCTCTGCCGCTGGACCTCAGGGCGTCGGCATGCCCCAGTTCCCGTCGCAGTTACATACGCAACAATCACCCTCGCCACTCGCACACTCCATGCCGCAGCAGCAACAGCAGCAGCAGCAGCATTCGCAATCTCCTCGGAATCACCCCCGACCTTCGGCGCCGCCGATGCCTCAGACTTTCCCCATGCATCCTCAGCAGGCGCCTCAACAGCAGCCCATGGCATCCATGGGATTCCCTGGTGTCACGGCTGCGCCGTACCCAGCAGTGACTGCCGCCAGAGGCATGTATCCTTCGACGCAGGGTCCGGGTGGTCAACAGTTTATGGCGGGCACTCCCCAGCAGCCTGGTTTGGCCATGGGAATGAGCGCCGGCGGTGCTATGCCGGGATGGCCTCCGGCTGGCCCCATGCAGCCCGGTCATCCGCAACCAGGCCAGTCCGGCACTCCTCTGGGATGGTCCGGTTACTAGAATGAAGCAAAGTGAGATGGCGATGGCCGGCATAATCCAAATTCGGCGTTTGCGGGGATCTGGTGATGTTGATCTACGGAAAAGAGACACGCCCGTTTTGACTTGTTATCTTCATTTCATCTTTCTTATACCGTGGATCCTGGATCCATTTGCTTTGAGAACGGTTACCTCGCATCTTCCCGTCATACCCTTTTCATTGATGCTGTATATTATCCTTGTCTCAAGGATGATGGCTAATGATAATCTGCACGCGTTTTCTTCTTATACCCTCTGTTATACCCGGTCAGTTATGTATGTGTTGTCGTTGATGTTTTCCGCCCTTGACTTGTTGTTTCGTCGGGAGGCTTTGAAGAATGTTGTTCGATGTGCAGTTACGAGTGTTGTTGCGATTGTGCATTTTTCATATGTCCATGATAGAGGGACGGTCAGATGGTATGGCGGTGAATGTTTCGTTTTGTTTGGGTCGGCGTATTACAACAGCCCATGTTTGCAGTTATCATTCTTCCGTGTCTTCTATTTTCAACGTCCTTGAGCATCGGGAATCTTTCTATTTGCACTTCCCTACTTTCTGCGACACCCCACTGCTGTTACATTTTGGGTACTCTTCACTATTACTCCTGGCTTCTACATTTCATTTTCTACACATGGAACCACACCCCTCTTGTCCAGTTGCTGCTATCGTGATACTCTCGATGCTGTCTTTATGCTCTTTATATGCAGATCAAACACGGTTGCACACTGGGGGCTCCTAATTTGACCAAACCCTCAACAACCACAATTCCTCCCTTTTGCCTTTGTAGTTGAACCGTATAAGCTTCAATTTTTTTCAGTGATGGCTCCTACTATATACACCTGATTGTAAAATACAAACCAGTCCAGTCATAAGAATGAGTGACTCTATATACACATTGTTCAATTCAGTGATTACAATCCCCCCCTATACCACCCCATCCCCTACCACCAAATAACACTAATAAGCAACCGTCACCAACGGCGTTGTCACCGGCGCTGCCGAAGACGCACACACGCACCCCGAACTAACAGAAGTAACCGGCGGCGCCGTACAATGCGCACTCGTCGTCCAAGAAACCGTCCCCGTAACCGTTGGCTCAACCTCACTATCCCCCACAATCTCCCCCTTCACCAGCACAGGAATCACCGCACCGGTCCTGAGCCCAAAAACCCTATGTCCAACGACCCTCAACAAACTCGCTATCTCCCCGGAATGACTCGTCACACTCACAAACACCCCATTCTTCTCCTCCCCAAACACATCATCCAACGCCCTCCGACTCCTCACATCCTGCGCCGCGCTCGTCTCCCCAGTCACTCCATTCCATAACTCATCGTCTTCAGCGAACCCCTTCTCGAAGGGCCATGTAGGGAACACGGAATGGATGTGACTTGCGTTGTGACGATGATCGCACGTATGAATGGATATACTCTCCCGGAAGAATTCCTTTATTTCTGGGATGAATGGAGTTCCCAAGGATAGGTCCGAGAATGTGATATTCGCTGTGCGGAGCGCCCGAAGCAGTGGGCTAACGAAGTAACTATCCGGTGTGTGGATGCGCTGCGCGCTTATCTGGATGTTCCAGAAATCGTGCGCGATTTGCGCTTGTTGGATCCCTGTCGGGGTGAGGTCTGCGTCCAGCCAGGTGGTGGTTCCGTTGCCGGTTAGGAGGGACCAGTAGCACTAGGACATACGTACGTAGTTAGTTTGGGTGGGAGTGCGGGGAAGAGGGTGTGGGGAGAGGAGGGGGGGCTTACATTCCAAGCAGGCGTGCCGTAGTAATCTTCCGCGGCGTTGTGGTATCCTTCACCGTGGCGGCCGAGGAAGAGGACTTTGTATGCGACGTTGGAGGGGGAGTTGTGGTTTAGGGAGAGGACGTAGTGGTAGAAGCGTTCCCATTGGGTTAGGTCTTGGTGGTGGTTGTGGGTGTTGTCGGAGGGGTAGGTGCGGTTGATGAGGCCGAAGTTGGTGGTTGTCTAGTTAATAGTCCGGGAAGGAAAGGTTAGTGGGTTGTGGGGAGAGGGAATGGAAATGGAGGCAGGAGGATTATGTGTTATCTTACATAGTCGAAGGTGGATGCATCGGTGGAGTCCTCGTCTTGGAGGAAGTAGCCGGTCACGGTGGTGTAGTTGATGTAGGAGGCTTGGGCGGTGGCTGTGAGAGCCAGGGCGAGAGGTGTAAGACTGGAGAGCTTCATTGTGGGAAGATGTTCTCTGTAGAGGATGAAGTGCTTCCCGCTGTGGGATAGTAGAGCATCTGGTGATAAGCACCGTTATATAGCTCAAGGTGGAGAGCCGACATGTCTGCTGCATGGAATCTTTGCCGATGAAGGCGTTATTGGCAGATGGCTCAAGGCCTACCAGCGCCGCACGTGCAAGGGTGGTCGGAGCAGCTAACCTGCTTGAGGACCAGCCAAGACATTCTACAAATTACTTGAGTCAAGAAAAGGTATAATTCCAGTGAATGCGAGACAGACAATGCTTTTCCAGTCATTGCCCATCCCCTATTAGTTGTATTACAGTATGTAGTAGTGGTGGTAATATGGCAGTAGATACGTGACCCAAACAGAGCCTCCAGTAAGTCCAAGAAATGAAAGAAAAGAAAAAGCAGCCGCTTCCCAAAGCCCACATGCTATATATCCAAAATAATATTCAAACATGTTCAAATCCCCAACCCTGAAGGAACCAGATCGCAGACCGGGGTAGACGCCAAAAAGAGAGACACCAACACGAATGCATAAGAACAACACAAGCCCTGGGATATATATAGGAGTCCCACGTGAAGCAACACTGAAATGCCAAGAAGAGCAGAGGTCCACTCTGGTATTAGAGACCACGGTCGAGAAGCCGGGAATCGTGAAGAAGGTAGAGGGTAGTTATATTACAGGCCCACCGAGAAACATTGACTGGCGAAAGGAATGGTACGTGCACAAATTAGATGGGTTGGTTGGTGCCGTGTGGCGCTCAAAAGTCGTTCGGTGTTTGATTGTTGAACGTATAGGCTTTAGGCTTCTGCGACGGAAGCTGCTGTGCAACAAATCGGTGAGCTTCCTGCTGCTCCGGAAACTCGTAGATGTGGAACTCCGTTTGCTTCGAATCCCCACAGAAAGCAGCCGACGTCGGCATGTCGACGTCACTCGTGTGATAAACGAGGGATGGAGACCCTGTCACGGGGACATGGTCAGCCCCCTGTTCCATCGCCTGCTCATACGACATCGTTGTCAGATCCGCCTGTGGAAGTTGACAGGGACTCTGAAAGGATGCTTCAGGCGACGGCATTGACGTGGCATCAGTCCAGCTTCTGCCAGTCAAGGGAGCTTCGCAGGAGGCATAATCGGCAAATGACGTGTAATGGGCAGGGGCAGACATCGGAGGGGCAACACCCTGGTACGGGTAGGAAGAGAGCACATCCACGGCCAAGGGAGTCGCGGGAGGTGATGCAATGTTGATCTGCATCGGCTGTGTGGTAGGGAACAATTGGCTGGTCGGTTGCGCCGACAGGCAGTAGCCACCATCGCTGGGAGTGGTCGGGAGCAGATGGTGCAGATCTTCCGGCGTCAAGGGTGTTGGTGGCGCCAACCCCCCTGTCGTAACCGCCGGTTGTAGCATGGACGACATGTCAGCCTTGGAGCCCAGAGCCCCGGCCTCTGCAAAAGTAGATAAATTGAGAGGTGAACGCTGAGCTGCAGACGCCTTCCTGACACCTGCATATCGGGAGTTTAGACCCTGCGCGGACTTGGATTGCCTCACGGCATGGCCGTTGCCGTAGCTTGGGAGCCTCGTGGAGGGTGACATGGTGGAGGATCCCGTCAACATGGAGGACGATCGCGAGGTGCCAATGGCAGCAGGCCTCGGGCGCTTTCTCCGGGCCGCAAGGTCAAGTTCCTTGCTGGGTTCCTTCCAGGATGAACGGTCGCCTTCATTCACAAGCTGCGAGCTGGGATGCGTGTTGATGCCAATCCCTTCCAATGTGTCGGCCAGCTCGTCAGAAGAGCCTCGCCTGGGCAATGACAGATCTTGTTGCAGAGGGTATTGCACACCATTGTAGGAAACCTCAGCATCACTGGCCGAGCGGTAACCAGAAAGAGACTTTGACGTCTGAAGCGGGTGGGACCAGTCCTCGTTCTGGGAGGGGTGGAACTGTACGTTTTGCATTGAGTCGTGGCCGGCGTCATGTTGAGTGCCGTCCATGCCGGGAATCGTCAGCGACTCTCCCGACGTCACATACCCAAGAGCACCCTGAGAACTCTGTGACGTCCACGAGATGGCATTCTGTGAGAAAGAAGAGCTGAGGTCACCCTGTCCATGTCTGCTGCTATCGTGGCTGCCGCAGCGGTTGTTGGAAAAGGTTGTGGTCGGCGACACTGACCCATCCATGCTGGGAGATTGGCTGTTTTCGCCGTCCTGGCCATACCGGTCACGAGCAGCAACAGCAGCATTCAACGCCCGTTGCAGGGAAGCAAAGGTAGCCTCCCGTGCCGACTCGCTTCTGGTCTTCTGGTGCTTAGGCCGCGAGGACGAAGGAGCCGGCGTTTTTGTGCGCTCGGCGGTGTTCTCCACTGATTGTTTGGGGGTATCTTTATCGGTCTCATCTTTCGAGTCTTTGGCGTCCTCCTTCGAGTCTGAGCTCTCCGTGGACTCCGACTTGCCGCGAGCGGCTTCTTCGGCTTCCGCCTTGGCCTTCTGCATCTTCTCGAACTCCTCTTGTCTCTTTTGTTGCTTAGCCTTTGCTCGGCGATTCTGGAACCAATTCTGGATATACGTTAGTACACTGTGTGCCGAGTAGTCTGTGGACCAACGGATAACTTACAGCAACTCGTGGCAGACTCAGATTGGTTTGAGCCGCCAATTGACGCTTGACGTTGCTGCTGGGTTTGGGGTGCGCCTGAAATTGGGCCTCCAAGGTCTCAACTTGTTCCTTCGTCAACCTTGGGCGAGAGAGGTTCTCTGCATATTCTTCGTAGTCCATGATTGGCTGATGGTAGAAGTCGACCATGTCAAAAGGCGGGTGAGGGTAGAGGTAGCCATCCATTGGATGCATCATGGACGGGTGGGCCATCGTTGGGTCGAAGGCAACCGGCTGCTCCATGGGGACGGCGGCATGGCCGGTGAATGCGTAGGGATGGTGGAGGTAATTCATGTTGTGCGAGTCGGAGAGTCAGGGTATATAGAGAGACAGGAGGAATAGTATAGGAATCGTTGGTGGAGTGTTGAGGTGAGGCGAAGTGTGAAGGTATTCAAGGTACAGGACCAGTTGCTGCCAACAAGCCGCAGCTGTGACGAGGCAACTCTATACCATTGAACGGTTGGATCGCAGAGAGAGAATATAGCTGGTCTCTACCAAGCCAGGAGGAGGGGAAGGCGGGAAGATAAGGACTTGAAGCAGGAGGGAGAGGAAAAGGGAGGAGGGCGGCGGCGGGTGGTAGGGAATGACGGGACTGAAGTAGGCGGGCAAGCTGTCTGGGGTGTATACTTGCAGCCAAGTGGAGTTATAAAGGAAATCCGATGTAGTAATGAGAGAGTATGAGAGGTTGAAACCAGAGAGAGAGATCTGGAGAGTGATAATTAAAAAAGAGAGAGAGGAGGGGAACGAAGAGGAGGATCAAGGAAGGTATAAGTCCGATGAAGACAAGGTCGAATAGGACAGCACAGAAAGGGAAAAAGAAGGAATGAGTTGGACTAAGCTGACAGGGAAAAAGCAAGAAAATGAAAATAAGAATAAAAAATTAAGAAATTCAGAATAATAAAAATAAATTCAAAAGGGAAATAGTAGAGGGAGCGACCAAAATGGAAAAGGAGAGTAGGAGGTGAAGGAGAGAATTGAGTGAGAGAAGACTGTAACGAGAGTAGGCAGAGAGTGAGTGTGAGTAAGTGAGAAAGAAAAAGGGAAAAGGACAAAAGGGAAAAAAAGGAAAAAGTAAAAACAAAAAAAAAAAGAGAGGACCCAGAAAGGATTGACAGTCAGTCCGTCAAGAAAGAGTAAACTAACACTAACTGGAGAAAAGAAAGAGCAGCAGCAGCAGCAGAGGGTTTGGAGGGACTGGATTTCGGGGGGAGGGTGGGTGGTGCTGGCAGCTCGCTCATTGGCTGACGCTGGATGGGGAGAGATTGGCGGCGGCAGCCTGCCCGGCAAGAAGGTGTGGAGGGGGCCGCGCTGATTGGTGATCGCCGCCCGGAACTGGCTGGAGGAGGATTTGGCCTGGACACCTTTGGTATCAGGGCTGTATTTGCTCCGTACCGTCAGTTTGGGCGAACTCCCCGTGTCCCGCAGCGCTTCGGGCTTTCGTGTGAACGCTCACACAACTCTCCCCTCTGGCTTGTCGGCTACAGCACATCTCGGATTGGCTCTTCCGGGTTGTTCCTCTCGACTGTCACTTTCTGCTTGTCACTCTTTTCTTTTCTTTTTGATCATTTTATTTTTTTTGGCTCCGTTCTCCTCTTCTTCCCCTCTGCAAAAACCCCTCTTTGTTAATTCACACTTTATTCCTCTTCGTCACAGAAAAGCCCACGGCAGAAAACATACTACCCAAACTAGTAGGTACCTACCCATCCAGTACTAGACTCGTCTCGGGGAACCAAACCGTTACCAGGTACGGTATTAGACACCCAAGGCATCGACCACCCAAAAATATTGGCCGACGGAGTGGGTTTCCTGGTGCTTCCGCCCGAGCGGTTCTAGGGGGTGGCGGCCTGGGCTCTCACACTCTCGGAGGACTCTTGAGTACGTACTACTATCTTGGGAAGCTCACTAACTATCTAATTCACCTAAAAAAAACCACAAACTGAAATACTGTGTGGCTAGTGGTCTTGGAACCTGACCAGGGGCGGTAGTAGATAGATGTCATGGATGTTTCAAAAGAGTATACGAAGTTTTAGCTACTCGATATCTGCCACACCTTATCTTAGTTGTAGGATCTTCTCAGTCCCGCCGTCTTCCACAAGCAATGAGGGGAGGGTGTAACTAAGAGGCGCGCGCGCTTACTTCAAAAAAAAAGTAGTGCGGTGGCGGCGGTGACTGTTTCTCCTCCTCTGGCGTCACTGTGAAAGGACATGCCTGGAGTATGTACTCCATAGGATCATATGTAGGTCCGACGGGTCCGCAACGCATGCTGTACCTCAGAGTGAGCTCAGTTGCTTTTTTCCCTTATTATCGTCAGACCCGTCACGGTGGTACTGCTGTAAAATCCAAAAGTTCGCTGTTTACGTTCGTCGATGCTAGACAGTGGAAACTATTTCGTCACCTCGATTTACCCCATTTTTTTTCGATTTAATTTATTTTACTTTTCCAATTTTGTTCTACTGCTTTTTCTCTGCCTTTCTCTTCAAAATTCTAGTGTGATGGGATTTTTCGTTTCTTTTCCTCCTTCTGCAGCTTTGACCTGCACAATGATTAATTTTACTCTCACTTAGGAGGTATGTATACTCCTTAACAATGCTCGGCAATCATTATCAAAGTTTTGGTCCACCGTATGTACCAAGGGTGCCTTGAGGGGCCACAATTCTTAGTAAGTGAAAAGTAAGAAGTGTAAGTAGGAGTAAGAGTAGAAACTAGAGATGCGTGGCCTCCCATTGGTAGAAGCCGGTAAGCCACCCCCCTCTCATCCGCACAAAGCCCTCGTCGCTCATCCCCAATGCCAGCGCTTGCTATTTCCCACACAAACCAGACCTGAACCCCGGCAATGGCTTAAACGGCATGAATTTAAGCTCCAGTGACAACTTGGTTGACAGTCTCACATACTTTTCCACCATGAATTATGATTCCGAACAAAGCTGGGTAATGGCTGCGAGTTGAGTTGAACCCGGTCCCTGCTCCTACGGACTTTCGTCAGTTCCTGCATTAGCGCCACCAAAAGCATCCAAAGCCGATTTTAGCTCTTCCCAGGGGGAAGGTTCCTTCTGGGCAGATCCGAGCAACTCAATGACCCCGAGCGTGGCCCCCCAAGACACGCCGTCGGCAATAGTAGATTGCTGTTCACATCTCTTTCTTTTTTATTTGCTTCGGGGGTAGGGGAGAGGAGAGGAGAGGGGGGCGCCAATGGAGCGGGTTCTCCCACGCGGACGGAGTATCTAAGCTCTGCAACATCACGTCTTTCCCGACTGAGGAAAGCTTGCACTAGAATCTCTCTTTCTTCACCCATGACCTTGACTCCCCGATCACGGCGGTCGGGGACCACGCCATCAGTGGGGCATGTTCGTTTGTAAAGGCGGCGTGAGAAAGTCAGCCATGAGATGGATGGATCGCTGAGCCCACCGCCCACTTGGCCATCCATGTCTCACACTTCTGGTGGCAGGCCGGGGGATCGCATGGCCACATCCTACTGGGCCAGTCCGCGATCACGGGGTGATGGATGGGGAGGAAGAACATCCAATGGCCATTCGAAGCTGTGTGGACGCCGACCAACGGATTAAGATTCACCGTACATATTCTGGATCCGGTTAGCGCCAGCGGTCCGAAGATCCCCAGCTTCCGATTGATAGTCCGTTCTTCTTACCCGACGGTTCCAACGACTCTTCACCACTCCCACGGGACAGCTTCGTGATGCTCCAGTGGCCCGCCTGTGCGATAAGGGGATAAACCACGCAGTTCATCGATGTAGCGTGGCACATTGGACAGAACTGGGGTTCATGGCCATGACGTGATCGAGTACTCCTGAGAGACCCTCTGATCCACACATACACACTCCCCCCACAGACTGGCAGGGCAATCAGCGCATCCGACCATCACAATTGGTACTTTGCTCTCTCTCCTCAGGGTGTGCCAGAACAAAGAGAGGTGAAGCGGGGAAGAAGCTCCGGCCAGCCGAAAGGAAAGTCAGTAAAGTCAGTAACTCAGTCAGTAACTCCGTCAGTCAGTCTTTGCCTTGACTTCGCTTTTCCCGCTCCATAATAGGCCTCATACCAGACGTGCCAGATGCACTGGCCTTTAATTCCCCTATGAATGGACACCGTCCCAGTAATTCAATTGGCACGGATCTCTGCAAAAAATGCCTGTCATGCTTTTCCCGCAAGGTCCTTGGAATTCACGGGCTTGCGATTCGCCAATTGGTTAATTTTCCTTTCCTTTGATGATTATTTCTTTCCTTCAGCGAGAAAAAAAAAATAATAAATTAAAATTGAAGGGAAACTAAAAAAGAAAATGCCATCGGGATGGACATGAAAAGAGAGGGTGTGTGTGAGAGTGAGTGAGAGAACAGACCGCGCCGGCTGCAAAAGCGTGGCAGCAGCTCAGCCAAAGACCCACCAAAACCAATAGTCGACAGATCCTCGTCGATCCGCCTCAGGGATCTGTCGATTGTCGAACATCTCTCACCTTTCCTTTTTCTTCCAATGCTCTTGGGATTTGGCGATAGGCCTCCCTTCCTTCCTTCCTCTCTCCCCACTCTGAGCGCCCTACACGCGTGAGAACTTTCTGCGAAATCCGCCATTCGTCCGTTTGAATTTCTGGCTTCTGTCAAACCAGGCCATAATCGGCGCTAATCATGATTGTGGTCACAGACACTCGCTCACTCGCTCGCCCCCCTCCCCCCCAAGTCACGAGATGACGCAGCAGTGATCTGCAATCTGCTCTCATGCAGCAGCAGAAGGACGGGGGGTCATTAATCTCATGTTAGGGGGCGATCTGGTCTGACGCTATCATATGCGCTTCCCACAGGTCTCAATGGGCAACGAGAACTGTTGAGCCGAAATACATATGCATGCACGCATGCATGGGTACAATTCTTTGGTTCATCTGTGAGTCTATTTCCTTCGTTCTCGCGACCGCCATGCGCCTGGCCCCATTCCGTCGACCGTCGGACGATGATGCTGGGCAGGGATGCCTCCAAGAAGAGTGCTCAGTCTGGCGGGGCCGAGAGCCTGACTACGACACACAGTGCGTTCCAGAGAAGTATCATCTGACTACAGCCCGTGGGGAATGATACGAAGTAACTGATAGTGGGAGGAGTAAGTAGTTATTATCTGAGGCCCAAGTGGAACCAGATAGATAGGGGGGGCGCGGGAGAGGGGCCAAAACAATGGGGTATTTTCCATACCGAGTTTCGAGCGGTACTAAAGTACATACTAACCACTAACTACGTCGACACACTCCGCACACGGAGTAATTATACTGGGCCGTCAATGCTGAACTACGAAATATGGACTTTACCATAATTGAAGGGCAGGTACTCCATCCAGGTGCCAGGGTAACCGGGATTCCGTATCCAACCAAACACGAAAACGCCCCGGGTCTCTCGGGTTCACGTGTATGTATGCAGCACAGCACCTTAAAAAACAGCTTAAGCACAGCGTACTGGGAACACCTTGCCACAGCTGTCCATCCAAACAGCAATGACCCTGCAACAGAGGGGTTCATGTCGCGTAACCTGACAACCCCTCAAACAAGCTCAGACCAATCAGCACAGGCGTAGCCTGGCGCGGACTCACGTCTCAGAGCTTGAGAACAGTCTTGGGCGTGCAACATGGTTCCCTTCTCAGAACAAGAATGAGGATCTGACTATCTGCCTAGCCTGAGCTGGCCCCCTGTGAGGATCCACCACCACTCCCACCACCACCCGCACGGATCGCTTCCACAGCGATCCTCATAGGCGGATTGGATCTCACAGAGGGCCGTTGTCGCCCGAATGATGGAGGTCTCAAATATTGGACCCTGGGAAGGGAAAACAAGCAAATACAAGGGAAGGAAGCGAACGAAAGGAAAAGAAGAGGAAGAAAAAAGCAAGAAAAATCCCCGATGATCCTCGGTGCATGGGAGTGATGGTCTGTGATACCTGAGTGGATGGGTGGATGGGTTTGTGGATGAGATGGTAGTCTACACTCTGAAAGTGGAAGTCAGTGATGACTTCCCCGGCCCCCAATCCTCCCCTGAAACTGGAAGCCTCACTGAACATCCTAACCTGAAGTATACTTAGATGCTGATCAGGCTGGTCAGTGGGAGCCGAGCTGCTGGACCGGGGCCCCGATCCGCAATAGCATGGGATCCCCTGTCTGGGTATAAGGTTGACTTGGCACTGGGGGATCCTCCCCTATTGACGGCCGGTCGCCTGTCCGTAAGGAAAAACTTCCCTGCTTACATACAATCCGAACTCCATCTGCCCAGCCCCCTGGGTCTGATCATTCCGTGGCAGCTACCCTCCGCTTGTCACATCTGGCCGGGATACTGTCTAGTGTGACAATCATCACCCGCCATGGATCGCATCGTTACTAGCAGGGGAGGGAGGGGAATGGGATTGTATTGCTCACTCCAACTTGCCATGCACTGGCTCGAGCTTAGTGCGATTGGAACCCAGCATGGCCATGCATAAGTGGATATGTGGACCTACCTGAGCGTCACTTGCCATGGCTTTTCTTTCCCCCCCTCCGTAGTAGTGCCTTCTGCCTCATCACTCACTAGCTTTACTCCGGCCACGCCGTGCTGAAGGCGACATTCAGCTGCGACACTCGACGCCACAGAGCTGAATCTGTGGCGGTGCGTTCTCAGGCGTCAGCCACATGTAGATCACTGGACTAGTGAGGGCCTCAGGCCTTGGGGGATCTTCCTGCTAGTCAGTTAGTATCACCGTCCAGTCTTTAGGCGTTCTCCGAATAGCGTGACTGTCAGCACCAGAACTTTGCAGACTTGAATCAAGATGATGCCTCTGGGTGGACGGAACCTATGAAGCTTCACCGCGATTTGTCATGGCATAACAATAGCCTCTTCGATCGATAGGCTCTCAGCGAAACCGCCACACGGCACTTCTTCGATCTGCCTGCCTATTCTCCATCCTAATCTTGTTTAACTCGGTGATTGTACCACCGTGCTCAACGCTCAGGGCGGCTAACTTCCCTGACGACTCCGTCATCGTGTTCCAGGTTCCCAGGTTCGAACCAGGGCTGATGGGGTGTGACGAGTTGGGTTGCTGTACAAGAGATCACATCGCTGTTGCCTGAGCTGCAGCAACGGTGAATGATTCTCGTCACGAGTGGGCTTTAGTTGACTGGCTGATCCACTTCCCTTCTCATCTTGCCGTCTGATAATCACATCGTTTGGCTTCTCATTGACTAACGATACAGTGTAATACCCATAAGCACCTCAAACCAAAGACTCCTCTTTCTAACTAAAAGGGCAAGAAGGGGGGGAAAGGTAAAAAAGAAAGAACCAAAAAAGAAGAAGAGAGGTGACTCCACCATCTCCATCACAGCACACTCCCGGAAGGCCTCCCACATCCCTTGCATAGGGCGTCAGACGCAGCTTGAGGGAGAGGAGGGGAGAAGGAGATGGGCTAGATGCACCTCGCTGGGCCACGGACGAGCTCAATTCGATCTCCGGCGCCAAACCAGCAGGGATCGCGCCGATCGAAGTTCGCCGTCGTCAAGTCGACCCATCTCTTTTCCAGAACCTGATCGCCCCCTTCTCTCAACGAGGCGATCCTCTTCGGGTCTGCGATGTGCAACCGATTCCCGCCACTATTGCGAGTTTTCTTTTTCGTTCCCTTCCCCCTGGAATCTGCAATTGTGCTGCTGGCTCGTGTCCTCCGAACGGGCAGCCGCCGCTGGGTGGCCCCTACTATTGTACAGGATGTATGCACATAGGGGATGCCGTCCTTTTGGCACAATCGGTTTGTTTCGCGTTGTTTCGCCACGTCTCATCCTCTCACACACACATTTCTCTCTCAGATCATCGTTTGGACCGTGTGTTTCGGCCGCCTACGTATTCTCAGAAAATTTAGGTGCAGTCGTAATGTTCGGGAGTTCCTAAGTATAACCACTGCAGCAGCCACTATGCAATAAGTCCCAGCTCTGCTATGACCACTTCGCGTTACCTACTCAGGTACTACTGGTCCATCTGCCTACTTACCTATTCCTCCGTCCCGCGCGACGGGACCCAGAATCCCGGAAGTAAAAAAGAAGGAAAGGAAAAAGAAAAGTGGGAAGAGACAGACCTACTTCCAGCAACTTCAATCGGTTCGGGAAGAAAGGAACACTCAAAACTTGTCGGTGAGAGAGCAAACCAGGTCGGTGACCACCAACCCACCGCGCGCAGCCGTTTAACTTAATCTTCTGATATATTGCGCTCGGCTTTCCGAAAATGCCTCAGCAGATGGGATCTGTCACGGCAGGGCGAGAGAGGACCAGAGAAGCGGTCTTGAGCTAAGTTTACTTTCGCCGGTGTAGGAATGCACTGACTGTCTTGTCTTTTCCTAGGGCTGTTGTCACCGACATGCATACATACAGTATCCTTGTTATACCTGCCTACATACAGTAGTTAGTCAGTCTATTATTCGCTCGTCGAAAAAGGGCTGGCTGGGGTGCTCCATACGGAGTACTCCCCGGATTGTTTCTCCATCGGAGCTGATCTGAGCTGAGCTGAAGCTCTTTCTCTCGCCACTTCTTACTTTCGGGTTCTCAGTTAGTCTACCTAGTCTTGCTTAGTACCTACGTACCAAAAAGCAAAGTGGACTCAATGATCTGCTTCTGCTTCACCGCTAGCTAACTATCTAGCACGAAGCTTCACTCTCTTTCGGAGGGTCTGTCTGCACTATGCTTACTGTAGGTACGGCTTGTTCTTCCCCTCCGGCACTTACTACTTACTAGATTACCTTCGAAGCTACTCACGACCCGACACTAGTCTGTCATATCTCCCTGGGAGTTAGACAGACGCACGGAGAGTATCCTGCTTACTTACGAAGTACATGATCTACTTGCCTCTTCTGTTTGGGAATGGGACATTGGCGCTAAGTCCAAGGTATATGCTATGTACTAACCTGCAGACAAGCAGCAGCAGCAGCACTAAAACTCCATGTTCCACAAGACAGCCGACAAGCTCTATACTCTATCTCGAGCTAAGCTCAAGTAAGGGCCTGGTGAATAAGAACATAGTCCTTCACATCACAGACAGGCAAAGCAGTCAACACGGCACGGAATACTGTTTATGAGTTCCGGTGTGAGACATACAGCTTTCACTGTCACTTGGTACTATACTACTTACATAACCCGACCCGTAGGGGAAACATGGATGCCTACTCACATCTACATGGAAGTATCAGCCAAGTAAGTAATCAGCTAACTACCGAATAGATACATCTTTACTACTAGGTACAGTAGATGTCAGCAACCCTCAATGTGTTGATTCCTTTAAATTTTCTAGTAAGTAGTTAGCTTCATTGTTACTCAGCTAAACAATCAACCCTCATCTCTCTGCCGCTCAGCATATCCTTGTAGAGTAAAAAAGTATAGTAAAGCAAACCCACATCCACTTCTCTCTCATCTCAACCCTTCAGATATCCATATATCAATCCCTCCATATACCCATCTCCATCCCATCAAGGTACACATATATAACCTACAGTAAATATCCTACCCTTCCCAAGTCCATCTATACTATAAATTGAACTAAGTAGTCACCAAGCAAACAAAAAAAGCAGGTAACTGATTAACCAACCAACAAACTAACCACCCAGTAACAAATTACACTCATCTCAGAAACCGGTACAGAACAACAGAATCAGATTCTGTTCAACCTAGATCACACACCCAACCCCACCGTTATGATTTCAAACTTTGGGGTTTCTGCATTCTGCGTTAGGTCGTATGTGGAGAGGAAGGTAGAATAGATAGTCAAGGGACGTTAGTTAGTGGCATGCAAGGTAAAAAAGAACTAGAAACGAATGGAACGGTAGTGAAGGCAAGCGAAGGGTGAGTTGTGAAAATGTTGGGGATTTTCTAAATCACTTTGGGTGATGGTGGATGAGATGTGTCATATTTGGGGTAAGTAGGATTTAGTTTACTATATGATCAACTGGTTGCATTGTTGGTTGGTGGGGGAATGGATGGTAGGTAGGTATGTAGCATGTAGGTAAACGGTTCTTCGCTGGTCTATCTATTGGTAACTTGACTTACCCAAGGTAAGTCAAGTAGGTATTTGTCTAGTCTATGTACAATCGAGGTTTCGGTCTAAGATTTTCACAGACTGGACCCCGATACTGTGACCCGCACACACGAAAGGGATCAGAATCAGGCTAAATGACAATAAAAATCAAAATGAGTATGGAGAGCATGGATAAATCCAGAAGATAAAAAAGAAGATGCCCGCAATCTATTGGATCCAAACTTTCGTCGTCGGGTTTCCAGAAACCTCCACCTGGTGTTCAAAGTTCGAAGTGAATCCCCTTTATTGGAAAGCGTTCCGGATTTCCAACTGCATCTGGCCATCGACCACGCCCTTGATGCTGATGCTTCTCAGATCCTCGACGATCCAGTCAGCACCGGCTTCCTGGAGCTGCGCAAGCGAGTGGGTCGTCGTGAGCGCAATGACTTTGAACCCGGCCGCCTTACCAGCCCTGATGCCCGACGGCGCATCCTCCAGAACTACCAGAGACGAGGAATGCTCCAGACCCAGGCGCGTCCGACCAAGCAGATAGCACCGGGGGTCAGGCTTGCCCAGCTCGACATCTTCCGCCACCACCAGGACCTTGGGGTGGGCGAGGTTCAGCACGCCCAGCCAGCCGTCCACCAGCGCACGCGTTCCAGAGGTTACCACGCCCCAGCGAGCGCCGGCGTCGTCCAACGCTGACATGAAATACCGCGCCCCGGGAATCTCGACCGCGTCCGATCCGTATTCCTTCGGGATGCGACCTTCGATGTAGCTGACATCTAGCGGTTGGGAAAGCAACTGGTCAGTCTGCTGTCTGCTGTTGTGGTATATGACGATAAGGAGGAGTAGCGGTGGTAGTTTCAGATCGGAGGTTTCTCAATCGAACTGCAGAGTGTCCAAAGGAATACACTTACACTCCCAATTGGCCTTCTTCGGGTCGTACAACTGGATCGTGTCGATGCTTCGGCGGCCGTGGGAAGTGGCCAAAATGGTCTTGGGGTCGACGCCCAACTCCGCACCGATTCTGCAAGTGATGATTAGGACGGATGGCGTTTGGTTACACGGAGGGAAGTGGTGGGGACGAACTTGTGCCAGTGTTTCACAATCGCTAAAGATCAGATGTCAGTGCATGGTTACAGAGGAGGGGTGGGTGGGAATGAGGGGACTGACCATCGGTTGAGTCGACGATGGTGCCGTCAAAGTCGGAGAGGAGTCCGTCAAAAGTGTGGACTTGCGGAGGGGCAGAAAAGGAGCCGGATGGTCTAGACATGATAATGGCGGGGGAAGTAGGACAAGAAAAATCCAGGGCCAGCACAAGGTGGGGGTAGAAGGAATGAGAACAACTCCAAAGATGTGAGTAAATAGATGTAAGGAGTGGACACAGTCAGCAGCACCAGTCAGCAAAAAGGAGGGACAAGAGGGAAAAGAGAAGGTGGGTTCAGGCTTCAGGCCGAAGGAGTGAATGGAGTTGGTAAATCGTGAGAGAGAGTCACTCCAAAGGAACGAATGGCAGCGCCGGATATCCATAGTCTGTAGTAAGAAAGTATGCCGGTATTACCGGAGATCGGCCTTTTGTTGTGCCGGTTATCTTAGCGCGTTGCCGCCGAAATCTTCTTGGCGGCACAAAATTGTTCGGGCGGATCAGAGTGAGTCCCTGTGCTTTGGATTGCCTTTTTGCTCAGAGACGGTTTAGGGGTTATCAGGCAAGATGGTCAAGCTAGGTATGTTCCCTTCATTGGTATCGCCATTGTCCTCCTGCTAACCCTTCCTCCAGGCAAAAACTCCAAGCGGGTTCCCGTCCGTCTACGACACAAGATTGAAAAGGCCTCCGCGGCCAAGCAACGCAAGCAGAGAAAGCTTGCAAAGAAGGTACTTCCACTTCTTCTTGCACAGCCATGTACCATCTTAGTTCATACTAATGCGGCTTATAGAATCCCGAGTGGCGCTCCAAGATCAAGAAGGACCCCGGTATCCCCAACCTGTTCCCGCACAAGGACAAGATCCTCCACGAGATCGAAGAGAAGAGACGCTTGAAGGCAGAGGAACAACAGCGCATTCGCGATGAGGCCCGCGCTCGTCGCCAGGCTCAGAAGGAGGGTGGAGCCGAAGAGGTCCCTGCTGATGCCAATGTCATGATTGATGAGGACGATCTGATCGACGACGATATGGACGAGGATGTCGGTGACTCCTCGAATCCCATGGCGGCGCTGCTCGCTTCCGCCCGTGCCAGAGCTGCAGAGTACGAGGAAGAGCACTCCGATGACGATGATGAGATGGATGAGGACGATTCCGATGACGAGGATATGGACGAGATGGACCAGGACGAAGAAGGCGGTGCCACTCTGGACGTCTCCGCCCCAATTACCCAGAGCACTTCGAAGGAGAGCTCGCGACGGGCCTTCGACAAGGTCTTCAAGCAGGTTATCGACAACGCCGATGTGGTGCTGTACGTTCTGGACGCTCGTGATCCTGAGGGCACTCGGTCCAAGGAGGTGGAGCGCGAGATCATGTCCGCCGACGGAGGCAACAAGCGATTGATTCTGATCCTCAACAAGATCGATCTGGTGCCTCCTCCGGTGCTCAAGAACTGGCTGATCCATCTGCGCCGCTACTTCCCCACTCTGCCTCTGAAGGCCTCCAACGGCTCGGGCAACGCTCACAGCTTCGACCACAAGCAGCTGACCGTCAAGGGCACCTCCGAGACGCTCTTCCGCGCGCTCAAGTCGTACGCGCACAACAAGCAGATGAAGCGGTCCATCTCCGTCGGTGTGATCGGTTACCCCAACGTCGGCAAGTCGTCCGTTATCAACGCCCTGACGGCCCGTCTCAACAAGGGTTCCAGCAACGCTTGCCCCACGGGCGCCGAGGCCGGTGTGACCACCAGCCTGCGGTCCGTGAAGCTTGACAGCAAGCTCAAGCTGATCGACTCCCCTGGTATTGTCTTCCCCAACTCGAGCGACAAGGCCAGCAAGAAGAAGAAGAAGCAGGAGGAGCACGCGCGTCTGATCCTCCTCAACGCGGTTCCCCCCAAGCAGATCGAGGACCCCGTTCCCGCCGTGTCGTTGCTGCTCAAGCGCTTGTCGACGTCGGAGGACCTCATCTCTAAGCTGCTGCAACTCTACAACATCCCGCCGCTCATCCCGACCGGTGGCGATCAGACGCACGACTTCCTGGTCCATGTGGCCCGCAAGCGTGGTCGTCTGGGCAAGGGTGGTGTGCCCAACATTGAGGCCGCCGCCATGACGGTGATTAATGACTGGCGTGATGGACGCATCCAGGGCTGGGTTAACGCCCCTGTGCTGCCCGTGGTGACTACGGCAGAGGGCGCGACGACGCCGGCCGAGGGCGTGGACACGAAGCAGATTGTGACGGAGTGGGCGGCAGAGTTCAAGATCGAGGGACTGTGGGGCAACGGGGAGGATGATGAGATGGCCGAATAGATGTTTTTCTCATGGATACCAGGCGTTATGGTTCTTAAAAGGTAGATAGTGTCAATTGCGATGAACATATACCGAGCAGACCAAGTTACCGTATGTCAATGATAAAAACGGCGCGCTCTGAACCAATGCAGTAGTAGCTCTTGTTCCAATATTAAGTAGTAGTCTTGAGTGAATATTAAAGTAAGTTCAAAGGTGTACTACTGGTTCAGCTACTATACTACTCGTAGTAGTAGGTAGCAGTATTCGACACCTCGGTTTCAAGAGCATGGAGGCAGCCTGCAATGTAGTACAACCAGACGAAAATATATAATAGTAATAGTAGAGAATATGGCATACCATCACTCAGCACATCAACACTTCAAATCCCAAACAAATAAAGTAGTACTAATAACATATAAACAAAGCATTAGAAATAAATATATACTCAAATCAACAACAACTTGAAACACAAATAATCTCCAAACACCCATATACCATAGAATTAAAATAGCACAAGACCTGAAGAAACCTTATCACCACCCACCCGAAGCGATACGATAATCAATCAAATCACCCCCAAGATTCCCGATCCACACGCGCCGCTCCTCCGCGTCTGTCGCGTCACATCATTTCTGCCTTCCTTCTAACGAACAGAGGCAAAAAAAAAGTCCTTTTTACGAACCACACCACATACCACTTATACCCTCACAAATCAAATCCTCATCTTTACCCACGCTCAATCGACAAACCCAAGAACAAGAGATCAGAAACGCAAAAAGAAAAAAAAGGACCATGCCCCGAAAATCAACCAGCAGCAGCACCCCCGGCGACGACGGCGGACCAGAACAGTCCCAATCCCAACAAATACACTCCCAATCCCCTTCAGACATCGTCCACCTTCCCGAATCAACAGGCCAAATGGTCGAAGCGACAGAACAACAACTCAAGGCGCGGGCAGAGGGGGGTGTGAGTATTGAGGTATGTATGCATTTTGCCACTTACTATCCCTGTCTTTCCTTCTCATATCCAAACCTACACATGATACGAGGGATATCATAACTAATATGCAATAATGGAAATAATGCAGGACTACCTCCTCCCCCGTTCCCTCACCCTGCGACTAGCAAAATCCGTTCTTCCCCCGAATACATCCATACAGAAGGATGCGGTATTGGCAATTCAGAAGGCCGCGACGGTGTTTGTCTCGTATTTGTCGTCGCAGTATGTCTTTGTCTTTCTTTTCCCTTATTTAATCCTTAAGCGACAAAAGAGAGGGGTAGTTTATTAACGTGAGGTGGTATCTAGTGCCAACGAAGCAACCCTCAAACGAACCGTCGCGCCGTCAGACGTCTTCAGCGCCATCTCGGAACTAGAGTTCGATGGGTTTCGCACACGATTGGAGCAGGAGTTGGAGGCGTTTACGGAGTTGAAGGCTGGGAAGAGGAGGGCGAAGAAGGGGGATAGTGGTACTACTGCTGCTGCTGCCGCAGAGGGAGTTGGGAAAAGTGGGGATGCCGAGGAAGAGGAGGGGGATGGGGATAGAGGGGTGAAGAGGGTGAAGCGGGCAGAGGGGGAGAAGAAGAATGGTATTGGTGCTGGAGGGGAGGAAGAGGAGGGGGATGAGACGCAGGAGGAACACGAGCAGGAACAGGAGCAGGAAGATGAAGAGGAAGAGGAGGAGGAAGAGGAAGAAGATGACGAGGAAGAAGAAGAAGAAGAACATAAGGATGACGAGGATGATGATATTGATCGGGTTGAGGATTTGGATCGGGCTAGACGGCCGACGAATCCGGATGTTGAGGGGGATGATTCGGACAGTGAGGATGAGGATGGGCCTGGGAGTCAGCTGCGAGGGGATTTGGGACTGGGTTAAGTTGTGTTCATGATGATTATGTGTGTATGGTATGGTATGTCTTTGTCTCTGTTTACGGCTGATGGTTATGCGGCAACGAAACGGATTGTTGCATGATATCACTTCTACTCCATATCCAATGTACAATGTGTTGATACCCAATTCAACTTCAGCACAACCAGCTGCTCATTATATTCACCACGTGGGGACTCCCTGAACTCCGCACTCAACGCCCATAAGGGCTTGCCTAATGTTGTACAATCATCGGTGCAGTTGACGCCACAAATCTGAAGAGTACCAAATGAACTTCAGAGCATGATAGCTACCGCCTGGAGCAGTGAGGTGAAGCCCACTTGATATCTTCATTATCCCACCCAAACGCCATGTCCCATAGTCTATCATTGGTATCGCCATTAACTGAATTTGAAAAGACTCCCCAGGAAGGCCTTAAATGTAAAGTAATAGTAAAGGAGAAGAAAAAGAAGAAAAGAAGACGGAAAGACGCGCTGACGCAGACCCGAGCTGAGTCATGCGGTCGGCTCGTTCAGTAACAGATTCATCCCCCGAGGGATAGAATCAGGAGAAATGGTCTCGTTCTGTCGCCACCGACCGCTTGGTGGAGGAGTGGACGCACCCTTGCCCACCAGTTTGGGGAACGTCTGATTCGGTCCGTTGTTGCGAGCAGCGCCCGGAGCCAACGGGTGCATCGCCTTGGTGTCGTCCTTGTCCAGCTTGGTCGACTTGTCACTTGTGGCGGCTTTCTGAGCCTTGGTGACCCGTCCGAAATTGTTGATCTTGGAGTTCTTCGCTGGCTCGACCTTCTTTGATCGTCCTTTAGGCGCAGCCTTCTTCGGAGCAGCTTTCTTCGGAGCTGCCTTCTTTGGCCCGTCCGTCTTGGCCGCCTGCAGCACATCTGTAATGCTCCGTCCGTTGCTGGCGGGGTTCGGGCGACCTTTCTTCGCCAATGGTTTGGATTCATCCTCATAACTTGACGATGGAGTAAGGAAGCCTGTGGGAGTAGGTCGTTTCTTGCTGGGGGTGACAACAACCGACACCTCGCCTTGCTCTTTCTTCACTCGTTCCACTTCCGAAGAGTTGCACTCATCGAATACGTCGTCCTGCGCATCCCACCGTTTGAGGTTGGCCAGTCGTGCAACTTCTTTCACAATCGCCCTTGACCATCAGATCCCAGCAGTCCTCGAATTCTTTGCCGGTGGGGTACTCATTGTTGATCCACATGGTCACTCCGTTACGACGACTCCGGATCACGGAGCAAAGACTCTTTACCAGGCGACGCACTCCGGGAATCTTCAGACTCGTACCGACCACAATTAGAGCGTCCGGGCGGGAACGGATGTCAGCATTCATGACGGACGTGATAGCCTCCTCGTCCGGGTTGTGCTCGTTGTACAGGACAATGCGGGGTCTCATCTTGCCGATACCATGGCTACGTTGGCCGGTTTCCATACGGAACTGATTATTACGGCAGCACTCCGGGCATTCGGGGGCATCGGGACGGTCAAATAAGCCCGCATCGAAGTCACTCAGATGCCGGCATTTCTGGCAGACCATCTTGTCAAGACTGCCATGCAACTGAATGGTGCGGGGCCAGGGTGCTTTGACGTTCAACGGAATCTGCGTGGCCAACGGAGGCATTGAGGTCTCAATGCCATCGATGTTTTGTGTGTAGAGACGAGTGAGACGGTTCTCCTGACCCAGTCGCGCCAGCATGTGGTGGAAAGCTGTGGGAGAGGTCTTGGCTGCTTCCTCGGACAGCGACCGTACCATGTCCTGGAAGGAGGCGGTCAACGCCTCATCCTGGTAGACGGCTGCATCGAACAAGAGCTTTCCCGATGCTTTGAGGTTGTGTTTCTTCTGCAGAGACTTGAAAAGACCGTCGGTGGAGCGGAAATCAGGAACTATAATGGATTAGAAAATACGAGGGAAAAGAGGTAAGGACCGACAGTCGCGTGGTGGTGACAGGATTAGGAGTGGGGGTTTGGGAAAGCATACTTCCTGCGGAGGTGGAGATACCCGCACCGGCGATGACGACAATTTTGCGGTGACGCTGTAACGTCTTGACGAGATAGTCAATTTGCGACTGCTGCTCAGTGTAGGACAGGCCGGCGGTGGCCGACAGGTCGAGATGCTGAGTTCGGCGTTCTTTGGGGGCGGCGACCCGACGCTTCTTCCTGGCGGGCGGCAAGTCGTCTTGGCTGCGGGCGGCGCTAGGCTCATCCGCGTCCTGCGACGGGGGCGGCGACGGATAGAAACCAGGCGGTGCCAGAGGAGAGGCCGGCGCTGAACTTAGACTCGAGCAATCCGAGTCATCGTCCATGCCTAATGACGCCAGGAGGCTCTTTGGGGACGAGCGGGAGGAGTTGGTGGTGGAGTGTGTAGTAGAGGTAGTAGTAGTGGTGGTGGTGGTGGTAGACGAAGTGGTGGCAGTACGACGGGGCGCCATTTAGGTCAGGCCGTCGCGGTGACGAAGCGAACAGCGAGCACAAAGAGATCGGGGGAAGGAAAAATTGAATTCGAGGGTGGGAGAAAAAGGATTCAAGGAGAGCTCGCTGTTCGCGGAAAGCTGGGGGGGATCAAAGCTAGATATCGTCCCGAGAGAAAACCATGGAGGACCGGGAAAGAAACGGAAAACATCAATTGACAAGTGGGAATGACGGTAAGGGGGATTTATTTCGGACAGATATTGCTTCTTTGTTTCCCCTGTCGTTCACGTCTTGCTCCCTGACTTCGGGCGGAGGTAGCGAAAAGGGAGTTGGGTGGAAGAGGAGGAAGAAGAAGAACGAGAAGAAGACGACGACAATGGAGGCAGATGAAGAAGAGGAGGAATGGGCAGCACAGGAGGAACCGCCCCGTGACTGGGACAGCGCAAGTCTGGGTCGAGGACAGCAAGTGGTGAGGTCAAGTGGAAAACGGATCGAGAGGGAGAGCGAGAAAAAAAGGGCTACTACTAGCAGGCCAACACGACTAGAATGACGGACTTATTGCTGCTTGGGAGTGTTGCAGCCAGTTCGACGGCAGGCCGGTCAGATCCTCTCGCTTGCAGTGTGTTTATTTTGACCCACGGGTATCGCTCGGGAAGAGTCGACGAAGGCTCTGCATCAAAGAGGGCTAATGGGGAAATGGGGGATTTGGGGTAGAGGGAGAGAGAGGGTGGTCCTGCAGCAAACACAAACTCGGGCAACGAAGTGGTATGCTCAGAGGAATGTGTCTGGAAGCAAGAGGGGCAGATTTGATCGCGTGTTGATCAAGTTGAATGAATGCCGGTGGGAATGATGATATTGCTCTACTTCCTACACCTAACTTAGTACTAACTTGGGACATGCTGCTATGCTGCTATGCTGCTACTATGCCACTAACACCCTCTCTGATTGCCAGTTACATTGTTACGGGGTTGCACTGACTATTGAGAATTTTCCGTAACAACCGTGTATGGACAGCCCGGTGGGGGCTGGCCCTTGGGTGCATTTGGTGTTAACCTCGTTTCTTTTCTCCTGCAAATTCGGTTTTGTGCTGCCAATCTCGTTACCGATCCCATACCGCGCTAAAGGGGGTTGTCCGCCTGGGAGCTTCTTTCATTGGCTGTGGAAGCTTCACCCAATTCTCCGGCCAACCACAGCCCAAACATATACTTGCCCGTGCGAGGCAATCATCAAGACGCCTTCCCACGCATTGGAGAGCTGTCGGATTGATCAAAGATGTCGAATATCACTTTTACTTTTAGTGAATAATGCCTAGCCTAGCCCGAGTCTGCTAGGCTGTAGATATTCAGAATCCAATATCCCGACCGTCATTCGCACTAACCGGTCTCCGACTATCGTTCCGAATCCGTCCCGTCAGACGCTGCGATTGTTGGGAAGGCTGAGCGTTTATTTCATAATCAGCAATCAGGGTCACAGGGATACCTTACGTATACTCGTCATCTAATTGCGGGGCTGATAGTCTGCCAGTAAAGTCAGTGATATAATCATCGTATAATTAAGTAGTGAACCCATACTGGATTGATCGCTCCCTTTACCATGGCATTGAGATTCGCACGTTATCTGTGTGATTAAACTGGACTAGACATTACCCAAGAACGAACAAGCGCGGGGTATCCGATGAAACTACCGGCCAAAAATATGCTTGAGGCATTTGTCGTCGGAAAGTGCGGCGCTGTTCTAGCAAGAACTGGCATGATCCGGTTTTCAGAGTGCCGGATCTTCCACGGACTTTCATTCCCCGCACCTGTCTTACTGTTTAGCTGTCTTCTCTGCGAGATGAAGAGGGAACATGGAATGCAGATGTCATTAATATATGAGATGTAGTTGCTGGTCGCGACCTTGCTCTTAAGTATGGCCGAGTCGAGTCGGTTATGTTCTCCCGCATCATCTGCCGGGCCTCGTGTTTCTTTCTCCATCCGATCAGGCGCTCATCCTGTGGCTAGCAAACCCACCGTGAGACTGCACTATGACTGCAACCTAGGAAACAGTCCCTGCTATAGAGAGATGTGCTATAATTTCGGCTTGGTTTAACAATATATCATGCGTCCGAGATGATCGGACGTTGTTTGCGGGAAGGTGGATGATTCGACAAGTGAGGCGGGTTGAGCCCCGCTCTCTAAACGGTCTTCTTCTCCATCTTGAACAATGCAATGGATATTTGCTAGGATGACATGTCTTTTGGCCCACGAACGGATGGGAATAGCATTAGATAGCTCATATGTATAACTGGAGTAAGGTCTCATAACGCATTATGCCCTTCTGTATCTCGTCTAATCAGTTTTCTTGACAATCCCCTTGATGGCTGTTTCTTTAACTATTACTTCCGGAAATTCCCAGTCCACGAAAGTATGACACTGTTACAACAGACAGTGGTAGAAAGGGTACAGATACAGCTGGTATCAGCGAGCAAGCGCGTGGTTTTAAGCCGACCGCAAACCTCAAGCAACTACTAATGTTCTAGTGGTAGTAATGATAGGGTTCACGATTGACGTATATTGGCGGGAACTATAAGGAATATCTGCACGGTCGCCTAGCACAGACTTGGCCCATTGGCAGCTCTTTCCTTTGACTTATATCAAAACCCGATGCTAGAATGGCAACTGCCACAAGGTGGTCAAAACCTTTACCTTTGGCAGAGAGTCCAAAGATGGATTGTGCCGATATCGTTGCGCCCATGGCTGGTGGGGCCGGTGTGATTGGTTGTCCTGGTTACCCCAGCACATGACCTCACATGACGCTGACTAAGAGGCGCGGAGAGCTCCACCTGACCACTAGTCCCGAATAATGAAACTATCATCTTGGAGAGTCAACTTAGCCCATGATCATCCTCCCGGCCAAAGGGTAGCGTCTGGATCCGGGGTTTGAATGCCATGAGGGTTCTGTCTGCTATCAACTAAGCCTTTTGCATATCATTCAGTGCCCCTCGGTGGCTACACCCCGCCCATTTTACCTGCGCAATTGCCTGCCGAGGTTCAATTGTATCGAACTATGATATCTGAGTCTTGCGATCACTGGCCTCCCAAGACATTTTACTACCCCCATTTGATTTAGAGCTTCCCACCCCACAATGCCCTTGATGATGGACGATAGTATCAATGTCGGCGATCTATTCGGGGAACCCACCTCCCTTGAGCTGGGCCTGCCACCATCGGCTTCCCCTGCCAGAGGCCTTGCCCAGCGTCTGGATGAGATGCGACTGCTTGGCTGTTGCCAGTAAGTTACTGTCTTCTAAGGTGTTGCGAAACTTAGCTTGCCTATATGTACTAACTATTTTCAAAGGAAGATTGCATGGTCCAAATTGGGATGTATTGCTTACATTTCACAAGACTCCCTAAGAGTGAAGGTCCGCCATCTGCAATGTCGACCGTCAGATGGCAAGTGGGTGCTCAGCGATGAGACTCCCTTGATGCCAATTACTGAAGCCCACGGCGGGCATGCTCTCACTCACCTGAGTTGGAACGAAGCTGGCTCCGATCTGGCCGTGGTCGATGTGACTGGACGTGTCTCCGTCTATCACATCCCTTTCGCCCTCAACAGTGTCAATGGCCTTCGACAGCCGGCTTTTTCTCCCGATGACGGGTCTCAAATTGTTGGCATGATGTGGCTGAACACACAAAGATCTGTAGGTCATCTGCGAACCACATCTGTCTCTCAATGCTAAACTTTGTTAGGTGCATGCATTCTATCAAGCAGCCAAAGTACAGGGGCGCTGGGCTTACTCGCCGTTCCGTCGCCGCCCAATAGGACCATTTCACCCTGCAAATAAAGCGGCACTGCTATGCATCACACGCTCTGGGTCCATGAAGCTCTTGTACCAGAACCCGGACGGCAGATGGGATGACATCTCTGTGGATTTGAAGAGCACAAGCTACTCAGATCGGTTGCTGTCACATGCTGCTCTGGTCGCAACTCAGAACGGCATTCTTGTCGCTACCTACTCGGTATGCCAGAAAATCCGCTTCTATCGGGTGCAGATCAACTGGAACCCTCCTCAATGGGACCCTGCACAGCAGCCAAAGCAGACGCCACCCCAATTCCCAGTTCCTAGCTTCCGATTCACGCACTCCAAGGTGGAGACGTCCTGTACTGTGCCTGGGATGCATCGGAATGACGGAGAAGAACCAGACATGATGCACCAGTCGATCTCGAATCCATTATATACTCTCAGTCGCCTGGATATAATTCTCCCAGCCTCCGATAACGCTGCTGGAACCACAGCGAACCCATGGATTGTTGCGGTTTTCTCGACACCACCCCAAGCTACTCCGGATCATCCTGGCCCGCAAGGACCGGCAAGTGTAATTGTACGATGGCAACTGGACACTGCTGCTTTCACCCTCCACCCCAAGTTTGATGAAATGGCTGCAAAACGAAACAGTACTCAGATAAAGGTAGATGAAGGACCACCAATGCCTCAGACAGACCGCGCTGACTATTTGAATAGCCTAGGCCTGTGCTGCGTCGACTGGAAGACATCTATTCTGACCGATATGTCATATCCGTGGACCAAATCGAGTACGGCAATGTGGTTGCCATCACTTACGATGATAGCTCCGTGTCTTTCTATGACCCGAAAACCATGGCATTGTTCAATGGTGTTGATGATGCGAATACGGTGACGGGCCTAGCTCAAGCAGGGTTTCACTATGCTCCAGACGCCTCAGGTTGTAGTGCCTCGAATTGTCGATTTGAATTGTGACTAACGATGTTCTGACAGGTCAAGGTCAACATGTCTCTTTCTCACCGAGCGCATGCGCTGCAGTCATGCTAGATAGTGACGGCCAGACGCACCTCAGGGTTATGGAGCATTCTTACGGTGCCGAAAACGGTCTTTACGATGAAAGTGTGTTTTTTCCCTTCCTGCCAGCTGATTTACACGCTAATAAGCTTCGAACTTGGTAGACAAATTTCCTGCAGCCATTGCATCACTCACGTTAGCCTTTTGCCGTGGATGTGGAAGTGAAGTCAACACAGACGATATCCTCTTAATTTTAATACAGCAACTCTCACAGGGTCGGTACCAGCCTTCAGTTTCCATCGAACTATCACTTCTAACGCTTGCTACCAGATGCTCAAATCACATTCATCAATGAAGTTTACCGCGCACTGCCGATTAACTGCAATTTCACAGTGGAGCAGGAAAAGCTGATGAACCACCCCTACATCCCCAAGTGCCTCAGTATACAAGCTGCCTTGGGATTTGCCGATAAGTACAAGCCACGAAGTTTTGCTTCTTCTGTCTCTTGGTCGATTCTTCAGCTTCGCCACGCCGCCATTTTATACCCATTTTTCTTTCAGTACAACAAAGGGATTCAGGCAGAGCCACATGATCCTGGTTAGTCAGTCCACATTGACCGTCACGGAAGCTGCTAACAGCACGGGTATTATAGACGTCTTGCGTATGATGCTCGGAAACACCAGATGGGCACTTGATTTTTCTCTCTATATACTAAACGAGCTCTTCGACCTCGCCGATGATTTTGAAAGCGTATCGGCTGATCAAGAAGCTTTCAGCCAAAAATGTTGGTCAAATCTAAACTTAAGAAAAGTATCAACTGTACTAACGCTCCGTAGTGAAAACCACAAATTCACTAGCTCTCATCATTCTCCTCTCAAGCATGTCCCGTGCCTTCTTGCGCTTTATTTGCCGTGGCCTGCGTGGCATCCACGCGGGCTACACCAACGCATCTCTAGGCGGGGACTCACGTCTACAGTACGCAGAAATTTGCCAAGCTTTAGATGCCACACCTGCACGCATCGACGTATACGAAAAGTTCCTTTCGGCTGTCGATTCAGCCGTACGACACGCCTATCATGGTGCAGGTTTTGGTGACACTGAACGTCCGGGGCCAGAAAAGGAATTACTCGTCAACGCCCGCATTCCCCCTGTTCTCGTTGCAGCTGTCTCAACAATCCTGAGACAAACAGTACCGGGACTCAAGTCCGAGGTCGACCGCATGGCCATCTATATGCACGACTACTCGTGGCTTGGGTTCGGGTCCGACCTGCGCTCGGAGTTATATCGGCGCACACGAGAAGTGGATATCATCAAGAAAACGCCTATCCGGATGACGATCGCACAAGGCTCGAATGGACCCCAGCTTGGGAAACCGAACAATCAGGGAGTGCTTCGACGGCGATGCGTCCGCTGCTGCGACGTATCTGAGGGGACTTATCCGCCACGCTCAGTCCTTGCCTTCCGCATGATATTCAAGCTGGGTCATCTACGATCGTGCATTTGTGGAGGAATGTGGACTCTCGAGTCGGGCTTGAACGAGGTGGGGAAGTAAGGATTTCGACCCTGGCGGTCGTTGGTAGTTTCTTTGGGAAATTATGTTGATACCATGTGGTCAAGATAAAATCGTTTCAGGCGTGTGGTATAATAGCGTATATAGATGCAAACATGAATGGACAAGTATTACGATGTCAAGATTGCATCTATCATTGACTGGGCATTAGACAAGACCGATATTACACTGACCCCATTCATAACATGTGGACGTATGTCGACTTCAAAGACCATACCCAATGAATAATAATTGTTGCATATGGACAGTCGTACAAGATAGACTATACTACTCGAGAGCGGGGGAAAACAAAAGCACTACCCAGGGAGACAAGATGATCACAGTACTCCGCAACTACCACAATACCAATAATAAGAATCTTTATCTCATGTCATGTCAAGCAAGGCCTTCATTTAAAAACATCGATCTGCATCTTCTTTTTTCTAAGATACATAATCGATTTCTTTTTTCAAAAGAAACCGTTTTGATGAATCCGACCCCCCTCACGGCAAGGTTAGGTCAACCCGTCATCATTAAACGACGTTCCCGTTAACTCCATCCAGATCCAGAGACGACCCCGTCTTAAGCATTTAAGCCTGTTGCAATTTCAGTTAGCCAATGTCCTTCATATTTTCCCCCGCGGGGTCATATATTCAGGTATGTTGGGCAGGTCGTACCTTAACAGCGTACTTCCGCTGGGGGAAGTGGATCTCCTGCTTGCGCTTGCGCTCGGTCTTCAGGGTAGCCTCGTGCTTGGTGAGACGGCGGCGGAGAGCACGGGTGAGCTTGGGGCGGAGGTCAAGAGGAGTGTACTTCTTGCTCTTGTAGAACAAGCGGAGCTGAGCGCGCTGGTTGGCGTTGATGACGGTCAGAACGCGAGCGATCGACTTGCGAACGTCGTGGCTGTTAAAAGACGGTATATCAGCATCCCTGTTCTTGTTCCTGGTTCACTGCGCATGTGTGCCCATTTTTTCATGTAGGTGGTAGATATGTTTGGATTTTGCGCCCTGTCGGAAAGTTTCTTCTCGGCTTGGATCTTGTTGTCGTTCGGTCGTGTACCCCTCGTTTCCTTATTGTAGGTCGATTTCATGGGTTGTCGGGATTTCTGTTCTTGACTGGTATGCGTCGTCTCATTTTTCCAATTGTCGAATGTCGTTGTCGTTTCCTTCCTCCCGCCGTAATCCACAATCCGACAGGTGCAAATCTCATATCCTTCACACACCACACACAACGCACACACATGAGGGGTTCGCAGGAGAAAATCAGATGAATTCTTTTCAAACGCACATTCTGTGGGTCTTCGAGGAGGCACCGCCAGCGATCTTCTGGACACGGAGCTGGCTCAGCTCGGTCTTCAATTCCTCCAGCTGCTTGGTGAGGTCATCCTTGCTCTTTCCCCAGAGCTGACCAGCCTTGACCTTGGACGACTTCAAATAGAAAAACTCCCGTCAGCATTTCACTTTTTTCACGCAGAATCAAAAACTGCGAATAGCAGCATGGCGCATTCAACATACCATGGTGGGCGGCTTCGTGTCGTATCGTACGGGTTGTCGACGTGAGGATTGAAGATGGACCGGGTCAATTTGGGATGTTCGTTGTGGGACTAGGGTTTGATTTTTTCTGGGTGTGCGGCGGCTTAAGCGGGCACGTGATTGTGGCTGGTGCCGTGGCCAGTTGGTTTGGGTTTAGCAGTGCCGCGCCCCGGCATGACGCCGCCTCCGTCCGCCGCCCCGGCCGCCCTGACTTGGCCGTGCGATAGTGGGTTAGACTAAGGCTGCTGTCGCTGCTGCTGTTGCTGTCGTTGTTGTTGCTGTTGCTGTGCCGCCGGTCGGATCATGTTGCGTTGGTTATGACGGGGTTTGTCCTGAAGCTAGCATTACACTCTTCATTCTATATTCCCGACTTGCCGGAGACTTATCGTCGTTATCGGTGTCGTTGATCAACCTCTTTCTGCTTTCTACACACACACACACATCACTCGCAACCAACCTACCTACCTATATACACCCTCATATTATCGTAATCCATCATCCATGGCCACCTCAACCGGTACCGGCTGGGCTCAGCTCCGGCAGCAAGCCCGATCTCTCGAGACTCAGGTACGAGCATCGCTTCCCTGTCATACGGAATGGAAATCCTAACAATGTGTATACATGATCATAGACCGAGAACCTCTTCCACACATACTCTCAATATGCTTCGTTAACGAAGCTCCCACCCACACCCTCGGATGAAGAACAGCGGATCGAATCGCAGCTCAAAGACCTCCTAGAACGAGTACGCATCCACTATGCCCATTCCATCACAGTTACCATCCTAATACCACAATCACATGAACTAATCTAATGGATCAATCACCAGCGCGACTCTCTGATCTCCCAACTCGCCCGCCTCCTCGACTCCGAAGCAACCCTCACCTCCTCCGCCCTCAAACAAAACAACCTCGCCCGCCACCGCGAAGTCCTCCACGACCACCGTCGTGAACTACAGCGTCTCAAATCTGCCATCGCCGAATCCCGCGACCGCGCTAATCTCCTCTCCAACGTCCGCTCCGATATCGATGCCTACCGCAACTCGAACCCGGGTCAGGCAGAAGCAGATTACATGCTTGAAGAGCGGGGTCGGATTGATGAGAGCCATAATATGATTGATGGGGTGTTGAGTCAGGCTTACGCTATTAATGAGAACTTCGGTCTGCAGCGTGAGACGCTGGCTAGTATCAACCGACGCATTGTGGGCGCGGCGAACTCAGTGCCGGGCATGAATGCGTTGATTGGGAAGATTGGGTCTAAGAGGAGACGGGATGCGTTGATTTTGGGGGCTTTTATTGGGTTTTGCTTTTTGATGTTGCTTTGGTTGAGGTGAGGGTTGCTTTACTTTGTTTAAAGCATGTTGTGTCTGTGTTTGTTGTCTGCGTTGTCTATTGTGGGTTTGGGATGGGCGTTTGGAGGAGTGAGATTTGTCTCTTTCTTCTATTCTTTCCTTTGTCTATGCGCTGTCGTTGCGTCTATACTATACAGAGATTAATGGTGGGGGGAGATTTGTTTCCTGGTGTCCGTGGTGTTTGGAGCATATTCCACTCTCACTCACACTCACGCAAACACCCTGGTATGTACATACACAAAGTCCAGAATCCAGTATAAACTGGTGATCCCGTACCTGTCCAGCCATGGCACACCAAACCCATCTAGGGCATAACAACACGAGGCTTCTTCACAGCTTCACCCTGACCCCTCGCAGCATCCCACTCCTGCGCCGGCATCTCCGACTGCAAACTGACCTTCTTCTCCTGCACCAACTTGCGCACCCCATTATTCAGTGCCTCCCACTCCTCCTTCTCAGCAGGCCCACTGCCCGCCCACCGAATGCGACAGTTCTCGTCCAACAAATACACATACCCCACCTTCGAGTTCAACATCCCAATACTCTCCTTCAATCCATCATCCAATCCCTTCCGCACCAGGAAGTACCGTTCATGCTGCTCCTGCGGCAACTTTGCCCGCATACGCCACATGAACATCTTAACCAGGCCGGCCTTCAACGCATTCTCCTCCAAGTTGATATCAACCTTCTGCACCATGCCGTCTCCCTCCGCGGCAATCGTCTCCCACAGACCGGGGTTCTGCTCCTTGCCTGTGAAGGTAACGACCTGCGACTCGGCCCACACGCTCGAGAAGAGGTTCACGATTGTAATCTTGCCGCGGAAAAGAGTCGTCGTGTTCTGGGGTTCTTTCGGCGAGGCGAGAGTGATGCCGTGCATGTTGGGGAAGTAGAGGGCCTTGTCGCGCTTGAAGAGGCGGGGGTTCGACATGAAGGTTTTGCCTTCGTGGTAGCGCATGTTGGACCATTCGCGGAAGTAGGGCTTTGCGACTTGTCGGGTTCTATAGTTTATCATCGAGACTTGATTAGAAATTGTATAAGGAGTATAGGCTTAGGAAATAAATGGGGTCGTACAATTCCTTCCGCCGCTCAAGATGTCTCTCGTAGTTCACGAAATCATCTCTCCTCTGTCGTATAGAGCGGTCATCGACACCCGTGTTCTGTCCTTCCTTGGGTGGGATTACCGATCCGATAGGTCGGTCTAGCGTCGGAGGTATGAAGTCGTCATCGCCGGGTTGGCTAGTCGGGGAGGGGACCTTGGATGCTGTCGCGGAGTAGTTTGCTTGAAATTGGGCTACTCTGTTGGTCTTGTTTGCGAGGGATGCGATGGGGGAGGGTGTTTTCGGCTTGGTTTCGCTGCTGGTGTCGGGTTTGCTGGCGTAGTAACGCAGCGCAGCGGTTCGGGGCCGGAGTGCGGCCGCATTGCGCAATTGGCAACTTAGGCAACGAGTGTTCTGGAGGAGCGTTGGCTCAGTTAATGAGGCTAGAAGCCCCGTGCGCTTCCACATTGTTGGAGGTATCGGTGGGGAAGTAAATGAGGTGGGTGGGTTGGTTGGTTGAGATGTCGGCAGACTCTCTTCACTGGACTATCACTGATAATTGTTGCTCGAGATCCACTCGCCGACCAGGCCGAGTTTAATTGGCGGTCCCGTGACTTGGCGACATTTTCGTGACTGAGCATCACGCGTCACTGGTGGGATTCGTGTCACTCTGGATTGATTTGAATATTCCGATGCTGGGACTGTCCGGTGGATTGTCTGACTGCATGAACTTTTTATTCATGGCTGCTTCCGTGGATTAGATGACATTGTTACCTGCTAGGCAGCAGTGACGCAAGAACTCATGGCTCGCCGGATCTTGAGTCTCGGGACCTTCCACATCACCATACCATGGCGACGGTGGTTAAGGACAAGGAGGCCTTTTTCAGGGAATTAGAGCGGCTGGAATATCTCAGTGACGGTGAAAATGAGGAATTCAGTTGTCTGGTGCATCTGTCAAGGAAGCGCTATGAATGCGTTCCGTCCGATTCGATCACTCTGGCCTCAGATATAAAGGCTCCCCCAGCGCCGCTGGTGAGAGCTTCTACGGAGCCTTTACTTGCTTCTGCAAGTGGGTCTGAGGTCTGCATTGAAAAGGAAGTTGATACTACGTCTGAGCAAGCACGAACACCAGCTGTGACTAGATCAAAATCAACAGACGTGATGCCGCCGAAAGGCAAGACTACAGGTGATGGCGTCTCTAAAAGAAAGAGACGTGTGTTTAGGGCTATAGAAGTTCCAGAACACCGGCAGATACTCAGGGGCTTCGTTTTATGTTAGTATTATATCTTCAGCTGTGTACCTATAAGCGTTCAGTGACACTGATTCAGAGAACTAGACTACATCCCCAACAATGACACATCAGACCTCCGACGGCTCCAAATGCAGCGTGCGCGTGAGTACGGTGCCTCGCGAGCAATGGAATGGAATGACACTATCACTCATGTCGTTGTAGACAGGTGGCTCACGTATGAGAATGTCATGAGACATTTCAAGAATAAGCCCATTCCAGTAGGTCTAGGAACTCATGCTTTGTCTAGTCTGATACTAATGTCCCTGAAGGAAAACGTTGCTCTCGTGGACTGTAATTATCCTCTCTTATGTATTGGGGCCCGCACTATTCTGGACGCGACTCAAACTCGCTTTCGGGTCCGTGGTGCACCTGATCCTAGGGAGGCCAAAGAATCCTCGCCTGCGCGCGAGCCCTCGTCAATCGGGTCGTTGCCGATAAAGCCAGTGAAAGCGAGACGCGGTTACATTGATACACAGAGCACCGATGACGAGACTGACACTGAGCTGTCCGAACCGGAGATTGACGAACATCCGGAAGATAAACAGGTCACCCATGAACCGGACCGGGATCGCGATGCTTTGGATGATCTGATCGAGGAAGCCAAGGCCATGAAGGACTTAGTAAATTCCTCCCACTACATAAATCTCAAAGCCTTATACTGACAAATGACCCAGCCCTTAGAGCCAGATTCAGCCGACGAGGCAGCAGCAGCCGAGACAACCGACGACGAGACCTCCGACTCATCAGACGCCGGGCCAGCGAAGAAGAAACGGAAGACTATCGAGAAAGACGACTGGCAACAGAAGTTCGCGTGCATGCAGAAGCACGATGCAAACTCGAACTCAGAGAACCCAAACAGCAAAACCATAGCCATCCTCCAGCAAATGCTAGACTACTACACGCGAACAAACGACCACTGGCGAGTCCTCGCCTACCGCAAAGCCATCAGCGCTCTCCGAAGACAACCCCATAAAATCACCACCAAATCACAAGCCCTAGCCATCCCGGGAATCGGACAACGCCTAGCCGACAAAATCCAAGAAATCGTCTTGACCAACCGCCTCCGCCGTCTCGAAAACGCCAACAACTCCCCTGAAGACCAAGTCCTCCAACTCTTCACGGGCATCTACGGCGTCGGCATCAACCAAGCATCCAGATGGCTCGCCCAAGGCTACAAAACGCTCGAGGACCTAAAATCCAAAGCCAACTTGACCCCCAACCAGCGCATCGGCGTAGACCACTACGACGACTTCGCCCAACGCATCCCTCGATCCGAAGTCGAAGCCCACGGCGAAATCGTCCGAAAAGCAGTCCAAACGGCCGATCCAGACATGCAAGTCATCATCGCGGGCTCGTATCGCCGCGGCGCCCCGGACTGCGGCGACATCGACCTACTAATTACCAAGCCCGACGCCGAGATCGACCACATCAGAACCATCATGATGGGATCCGTAGTCCCGAAGCTCCTTAAGCAAGGTTTCCTGCAGACCAGTCTGGCCAGCTCATCATCCCGAGACGGGTCCAAATGGCACGGTGCATGTACCTTACCAGACAACGATGAAGATAGAATTACCCGCCCCTGGCGACGTATCGACCTCCTATTCGTCCCTGACGCAGAGATCGGAGCCGCACTGATCTATTTCACCGGCAACGACATCTTCAATCGTAGCATGAGGCTACTGGCAAGCAAGAAGGGCATGCGGCTCAATCAGCGAGGTCTTTACACGGATGTGCTACGCGGCCCTCAGCGCGTCAAAATCAATGAGGGCCGATTACTCGAGGGGCATGATGAGCGCCGCATCTTTGACATTCTGGGTGTGCCTTGGCGGCCTCCGGAGCATCGCATCTGCTGATGGTGGACGCGTCTGGGTGGCTGCCTTGACGGGTGACAGATAATATTTCTCGGAGTTGTCGGGAAGGTTTCTGCTTTGCAGGTTGCTTTGTGGTTGGGGGGAATTCCGCCAGACCGACTTCTCGGTGTGCGTCAGATGGGCAGGTAGGGCGGCAGCCGCGAGGAGACCTGAAAATTCCCGCATTAAGAAATGAGATGATGAAGGTTTAAGGGTGAGATGGAAAGGGAGCAGGTGTGTGTCTGACAGGTAGAGAAATGGGGAATGCAACTACTACTTCGTGTATGTATGTGGCACACGCGTTGCTGGTTGTATTTCTCTTGGGGAAGTTTGCTGCTTATTGTTCGGGAGGAATGACAGTGGGGAGGGTGGTGAAAAGGCGGTCACGGTTACGATCACCATCACTATCATTATTCTTTAAAGCTTTGATAGAGGATTCTGAAGATCTACTTCGGTTTGCGCCAAAGATCAGTACAGAGACTTAGCAAATGAATCTCTTTCTTAGGCTAAATCAGCCTCTAGTTAGCTCCGGATGATAGAAGGATGGACTCAAAACCCGGATGAAGTAGCCATTAGCCGGGATGATTTATGCCCCTGGAGGGTAAATATGCAGGTCAGAACGAATAAAGCTTATTATTACTATGAAAAATGACAAAATCAAGGCCTGTTTGACGAGGATTGGTAGGTTCAAAGTCAGCGGCAAGCAATATAGCAACTATCACGCAGAAGACGGACTAACGTCGCAGCACTCACAGCCAGCCGTTAGATCCTGCATAGTACGTGCCCATTCCCTCCAAGGTTCGTAGACAATCTCCTACAGCCTTGGAAAACGGGCAAACATTTCCGCCAACGCGCCCGGCTTCCATCTTCGGCGGGTTTGCTGGCGTAGAAGTATGCTTGTTACTATTGAAACTGATGGCAGGTGGCGCCACCATTCATTTTCCTGTTCATCATTATCGAACGGACCTCCTCCCATGATCTCTTCGAAAGCCTTGTCGATACCCATACTTGGCGGAATGCGAACTTGACGGCCAGTAATCCAACCGTGCTGGGGGCCTCAAGTTTGGCCAGCATTGACTGGTTTTCCCATATATTTCGGTCACACTTGTCGGAGGGAATATCGGGCAAAAGAGTCAAATACTCAAACCGGTGTTCAGAGTCACTGGGAGAGTGGATGCTGATATCAAGTAGTAAGTTGCCATTAGGTTTCCATGCGCTGAGTGTAGAAAACCGCTCCCTAAATGCTTTGATGATTAGGCAATCATCTCTATATCCCATTTGCATCGTCGCTCGAGTAGAAGGCGCACAAAGCATGCAATCATACTCTTCGAGTTCCAAACAGAGCCATATGTAACGCACGAGAGCCCGGTTCCGTTGAATCATCAAAGCAAAATCGTCGAGGTGTGATAGTGTGAGCTTTATTCGGGCAAAGTTGTGCTGCTCAATGATCGTCTGCCACTGTCATGACAGTGTAGCGAAGCCAGCCAAGCTACAATCATCCTGCACTAAGGCTTCCAGGACCAGAATCCGAACCTCTGTAGGCAAGGAGTGCCAAAATATCATGTTAGCTGATATCAAAGATATGCGTATCAATCACGAATGATGATAAGAGAAATGGTCGAGGGGTAGGCATTTAGCCTCGTATGAGCATGTAGCTGGCGGTCTGCAGAGTAATTGATCTGATGCTATGAGATAGGACTCCATAACTGATGCTCTCAAGAATTCTGGCAGGAAATGGGTAGGAGCGACTGAAGGATGTTTCCTTCTTCATTTGGTTGCTGGTTAGCTCCATCCTGTGGTCGCTGCTAGATGCCTTTTCTCTGCCTCTGAGACACCTGCTATGATGATAGGAAAGGTGATGGTGCAGAGCGTAAGAGAATTCTACTTTAGCGATGTAGTCATTTTTTGCATCTTTTCCGGTAGCGGAGATGCCATCGGGAAGAAATCGCTCATCTGTGATGGTGGCAGCTTAGTAGTAGGATAGGCTGCAGGCTGCTGCATGCAACTATGGAAGTATGCCTAACACGGAAACAGAGCTAGGAGCGTGATGGAATATTTGCGGAACACCAGATAGGGAGTGATCAGAATTCTAACCAGTTCACATTGTCTCTGATGATTAGTACTGAAGAAAATTAAAGTCTGGTGTAGACTGTGGTCTAAAAAATATATAAAATTGGCTAGTTATGGTTGTCAAGATAGATGGATATGATACGAAGAAGCGATCAAAGAGAGAGCGGTCAGGGAGTGTTTCACAGTGGGGCCACAGATTTCCAGCTAATGTCTTTCGACAGGTATCAAAAGTGAAAAAAAGTCGAGTATCACAAGAGCCGATGCAGCCTGGCTGATCATGTCCACTTTATAGGCTGAGAGCCCTGCCACACCGCTGAAGGTGCACATCATCATGCTGTATATACCATAGACCATCGCCGCGCCAGAACGGAGCTGACATGTCCGCGGCCTTTAGACAATTGTTCATTTTTTGTTAGAATAGTAAAATGTAATGAATCCACGGATGATGAACCTGAATCGATAGTTAGTCAACACCAGTCACCGATCTCATCACCGCCTTTCATGCGGTGAGGCGCATCTCAACCGAAACCCGTGACGGTGCAGGCGGCCAGTGACAGACCGCCCGTAGAAAAGTCGTGGTTTTGCCGCTGCTTGCTCCAGATTTCCCCTTCATCCCACTCCCTCTGGTGCGCTGCCTCATTCTAGTCTCTATCATTGCGTGCAGTTCTGCACTATTCCTCCCCTGGATCATTCAGTTAACGTTAGCCCATCAATCCTCATCTTTCCAAACCTTGTGCGGCACCTTCCGAACGGCGTGGTGGGTTCTGCCGGTCGGTGTTGTGGCCAAGCTGCTATTTTGCCATCCGTTTCTCTCACCCCTCGTCTTCTCGAGACCCTGTGTGCGTCACTGTCTCACGGCTCCGGCGTGCGCGCTGTGCCTTTTTGAATCGATAGATCTGTCGCTTACAATATCTTTAGTGCCTTTACACGCGCAGTCTTTGCTCGAGTCATCCCCCCATTTTATTGTGTTAATCCCGGTCCCTCCTTGCCGAGTGCCCGCCCGGCCACACACTTTCCCTCTCAATGGGTCGCAAACCGAACCAACTCATCCTCGAGTTCTTCATTCGAGGCCAGAAACTCGAGGACGCCAGTAATCGCTACCAACACACGTGCAAAGCTTGCGGCGAGAAATTCCCCAAGGGTCGCATCGACAGTTTGACCAACCATCTCGTGAAGAAGTGTCAAGCCATCCCGTTGCGCGATCGGCAACGCGTCTTGTTGCGACTCCACGAACTTCCCGATCTCGCCGATGGCGACCAGAACAAGGATGTGACAGGGCAAAGTAAGGGCAAGTCGGTGGACCTGCCCTTCACTACACGCCAAAATTTCGATGGTCTCAATGTTTTGGCCGAGGCATCGCGCCAGGTCGGTGCGTCCGACCAGACGAAACGGGGCGGTCCTGCATACACTCAGTCGGTGACAGTCGGGGGAAAGACCGTGGTCGTCGACCCGGCTCTCGAGGCTGAAGGCTTTCAAGGTCATCCTACACAGCCGGAGCAGATTGAAGAAGATGCGACCAACGCTCCAGGTATGTCTGTCCAGGTTGTGACCTTCACTCCCTCTCCTTGCCAGAGCTTCATTCACTCATCCCGCTCCCTTTGTCCATTTGCGGCGCGCTAACGCATATAATCTCTCAGGCACTCCTCAAGGTTCCAACGCTTCTTCTGTACCTTCCCTGCCTAGTTCCTCTCAAGATCAGCCGCAAGCCGCATCCCCCCCGTTGCCAGACGTTTCGTTGACCCCGGACCCCACCTCCAATGCGCGCCAGTCGCAACTGTCCATGATTGCTGCTTCCGCTAGTGAGATGGTGCCCCACGGTCTCCCAATGGATCACGATGCGGGCGCTGGTCTTACCGACGGTATGCCTAAGATGAGTCCCTCGTGGAACCAGCAGCTGTCCACCCAGGAGCAGCTTCTCTTCGACAGCCTCCAAGAACATGATCCCACCCTCACTGCAGCCACCCAGCGCGCTGCTTCCTTCCCCCGTCCTATTGCTATGAACCCCAATTCTCAGGCCAAGGGCTTCGTGAACGAATTTGGCAATTCTACCAAGCCTACTAAGCCGAAAGTGCGCGGTCGCTTCTCCGCCGCCCGACGCCGAGAGGTCCAGGAAGTTCGCAAGCGGGGTGCATGTATCCGTTGTCGCATGCTGAAGAAGCCTGTAGGTTGGATGCCCTCTAGTCTTGAATATTGCCTCTGACAAGTCCCCTGCCTCTAGTGCTCCGGTGATAGCCCGTGTACCACCTGCGCCAGTGTCGAGAGCGCCCGCTTGTGGAAGCACCCGTGCATTCGCACGCGCATTGCCGAAGAATTCGAGCTGTACAATGCAAGTATGTAGCTTGGCCTTGGTGGTGGTTGTCACACATGGACTAACCATTGCAGATTTGCACGCTACTCTTGCCTACCACGATGTGAGCGGTATCCGCAATCAAATCAAATTCGAACACTACGCTGGACGTATTGAGGTTACCCACTTCGAGGAGAGCATGGTCTACGTTACCTTCAGTGGACTCCAGGGCCATAAGGCATCCGCGTCGACGCTTGACCCTCAGCTTCAGGCTCTCGGGGATGATTCACAGTTCCAGGGGCCCCTCCATGAGTTGTATCTGCTGGACAGTGATGCAGATGATCTTCCTGGGAAGATTGAGATGTACATTAAGAAGACTGCGCCGTTCTTCTACGAGCGGGAGACCTCGGACTTCATGAGACCGACTCTGTTGCTTGCAGCAGAGCTAAGCCAGCAGAAGAAGGTATGTTCCTTGCTCTATCTTCAAAAAGTTAGCAGCGTTGGTTGACTTCTTTTCAGGATGTGTTGCTCGAACGGGTGCTGGAACTGTGGATTGCCACTCACATTCTCGCCGATGGAGAATTGCAGTGGAAGACATTCTGCAACCCGACTCTCCCTCCCACGTCGATGCATTCTCTTGCACAGCCATCAGACGACGGCCGCACACCCATTGATAGTGTCACCAACAGCGAGTCATATGAACTCCTATGCAGCCAGCTGCGGGCCGCAACCGAGAAACGCGCGTCTCAGTTGAGCAAGTCGGTCATGAATGATCTCGAGCGCCGACTGCTTCAGCGCCAGCAGAGCGGCTGGTTCGAGACCTTCTTGGTTGCGCTTATCTTATTGAACTGCGTGGAGCGGACGTGCTGGCTATTCCGGTCCTGGGACGATGAGAACTTTGCTCAGCGGGTAAGCTCACCGCCATACTCCAAAGCGGTCTGTATACTAACTCGTTCCACAGTGGCCCTTGGACAAGCGCCCACCTTACTACGCCAATCAAGGCGATCGCTTCTCCGACATTCTGCACATGTTGCTGAAGATGCGTAGCCTTCCACCAAAAGCTACTCCTCGACCAGATACCGGCATTCTAAAGGCCGTGGATGGTAGTGACGAGAACGCAGCTCGCTGGTTTGACATGATCAAAGTGACTCGTACGTACCTCATTAGGCCTCGAATCTCAGATAGATCGGTGCTAACTACGAATAGCTCTCTTCCTCGAGCAACGTCAAGCCACTGTCTTTGATCCTACTGACTCCCGCTCCCTCGACCTTCGCTACGGAGCCAAGCTCCTCCCCCCTACGAACGTCTACACCTAATTCTGCCTTGCTGCGTCTGCTAGTATCTTCTAGTACCAGTTGACGAAATACAGAAAGAAAGCACAATAAAAACAAAGTAAACGACTTTGATGATGACAACAACAACAACATTAACAACCAACAAACCTCGAATCAAGCAGGCTTCTCTTTTCTTATTCCTCTGCACTATCACATGTCTATGATTGACCTGTTGGCTCTCGTATATGGTGTAGATGGGAGGGCGTGAGTGTGGGCATTGGCACGGGCATGCGAGGAAGCAAAAGGAACGGCAGGAAGACGACGGACGGATGGATGGACGGAGAATGAATGCAGCGATTATGTGTTTTCTCTTAAAATTTAACCCCCCTGTAGTAATGTACCGAACGAAATCCATACCTGTGTTTGATTCACGCCTGAGGCACACACACACATTTTATTTAGATGGACTCCCTTCCCGTCTTGATCCTCTCCGTAGATAATCTACAGATTTTTTCATTCTGATAACCATGTCCTGGTTCGTCTAATGCTACCACATTTGACAACTTAGCTATCCTTATCTGAGCCTAACATTACTACTATAGACCTGTAGTATTCATTTCATGTTCATATATCTTTTCTCTCTCTCAAGTAAGTAGTGGCCTAGTACAAACTAGTAGTAATCCCTATCTCCAAACGAGTACTTTCCCTCCTACTAAAGACTACTGTTTTTTGTAGCAGGCAATGAACTCCAATTGATATACTATCTTGCTATGTCTGTCCTACACTGGAAGTCCATTGTACAGCACAATAAAATCTTCACATAGCAGTGCCCTGTAGTAGCGCGATATCTTTGCTACTGACAACTCTTGAGACTACCTACTCTTCATGCCTTGGGTCGAGGTGTTATCTACTGTTATCATACAAACAAACAAGTGTATACCAGCACAATTCCTAGAACTCAGCATATCTTTATGGCTCGCGACTCGTCATTCAATTGCCAAATTAGGAATAACAAGGCAGATCACAACCAATACAAAAGCGAACAACGCCTTCTAGCTAACTTGCCGTATCTACCAAAGTCCCGGGACATCACTATCAGAAGAAAGAGAAAAGGGGAGTGAGAGGGATTTGGTGAGCGGCGTAACACTAAAGAATGACCCCAAAGAAAAATACCCTTCTGAGAGTACCCGCGCCAGTGTAGCCATATCACTGAGGCTTCTCGTCCATTTTAGTGGTCTACATCTGATACTTTAATAGGGTCATTGGGGTCCAAAGGGATTGGTTGGCCCATATGCGGGGGGCTGATACCAACCCCACTTGGTGTAATAAGGAGTAGCACGCGAAGTAGGCAGGCCATTATTTGCCGGAGGATAAGGGAGAGGCTTGCGAGTCGTTGATGGGGTAAAATGATTGGTCTTGGATTGGGGGTCTGATCCGCTTGGAATCTCCGGTCCAAGGCCAACCCGGATAGGATTTGAACGAGACTCCTGGTCGGGAACGAATTCGATATTACAACCGGAAGCGTCTATTCCTCCCCAGGTGTAGTCTGTACTAGCCATTCCCGAGAAAAAATCGGTCGCAGGCTGGGAAGGGGGCTCACGTGGTGGCACTTCTGTTATGATTGGTTGGCGGCGTCTGCGGCCACTATCTATAGGGTCGCCGTCGGTATCGGAGCCGTAGTCACTAGCAATCTCGGGGGTTTTGTAAGATTTCTTAGTACTGGGGACTGTTTTGTTGGCTGGTGACAGGCCGTCAGATTCACTAATTTTAACCCCGTCTCGCTTGGGATCATCACTCCTGTCGACGTCGGCAGGGCTGAAAGCTCTAGTGGTGGCGGTGCTTTGAGAGGGAGTTAAGATACCGTCATGGCTAGAAGCACTGGGGACGGTTGTGCTTTGAGAAGGATTCACGATGTCACTATCGGTACAATCGTTATCCTCACCATCCGAGAGACTATAGGTTGGCGGACGGCGTGTCGTGGGCGTTTCATCGTCAGACTTTGCGGAATCACCATCCCCGAGAGTCGCTGAGTTAGATGAGGGCGATATAGCCGTAAATCCTCCATCAATGCGTTCCTCAAGCAACACGTAGTAGGTTTCAGCTATCTTATAGCTAGCGAGGTAGTTGCTGTGGCTTGTCAGCAAGGGTCTCACTCCACGCTACCGGTTCGTAGGCGAAGTACAACTTACTAATTCGCGGGCACCAGCTTCGCTTCCATGGCACTAGGTACCATAATCAGCAGCTCTGTCTCATAGACTAGTTCCTTGTCTTTCAGATCAAGTAGAGGACAACCATCTGCTATCGGGAGACCCGTAGCATCCGACAGCCAATAACGGTCATTGTCTTTTTCGAAAAGAAATAGTAACTTGGGCGCCTAGTGAGTGTCAGGATATACGTAGCTGGAATTGCTGGAGAGAATATCCGACCATTGGATTTGGTGGTGTTCGCCGTAACAATAAGATGAAGGAGCTAAAAGGGATTAGAATCTGAGCGCAACCGTATCGTTCATGTGAGGCTGAATGCAAGGTCAATGAGCAGACTTACTGTAGTATGCGAGGCACTTCACGTAATCTTTTGGCTTTTCTTGTTATTGGCTGTCTCCTCAGTCCTGTAGCGTTAGGAACCACAGAAGGTCAGGCAGTGCAGGTAGAGAGTAAAGGTAGAATCTTCAGCGTATCTCAAAATAAAAATGAGTAGATGAGAAAATGAACCACTGGTACAGCCACAGTTGATACAAAAAGAATGGGAATCAAGAAGCAGCACAAATCCGCCCACATCTATGAGAAGAGAGTAAAAGAGTAAAGAAGAAGAAAAGAAAGGAAAGAACGACTAAATGAAGCGGGCAAGAGGCATCACATCATCATGATCATACAACATGAAAAAGCATACCATCCATCATACATCATCATCACGCATTAGGCAGCCGTGACCTCCTGAACCTGCTCGAGCACCACAGCATAATACTTCCCTTCTACAGAAGTATCGTGGTACGGCCCAGCACCTACCAGCGCCCTACATCAAACTGATCGTTAGCATTACCCTTGAACACAGCCATAAAGAAAAACGAAATCATATACAGAAGAACCATGACTCACCACCCCTTATACTTCGGCTGGTTGAATATATCCGTGAACGCCCTCAAAATCCGCAACGGCAGCTCCAACATGGAAGGCAATTCCGGTCCATCTCCGCAAATCGGCAGACCCAGTTTATTGACGGGCAGGTACACAATCTCGGATGGACTTTGCGGATTCCGCGCCTCCTGGAAGATAAGAAGACGCCTCGACGGGGGTGGCATCGTCACTATGTTTCCTTGCTGGTTCTCGGATCTGTTATCCGCGTAGATTGGATCTAGCACCAGTATCCCCGGTTGGCGTACGCTTGCTAAGTCGGTCTTGGAGACAGTTTCGATCTAGACTTGCAGAGTTGCTTTTCCCGTCACAGGATGTGCGGTGTCCAATAGTGGCTTTTTCGAAAATTGGATTGTGACTATTCAGTGACTTTTCTTATCACCTTGCTGAGAATAATCTAATTTTGCTGGTGGATGAGCCGGTTTTGGTACCCGTTCTGTGCCAGGGGTAAGCCTATATTTAGGAGCCATCATGCAGGTTGAACGCACCAGATCGAGCCAAGATGATAGCTAAATTGGATTGAAGCCCCACTGAGGATTGAGAGGTCCGGGAGCACGATGCAGCGTATGCCCTGAAGGGAAGAGGTAAGAATGATACTACCGACTACTGCGTCGATGCGACGGACTTTCGCGCGGCGCGTCGCATCGCAAACACGTGCGCGGGGGCGGGGGACTGCCTTATCGGGAAGCCCCTTATCGTGGCCTCCACTTTCCCGATTCGGAAAGAAAGTCAACTGTGGTGACTCGCCCCATCTTCTCTTTTACTTGTGGCACCAAATGGCAGATGTCGTTTTGTATGATAGAAAAGCTAGTGTGTAGTATATGCAAATCCAATAAGTGTATGCATGCAATGGCTAAAATCGAACGTCAGGGTATCATAGCAAAGGCTTTCGCCCGGACTGCCTCATCAATAAACGCCAAAAGCACGAATAGCCCCGGCAGTCTCATTTCCCCCTCGAGACGTAGGACTATGTACATCTACGTATCAAGCTCTCCATCTAAGACGCGTCGCGCCGCATCCAGACGCCGTCTCAGTAATCGCACTTGTTTCGGGTCCGGGTTCTCGGACGTCGTGATGTTCTGCAGCTCCAAGCAAACATTGCCCAGACTCTGGAACAGCCGCTCTAAGAGATGAGTGTCATCATCGTTCAAGCCCATGTTCCCCTTCGCAGTGGCACTCGGGTGAGGACTGGATGCTGCGCGCACGGTGGACACGAGAGATGACACCAAGGATGTCGGCGTGGTAGATCCGGTGGTTGCAGAATCTGACCTTCGCGGAGGAAAGGTAGCCTCAGGATAAAGGCTAGATTTGTCCCGGCGACTGGGCTGTCTGCGAATGGCCCGGGGGGTTCCTTCGGCGTCCGCATAATCAGTGCCATTGGAGTCATCCACATCTGAGGGATGGTTGTTGCGCAGTTCTAGTGCCAATTAGTTATCCACGCCTTGTGGGATGTTTTTCTAGAATTCTTACCATCATTGAACTTCCGGTCCCAATACAGGACACTCTCAAGATCATCGCGATCCCCTTCAGTAGCCGTAGCAAACGACGCCACGGTGGACAGGGAGGTGGTACTGTTTGCGCGAGAATGGCGCGCGGAACGGTGGTCGATCGGTCGCGTCGTTTCGACTGACGATGTTGAAACGTTGCTCTCACGTCGCAAGCGAGCCTGCGTGTAGTTGCCCAGAGCACTATGTAGGATGAAATGCTCGTAGTCGAAAGCGTCCTCTCGCTCCTCGTGCGGTGTATCCTCCAAACTTTGTGGAGCCGCTGGGAAAGCCTCCAACGAATCATCAAACTCATCATCCAGGGGCTCGCGCAAAATCTCGTTCAATGCCCGGCGGTCCAATGCGTCATCGGCGCCATTTATGTAATATTCACCCTCTTCCGCGTCCTCATAGAGCGTTCCAGCCACAGATTGTCCATCATCGTCGTCCTCCCTAGACTCGTAGGCCCCATAGGTCGGGTCGGCATGTGATGCCTGAGTAAAAGGCGGATCTCGTTTTTTCAGACTTGTCTGACGGGAGACACCAGCCTCGGGCTCATATCTTGCACTTCCATAGTCACTGCGGTGCTGGCTATCTTGGACATAACCAGCAGCCCGCCCGTTCCCAGTACTAGGGTTAGCATTGGTCCGACGTTCTTTCACCTCCGCTGCACTGGGTGCCCATTGGTCCGCTGCGGAAAGAGGGCTCGGAGTCCGCAAACTTTGCATGCTGCGTCGACGCAGATTATCCTCCTGGGCTCTGACCTTTAGGCTAGATATCTTGATATGAAGGCCCTTCATCTGATCTTGGAGATCCCGCACCTGCAGCTGAGACTGAGATCGAGAGGGAGGGTCGTAAGTTGGCTGGACCGAATTGGGTCCGTTTATAGTCTCGGAAGACTCGTCCTCGATTGCTTCCTCGGAAATGCCCAACCCTTTCGGTGAATCAGAGGCGGCTCGCGGATTGGACACTGGGGGCGAGGAACGGATTTGTGGCCTCTGCATCGATGATACGGACGCACGATGGGTGAGATACGCACGCGTTGGATCATACCGGAAGCTTCGCTCGTCATGATGAGGGTTAGGGGCCGTGGTCGAGCCGAGAGCGCTCACCGACCGGGAGAGATTGCGCTCAACGGCGGGCAAACTCGATTGCGCCGCAGAAGGTAGGTTGGTTTCGCTGTGAACACGGGAATGACCGTTGTTATTGATCGCATCCTGGGACGATGTATAGGTTGCGCGTGATCGATTAGCTGAGCCTCTGCGGTCGGCCCGGGAGATGGATTGGTACAAGCCACCAACTGGCTGACCCAGTCCCAGGGGTTGGTGACCCACGGATGGCGTGGGTGATGCCGACAGCGACGGGGACGCGCGCATTGACGTACGGGCTCGGCTTAGATTGCCCTCCATGAGCTGCATACCAGTGCAACAGTTAGTCACTAGTCAAGATTTCATAAGCGCACCCGAGACAGGTTGGCAGCATACCGTGAGGCGCTTCTTCGCATTCTCCAGAATTCTCTCCGCCTCGGTGCTCAAAACAGCCGACGACAGCTCCACCCCAGATCCGCCTTTCTCCGTGGTCGCCATTAGACTTGGAGTCGAACCATTTCCTTCCAGACTGTCAATCGCAGAACGTACACCTTCAGGGACTTGGTGAGGATTTTGCACCGTACCGCGACTTTTCTGGCGGTCCTTAGCGGCATCCTGCGACGAGTCGCTAGCACCACTAATTGTCGAGCTAGACGAGCTGCTCCACGCCGCCATTTCCCTAGCCTCCGCCTCAGCCGTCTCGCGTTGCGAAACAGGCGAACCCGTCATCCGACCCGCCTGAGACAGAAATGGGAGTGTTCTCATGTGCGCCGGCGACGACGAGACACTATCTTCCTCCCCGATGTCCGACAACCGACGACTAGGATCCTGAACTTCATTTGGCCACATGCGACGCGAGAATCCCGTTTTCTGAGGCCGACTGCCGTATGAGAGAGCAATACCGGCGGAACCGACGCCTCGAGCCTGGTCCTCAAAATCATCGGGTGCCGTCCGGTTCTCGTAGAAGGACTGAAGATTGGACAAAGAGGGGAGGTTGAATGGCGGGGACGGGGTGGAGGACTCGCGCTCGTTGGGGTCGAAAGGTAAGATCATATCGGGATTCGATAGGGTCGGCGATGGGGGGATCGGAGGAGGTGGTGGACGAGAAGAGTGTCCAGCATCCTCGGCGGACAGCATGCTTATACCGTGCTGTCTAGCTGTTGAGGCCCGTGTATCTAATGAGAAAACAAAAGAGTGAATCCCAGCGCACACGACAGGAATGGCGCTCAGACCCAGGCCATCTGCAACCAGGGGAGGGGATGAAGGCTCGTCTGGTTCAGCTGGAGAGGTCTGGGCCTGCAGGTAGGACCAGGATTGAAGGGATGAAGGTCAGTGTGGTAATATCTGCAAGAGGAAATCTGCTGCTCGAGATGCAGAGATGCAATCGCAAAGTCAATCTGAGACAGATGAGATTGGGCACACCCTGGTCGAATCAGCGAATGTGGAGGGCGGTGGCAGCGAGGTCAGCGAGGACTCGATTAGGAATTAGGAAAAAAAAACAAATTAGAATTAAGCATTAACTATTAAAAGCATCGAAGACGGAAAGAAGCAAAAAAAAAGAAGGAAAAGGAAACCGAAAGGAGGGAATAAGATTTGGGATGAAAAGAAAGGCAGCAAGGACGCGATCAGAAAGTAAGAGGAGTCAAATTGCCAGTCCACGAATGCAACCAGTTCAGTTCAGTTCAGTCCAACACCAAAGAAAGTGTTTCGGGGGGGGGCCAATTCCAATCTGGGTTTGGGGAAATTTCCACTGCCATAATTATTCTGGTCCCTAGTTTTTTTTTTTTTTTTTTTTTTTTTTTTTTTTTTTTTTTTTTTTTTTTTTTTTTTTTTTTTTTTTTTTTTTT